AAGTTGCTTGTTGTCTGCCGGCAAGCTTGCCAGTAGTTTTTTGTCCCAACCTTCCTCCTTATAGTTGACTCCACCCTTGGCGCCCAGTGCGATAGCCTTTTCGATCTTCTCTGCGCTTCCACTTGTGACGAAAACATTGGCGCCCGTTGCTTTGGCAAACTCCAGAGCGAACAGAGCCACACCACCACCGATCCCGGTAACCAGAATGTTCTTGCCCGGCTTGAGATTGCTTTCGCCGCACTTGACCATCACAGCTCGCCATGCTGTAAGGCCGGTGAGAACAAACGCAGCGGCTTCGATCGAAGAAAGGTGCTCAGGGGCTTCTTCGAGTTCTCCCTCGTCAATGCACATATACTCTTGAAGTGTGCCGTTCGGGTTGGTCTTAGTTCCTCCCAGGATCTTGTAACCACCCTTGTCCTCGGGACCTTCCAGGCTATCCTTCCATCCCGTGCCCGGATTCACGACTACTCTCTTGCCCTTCCATTTGGGATCGACATCACTGCCGACGGCGACGACGGTCCCGCAGCCATCGGCCAGAAGCGGAACGCCAAAGGCTGTACCTGGATAAAGATGCTGCCGGATGAACAGGTCGCGGTGGTTCAATGCAGCTGCATGGATCTTGATTATCACCTCTTTTGCTTTTGGCGACGGCTTCGGCACCTCGTCCAGGGACAGGGGGTAGTACACCTGTCCCGGCTTGCCTTCGATCTTTGATATCGAAATTGCTTTCGGCATCTCGCTAGAGTGATCAAGCAGTCAACTTTCAGACACGTTTAGTGGTATAAAGGTGGCCGGCGTCTATAAGCAGGACCCTGACGGCACTGATCATCAATCAGCTTAGAAATCCAGCTTCGGCGATATTTCGCGGACAACGAAACGGGTATTCTTGACTAACAAGGAAGTGGAAGCCTCGCGATTTGGATTATCAAGGTCAAATAACACAAGTTGGAGCAGCGATCGCACCCCCTCTATTCAAGCCCTGGATTGTGCTGAGTAGCTTCGGAGAATTGGCGGCAAGTCTCGTCATTGTCAGTTTAGACCGAGGTCCAGTAACGACTTACGTCATCGCCATGATCGCCGCACCAGCCGTGCAAAATCCGACGTTCTGCACGTGCTCACTAAGGAAGTGGAACAACATTGTCCCGTTCGGGGTGGCAGAAGGATTCTACTCCAGCACGGCTTCCGCCACCTTCGGCACTGCATGAACACATTTCTGCACTGTTCATGAGCTTTGCACTCCTGCCTATGATCAAGCGCCTTCACATATCCCACCGCTTCTACATCTCCTCTGCTCCTAAACGCTGTGTGACAAAGCACGCCTGAAGGGGACAGCTGAAGTGCACAAGTAGAGGGCTATTGTTGTTCTTGTCACTAGGACTAACTTAGCAGCGAATGCCGTGACCCCATCATGAAGGATTGCAGCGAGGCCTGACTCCAAAACCGCTCCCATGATTGGCCGGTCGCACCTCAGCAGCCTAATGGACCCCACCGAGAGGTTAGTCGCGGGCGTCCAAGCCACGGTGAAAGGGGCGCGAGACGGGGTCCAACTTCCTCACGAGATCCAGGCGGATCGTTCCTGTTCCTTGAAATGTTCCAAGGCAATGTTTTCCAGTGGCCAGCAGGTGCGGAACTGATCAGCTTTTCTCCATCCCTGATCACAGGCACAATTGGAATTCTTGGCTGCTTTAGACTGCGGCTTGATTTCTGTCCCGGCCCCAGACGAGCTTCTCAGCCCCGCCGTGCAAAATCGGAAACGCCAAAATTCGAGTTTCAGCTCTATCAGACTGAGTCACGCTGTGGTACTTCCATATCTGCGGTGGCAAGCCTTGACTGCTACCATTGTCGGCCGCGTTGATCGCATATACTCCTTGTCGAGCCAGACGCGGAGTGTGGTATTGTGGAAATCTCAAGCAATAAAAGTGTCACGAGCAACAAGACTGACCTCCTGACACTCATGCGCATTGTTCTTGGTTCAATATCCCTTTCTTGATTCGAGGACCGCCAACATGGGCTCATTCGGGGAAGTCACCGAGTTCGGTCATGGCTTCAAGTCGCAATTCTTGTTTGATCCGAAATACACCAATCTGAACCACGGTACGTGTGCTTGATTCAGGCTTCTATCTGCATACTGCCAAGCCTCCTTGATCGTTATGCTCTCTATCGACATGGCTTGGCACCCATGACCACGTTACAGCATGTCTGTCTGACTACCACATATCATTCTCATTACGGGAGACCTAACAATCAGTTTGTGTAGGCTCGTTCGGCAGCTATTCTCTACCTGTCCGTAACGCGCTTCGTGGTTATCAGAAATTGGCAGAGGCGGCACCGGATAAATTCTTGCGCTACCAATACGTCGACCTTCTAGACAAGTCCAGGGAAAGGATTGCGAAACTCCTCAACGTCCCGACCGACGAGTGTGTCTTCGTGCAGAACGCGACGTCCGGTGAGCGGAGCTCGTTCTGCCTTCAGTGGCTTCTGCTAACCGTCCAGGTGTCAATACCGTCCTGCGCAATTTGCAGTACAAGGAGAAGGACTGCATCATATACTTCGACACCATCTATGGAGCCATCGAGAAGACGTTGGCTTCGATCGTTGAGACTAACCCTCAGCTGCAACTTCGGAAAGTGGGACACGGGCAAGATTTTGCCTACTCACTCCCTTGCACACACTCGGAAATTCTGAATGCTCTGTCGCAGACGATATCACGAGTTCTGTACGATGGTTTGAACCCGAAGGTCTGTGTTTTCGAAACGATCGTGTCTCTGCCCGGAGTTCGGTTCCCGTTCGAAAGAATCACCAAGATGTGCAAGGAATATGGTATCTTGAGCTTGATTGACGGGGCGCACGGCGTGGGTCAGATTCCCTTGAATCTATCACAGCTTGATGCCGACTTCTTCGTCAGCAATTGCCACAAGTGAGTGGAAATGCAATTCTCAGACGACGTTCGCAACGATGAGGCTGTTGCGGTATCTGACGTGGCATAGGTGGTTATATACCCCACGAGGCTGTGCTGTTTTCCACGTGCCCAAGCGTAATCAGCATCTCATCCGCACCACTTTTCCAACCTCGCACGGATTCGTCCCCCAGTCGAGCTCATCAATCCGCAACCCTCTCCCCCCCACCGACAAATCAGATTTTGTCAACCTTTTCCAGTTCGTTGCCACGGCCGACAATGCACCTTACTATTGTGTGCCGGCCGCTCTCAACTTCCGACAGAATCTGTGCGGGGGAGAGGAGGCTATCTACAACTACATCCGAGATATTGCCCAAAGAGGAGCAGATCTCCTCGCCATGCTACTGGGAACCGAAGTAATGGATGACATGGATGCCGGATTCGGGCTGCGCACCATGGGGAGCTACGAAGCCAGTGACAAACGTGACGGTGGTCGCATTGGCTGGGCTGGCGGTCTGAGAGACTGTGCCATGGCGAACATTTTGCTGCCCGTTACCATTGTCGGCGCATACTCTCGTGGGAGCATTAGCATGGGACCTGGTGGGGCCGGTAGTGCTGGCGGTCTGTCTCCGGCACTGCGACAGTCTTCTTACGGTTTCCCCAGTGCAAATACTCTATCGCAGATGCGATCACCCTCGGCAAGCTCCGGGGGCCTCTTGGGCGAGCCCAGACGGTCGACCTCCCCGCTCAATTCTCCGAGCTTACACTCGGCAGGTCCGATCATCATTCAAGAAGCCGATGTGCCGATGCATATTGCGTGGATGGAGAAAACGCTGGTGGACGAGTTTAATACATTCGTCGCGATTTACGAGTACGATGGAAAGCTCTGGACCAGGATCTCGGGCCAGATCTACCTGGAGCTCAAGGACTTTGAGTGGCTGGGTGGCGTCCTCAAAAGTCTATGCGAGCGCGTCAGGATGGGAGAGAGTTTGCGGGGAAGGGCCAAAACCCCGGAAATCGACAAGGTGCAATTTGATGCGTTGAGCCTGAAGTCGCCCGTCCCCTCGAGGCAGAACACTGGGGATGTCCTCAAGAAGTTCGATGTGACCCAAGGTGGATGGATCAATGCATGAGGGGGTCGGGTGATTTGAACATGGCGGTGTCCTAGTCTGTTGGTGTCCACGATTCCCCTTGATGGACGGCCGGGTCTGGAATACCCGAGGAGATGCTAGAAGCATTCGTTTGTATCCATATGGCATGGTGGCGGAGAAGCGCACGGGGAGCACTGCACGTTTGACAGCCTGAGGTTGTACATCTTTGTCATAGGATTCTCGCAGCCTGCTATGGACACGGTTCTCTGCAAATTTTCGACATTGGACGCAAATCTCTGCGCGTCAGTCAGAATTCATTGTTCGCTCAGCTAAACCTGAGCGGGAAAACCTTGAATGACGGGATGACCAGGTGCCAAGCCTACCCCGGATATTGCTACGTAATGGCCACGAATTCTTGACACCACTTTTACTCTTTGTTCACTGCGGCCTTCGATTGCCATCCAGACTTTTCACCTCGTGGCTCGCAGCTGCAACAGAGTCCGGTCCCTTGCCTCCTGCGGGCCGACCGCACTCCGCCTTTTGCATCATCCGGTCACCTGCTGGCACCTGACCCGGCAAGGAAATCCTCCCGCTGCCGTAGCCGTGGATATCCTCGCTCAGCTAATCGGTTCTCGAGCCCGCCGCTGTCATTCCAGAACCAAGGCGAAAACTTCGGCCAAGCGCGGGCCGGCGATGATTCACAGCCTGCCGTTAACTGCTTAGTCGACAAGGCTCTGCGAGACGGCCGTCGTACGTGTTAGGTGATGATGGTGGTATGTGCGCGCCTCCTGCCGTCGGAGCGGAAAACAATGACACAGAATATACCTCGCTCAGCCTCTCGTTTTGTTTCTCTTACCCCCATCTTTCCTAATATTTTGCTCAACGTACATCTTTTCACCGTGCATTTTCCCTGCATCATTTTCCTGGGGTCGGTGGAGTATGGCTGGAGGAGTTTTGCCCATTCTTGGTCTGTTGGTACCTGAAGCTTCATAAGACCCTCCTGCCGTCTGACAATGCTGCCATTTCGATACCGCAACAAGACCGTGATTGCTCATCAACACGAACTGCCTGGCTACTCTTTTCCGACGACGGACGATCACAACCATATTATTTCGCCTCCAGAAGATATGAGCAGTGCTTCTAGGAAGTTTTCATACGCCTCAGTCAAAGAAGAAGCCGGTAAGTTAGGCATTCACTTTTCGGACAGAGAGCCCCGCCAAATACTAACCATCAACCCCGTTCAGGTGATGGCTTGCCGCAGTCTTTCGAATCGTCGCTTTCATCCCAAGACCTAGAAGAGGTCGAATGGATCGCGTGGCCATGCAGTCAATGGTGCAGGACAAAGGGCCTTTGTTCCTACCATTTTTCCGGCTCGCACGAAGACCACGTGCGGACCCGACTGGAAGGCTATGCTCGTAGCAACCCTAGAAAGCTGGAGAAGATCCTCGACGAACTAGAGAAGCGCCGCGCCGCACAGAAATTGTTCAACCTCCCCTTCGCCAAGGAGATCACCCAATTCCATCCCCATCCAGCCAGTTTCAGCCTCGAGGTGTGGAGGGAGAGGGTACGAGACTCAGTTCGGCTCGGTGAGGGCTTCGATGGGACGCTGGAAGGCACAGCAATCGCCGACGACACGGATGAGAGCCTATCGCAGGTCTCGCGTGAATCCCCGTTTTCGTGGCTCGAGACCATGCCCGAGGAAGTCCTGGAACTCATTCTCTCGTATGTGACGGTCGATCACACAGCCGACCCCTATGCACGACCACACGTCGACCTGGCGTCTTGCGCGTTGGTATCCAGAACCATACATGGAGCGGCCGTCAAGGTCCTGTACCGACATGTCTCGATGCCCCAGTCTAGGGCGTTTGCCAAGTTGATGCGGACCTTTAAGACGGCGCCACAACTGGGCGAGCTGGTCCACTGGCTGGACTTCTCTCACTACTCGAACATGGGTTTTGGCAGCGCTCGCAGCACCCGGAATCAGACGCCATTCCTCAAGCCAGAGACTCTCAAGGCCTGCCTCGATCTGATGCCGAATCTGCAGGCTTTCCTCGTACACGAGCACGTGGACGAAGAACTTGATAGCAACATCGTGTCAACGCTCTTCAACATGCCGCTCATGCAGGCACTCGACTTCTGTGCCTGCTCCTCACGGCCGTTTGCCGAGGCGTTCACCAACGTGACGACCAGTCTGTCTTCTCCGCTCCCGAGCCTCAAACGACTATCACTGCACGAGTGCACCACCTTGCAAGAACCAGTCTTCGAGGCACTCCTCCCACTGCTCACTAACCTGACACACCTCGACGTTGCGCACACCTTGATCAACGACAAGGCTCTACTCTCAATCCCCCCGACTGCTCGCATCACACACCTCAACCTGGAGCGTTGCACCCATCTCACGGGCGCGGGCGTGGTCAAGTTCCTCGCGACACATCCCGCGGTCTGCGCGAACATCGTCTACCTGAACCTCGCGGCAGATGCATCACGGCACAGACTGCTCCGCGAAGACGACGTCACAGCACTCATCGCCTCTCTCCCACCCAGCCTCCGATCGCTGAACCTCAACGGCGCCAAGATCAACCCCTCACACGTCCCTGGTCTTCAGAAGCTAGCCACTCATCTCGAGGAACTAGGCCTCCGTGGCGCAAACCTCAGCCTCGGAAGCGACATCATCCGCCTGTTCAGACCCTCGTCAAGCACCTCTGACGACGAACCACAGGGTGGTGACGAGCATAATATTGCAATTTCTCCTTCTTCTTCTTCTTCTTCTTCTTCTTCCTCCTCCCACCGCAGCACGCTGCGCTACCTCGACCTCAGCCTCATCCCCTCCGTCACCCAGCTCTCCCTCTCCTACAGTCCCAACTCCCTCCTCGACGCATCAACCCTGCCTCTCGAGGTGATCGAACTCGGCTCCGACGTGCTCGCCGAGGTGAAGCGCCGACAAGGCAACATCCGCAGCAGCAGCAAAGCCAAGCCGGAGTGGGTGGTCAAGGAACTGGGCCGGCGCGGGTGGTACGTCCGCCAACCCAATCTCGAGGGAACCGTCGACGACGGATGGCGGCCCTGGAAAATGGGTGCTCGGTGGTGGGGCATGAGGAAGGTGCCTGTCGTAGAGCAGGACGTTGGGGGCATGTACGGGTATTTCATGTTCAAGCGGTCATGATCGTCGTGAAGGATGTGATGTGTCGAATCGTTTGTTCTTGCACTCGTTATTAGCGCTACGGATTGCTTTGGCAAAGTCTGGTCCGGATGATCTGGTCTGGGTTGTGTTGTATAGCTCGCTTTGGGTCATGTCGGGGTTTCACTCTGCTGTTCGTTTCTTTCCTTGGCCTAGGGCATCTGGGTGTTTGTACTGGTGTTGGCGTCAGACTGTACAACAACAACTACTACTGAACAACGCAGACACGAGCGGGACACGAATTTCCTTGTCGGGGCTTGGGGACTGGGAAAAATAGCAAAATTGAGGCGGGTCTTTTTCTAGCGGTTCGTTTCATGGCGGGCGTTTCTCTTGTTGATAATTACATATTTACTTGACTGTTACTAAAGGTATGATTGTGATTATGATTGCGATTATGATCATGGGTGATTGTGATTATGGTCAACGACATGATATTATTATGTTGGAATTGACATCGAGACTGGCGGTACTGTATCGTCATGTATACATACATGTCGAAAGTACTCCGTACGGACGGAGTACAGTACTCAGAGATACAAGTTAATTAGTTATTCAGGTAGCAACGACACGATGAGAAAAAGTCATGCGTCTTCGCGCCGACCTCTACGGGGTTTCAGTCGATGAGCACCGAAGTCTTTGGCATATACCAAGTAGTTATGGAATAACATGAATTGAACGAGTGACTGAATGAGTGACTGAATCTGTACCAATCTATCTACGTCCCTACGTACCTACGTACCAATTCTACGTACTCTTACTGTTTCGTGGAGTGGAATTGCATCATATATTGACGGTGGCAATGGAATGATTCTCAATGTCACGTTAGCGTTGAGCTCAGTCCCTCGTTTTCAGTTTCTCTCTTCTACACTGCTTTCCCTGTCCGTCTGTCTGTGCGTGCATCTGTGTGTCCCTCGATGTGGGCTATCATCTTCACTAAGAAGTTCTTAATGTCCGATGACCACAGAAGCAGTTTTGAGGTCTGATGTCCGAGGTCGTCTGATTCATCTGTCAGAGTCCTTTCGAAAACTGCTCCTATGTGGTGCCACGCAGCGTTGCCCTTGTCGATATCGGTTGGGTCGACTTTCGAGACCCTGTTTCCGCGTTCCTTCATGAAACGCAGCAGCCTGTCTGCGGCGACGACGATTTCACACGAATGGGACTCCCGACACTCAAAATATATCTGATGATCAGTAAAGTACAGCCGTCGGAGTCGGACTGACGATGCCTCCTCTTGATAGGTCCATCCTCGCGTGATATACCTAGAGTCCTGGAGAGCCGAGTTCAGTGGCGTGTCGAAGACAATATAGTCATGTCCGCCAACTTGGATACAACGTTGTTCCAGCCGATGTCGGGATGGAACGCCAGGGAGACCGTAGTCAGCTCCATCGCCGGCCGCAGCAATAATGGTCAGCTCGGCGGATTCATACAGCACAGCCATGGATCTGAGATCGTTGTAGATGGGAATGAGCAAATCATTATGTGTGGTCGCGGGTTGCTTAAGAGCTCGCCTCGATGGAATAGGGCCACAATCAGACCATCCACAAAGTCCCTCTCCTTGCCTTTTTTCCTGTGGGCTTAGACAACGCAAAGGCGACAGGAGGGAGTTCAAGAGATTGTCCTTCGGTCTTCCGCAAAGAGCGATTCCGTCGAAGGAAAAGGAGCCTCGAGATCCAGTGAAACGCAGTCGTCGCAATGCTTCTGGGAAAGGGTGACAGAGTCCATCAGCTGAAATGGAGCTCATCGTCGTACCTGCTTGTATCCAGCATGACCGATGGATGAATCGAAGTGTTGACTTGTATCCTTCTGTCCTTGACCGTGGAATACTGAAGGATTTCGTCAGTGGCCAAGGTCATGGCCTGCGAACACGCATCGAGGCGCAGCGGCTATCGAGCCTGTAGCGCTTGAGTCGTTGACCAGGGGACTTTTGTCGTAGTCAATAGTACCGTAACCACCATCTGGCGGCCATGCTCGCGCAGGAGCCGATACTCTGCACCGGAGGACAGCGACATCCCAGCTCTGGAAACGGCCCTTGAGTCTTCTGCCAGATACGGGGGTTCAACCCTGGCGTCACGGGCCGTGAAGAAGCCACCGTACCTGTGCGAGAGTCAAAACGATTGCTGAGACGTGGAAGATCACCCACTTGAGAAAGAGGGCGCTTGACAAAGATCATGGTTGGAGAAGCAAGAGATTGAGTCGGCGATTTGAAGCCAAAGATGCCAGTCCTGGCAGCTTCTGATAACAACCGCATGCCTATTCCACGTTCGTTACTTCCCGGGCAATACATCATTGCTTATCGTCAATGTCTACGGTGCGTGGGAAACACAGCATCACAAACACCGGTAAGCTGCGGAAACGAATTGATGTGTGGCCTTGTAGTGGTAGTGTAGCGCTCACCAACAGTCGCCTCGACCAACATCACATCAACATGGTCCGCTCCCTGCCCGTACGCCCCGTCTAGATCAAGATCAATGTACCTCCAGGCCTTCACACTATGCAGATCACAATACTCGGTCAGAGAATCTTCAATGCTTCGCCAATGACGACCCTGTGCGATCTTCATCCTGCTATTGTACATGTTCATATTGTCGAAATGTTCCCTACAACGTCGCAGTCCATGCTGCGTCGAATTGGCGCACGGAAGTCTGCACATATGTTGCCACTGTCCCCAATCTTCCCAGCCTGGATGAAGTAGGTTTGTATGCGTCGTGCCAACGAGCCAGGCCTGTAATATCGGAGCGAGTACGTAGTACGTTCTCAGGTCTTCTTCTTCGGCCCCGAAATTAACGGGTACAGTCGTCCCAGATGGTGATTTATCGTGGATTTGGCCTTCGGAGGGGGTTTCTATCCGCGCACATCGTAGTCAGCAAATGAACCAACAGGGGACGTGGATACGAGTGGTGCATGGGAATAGCCGTAACGTACAGGTGCATCCATGCATTCTCGTAGGACTTTTTCCAGGTGTCCACAACCTCCTGAAGCGGCTCCGGCGGCCCAGCAATCTATTGAAAGGGCATGTCAGTATGATGTGCAAGATCCGGAGCGCATTCCTCCAGCTCTTCAACTCGACATGCGACCATGTTCATGCTTCATCCGTCCGAGCTCTCCGCCTCGACAGCGTCATGGTTTACCACGAGATTTGTACCTCTCTTCGTCTTCCACCTTCGTTCGTCCTTGCAGAGCGGGCAACAGGCAGAACGTACTCAACATAGCGGTCATGGGTCCGAGACAGGGATTTGGCTCCTGCTTGTCGGGATGTCTTATTTTTAAACGCGACACAGTCTGGAGGCGGACTGGGTTTATAGCCGTGGAGGCACCTCGAGGCGGCATCGTGCTTGAGTGCAGGCGCTGAGCAGATCCGAACGGGAGACCCGAGAGTTCGAGGCGCGCAGATTTCTGCCGATAGGTGTACGCGGTCGTCCTACAGCGGTTCAGGACGATTCGGAGAGGCGCTGAAGAATGACACAAGTGCGCCCTGATAACCGTGACTTGTAGCTCCCGGTTGTCGAGGAGTTGAGCCTGATAGCTTGTCCGAGAACTATGAGCTTAGCACTCAATACTTGCGAGTTCAATCCGCACTTTGTGTCCGGCAGAACCTCGGTTGATTGCAAGGCTGCACCACAATGTGCGGACAAGGCTGAGCTATGGACGTTTGATAGTCGTCGGCGCTAAAAGGCTGGACTACTTAAACAACTGGACTTTCAGCTACCGGAAGATGTCCTCGAACGACATTCCCCCAAGCTGAGCATCAGCACCCCTCGCGGCCGCACCCTGGCCTCCAGATGCCAGACTACCGCCATTGAATGCCGGGCCCATGTACCCCTCTGACAACATGAGGCGATCGGGATCATTACAGAAAGCTTGGAAAGTCGAATCGTCCGTAAAGCCAAAGTCCTTCAACCCTTGCGTCCGGTCCATAGTCCACTGGGTTGTGTCAAGTTGAGCCATCTCATGGAACAGAGCGTCAATCTCATCGCCATTAAAGCTAGGTGATGTACCCGACCCCACGGCCATCTGTTTCTCCAAGCCAACATCCATCTGGTCTTGACCCGGTATGTCGATACTCATACGTCCATAATCACTTGCTGCGGGCCCAGTTTGTTGTTGTAGATGAAATGTGTTGTTATAGCGCGTTCCTCCCTGATAACCAACTGATACCGGCCGCTCTGTATTGCGTATGGTCGAATCAAGAAGCGTCGGATTCGATTGGAAACCGAAAGGAGAGATTGGAAGCAGAGGGCTGTTCACAGAGCCAGAAGTGTGGGCCGATAGACTAGGCGGCCTAGCTGTTGTCGAATCGATAGCAGCAGCATTGGAAGATCGGAAGCCAGGCCATGAAGTTGACAATCTTGATGACGTTTCGACGGAATTCCCCCAAATCGCGGAAGGGCCGAGCAGCTGACAAAATGCCGCTAGAATCGACGGGATACCACATTTGTCAGGCAGGTTCCAGGACTGATCAAAGAGCTTGAGGATTTTACGACATTCCGGTGCTGGGTGTTGCGGCACATCATGGGTCGTTTGGAGGAGAGCTGATTCAACAATGAAATGACATGCTTGCAAGAGCATCTGATGCGGTGGACGTCGCTCTACCTCTGCAACTGAGAAGCAGTATCGCTCGGAAAGCGCATGCAATTGGTTCCAGACCTGTTGCGCCGATGATGCCCCCGGATCTGCGCCGTAGCAAATGATGTCTGTGGCCTCATTAGCAATTGCACAAAGCTCCGTCAACCTATTGAAACAGCTGATGGCGAAAGCTGGTTCGTGAGACGGTGGCCTATCACCGCTGTTCACGAGCCAAGGCTCCCATTCGTCGTGCCCGTCCTCGTCGATAAGTTGCACAAAGTCCGTATTGAATTGGCTACGTCGAAGATGTGGAATTCTTCTTAGCCGGAGGGAAACCACCGACTCCAAGATGAAACAACCTTGCAGTACCGCCTGCCACCTTTGCTGCTTAACACCCGTTGACTGTGAGTGGGCGCCTGCAACGTTTCCCGGCCCGGCGAGAACAGAAGCAGCGCTCGTAAGCATTCTGCCATGCTGTTGGGAAAAATGAGTCTCTCGTGCATCGAGAAGGGCGCGCACTGCATACCCGGTCAGCATCCAGGCAGACGTCCAGTCACCGAGTCCCACGTCGAGGAGGACAAGTAGCAAGAGTGCTTGCACATGGCTGATTGCGAACGGCCCACTATCCGGTGGTATCAGGTCCCTTGCGCGGGCACGCATGTTGGCAACAGAAGCACTAGGTCCTAGGCTGGGTTGTAACCCCAGATGCTTTGTTTGCTGCTGTGAGTAGGCACAGATAGCCCATAGGCACGCAAGGTCGCCACTGTCCAACTGAACGGGGTTTTTTGGCCTGGTGTGCTCGTAGAACTTCCGTAGTACGTACGGTCTGTCTAGGATGGGAAACCAACAGTGAGTGTAGGTAAAATACTGGTCAAGGAGCATTGGAGCGGATGGTGGCAGTGGTACCCTCTCCGATCCCAGGTCGCTTGATAACAACCATGGAATCGGTGGCCTTCCTAGGTTCAAGTCCACCGTTGTTGGCGGCTCCAAGTTGGTAGCACTGGGTTCGGTCTGCGGCCGCTGCCCAAGCCATTGATCAGACAGCCCGCTGCGAGCTGGTTCGGTCAACCGAGTAGTTGCCGATATACCTGTAACCTTGAAGTCGGGTGTCAATGCGAGTGTCTTTTCGGGACTGCTGGTCAAGGCTGGTAACACCTCGCTGTCCTCTCTGTCCCGTTTCCTCTTCAAATCCTGCTGAGGGCCGTGATCTATGCGCGACAACAGCTTTTCCAAGTCTGCGAGTACGCTGGAGTCCTTCCAGACTGTGTGGAGCTCGTCGCCAAACTTGTGGTGGTTCCATATATGCAGCAATTCATCCTCGCGCTCATCGACCACACGACGCACAGCTTTGTCAAGACCATCAACCTTCTGTAGCATCACAGCCCACAATTTCTCCAAGCCACGAACATAACCCTCTGGGAGTCCTCGTTTCTTGGTTGCTGCGACATATATACAAGGTTGGCCGGCGCTGGCGCAGTTTGAACACTGCGGCTGGAGGCCGTCGCACTTGTCTTTTCGAGTCCGACATCGTGTACAAGCGCGTGAGACGCGAGCTCGAGATCTCCTTGAAGCTTCCTCATCGTCGCTGTTCCGGGAGGGCCTCGCATCCGCGCCCGTGCTATGTGAGGCCATCACAAGAGGGGAAGAGCATGCAGGCCATGTTCGAAGTAACGGTGCTTGATTCCCGGTAGTTGAGCTTAGGCTGTCGGAAGAGGTGGATGGAATGTCGACTATGCTGTGCCGACAAGGGGCATGCTGATGTTTTGTCTGCAGAGTGCGCTGGGAGGTTGCTGGGAATCTGACCTCTAGTGTCTTTCACGGCAGCTGCGAGGTAGGTAAAGGTAACTTGATGAGCTCGTACATGTTACTGTACATCGGCTGGCGACATGCCTGTGAAAGCCCGCCCAGGCTGTTCTAGGGGGTTCAACTCCGAGCCGCGGGGAAGCTCGGGACTGAGACTTAATGCCTAAGCCGGGGAGGTCCTTTAAGTAGCATGCCTCCCGACTGACTTCCAGCGCCTACCACTTTGTCCTTGGCTGCACGTTCCCTCTTCGAACGGAAGCCTAGGCGCCCCTAATTAAGCCCGCCTCATGATCGCTACAGTATCTTAATTGGCACTCTAGGAGAGGACACCTCCAGCAAAACTAGTCGGCGTGCGCTCGTGGTCAAAGATGATCACCTATCATGGCAGATCAAGATGTAGTAGTTCAGCACGATGACGATGACTTCGATGCGCTCTCGCGACACAATCGACGACGGCCTCCTGTCTCTGGCGCCACCTCGCCGCATCGGTCTGGCGTCCAGACACCATCTGAGCAGCAATCGCTCAATAGTGTCCGAAATGCCTCGACAGAGCCAGAGACCTCTAGGCATCCTCTACAGACTCTGGTACCAGACCCATCGGCTTCTGGGCGTCGGTTTCATCCGGATGCTTCTGTTGTCTTGGTGGGAATAAGAGCATCCGGGAAGCGGTCCTTGGGTCTGATTGCTGCCACAGCACTGGGATGGCGATTCGTGACCGAAGACCATTACTTTCAGACGGTCAATGGCCTCTCCAGGCAGGACTACCTCAAAGTCTACGGCAGCGAGCAGTTCCACAGGCAGGACATTGAGACTTCCAAGCGAATGCTCGAAGAGAACAAGTACCAATGCGTCATCGACTGTGGTCTTGGGAGCCTCACGAGTGGTCTTCAGGACTATCTCAGGCGATACAGCCAGACCAATCCCGTCGTGTTCGTCGTCAGGGATATGGCTCGAATCAAGCAGATCCTAAACCTGGACGCGCGAGCCGCGAAACTGCTTGAGAGCGGCAACTCAACGCATCGAAAATGTTCCAACTACGAGTTTTACAACCTGGAGGACGAGTCTTCGAATGAGCCCGCAGATTCTGATCCCACAGATCGAGCCTCACCGACCTATTCTTTCAAATTGAGAAAAGCTCAGGCAGATTTCTCTTCGTTTGTTCGGTTCATCGCTGGAAAGCACACCGTTGACCCGATCTTTCTGTCCCCTTTTTCCCTGGACGGCCCTGTCGAGTCCCGAGCATTCACTCATACGCTCTTCGTCACCCTGTCAGATTTCGTTCAAGACTGTGTTGACTTTGGAGTATTGGAGGCCGCCGGCGATGTCCTAGAGATTTATGTTGATCAATTTCAGTCAAGTACAGCATTGGCACTGGCCAGGATGGTGGCCATGGCCAGAAGGATACTCGGAGTACCGATCCTACTGTCGGTCAGCCGCAAGCTCACTGGGACCACGTCAACCGAAAATTACATGGCAGTTTTGTTGCAAGGATTGCGACTCGGCGTCCAGTACGTGTCTCTGGATCTTGACCTCGATGACGCTCAGATCGGCCAGCTCAGACAAATGCAGGGACACACCAGGCTGCTCGGCACATATCTCCATGCGAACGCCAACGGCCAAGGCTGGAAAGATCGGGCATTGATGGCCACGTACAAGCGAGCGGTATACCTCAAACTCGACCTATTACGTCTTCTCAATGTCCCCGTGTCTCGCCAGGAGAATGACACGGCGATATGGTTCATGGAACAGTTGAAAGAACTCGAGGGTCCTCAAATCCCCTGCATAGCCTACAACACCGGCCCCCTTGGTCGAACATCCCAAATGATGAATTCGATCTTGACCTCTGTCACTCACCCGAGCATCAAAGGCACTCAGATTGACATGGACCATTTTCTCCGACCGCTATTGTCTTCCGAGAACATCATCAGTGGTCTTTTTGGAAGCTATGTTTTTGACCCACTGCACTTCTACATAGTCGGCGCCAATGTCTCCGGGTCGCTATCTCCTGCAATGCATAATGCTGCCTATCAACTTGTCGGCTTGAAACACAACTACAGCACTAAGAAGATTACGACGTGGGAAGACATCGAAGAACTTGCGAAAGATGATGCTTTGGGTGGCTTGAGCATCGTGCAACCCTACAAGGTCAAACTGGTTGGTCGCATGCATGCGCTTAGTGGGCACGCCAAAGCCATCGGCGCCCTCAATACCCTGATTCCCCTGCGTGCGACGTCTGCCGGGGCTGCGCCCTCTTTAGACTCTCAAGCTCTGTCCAGGAATCGTGCAGGGCCCATCATCGGATGGTTTGGGGAGAATACCGACTTCATTGGTATCCTGAACTGTGTGAAGCGAAGCCTATCTCCACGCAATGCAATCCAGCCCAAAACAACGAGCCTGGTTATTGGTGCCGGGGGCATGGCAAGGGCTGCGGTGTATGCAATGCTGCAGATAGGTTGCAAGCATGTATTTGTATACAACAGGACAATTGCAAACACAATAGCCCTGGCTCAACACTTCAACAAATTAGTCCAGGCCCAAGGGAACGGCAGCGCACCAACACCTCAACAGGACTATGTCAAGGTCATTGAACGGAGAACCGATGCCTGGCCCACAGATTTTGCTCCCCCAAACATTGTTATCTCCTGCGTCACGCATGAGTTACTCGACGGCAACCCAGGCGCAGATTTCGAGATGCCCGAGTCATGGCTGCAATCACCAAGTGGCGGCGTCGTCGTTGAGATGGCCTACATGACGAAGGAGACACCATTAATCAAGCAGATGAAACAATATCGCGAGACGACACGGAGACCATGGGTGTTGGTTGATGGCATTGAGGCGCTCATTGAGCAAGCCGTGGGTCAATTCGAATCCATGACCGGGAGGAAGGCACCAAAAGGCTGTATGGCAGAGGCGGCGCATGCATGCATTCGCAAGAACACATCATATCTGGTCGACGGCGAGGAGTTCTTTACTTGACGTGCCGACGGCGAGGCTCCCTTCACTCGGCCAGCATCGTGGTCATAGTTGCTACACATTTGCCAAGCGAACACTTGCGGGCTACGAGTACATGCTCTTGCTCTCAAGCTGAGCGCCGGCCCTTTGTCCCTGGACTGCCGATCGAGCGACATCACGCAGCCTGTCATCAATCTCGATGCCAGTCCAGAGACTCGCCTGAGCGAGTCCCTGTCCGATCATTGCTTCTATCCCACCAATCACCTGCCACCCGGAAGCGAGGGCAAGTCTAGATATCTGAGTGTCAGGGGTTGGATGGTAGCACATCTCTAACAATGGGCCCTTCTCCTCCGCATTCAAGAAAACGGACAAAATCTCTCGCACCGTCTTCTCGTTGTCCGTGATGGGCGTGAAGTCTGGAACAGCACTGACGACAGCTCCGGGAGGCGTCAGATTTTTGGCCTGTTCAGTCGTGGAAACATACGTCAAATTCTCTCCAAGCCCTCGAGCGTGGCATTCTCGAAGGACAGCTTCGACTTCGCTGGCATCCCGATTAATGATGTATATCGGTGAACAGCCCATGAATTTCTGCAAGGCATAGACGGCAGCTCTGCAAGTTCCTCCTCCGCCCACGACGAGGCCCGGTTTCCCTCGGTAGGAGGAGCCCTCGACATTGGCGAAGAACGCATCCCGGATACCCAAACAGTCGGTATTCGTGCCACAGTATGTCCTTGCTCCGTTCTGGCCGGGCTTGAAGACAATTGTGTTGACTGCACCGATGGTCCTCCCTTCGTCTGTCAACTCGTCAAGATGCGGGATTACGGCAACTTTGAATGGCATGGTGACGCCGCTACCCATGCATTTTGGATCACTCTTCATGTACCTCAGGAAAGCCTCAAGGTCTGTTGTCTCGCAGAGCAATTGGCTCCATTGTTTCCCTAGAGCCGAGTATATCGCGCGATGCATGGAAGGGGATTTGGAGTGAGCTATCGGGTAGCCAACGAGGTAAGCGACGCGGTCAAGCGACGAGGTATCTGGAGCAGTGAATTGTGCCATTGCTCAGTAATGTTCAGAGAGCGTTATTGATATGCGACGACAATGCTTTGAATCTCCAACAGTCGCCGTCACGAATGGGCGGCAGAACCAGGTTTTCAAAGACCAGGATGCTGCCTCCGCTCAATCGCCACAAGCCGTGAATTGTGTACGGAGAGCTGGCATACACCGAGTAGCCACCGCAGATGGGATATTCTATTGCCATTGACAGGCCTTCGGCGGGCACATTCACGACTGAAGACACGAGCGGAAGTTCGCCCGACATGCTTCGTTCATACTTCCGATGCGAGGGGGGTGAGATTCCGGCTACGGACGGTGAAAATTGCGCTGAGGATCGGCCCCTTAGCCTGCGTCATTCGTGCGTTTCTAGAAGCTGGAACCGGAGTGACAGCGAGGTGGATAAACACAAACCCGCCGCATCATGACCGGCAAAGAATACTCTCTGATCGCCTACTGGCTGGGAGCTACCCCGGTCTCCTCTCCGCAACCATCAAGATGCTGATCACAGCCGGCAACCATAGACGACAGAGACTTAGGGGAGTCGAGAACCCCGGATGTGGGCTGGCCAGCGGATCCCTCTGAATCCCATGGATTGGCTCTCGAAGGAAAAGTCTTCTGCACACGCCGTGTCCGGTCAGCTTCCGTCGGATTCCTGTCCATCGTCCTTCGGCGGTCCCATGAATACTTATACTCCGCTCGTGGCCACGCTTCCCCATATTTCTACAGAGTCCAGCCTCACTCCAGGTTTCTTGCCTTTCTCTTCAACTAGCATCCACAGTTGATCAAGATGGGTCTCCTTAACTTGGTCGAAGACCGCCCTACACCCAAAATTGTCTACAACTGGCGGGTCTACTTCTCAGCGGCCGTCGCAGCCTCGGCGGCGATGATGATCGGCTATGACTCTGCATTTATCGGCGGCACTCTGGCCTTGCCGTCGTTCAAAGACGAATTCCACTTCGAGCGCCTCTCCAAGTCGGCCGTCGACCTCACGTCGGCGAACATCGTCTCTTGCTATCAAGCAGGTGCATTTTTCGGCGCCTTTCTCGCCTACCCTGCTGGCCACTACCTCGGACGCAAGATCGGCCTGACCATCTTCGCCGCGATTTTCACCCTAGGAGCGGGACTGATGCTGGGAGCCAATGGAGCCCGTGGTCTTGGTTTGATCTACGGAGGCCGCGTCCTCGCCGGAATGGGAGTGGGCGGTGCCTCCAACCTCTCCCCAATCTACTGCTCCGAGGTCGCACCCCCGGCCATTCGCGGCCGTCTGGTCGGGCTGTACGAGATGGCATGGCAGATCGGCGGCCTGGTGGGCTTCTGGATCAACTATGGCGTGTCCCGGACCATGGCACCCTCACACAGACAATGGATCATTCCCTTCGCCGTCCAACTCATCCCCGCGGGCCTTCTGTTCGTCGGCGCCCTTGTCATCCGCGAGTCGCCCCGCTGGCTTTTCTCCCGGGGCCGCCGCGAAGAAGGAATCAAGCATCTGTGCTGGCTCCGCATGCTTCCGCCCGACCACATCTACATGCAAGAGGAGATCTTCGCCATCGACAACGCGATCGAGGACCAACGAACCACGGTCGGGTTGGGCTTCTGGCAACCATTCAGGGCTGTCGTCAACGACCGCAAAGTCACCTATCGCTTCCTTCTCGGTGGCTCTCTCTTTCTCTGGCAGAACGCCACGGGCATCAACGCCATCAACTACTACTCGCCCACGGTGTTCAAGTCCATCGGCATCACCGGCACGAACACGTCGCTCCTGACGACGGGGATCTTTGGAGTTATCAAAACCGTCGTCACGCTCTTCTGGCTCTTCTTCCTCATTGACAAGCTCGGCCGTCGCGCGCTACTCATGTACGGCGCCGTCGCCGGCTCGGTGTGCATGTGGTATATCGGCGGCTACATCGCGGTGGCCAACCCAGCCGGCAACCCCGGCGACACCCTTTCCTCAGGAGGCATCAGCGCCATGGCATTCTTCTACCTATGGACCATCGCATACACACCGTCGTGGAACGGCGTCCCGTGGGTCCTGAACTCCGAGATGTTCAGCCAGAACGTGCGGACGCTGGCGCAAGCATTCGCGGCGGCGAACAACTGGTTTTGGAATTTCATCATTGCTCGGTGCGTCTGCTTTCTTTTTTCTTCTTATCTTATGCCACAGCGCTAATACGCCCTTTTCCTTCTCCTCTCGAGACACTTGCAATGCTGACTATCACCCCCCCAGATTCACGCCGCAAATGTTCGCCGCAATGTCCTACGGCGTGTACATGTTCTTTGCATCGCTGATGCTCTGCGCCGCCGTCTACGTCTTCTTCCTGGTCCCCGAGACCAAGGGCATCCCTCTTGAAGCCATGGATCGGCTGTTTAGTAGAGAAGTCCCCGCCCGGCGCGCCCACAAGACGGTCCTCAACCAGATCAGGCTGGAGGAGCAGGATTTCCGCCGGCAAAGCATCAGTGGTGAGAAGGAGGATGTGGAAGAACGGGAAATCACTGTTGAGAAGGTATAAATTCGCTTGTACACGTGTGTCTGTTTCCGTGGCTTTGGTAGGATAGAGAAATGGTTGCGTGCGATGGGCTTCACAGGCCGGTTTTACGGGGAATGCCTTCATTGTGCGAATCCCTGATAGATATGCCGTACAGTAGAAGACCTATGGAACGGACGGAGTGGAAGCTTCTGAGTGCTATCTACAACGGGTTTAGGTTTGGTCATGAGCTTGAGCCTGCGCTTGTTCCTTCGTCCGTACACGTGTGCGTGTCCGTTGTATGTACTATCCATACCAGCTATTGAAGCGACGAGACGAGACGATCGATGACTTGCTGACTTTCCATTCTGCCACCGTCAACGCATAAACAACTCGTTAAGAGTCGTACCTGGAACTATATCATACTCCGTGATATCACAGTCATCACAGGGTATCAACACCGCATCCTCCGTGCCCACTAACTGAGACCACCCAGCGATGCATGTAGCATACGGAGTAATTCTTCAGCATAGAATGTCCACCAAGAGCATTCCGCTTCCGGTCAGAGTCCTATTCCTGGTTCAGTTCTAATTCCTATCCAAATCCTGGAACCTAGTACAGTCCTGATTCCCTTCGCAATTCCATCCCCAACGCCAAATCCCAATCCGAGTCCAATTTCTTTTGTCCTCATTCGAACCCACGTTCTTCTATTGGCACCTCTCCTTCAGCACCTCTCCTGACACCTTACTTCGAGTTCTCTTCTTGCTCATTCCTCCTCTTCGCATCTCCATCTTCAGCCTCCTCATCCTCTTCATCCTCTTCATCCCACTTTGCCGCCCAAAACTCCAAGGCAGCTCTATACCCGCGCACCCCCAACCCAGCAACCACCCCGACAGCCTTATCGCTAAAGAAGCTATGCCTTCGAAACTCCTCCCGCGCATGGACATTCGAGATGTGAACCTCCACAAAGGGGAAGCCCGTCGCGAGCAGGGCATCCCGGATGGCCACGCTCGTGTGCGTGAATGCCGCGGGGTTGATGATGACGGCGGTGCGAGTGCGAGTGCGAGTGCGATTGTGGTCGTGATCTTTCGGCGCCTCCTCACTCTCGTACGCACTCGTCCCCGGCCCGACGAAATGCGAGTGAAGAAAATCGACAATCTGACCTTCATGGTTGGATTGGAAGGGGTGGACTTCGACATTGAGGGTCCGGCCCAGTGAGACGGTCGAGGCCACCACCTCGGAGAGCGTGGTTGAGCCGTAGATTGTGGGTTCGCGCGTGCCGAGGAGGTTGAGGTTGGGACCGTTGATGAGGAGTATTTTTCTGCGGCAAGATAGAGACGGAGGGATGGACATGTCGGGTACCTGTGTGTGTATGTATGATTCTGGGTTTGAGCTGGGCACAGTACGGTATAGTGTAGTGTAGGGTCTTGATGCTGGATCGTGGCCCTGGCCCTGCGTCTGGGTCCTGTTCTGGTCTGGTACGGTACTGTGTTTGGCTCCGAGTTTGAGTCTTGTTTGTGCTCTTGTGCTAATTATTGAGTGATCGAGCGAGTCGAATAGATGACACGGACAAGCCACGATATGGCGTGACGCGAGTAGCCAGCCAGCCTGTTCCTGGATGTCCTGGATGCTGTATGAGAAGGCACTGTATAAGATGACGCTGTGTATGGAAATGCTAGGAGAGAGTAATACAGCAAGCCTGGTTGATTAACACTAATAGGGACTGCCACCTGAATTGATCCGACCCGACTGAAGTTCCGACGTGGTCATTAGTAGTCATGATATCTCCGTGGCTCTGACTTTCACCGGGCAGCACAGGGGACTGTACGCCGTACGCGTGGCGCGAAGTCATTTACCGACTACACAGACATACCCTACCTACCTACATAGAGTAGTTACTCCATACTGTAACTCTCTTGCCGATGCTCAGGGCCACCCTGGCTCACAGCCCGGAAGGGCAGTTCCGTCTGGCCTGATGTCCCCCTAACGGAGCGAAGCTGTTGGTATCGCAATCAGTGAATTATTGCCCATGCATGTCTGGAAAAGGATTGTCGACAGACCTTTGACACCAGCAAATCTGTCGGCAGAGGATTCGTCCGACACCTGGAGCCGGTGTGTCAGCTTCAGGCCCGGAAGACGGCCCGGGGACCGATCCCACCATACGAATTACCACGAGTTGGAGGCAAGCTCTCATACTCTACGAGTTACTGTGTAGGGTGAGAAGGGACCGGGAATCAAGAACAGGGAATGATCGGCACTTGATGCCCTTCGATCTGGACTTTCCACACGTTCAGACGCGCGAAGTCTCAATGCCATTGAGACACGAAGGTACCACCAGCACGGAGCACGTAGCTCGTGATCAGTCTTCCGGCGCAGCACAGCACGACCCGCCCCAAGACAGCCACCTTAGCCATGGCATCGTCCATCCAACACGACATCCCCGACGACGAACTATGCAACATCTACAGGTTCGCGGTCCAACTAGGCAAAGACGCCGGTAAGATGCTCCTGGACAGTCTCCACGCGCGACGACGAGACGAACCCGGTCTCCGCGGCGATGACACGCAGGAGGAAGTGATGACGATGATGCACGAAAAACTCAACGCCGTCGACATCGTCACGCAGACGGACCTCCAAGTCGAGGAGTTCATCCACGGCGCCATCTCCACACACTACCCAACCCACGACTTCATCGGAGAGGAGACGTACTCCCGGGCCGCCTCGACAAAGGAGTACCGCGTGCGCGACAAGCCCACGTGGATCGTCGATCCGCTGGACGGGACCGTGAACTTCACGCACGGCTTCGTCATGTTCTGCGTGAGCATCGCGCTGGTGGTCAACCAGAGGCCCGTTATCGGCGTCATCTACGCGCCCCTGTTGGGCCAGCTGTTCTCGGCGTGCCGGGGCCAGGGCGCCTGGTTGAACGAGTCGACGCGCTTACCTCTGCTGGGAAGCGTCGGCGTGGGACCCATACCCAGGGAGGCGCCCTCCAAGTGTATCTTCTCGTGTGAGTGGGGCAAGGACAGGCGGGACACGCCCGACGGGAACATGTCTCGCAAGGTGGAAAGTTTCGTCAACATGGCGAGCGAGAGAGGGGGCCGTGGCGGCAAGGGGGCAATGGTGCATGGGGTACGGAGTCTGGGGAGCGCGACGATGGATCTTGCCTACGTGGCGATGGGGAGCCTGGATATCTGGTGGGAGGGTGGGTGTTGGGAGTGGGATGTCGCCGCGGGGATTTGTCTCGTCAATGAGGCCGGTGGGTTGGTCACGACGGCGAATCCGCCCGAAGGTTGGGAGACGGCGACGATCGAGGACGCGAAATTGGGCGGCAGACTGTATCTTGCTGTTCGACCCGCGAGCGATGGTCCGGACGGGGAGACGGCGAGGCAGGGGCAGGAGAGATGCGTTCGAGAAGTGTGGCGGAGGGTGAGGACGCTGGATTACGATCGGCCTGGAGGTTGAAGATCATGTCCACAGGACGTACTCTGTATGCCAATCACGATACGCCAGGCTGTATACAGGAAAAATATGTACATGTACAGTATCAGGTGGATCGTGTCTGCGCCGTACCTCTCAGTCCCGGTGAAATGAAACTAGCCCACGTACGCATAATCGACCGGTCACCTGGATGCTTCTCTCCGCTCACAACCCCCCGGGATAGCCGAGTCTCCGTGTGCAAGCCGCACATATGTCTCCCTTGTTCCAGTGGAACAGCGGTCCCATCACAAGCGAGGACTCGATGATTGAGATGTGGGAGAAGGTGCGGATTCGCTCGAGTGAGAGATGCTGAACCTGTAGATGAGTCAGATCTCGCCTCCATGCGCCATCTAGAGCCGAGACATCGCATACCGACGATCATGCAGCAGGTCCGAGCTGTGGCGACTTGTCTGCTGGTACCAGCACATATGTTCCACCAGCTTCCTCCACGCCAAGGCACCACGTTGGGCATGCTGCTCTGGGACATGCTTCTCCGGCTGATTCGCCGTCCTGGAGAACAACTCAAACGAGATGTGACCGGTATACCCAGCTTCACACACAGCCTCCAGAATGTCCAGTACAGGAAGGTATCCTGGGGCCTCAAAGGGAAACAAGCGTGCATTTCTCGACCAGGTCATCCTCGCTGGTTGGTTTGGGTCGTACCATTCATGGCCGGCGCTCAGTGGTGCGGCCAGTCTTTCACCGTCACAAACTTCGACGTAGAAGACCTTATCAAGCGCGAGAGGGAGCTCCGTCTTTAGCATTGCGACCGTCCTCCGAATATCGTCGCATGCATCCGCGGTTAGCCCCGACGGAGAAGCTGGATCGGCAAATATCCGTCCAGCGAGGTTGAACGTGTCGATACAGGTGCCAAAGTTTGGTCTGTCCACTTCCTGGACTACCGACCAGGCGGAGTCCCACCTATCAATGTGTGTTCCCCAAGCTAGTGCTTCGTATGCAAACCGAGTGGGTGGACCAGTGTGCAGACCCATGTCAGCGACTTGTCTTAAATCCGCGACGATCCTATCGCGATCGCCCGTGCATTCTGAAGCGGGAAGAAAGCTGGAGGGTATTTGGATCAGATCGGTGCCGAGTCTTTGAGCTAGCTTGATCCAAAACTTCAGCTCTTCAATCGCGGCCTCGTGGGATGTTGGGTCCACGCGACCTTCGTAATGCATGAACGGCTGGAGGCATAGGATTTCCAGGTCATAATGGGAACAGAGTCCATGGATATAGTCGGCAGCCGCGAGTTGTCTTTCATGCCTCTCTGTTGAATTGACGAACGAGGTACCCACTGGTGACGGCGGATGCGAAGTGGGCAACGAATTTGCAACGGCCTCGAGATCCTCGAAAAATAGTTCGATCGCCTCGAACCCGTACTTGGAGCAGAGTTCCAGTTTCTCCTCGAGGCCGTGATACCATGCACGTCCCAGCGATTGGGAGGCAATAGTGGGGATGAATCGAGAGCCCATTCTACCAATCTGTGAGGTGAGGCTTGCTGTGGTCAACGTGGTCCAGAAACGATAAACTGGTCAGATAAATGAAACGGGCTTCCTGCTTTGCATAAAACAATGGCGCTGAAGAATATAAATGGTGGCCCGGACCGGAAACCCGACATTGCCGAAGCTGGACCTACCTCGAAAGACCGACTCATTGGCTCTATCATTTGTATGTAGCCAGATCTGACGACGAGAACACAATGGGAAAGTGAACTTTTCCCTACGCTGCCGTGAAAGACTGATTGGCATCGATTCTGGAGACGGACCGCCCATGATCAAGGATGGAACTTTTAGCCGCCGGGTCAGAGTTTCGCTGATCAATGGGCGCAAAAAGACTTTGCCGATGAACTCGGCTCTGTCCCGCAACCCTTGGCAAAGCCTGACTCTCCACAAGACCGCTGCATGGTTCACAATAGATGCTGACAGCCATGCGGGATACGCCTGTCCGAAAGATCAGCATGGGGACCAGGAGAACTCACAGCGACTGCAGGTTGATGGGTGAAGGTGGCTTCAGAAAAGAGATTGAGATTCCGAGTCGTCGCTTGTCGCAACAGCATGTTCCAGCGCCGAATTTCATCCTTCCTCAGCCTCGTGGGCTAGATGCGCATTCGATCCTGCCCTCCCTGAATGCCGATGCACATTGATCTCATTCAAAGACCGCAATCAGAACTGTTGAGTTATCACTCGTCCTTCGACTCGACTTCTCTGCTAACTGCCTTGCAATATGTGTGGCTTCAACGCCTTTGTCCCACTGGTTCGCCGCCCACCAAAGTGAACTAGCGCCATCCTTTTCCTCGCCCAATCCATCACTCGCCAGTAACAGTATATATCGGCGCGCTCCGGTGAGTGACTGGTAATTCGTGTGCGGTATGTTGGATATCCAATCTGCTAGCATGTCGTGGTCGTTTGCGTCGGCAAGGCCCGTGGCCTTCGCGAGGTCGGTCTTTAGGATGTTTGAGAGTGGATGTGACGGGTCTTTGAGGTCTGCAACCTTCTCGTCTGGGCCAGGTTTCTTGTAGTCCAGGTCACCGAGGGCGCGGGACAGGTTGATGCCGCCTAATCCCCAAAACCGTCAGGAAATTTGCTGCCCGAACAGCCCGAGGTTCTCAACTTACCAATGCGAGCGCCGCCGAAATCGTCATTGACTTGACCTCCAGCCTTTTCTATACGCTCCCGTTCAGATTTCTCCCCCGGCTTCTGCGACTGCGACAACTTCAGGACCTCCAGCGGGTGTTCGTCTCTCTGCACACCGAGAAAGGCGTACGAATCGCCCAAGTCGGCTGTCACCATCGTTCCCTTCCCCACGTCCACTAGCGCAAGCGACACGGTTGAGCCGGTAGCCTCCCCAATGCCTCGTTGCCGTAGCCGTCGATCGACTTCCTGAAATGATTTTGTGATCGCCTTGTGGAATGCGTCCCGCCCGTGTTGATGTTGAAGTTCGTGTGATAGGATCTCGTGCAGATGGTGTTCAGCGAAGTTGGAGACACTATCACCTCCATGGCCATCATAGACGGCGAATAGCGCGATAGTTCTCCCAAATTGCTCGCCAGGCCTAAGGATTTTAAACCGGTCTTCCTGGTGGTCGCGGGTTCCTTGCGACTGTACGCATCCCCATCAGAATGAGTCTCATAATGAGGTAAAATCGGCGGTGCTTACCTGGCCAACGCCGATGTCGACTATCCGAACAGCCACATTCGCTGTGCTGCCCTCCGACCCGCCCATAGTTGGCGGGTTCCTGGCCATGTTCCTGGGAAGCATTGAGTCTAAGCTGGTAGACAGACGCTCCTTCCAGTGGCGATTGAGAAGAGGGGGCACCATCTACACCGGAGTAGCAATGAGGTCAAAGTGGTCAAGGTGTAAAATCCCTCTACGTTCAACGGTCGAGCTTGACGTCTGATGATCACCAAAACCAAGCCGGAAGAGATGCCCGGAATACCGTGGAAACGAACGATGCGCATGAGCCTTCGAGCTAGAGGTACCTACCGTTGATAGGAAGATCACCTGGGTTCGTTCCCAAGTATCAAGGTAGTGGAATCATGAGCATGCGTACTTGACACGCAGAGGATGTGCGAGGTATCGCGAATTCTAGTCCAGCCTTCACTCAACTTTTACCGCCACCGTAGAAAGTCACCATGATGTCATTCTCAGTCAGAGTTGAGTGATAGGCGAGTGACAAGTAAGTGAAATGAAACTCAGACGAACAGCACCGGTCTTCAGGCGAACAGAACATTCTGGCTTAGAAGCACATTCCCTGCAGGATATTTACAATGTGGCCTGCAAGGCCAGGAAACTTGTCAACGAACGAGATAGACGTAGCGCTCACTGAATCACATCAGCTCATGCCGCACCGATGTTCATCAGCCCCCAATTGCTACAGGCCATGGGCACCGTGCCGCAACCACTGGCTCTCTCCTCGCACCAACTTCACCTGAGCGTGTCAGTCCCACGCTCTCAAGCTCATTGCCCAGGTGCGATGAGCAAGCCCTTCTTATTCGCCTCAGGCTCCCATCCACCAGCGAAGGGCTCAGCACCCGCCTTCTGGGCGTAGTCCTTAATGCGAGCCTCGAGCTGTGGCCGGAAATGTCGAATCAGGCCCTGAATAGGCCATGCGAACGCTTCTCCCAATGCTGGGCAGGGTAAGTCAGCAGACAATCGTGGAAAGGAGACGTATGAGGATGCTTACCGCAAATACTGTGCCCCTCAACCTGCTTCGTGAGCTCCTGCATCATGTCAATCTCCCTTGCCCTCGCCTGACCCTTCTCAAACCGGTCCATAATCTTCGCCGTCCATGCGCTTCCCTCTCGACAAGGGGTGCACTGGCCGCAGCTTTCGTGCTTGTAAAATTGGCTCAGCCGGGCAATCATCCTGACAACATCCGTGGACTTGTCCATGACAATCACCGCGGCCGTGCCCAGGCCAGACTGACTATCTTTCAAAGCGTCGAAGTCCATGAGTTGATCATCGCAGACATGCTTGGGAAGTATGGGCGTCGATGAACCACCGGGGATAACAGCTTGAAGGTTGTCCCATCCGCCACGGACACCACCGCAGTGCTTCTCGAGCAGTTCGCGGAGTGGGATGGACATCTCCTCTTCGACTACGCAAGGATTGTTGACATGCCCAGAGATAGCATACAGTTTCGTGCCTTGGTTGCGCTCGCGACCGAAGCTAGCGAACCATTTCCCGCCCCGCCTCGCAATGGTTGGGCAGACCGCGACGGTCTCAACATTGGTGACGGTTGATGGGCAGCCAAAGAGACCAACTGCAGCAGGAAAGGGCGGCTTCAGACGGGGCTTTCCAGCTTTCCCTTCGAGAGACTCGATGAGAGAGGTCTCTTCTCCGCAAACATAGGCACCCATGCCGCGGTGCAGGTAGATGTCGAAGTCATAGCCCGAGCCACAGGCGTTTTTGCCAATCAGCCCCTCCTTGTATGCTTCTTGGATGGCTCGTTGCAAGACAGTGGCTTCGTGGTAGAATTCTCCGCGGATGTAGATGTAGGCTGCGGTGGCGTTCATGGCGCGACCGACCACAAGACACCCTTCGACCAGCTTGTGCGGATCCTTGCGCATGATCTCCCGGTCTTTGCATGTGCCAGGTTCGCCTTCGTCCGCGTTGACGACTAGATACCGGGGCTTCTTGTCGTTCTCCCAGCCTTTGAAGTTCATAAATGACTGTACTCGCTGGTCAGCCTGCGCCTTTCTCACCTACGGAAAGCACGACATACGAATTTCAGACCTGATGGGAAGCCGGCACCGCCTCTCCCCCTCAACCCGGAAGTTTTAATCTCGTTGATCAGCCAGTCATGGCCTTTCAATAAGATCTCCTTCGTCTTGTACCAATCGCCATACTTCATGGCGCTCTTCAGATCGGTGCCATGGTGGCCGTATAGGTTTTGAAATATTCTATCTTGATCTTTCAGACCGCCATATCTTCGTTTTTGGGGCTGTCCTTCCTGTACGGTTGCGTAGGAACGTCTGTGTCGGAGGGTCGAGGAGCCGGTGGCGGCGATCGAGGAAGCCGATGATCGTGAAGCTGCTGTCGAGGCCGCGCGGGCCACAGCTCGAGGACCTGACGACCGGACGACCATCGTGGATGAGCTGAGGATGAGCAGACCGCTCAACTGAGTGGGTGGGTGCGATAGACGAAGGACGAAGTGCCGGTGACGAGGAGAGGCGTCGGCCACAAAAGCCAAGGTCCTTTGCATGTCGTCTTCGATATTGAGCTTTTCTGATTGGCTGGAAGCTTGCTTTGGGACCCGGCAATACCTCGGCTAATGTATACGCTATTTGGGAGACAGCCACGGCTGGTATTACCTTTCCTTGCGCAGTACTCATGAGCTGCTCAATCTCCATGTTATCGAAATCCAATATGATCAAGAGTCTCTCTACCAGGTTCTCTCTACGCATCCAAGGAGAATCCCTGGCCCACATCCCGATCCCGCTGCAACGAATCCAAAGGGCGTTCCATCCTCGACTCATTCTTCTCTAGTACCGTTGCCAGTAGATTAATGTCGAGCCGCCATCTTGGTGGCTGCCGGCGATTTCAGGCTCTGCAATACTCGATGGAACTGGGACTTTCTCCTCTTCCATCACGTTCCATCCCCAACATAGCCTCTCTGGCTTGAGCCATCGCTTAACAGCGGACTCCGCGGGCATCTTGGGCGACATGAGTTCCCGCGCAGTCAGGAGGCTCATGAGCTCTTTTGGCGGCTGCTCCCCTGGTTCCCACGGTCCAGGCGGAGGGACATACGCCCATGACGTTGGGTCCACAGGATACCAGGCCAACAGCTGCTTCATCCACTCCGTGATTCTATGAGGTAATTTGACGCCGTGAGAATACTCACTGTACAGGGCAGAGAGTGCGACTGCCAGCCGGCTTTTGGAGTCGGGAAGGGCGCCCGCTGTAAGGAGATGTTGTTCTAGCTCAGATAGGCACTTCCAGAGCCGATCTGAATCGGGGACCATCTCGACAAGGGCGTTGCAATCGAGAAGCTCCAAAGGGCGAGTAAGTCGTCCATGCCGTCCTACGAGCATCTTTAGATTCCCAAACGCAGCCTCCGGGACCTCATTCTGCAGGCCGACCAACGTTTGCTCGTCGCCCGACGTCCCACCAATGGCACATCTCAGTACGAACTTGCACAGAGCCACCGCTGTCTCCACAATCTCCAGCTGACTGTCTCGATAGATCTTGGCATTACGCTGCTTGGCATTCGCGGGCTTCAGGCCCAGGACGGTCCGAGATGGGTCGGTGGCTCTGAGGCGCTCCGCACGGACAGAGCACTCTCGTAATAGCTGACTCAACACCGCAAGAATGATGCGGCCATCCTCGAATCTAGCCGATTTGTTGTGGAGGCAGAAGCTCATCAGTGACTGCCGCCTTGTATTCATGCTCTGCATTTCGCGTTCGTTAGCGCACAGAATGGAAATGCTGTCGAGCAAGTCGAATGAGAAGAGCGATAACTCCAACGCTATCGCTGACGTTGACTCAGGGTGTTTGTAGTCAAAGATGAAGCATCTCCTCTCTGGATCAGATCGGAGATCCTGTTTCCAAGTCTTCCGAGCCACGTCAAGGGGCGAGGCGGGTGGGGCTTTTATGCTAATGACGAGATGGTCGAATGGGTTGTTCTCGATAGTGAAGCCATAGGCCAAGAGAAGACCTTCGTTGTCTCGTGGCCCATAGTTGTTGCAGAGCTCCTGGCCCGATTCATACGACTCCAGGATCTGTAGACCGACGAAGTTGTACCGTGCTTGCCACTCCACTTGAGCCCCTGGCTTGTGATTGAGCAAGTCTAGCAAGGGCAAAAGTACTCCAAAGCGATCGGAAAAGAGTTTGACCAGGTCGTATGACTCGTACTTCTGGGGTGTGCGCTTTAGACGTGCGAGATCCGCGGGCAGAGTGGCGTCAAGGACCTGGGAAGTAAACGACCGACTGCCAAAAATCGAAGCAGCCCATCGGAACCGCGGCCTACTTGCGTGAGTAGAGGCCCAGTAGCTTCGTTCCATTCTACGTACCATGTGTAGGAACCGTTGAGGGCGTTTGCCCATCCCAGTTGCCTCAGCTCACTCGAGCCTTGCAGATACATTTCCTTCCATTTTGCTGTTTGTGTAGACAAGCCTGCCCTGAGGTTCGTGCCATTCAGCCAGGTCAGGTCGGCCTCCTCCTCGAACTGCATCGCCGTGACGTCGTCCACCGTTGGCAACGTGGCAATGTAAGGTGCCCACCACGACGTAATTCCTAGGATCAATTGTTCCATCAAGTAGAAAGCTTGCAAACACTCAGGCGATTTCCTACATTGTGCACATAGGAAAGGCTTCGGGAACTCAATTCCATGGTTGGAGAATGGCTCGATATCCAGGGCATTAAGCACGGACATCGTGGCTGGCATCGGGCAGCTGGCGATACGGGTTCCGTTGGCCATGGTGGCGCCATCGGCTACAACGGCGTGATAGCCCTTGCGCGGGCTAAAAGCTATTTGGGTGTTGGGATCCAGGTATCCATCATGATTGAGTACCCATTGAACCAGATGGCGATGCTTGTCAAAAACGCCCTCTGCAGGAGCAGCATGCCGCTCGCTCATCTGCAACGGAGGCGTCGCGCTTTGAGGGCCGGCGTTGATGATATCTTGCTCCAGAGTCGACTCGTCAGGCTCCATGATGGCGTTTTCGCGCGATATGTTCCTGATGCTCGCTGCTGCCAGGAGCCTGATAACCTGAAGCCAGAATGAGGACGAAAGCAGAAAACACGGAGTCGCTAGAAATGAAACTGAAAAGACCAAAAGCACACCCTGTCACCAGGACACAGCTGTAAAAGAGAGACGAGGCGCATGTGAATTGACACGGAAGAAATCAACGAGAGTTTTTCGTGGTTGACGTGAAAATAACGAAATAAAATTCGACGAGATTGTGCGAATGGCGGCTTCTTGCATGCGCCTTCCGGAGCATTTGCTGCGATTTCAGGTGTCTCACTGCAAGTCGAGAGCTTTTGGTCGCAGGCCATCATCTCGTCACCAAGGGAGGTACGGACGACACCTTCTATCTCAGGAGAGGAGGCAGATGTTCGCCTTGGCGGATAGTACAATTAGTGGCGAGGTGGCTAGGAATCCCGGATCACGAAGCACAGAGTCGGGGATGTCCAAATGTCCGCTCAGACGGCATGAGCACCGGTTGCGGACAACTCCTCGAACACTGGCTGCCGTGTCCTATCACTCGTAGAAGGTTCACGGGGATATATTAGAGCCAATATTGCTTGGTCCAAAGCTTTATGTCGAAGTGCATCCGTGCTCTCTGATCCTCGCCCATGTCCGCCACGGTTTTTGCTGGTCTCATTCTCAAATCCTGCAAAGCATCCACCACTGCTCTCAGATCCTTAGCTTCATTGAGTGGCAGTAGTTTAAGGCAGCTGAGACAATCGAGCGGAGCAAAGATGGCTACGAACGGAATCAACGGGGTCAACGGAGTGAATGGCACACGGTCGAAACACGATATAGCTGCTTTGAAAGTCAATCAGTCGCGGTTGCTGGACGCCATCCATACGGGTTGCAAATTCGGCGCGGCGCACAGATATGGAGAGTAAGTGACGTTGTCTGTGGAAGAAGAGCGCATAACTCATCCCGCGACAGTGATCCGACCGAGACAGGTATGGCAAGGTTGAGTCTGAACGACGCCGATAAACAAGTACGGGGCTGGTTCACCAAGACGGCTGAGGCACTGGGCTGCAAAACCACAGTTGACCAGATGGGTAACCAGTTCGCTGTCAGACCTGGCAAGAACACCACACAGCCGCCGATCATGATCGGCTCGCATCTCGACACTCAGCCAACTGGCGGGAGATATGACGGCATCTTAGGAGTCAACGCTGGGCTTGAAGTGCTCAAGGTCTTGCACGAGAACAATGTTGAGACAGAAGGGAGTATCGGAGTTGTCAACTGGACAAACGAAGAGGGAGCCCGCTTTCCAATGATGGCTGTCTCGTCCGGTGTGTGGGCCGAAGCTGTCCCCTTGGAAACCGCCTGGAATCTGCCAGAGGTATCGGCGGGTGAAGACGGCCAGCGAAAGACGATGAAGCAGGAGCTCGAGAGGATCGGGTACCTCGGGTCGCAAGCAGCATCTTACAAAGCTTTCCCGATCGCCGCACACTTCGAACTCCATATCGAACAGGGTCCGATCCTCGAGGCCGAGAAAAGAAGGGTCGGTGTTGTGAAAGGTGTGCAAGCATTCAAATGGTTTGAAATCACGGTAAAAGGACGCGACACCCATGCCGGCACCACACCGTTCTCCGCTCGAATGGACTCAATGCTCTGCGCCGCGAAGCTGATAGTTGAGTCGAATGCAATTGCGAAGAGGCTTGGAGGCCTGGCAACAACAGGAATTCTGAACCAGCAGCCAGGTTCCATCAACACCATGGCACACACCGTAACTTTTACCCTGGATATCCGTCACGTGGAAGATCCAAAGCTCTCTGAGATCGAGCAAGCATGTCGCTCAGAGTTTGCCAGGATTGCAGAGAAAGAGAGCGAGAAAGGCTGCAAGGTGGAATGGAAGGAATTGGTTGATAGTCCAGCTGTCAACTTCCACCCGGATTGTATTGCTGTCGTCGAGGAAAGTGCGAAAGAAGTCTGTGAGGGACTGCCAATGACCGCTGCAGATGGACAGTTGTGGAAACATATGATCAGCGGGGCCGGTCATGACAGCTGTTATACTAATCGTCGTTGTCCGACAAGCATGATCTTCTCCGTCACCAAAGACGGCGTGAGCCATAATCCGCAGGAGTATTGCAGCCCAGAGGACTGGTAAGTGCTTCTCCACTGCAAGTATGGTTCCTCACTGACGGAAAAACAGCGCAGTCGGCGCCCAGGTATTGCTGGGGGCCGTGCTCAGATATGACCAGCGGCGCGCTGAGAGAGGAGATTTTGCCTGAGGACTGATTCCCGTACAATCTGACGCTATGCTTGCGAAAAAGTATCCTTCTCATTGATCATGTCAGCCATTCTTGAAAATGTAACGAGGGAACTCCACAACGCTATGCTCTCGACCCTTTGGAGTCCTTCCTGTGAACATGCAACCCGAAAAAGAGACCTTAGTACTCCGGCCTTGTTGTCACTATAACACCAGAAAATTGGATCGAGCAATTCGATGGCCAGGAGGAAGCACACACAACCTTCTACCCCGCTGAAAGGGATACTCAGCTCCCCCTTACAGGTTTCAATTTGGGGGCGCTGGGATCGTAATCAGGCTTCTTACCATCCAGCCTCTCCACCTCTTTCTTCCATTTGGCAAAGTAATACCTCATCTCTTCCTCGCAGTCACGCATTGTGCCGTCCCTACAGCCTTTGAGATTGACTACTAGGTCACCTTCCTGCCACATGCTGTCATGCGTCCTGATGTCCCCAGTCAAGGGGTCTTTCGAGGGTGGTGATGCATAATTGTAGGAATTGATCCTGCGTTGCTCAATTAAGACTAGCTTCGCGAGGACTGTGGGATGCCATTGCACCAGATGCTCCAGTGCATGATTTTCTGCCTTCTGGAATGCATACGCCCGATATAATGGGTCAAACCAGGCATCGAGGAAGTAATGTGCCCAGTTGTCCGGAGTTTGAAGGCTAAAAGGGGTATTGCGGAGAATCAATGAAGTATGGGCAAGGTTGTCCATATCCTGGGACAGAATCAAATGTGTACGGGCCGGCTTGAGATGTGCGAATGTATGAATGACCGAGTCGGGTGGCACCACTGGGATATCCTTGAGCATCAGCGCCTCGAGTGGCTGGAGGATGTGAGATTCGAGGGAGAGTGAAGGATTTGTGATGAGGGCGTCGGCGGACAAGTGCCAGAAAAATGTACTTGTGCTCATTTCCGTCAAGGCATGTCGTAGGGCTGGTATCATCGACCAGGACGAAGGTGAAGGATCAACGAGATTCAGGTAGGCGGTAGTGTTAGTGTAGAAGTTCTTGTATCCTAAGTCTCGGTCAGTGGGAATGTTGCGACACGGGGATCGATTGCGCATTTACCATGTCTTGCAGCATAGTCGTCCCTGTTCAGTCTTACAATCCCCATATACTCCTCGCTCATGGTCGCATGGTCAAATACGGTGACGATGACAATATCTTGGGGCCCGTCAATGGAACTCGCCCCAGTGTCATGCGCGTCTGCAGCACGAAAGGAAAGAAAGGCCTTGAGAATAAGATAAACGGTCAAGACCCCGAGGACCACATAGGCAAGAAGTTGTATCTGCTTGCGCCGCCTCTGGGCTGCAGCAGCCAGGTTGCTGTTGCGGACGTACGGTGGTGGATGTGAAGTCTTGCGCGGTGGCAACGCGAAATGCATCCTGGCGGAGTCTCAAGAAGATTCGAGGAAAGAGGGTCACGGGTTCAGAGTGATAAAAGCCATGGCTCATCTGCTGAACAGGAAGTACTACATGGCGTTCAGCGTGCAGTACAGTTACGAACGTACGATTACCGCACGAACATTATTGCAATATCCAGGAGCCCGTCTTCTCCGCATTCTCGCAGCCAGATTTGCCCGCTCCGATTGGCTGCTGTCTCCACCAGCATCACTACGGAGGACTAGATATACACACTACGCAGTACTCTCAACCGCTACTCGAATGTCACGCCTACTGAGAACATACACAATTACCAGCGGTATCCATATTTGCATTCAATCGAGGCTCGAGGACGTGACCATTGAAGCATGTTTCTTGGCGTTGGGGTCGCCATACATTGTGCAGCTGACTTCTCTGCCTAAACCTGTTGGCTTATGGCGGGGCCGGTTTCTGTGACGAAGGCTGCCGCAAGAACATAAAGTACTCTCAACAATTTGGACATTTGCTAGAATGTCTGAGCTGCCAGCATCACGACTTTGGTCCACCGCTCATTGTCAGTGATACTTCTCTCCATGCTGTCCGCAGCACATCCCGTGCGAGTAAGAGCTTCTCGCCCCGCCCAGTAAGTTGAGGGTTTGCTTGATCGAATTGATTCGAACTAGATGTTGCCATTTCGCTAGATCATGGACAAAGAATATATTGCCAGATCAGCTGCGAGTTGGAGGAGATGTAGTAACCCACCTCCACCGGTACTGTGATATCGGCTCCATCGTGCAGGTTGAGAAGCTGGAGAGTCGCTGCTGTGCGGGTTTGGTCACGGGGGAAGGCGTCGACAGATGGCGCATTGAGGATGAGTTTAATGTCACGGTAACCCTAAGAAAACTAGTTAGCTTATACCAAGGCTGATTGAGCAAGAACAGATGTGTTTCCCAGGCGAGAGGCAGACTCACATATCCTTCGGGATCGATGGGTCCAGGAGTGCCAGGACAGGTGAAGACAAGGTCAACATCCTTTGAGGTCTTGCCGTTGGGTGCGGTGTTGACGATGTAGAGGTAAAGCAGGTCGCAGTAGTCACTTGTCGTGGCTGCATCGCCTCGTTCTTTGACATTGATGTTCACCTGCTCTGTGTAACCGCACTGTGGTCGCACGTCGGGATCCATGTTGAAGGTGAGCACATCACTGGCGGGTGAGGACGTCTCGTTGCGAATGACGATGCCAGTGGTGGGCACAGCCCCGACGATGGTCAAGAGATAGGTGATTAGGGCGAGAATGAGCATCGTGTCGACTTGAGACTGGCTCCCGATGAGATTGACGTGAAGGGTAACGTGGACGAGTTGGAAAGAAGTTCTGCTTTTTCGTTATCGCAGTTGACTCAGGAGGCAATGCAGACGAGGTGGAGAGAAGTTCTGATGTTTTCTTGGGCCGAAAGAGAGCCAGTACGGGTGAAGTCATGAAAGGGTGAATATCGGTGACAGTGAAGTGACGACAAAGCGCGTTGATGTTAATACGAGAATCATTTCACCTGGAGGTTGCTGTGTCCATCTTTATCTTACACTCGACTCAAATACACAAAACTCGCCAGGCTTTCTCAATCTCCGCCTCCAGCTCCGAGTCGGATAGTAGATCGCTCACCAGATTCCGGGAAGCATGGTAAAACGCTTCTTCTTGTACTTGTCACCGAATTCCTTGCGATACCTTCGCTCCTTCTTCACTGCCCATTGACCCATCTGAAGGACAGACACTATGAGAAAGATGAGAACACCCCAGCTGAGACCGCTTATGAGGTAGATGCCAAGCCATGAGACGGTTTCTGTCAAATAGTTGGGGCAGGTGACGAGATCGAACAGAAATCCCTGAGGAATGCCCCTTTCCGTGCCTCCAGCGCTCCTGAGCCCTTTGAGAGTGAGATGCGCCTGCAGGTTACCCAGCTCTCCAAGAGCAAAGAGCACCAAGCCTGGGAACAATAGGAGAGAATTTGGCTGCCGTGCTGCCGCGGAGGATGGTGAGTAGATGAACGCTGCGATCATGACACCAGAGAGAATCCAGTAGTGGAAACAATTCTTGAAGATGTTCCGGATTGGCATCGTGGCCGCTGAGAATCGATGCACGAACAAGGTCTCAAACTCCCGCTTGACGAAGTGCAAGCATATCAGCGTGCAGAGCATGGTTTGTAATTGTGATGCATCTTTGGCCGCTGATGGGTAGATGTAAGGTCTCAAGGCCAGGACCAGGGGATGTATCAATATGGGGCCCAAGTACTCGACCAAGAAGACCGTGCGCCATGCGATTTGTGTCCCGAGATCTTTCACGTAGACTGTGCTCTGGTCGCGCAGGCCCGCGGAGTGTACTGTAGTGTCTTTACTGTTGGTGACAACGCTGCCGTCGGAACCCTTGGTCACACGGAGCTGGTCAACGGGATATTTGGTTCTTCGAGCAAGTTCGGAATACAGGTCGGTCGTGGCCGCATTCGGATTTACTTCAACAGTTTCAGGCAAGCTCCTGATGGGCTTCCCTACACAGATGTTAGCAGTTACTCAGCGACATGCTTGTCGTCGTTCGTACCTCGAGGACGCACTTGGAGATTGATGGGTCTTGGTGAAGCCATGCTTGTTGTTTCGTGCCTGTGACTGACAAAATATCACAGGATGCGGAAAATATGTTTAAGAAGTCGAATTGCAGTACTCGTATGCGGTGTGCCTGCCAAGGTGGGCATCCCGGACGCGGACGAGGGTGATGCCGCCTCGGGCCCCCTGTGTCACGGGTCCCACCTGTCGTGAAGGCCGACAAGATGAACGCGGGATCTGACAGATGGCGGGACGATCTGGCGTCGAGGCCAAGGCTCAAAGGGGAAATAATGTGGACGACTCGGCTCCTGTATGTTTTAGAGAGACAGTCTTCGTTGACTCCAACAACTACTCGTATGTTACGACCATCGTGATTTCAACCCACTGTGTTCGTACGGCAGGTATTCCGAGAGTTCACCAGTGCGTCAAGTGACTGCGATCCCATAAGCGGGAAGCCATTCTACTGTACATTTGCGACAGCCACGAAGCCATTATTCAACGACCGAATGCTCCTCTCCAGCCTGGCAAGGCGGAAAAGCGCGTCAGTCAACCCCCCCGCGTTCCCAAATCGATGTTGTAGTAAGCGCGGTTCAACTGTGGTGTAGGCGCTGGCGGCTGCGGCTGGCTCCCAGCACGATCAAGCGGGAAATATCCATGCAGGCCTCCCCCACCGTGTATATGGGCAGAGGGAGGATACGTCTGCATGGGCGTCCCATGAGCCTGAGCCTGTTGTTCGTCTGCCTTACGCTTTCTCTTCTGCAGGATCATGTAGATGGTGAGTATGATTGGTGGGATCCCTACAGCCAGCGACACGATGATGCCGATACGTGTGCCGAGATCCAGGGAGTTCCATCCAGAGGCAGAGGCAGAGGCAGAGGAGGAGGAGGTGTCGGTGGTGGAGGTGCTGGTGGCCGAGGAGTCGTCTCCACCCTCGTTGCTAGACGACGGCGTTGTCGAAGAGGTTGAGGATGAGGCACCCGTGGCAATCGCTGCGATGGGGATAGTCGTCGTAGCGCTCGGTGGTTCAGGAGACTCCTGATCACAGCTCAGCATGATTGCGGCCATGGCCCCATAGTACGCAGTGTAGCAGCTCCCATCGCCGCCTCTATAGTAGTCCCTGCTAACTTGGCCGCATGCTGTATCGGTGAAGACGTAGTTCTGTACCGACCCGCTGGCGCATGGGAACGGGCTTAGATGGAAAGATCCCAGGCCGGGAGTCACAACGCAAGCGCCAAGTTCCAGGGAGATGTTTGTTGCGAGAGTACTGGGCGTGGTGCAGCCGGAGTCAAAGCCAAAGTTCGTGTAGAATGTTATGGGGATTAAAGTGCCACTGGCACTGGCGTAGGTGCTGAACAGCAACGCCCCTGTAACGAGGAGGACGAGCATTGCTCTGACATCTACCAGACAAGCAGGCAGGGCAGGGGATGGCACGAGGACACAAACTTAACTTGTATGCGACATGGCAGGCAGGAGGATAGGGATCCCCTATCTGCTGCGTCCAGATGATGCCCCAGGTTGGAATACCCCCAGTAAACTGTCTGGACTGCAAGCACAATAGAAACTAGCGCCTCAGGGACGAGGCGAGGAGAAGAACGGCCAGGTACTCTGTATGCAGGAGAGCGGCTTTGGGTGGTACACCGTAAGCGAGATACTGTTGTGATGCTGGTGGCTTGATGGTAGCATGGCAGTTCGAGGATAGAGGGCGTTTATTCTGAGACATGGCGCTCAGCCCACGGAACATCGGCTCAGCTGGTAGCTGTCTGCCTGCAATTGATGGAAGAGACAAGCAGCAGGGCGACCGTAAGGCACACTTGACAGTTCTCGGGATTTGAGAAGTCACAAAGTATCCATTGGTGTTGACGTTCGAGTCATACCTAGGTAAGCGAGCGAGCTGTTCTCTGGGGAGCCACGGATGGAGCTTACAGTACTTCCATTGGCTTAGGGGCACCGCAGGGGTTAAAGTTTCAATTGCTGACAGGTAATCTGCCCCTGGGACTCTCAACCTATCACCATACAGGCTCACAGGGTAATTATGTCGTGCACCTCCTACTGTGTATGTACTGAGCAAGGTCTACTCCGCATACAGTACCTCAACTTTTATGTCCTGAATGGCCAGCATTATTAATTATCGTCATTCCTGTCCGTCGCAGTTATTCGGGCTTCATAACCACCTACTATGTACGTAGGTGATAATCAGCACTCCGCACTCCATATGACTTCGTGGTCGCGTGTCCCCATCTCGGTGACATTAGCCGTGGGCGCGTACAGAGTACGGAGTACTCACAGCATATCGACGTTGTGAATACTTACCATGTTCAAGTGTCTGTAATCCAACCATTACTGTTAGTAGTGCTTTCAGAAGACTTGTGAGCTTTCTATTGTGGTGTAAGGATTAATGTAGCTACATCTCGAAACTACTAGGTGTAAACAACACTGCATGGGCGACTTGCAGCTGAGCCCATGGCTTTCGTGGCGCCTGCTCTGGGCCCGATAAGACTGTGCGGCCGAGAAGAGGCTGGCGATGACTTGGCTTCCGCCGACGCGAGCAGCTTCATATATAGCGGGCAGCACAGTCTGCAAGTGTCGTCCCATATCGCAAGCTGAGCGTCGTCCACTTCCCACAGAGTACTGGTATTGCGCATTGTTTGAGTGTCTGACCATTGATTCTCCACGTACCGTGCTTCCAGTCTCCCTTACCTAATTGTCATTGCTGGTATACCGGACACCAGCCTTGTTGTCGAATCCGCAGCGTGATCCGAAATGCCGTCACTCTCTTCGAAGCTGAAGGGCATGCTTCACTCCGAGCATCATGCAAAGACGAGATCACAGAGGCCAGGGGCCGACACCGAGCGTGACAAAAGAAAGGATCCCGAGAAACGATCTCTCTCAGGGTCTGCGAGTAGCTCTGCATCGAGCACTGAGACCGACAAATCTGACTATGTGTTGGACGTCTTAAAGTCTACCTTCCAGCTAAAGCATCTGAGAACCGTCAAAGATGTTGCTCTACAGCAAATCGATGGCGAGCCTATTGATGACAAGACTTACCTCATGGAACGTATCGTCCAACTGGCGGCGGATTTGCCAGTGTCGAGCAGGACGAGCGCCACCCTGACAAACGCATTCCTGAATCAGCTATGGACGGATCTGCAGCATCCCCCCCAGTCGTACCTGGGAGCCGATTACATCTATCGCAAAGCCGACGGGAGCAACAACAACATCCTCTGGCCAGGCCTGGGTGCCGCCAAACAGCCCTATGCGCGAACGGTACGTCCGCGACTCATGCAACCCGTGGCTCGACCTGATCCCGCGCTCCTCTTCGACGTGCTCCTGTCTCGGAAGAAGTTCAAGCCACATCCCAACAAGATCTCCAGCGTTTTGTTCTACGTGGCGTCCATCATCATCCATGATATCTTTCGCACCAATCATGACGACTTCAGTATATCCGACACCTCGTCATACCTGGATTTGGCGCCCCTCTACGGTAGTTCCACAGAGGACCAACATGCTGTTCGGACAATGCGTGATGGGAAGCTGAAACCCGACTGTTTCTCGGACATCCGAATCCTGGGATTCCCGCCTGGTGTTGGCGCTTTGCTCATCATGTTCAACCGCTTCCACAACCACGTAGCAGAAAACCTTGCTCGCATCGACGAGGGCGGCCGCTTCTCCAAAATTCTGCGCCCTCCAGGACGACCCAAGCCTGCTGACGCAGAAGAGCTTTACGACGAAGCTCTCTTCCAGACCGCAAGATTGGTCACCAGCGGGCTTTACGTTAACATCATTCTCAAAGATTATGTGAGAACCATCCTCAACTTGAACCGAGCAGATACCCTGTGGAATCTCGATCCAAGATCCGAGGAAGGTAGTGCGTTTTTCGGCCACAAGATACCCGAAGCCACTGGCAATTCTGTCTCGGCCGAATTCAATCTTGTCTACCGCTGGCACTCCTGTGTTTCCGAGAGAGATGAGCAATGGACAAAGGATGCATATACAAGGTTGGTCGGGACCGATTCTTCGCTCTCAATGGACAAATTCCTGCGTGCACTCAATGAGTGGGCCGTCAGTTTAAGTCCAGATCCTTTGAAACGGGAGTTTGCCGGCTTGCAGCGGCTACCTGATGGCAGCTTTCAAGACGAAGACCTCGCAAGTATATGGACGGCTTCCGTGACAGATATTGCAGGTAGCTATGGTGCAAACCATGTTCCCGACATTCTCAAGAATATAGAGGTGCTGGGGATCATGCAAAGCCGATCGTGGAACTTGGCAAGTCTGAATGAGTTCCGACAATACTTCAAGCTGGAGCCTCATAAGAAATTTGAAGATATCAATCCCGATCCTCTGATTGCCGAGCAACTCCGCCGCCTCTACGCACATCCTGATAATGTTGAAATCTATCCTGGTGTTGTTGTCGAGGCGGCCAAGGAGCCGAAGCTGCCTGGCAGCGGGCTGTGCACCAACTTCACGACCTCAAGGGCAATCCTTTCTGATGCTGTCGCACTGGTTCGAGGCGATCGATTCTATACTGTTGATTATTCGCCGAATAACTTGACCAACTGGGGCTTCAATGCAGCCAACTACGATTTGAACATCAACTATGGCTGCGTGTTCTACAAGTTGGTGCTCACTGCGTTGCCCAATAGCTACACCCAGAACTCAATTTTTGCGCACTATCCTTTGGTTGTCCCAGAAGAGAACAAGGCCATTCTGGCCAAGCTGAAGAAAGCCAGTCTCTACGACTTCGCCATGCCCACTGGTACTGTGCAACATGGTACCGAAGTACACAGAGCTGTGACCAAGGTGTCTGCTTCTCCCGTGCTAGGCAATGCTCCAGGGCTTCATCTCGGCCTTGTTCTCTTCGAGAGCGACGGATTACCGGAAGCTGCAGGAGCATTTTACAGCAACGTCATCACCAAGCTGCTGCAGAGCGAGTGCTACGAGCTTGCCGGCCGACAATATGTGGATGTTGTGCGGGACGTTTTCAATATCGCTCACGCCAAATTTGTTACCGATCTGTTTCTCCTACCACAACGCAGTGCACCCGAGCTCATTGCTTTGCTGTCCACAATCCATGGTCACGCGACCGCACGACAACCTGCCCAGCGGTTTGTGCTCATGAACAGAGATGTGGAAGCAAGGCATCGGTTTGTCAATCTTGTGCAAGAGGAGGCGAACCGTGCTGTCAAGGACCACCATGGCCTTCACTTGGGCTCCACAGGGCCACTTCGACGGCATGGTCTGCAAGCAATACAGGCAGTGGCCAAAAAGGGGTTATCTCCCGAAGAGATAGCATCTGCCCAAATTGTGCCTCTGGCGGCCCTGATATTTGTCAGTCAGGCGCGAATCTTTGCCGAAATTCTTGATCATGTCCTCACGACAGGTGAGGGACAATCGCCGCTCGATGGACTCAAAGGGCATCAGCCGGACCCCAGCGTGCTCTCGAACATAATCAGCTTTCACATCGACATAGAGACACTGGAAGGTAAACTGGCAGTCACCACCGTCGAAGTCACCCTTAGAGCCATGGGCGATCTCAAGAAGCTGGATCGCGCGGCTGGGTCGACAGGTAGGCTCAGGCGCGTCGGCGAGGGTGAAGAGACCAGCTATCTGGACGTGGAAGAGAGCACGTTCTCGATGTACCCGGTGTCTATGATGGTACATTGGGAGGCCAGTTGAAGTAGGTTGAAAGCGGCGATGAATAACAGTAGGGATAGCTGGTGGCATTTCCGTTGACACGAGTGACTCGCCGGTGACGAGGCTGCAGCCCGGCTTAAGTAATAGTTCCTGTGATTGGTGGAGTGCGAGGCTCTTAACGGGGCAGGGCACGTCATTTCCATTAGGCTTGGTGCCTCTCCCCCAGGCGCGTCAGGTAAAGCGAAACCAGTTCACTTGAGTAAACTGCAGCACAAAAGCACAACTCCACATCTCAAGAGATACAATTCAAGACTTTTCGCTCGCCTGTTCATCAAAGAAACCTCAGCACCCTGCTTTGCCAGTGCGACCTCATATCTCTTGTATTCAGCTTCTCATCTTCATCTCTTGTACACTACTTCCTGTCACAATTTCTGCACACTCAGTCCGGCGTTACCACCACCAGTGACTGCGGCTCGTAAATCAGCGCTCAGCTACACCACACCCCTCCCTCATCGCCTTCCGGTGTATCTTTGCGCCTCAGCGTCTTCCCAAGAAGCCGACCTCCCGCAACCTCTCCCATCACTTCACCAACTTCCTCAAATTCCTGAAGTGCGCTCCCGAGAGGCTGAACACACCTTTCGCCCTCTGATGCAGCCTATGCTGCGGTCCGCTGGGGTTCAGTGAAGATGGGGAAGGTTACGAGGAAGGCGCAGGAGAAACACAAGGTGTCCTTGGTTTGTCTAGATCCGTGGACTACAATTCTTGCATCTTGGGCTGATTTCTTGTGACAGACGCTCGCAGTATCAGACGTGGTCAACCAGTTAACCACCGTCCCCTATGCCGATTTGCCGTCCGTTCTCGCGAAATGGCCCCAGACGTGGCCCTTCCCGAGGGGGGACCTCAACAACTGGATAGAAGCTCTTGACCGGTTCGACGACATCCTCCAGGCATTCAACTCGAAGTATGGCTTGGACAGAGGTCCGCAGACCGTACCTTTCGGCTCGACTCTGCTCCTCGAAGGGAGTTCTGGTATAGACGAGAGAGGACTGAAAGAGCGAGGCTTCGGTGCTGAAGGCGATAGGGAATTAGTGGAGGCGATCCTGGCCTTTTCGAAGCTTCTGGTGGACAAATGTGCCAACCGAGCAGTCTACAACAGCACCGACCGCTTGAACGACTTGTTGAACACCACGTCCCTTTCCCTCCTGCACAGTACTTTGCGCATTGCTTTTGCTCTGGCCCAGCGGTATGCAGGCATGCGGCCACCGGCCCACCACGCCGGCAATTTCTACGACCTCGATCTTGAACGTCTTCAGAAACTCGCTTTGCCTCTGGGCCAACCACCAGCGTCCTCTGCTGCCGGTAAGCGTGGACCGCCTTCGCCTGTCAAGGTTAAGTCGAAAGAGAAAACCTTGCCCGGGAGCAAAGCCAGGCGCGGATCGGTTGCAGTCTCTCCGAACGACTTCCGCTCTCTCTGCAGAGACGCCCCACAGGCCAAATCCTCGACAGCTGCACCTGATCGAGACTGGTCTGTTTGGGCACACGTCAAGGTTGCATGGTCGCCCACGGTCTCGGAACAGAAGCCTACAGCCGCTGAATCCTCTCAGCCGTCAGAACCTCCACCCACACCTACGCCGACGCGCCACGCACCGGGACCCAGTTCAGCAGGCACCGCTGCCTCGCCCAACGAGACCGGCCATCGGACCGCAGCTACTGGCGCAGAGGCAAATATGAAGCACATTGAACTTTCAGCTTCCGACCTGGCGAGCAGCAGTATCGAAGTGATATTGCGCGACAGTCAGTCTGACGACATGCCGTCCAAGGTGCGTTACGAGCTGCTGCACCAGCTCCGTGTTGCCTACGGTCTGGCGGCGTCAGCGAAGACCCGGAAGCAGCTTCTGGAGATCCGATTGCTAGCAGTCGCGTGCCTGGCAAATGTTTGCAGCGAACCGGACCTCTCCCAGAAACTGTTCTCGGTGGAGAAGCCTCAAGAATTCATTCAGCAGCTCGTTACTCTCTTGCACGACAATAAGAAAGGGCATAACGCCGTTCCCATGTCTCTTCAGACGCTCGCTATGTGGACAATGTCATTCCTGGCACATTCAAAGTTCTGCGCTTCGGAAATCAGCACGGCTTTGGGCGCCGGATCAAGTCAGGGGCTCCTTTCACAGTTGATCCAGAAGGGCCTGATGGACATTGCCAAGGATAACGATGCTACGGACAATTTGGCTGGCGACGAGTGGAGGGAAGCCACCTTTACTATACCCAGAACGCTTATCGAGGTCGCCGGACATCATGGCCGCTCGAGCGAGGTGGCTGTTGCTAGCAGCTTCATCAAGTCGTACTTGTCTGGATTAGGCATCTATACCGGAAAAGCAATGAAGGTCCACTTGAGGATCCTAGACTTCATGAAGACCTTCTTCCACCACTTCAAGGATGGATTGGCTGCCCTTCTGGCCGCCGACGCATTTGAGTCCCTCAGCAATCTCCTCGGCTCTCTCGTAACCAGTGCTTGGGATCTCCTAAGGGCCGGCGAAGGCATCCCAGAACAGCAAAAGACACGCATTACGGACTATGAGATTCCATACCTACATCAGCAGATCATCCGGTCCGTTATTGACATGATCAATGACATAAGTGGTCATCAAGGTGCACAGGCAGATCGCGTTTTGAGAAGCTTGGTTGACTCTCAATCCCTGCTCCGTGCATTCCGACTCATTGTGGACCAGCTGTCAGCGTTCGGCGCGCACACTTGGAGTGAGGTGATCAAGGCCATTTGCGGATTTCTGCATAACGAGCCGACCAGCTATACAGTCATCTTCGAGGCGGGTATCATCCAGAGCATTTTGAACACGGTCAACCCACCCCAGGATTCTGCTGAGACACCGCCCGAGAAGCGCTCGAAGTCAATATCTTCAGCCCCTCAAAACCGACCCCAAGGCATACCACCAGTCGTCGACGCGATTGTCAATGTTTCTCAAGTTTTTGGCGCCATCTGCCTCACCAACGCCGGCTTCGAGTTGTTCAAGGGATCTGGAGCGTTGGAGAAGTTCTTCGAGATCTTCGAGTCTCCTGCGCATGTTACTGTGCTAAGTGACGGAAATATCCTGGCATTGCTTGGTTCGACATTTGATGAGCTGGTCAGACACCATCCAAACCTGCGAAACTCGGTTCTAAGCGCCGTCATGGTCATGCTGGCCCGGGTCCGCCACATCAGCAGGTCACTCTCTGTCAACTTCGGTGCCGGACCGAAATTGTTCCTAGCTTCCGAGGATGGGCTTGAGACAGAACCTTGTGGTGGGCGCGAGGCTCTTTCCTTGGAGATTCTCCCACCGCTACGAACCGATGATGACGGCCCTGCCACCCAGAGACGAATCGAGTTGCCCAACGGCGACAATCTAACACTTGAGGACGAAGTACTTCCGCCGAGTACGCCAAAGGCCGCTCCCAGTGACAAAGATGATAATGGTCTCAAGGCTAGCGACTATGCAAGACCTGCCATCGCGTTCCTGATGACATTCTTCGAGCACCAGTCTCACTGCACCAATTTCCTTGAACACGGTGGATGTGACCTTGTCTTGGACTTCATCACATTGCCCAGTATGCCTGTTGCGAGCGAGCCATTCCGCCACGGTGGCTTGTATCAGGAGCTGGCTTCCGCAGTCCATATGATGGCAGAATGCAAGCCACAAATTGTCCTGCCGGCACTGGTCGATCGCGCACGTTTCGCGTGTTCAGCGCTGAAGCATTTCTCCCAGTCTCAACCTATGGATTGGTCTTGCTACTTCCAGCCTCTCATCAAAGCCTCGGCGACGACCGATGGAAGGGGCAAGAGCCCTGCCCCCGAGCTTTCTGAAGTCGAGCTCAATGGTACTCGCATTGTCAGAAGCATGATGGCAGTCTTCTGCCTCGCTCAAGTCTTTAGCGAGGTCTTTCACATGCCTATCTACAATCAGCGACACATGCAGAATCTTTTGTTCACCACGGTAAATCTCGAGGATGTCTTTGCGGACATTGCCAGAATGATGGGCGCTATCTCCGCTGCCTGTTGCCGTGAAGACGTCGCTCTTCAGCGGTCGATTCCTGAAAGTTGGCTCTCTGCGACTCGACCTGACCACTTCTCTACAGGTAACGACGAGGTCGACAAGCTTTTGAGCATTCGGGATAGCGCTGCTCGGGTTACTGGCCAGTCCACGCCTCAATCTGGAGAAGTGGCGCCATCCTCACAGCCGGATATAGGCGACCTGAGTATGGAAACACAGACGGCATATTTCAAGAATGTCCAAACTCTACGATTCTTGTTAATCGAAACTCCGGCTGCCATTACCGAGTTCCTGTGCCGTCTTGGCAGGAGCATTGCGGCTCGCCGACGTCCAGATACCTTTGCGAAACAGAAGACGACCATAGTGGCGAATGCCCTGGCGACTGCATATCTGACCCAATTGCAACCTTACTTCCTGGGTTCCAAAGGGGCAGGGGAAGCAGACAACGAGAATACCGAACCTCGCTTCACCTACCTTGTGGTTACTCTCGACAACGTCCGCCGCTGCTTCTACGACGATAGCACTTCCTCCTCGGGGCCAATCACAACACATGCCATTCGTCAAGGTTATGTTGTGGAAGCATTCCGTAAAGCTGGAGGTGTTCAAACTCTGACGAAGGTCGGGACAGAATTCTTCGATAAGTTGAAGTCGTGCAAGGTTGAACATTCTACCTTTTCCGCAAACACTGGTCTGAAGATTTGTCTCGATATCCTGGACGATTTTACGGACGCTAAGTGTATCATGGACTCCGCACAGTCGATCAACATGAAGAACACGGATCCATCGCGCCCGTACTACTTCGTCCCGGCACAAGTGCTGCTCAACCTTCGAATGGAAGCACTTCCACTCACCCGGCTGATCTGGGAGAGTGAATATGCAGATCAAGCGTCAAAGAATGTCGTCCAGAAGCTAGTGTCGATCTTGAAGCATGTGTTGAATGGTGACCATGAGAACGAAGCAGTGCAGACCGACAGTGGCCATCCTACTCTGCCGCCTTTCACCTGGAGGAAATTACCGAACGCCTTGGAACCGTCAAAGGTCAACGCTCTGAAGGAGAAAGGGTACGATGAAGACCTCGTCCGTGAGGCCTTATATCGATCAAACTCCCAGGCACCAAACAACTATGCCCCGGCAGAGGACTACTGTCGAGCGCTTACAGGTAGCACCCGGCGGAGACGGTTGCCCGTTCCTGACAGAGAAGGTGATCCTTCCGTCGCCCTCGGCGAGCCTTCAGGCACCTCCAGCACGCAGAGCGCCCTGCAGATTGGTTCTTGGCCGGGTGATCCCCTCGGTGGCGCGCCGGTGGGTGCTCCCGCTGACGGGCACCCAACTGGAGAAGATAACGAGATGGAAGACGTCGATGAATCCGGTGAAGATTCTGAACTGGAGTCTGGTCATACATCGAGACCTAGGGGAACCGCTGCCGCGGATGGCACTTCTGCGGTGGAGAACAGCAATCTCCTCAACAGTGAGAGCGAGCCTTCTCGTCGGGAGCCACAGCTACAGGTCAAGCCGCCATCATCGTACTCTGTTGCATCAATAACTGCAGAGAGAGCTATCGTGAGGGAAGACCTCGCCGACCGATGCAACAACATCCTGAACAACCACCAGGGTTTGACGTTTGAACTGTCAGACCTCATCATCAGCGCGACCAGTAAGTTGAGCGATGAGCTCACCAAGGAGTACTGGAGAACCACATCGGGCCTTCTTACGAGCTCTCTGCTTTCTATGCAAGTTGAAGATGACATCACCGAAGCTCAGGGCAAGAAGATTGCAGCTGCGGCCCATCTTGTGGCTCTGCTCATCCAGGACACCGAAGTGTTCGACGAGACCGTGGCCATATTCCAAGATTCTTTCGAAGGATTGCTCTCGTTCCTGAGTCTTCCAGCAGCAAACGGAAAGAGTGACGAAGGCGCTTACCCATGGGTGGCGCCCGTCTTACTGATCATTGAGAAGATGTTATCCAAAGACTGTGAGCCGGCGGTGGTGACATGGTTTCCACCCACCGATCTTGATTCTTCAAGCGAACCAATCATCACTCCGACATCAGTCTTCACCACAGAAGCCAAGGTCAAACTCTTTGATTCTCTGATCAACCTGCTGCCACGCGTCGGCAAAGACAAGGGAATGGCTCTCGCAATAGCCAGGGCGCTTGTTGCGCTTACTCGGACGCGTGAACTCGCAACGCGAGTGGCAGAGAAGAGAAATCTCCAGCGACTCTTTCTTATGGTCAAGCAACTTGCTAATGGTGTTGGACATCGCTTGCAGAGTTCCCTCATGCTTATCCTGCGTCACATTGTTGAAGATGATGACACCTTGAGGCAGATCATGTGCAGTGAGATCAAAGCGTTATTCAGCACGCGAAGCTCAATTAGAAACCCTGACACCAACGCCTACGTGCGAGAATTATATCATCTCGCCGTGCGGTCTCCTTCTATCTTTGTGGAAGCAACCAACGAGACTGTAAAATTGTCTCAATGGCAACCCCAGTCTGGCGGTGTCGCCACTGTCGTGTTGAAAAAGACTTCACTGGGCCATTCGGACGAGGAAAGTCAAACTGAGCAGGTGCGACTACATGACGGTGCCATCGACAGCGCAGCGCAACCGGCAAGCAGTATTGAAGTGCCTCAAGCGACGGTGGAGGAAGCCGGCAAGTCCAAGGCACCGGAAATGAGGCCTCCTGTGGTCGAGCATCCGGATGGGGTCATCCATTTCATCCTTTCGGAGCTGTTGAACTACAAAGATGTCGAGGACAAGGAAGTCACTCCCCAAGCGTCCTCCGCAGTCACCACCAATGGATCCGCCGATCAAACTCTGCAGGATTCTGCAGGAGCCTCTGAAGGCACTGTTGCTGACAACACTCGGCCAAAGCCAGAAAAGGCCAAGTTCAAGCCGGAAGAGCATCCCATCTTCTCTTACCGATGCTTCTTGATGTACAGCCTGACAGAGCTTTTACACTCTTACAACCGTACGAAGGTGGAGTTCATAAATTTCTCTCGCAAAGCAGATCCAATGGCAGGTACTCCGTCGAAGCCTCGCTCAAGCATACTCAACTATTTCCTCAACGGCTTGATACCGTCATGCTACGTTGACAAGGAAGATTCACTCCAGTTCAAGAAGAAGTTGCTTACAAGCGACTGGGCAATCCGTGTTGTAGTGGCTTTGTGTTCCAAGACAGGAGAGTCTGGCACCATCGCCCCTGCTCAGAGATACTCGACACAACCACAGATCGACGACGTTGACAATGAGCCAGACCTGACTTTTGTGCGTAGATTTGTGCTCGAGCACGCAATCAAAGCATACAAGGATGCAACCTCGTCGACGGAGAGTCTTCAGATGAAGTACAGTCGCTTACTGTGCCTTGCTGATATGTTCAATCGACTTCTAACAAAGCCTGCTGTGCCTGAAGGAACTGCCGGATCCCAGAACACGTCGTACAAGGTTCTTGCCCGTATGATGTTTGAGAAGAACCTGATCTCGGTCTTGACAAGCTCCCTTGCCGAAATCGATCTTGCATATCCTGGCTCGCGCAGAGTCGTCAAATTTATCCTACGTCCTTTGCAGGAGCTCACCTCGTTAGCCAGCTCATTCACCACGTCATCCCCAGACTTGACTTCAGTGGTCAGCACCATGTCCGACGATGTCATTTCGTCTGCATCATCGGTGTCTGACGTCGATGAGGAAGAACGAGAAGAAACTCCAGATCTGTTCCGAAACTCGGCGCTCGGCATGCTCGATCCCAACCGTGATCCTGACGAGTCTGACTCTGAAGATGACGAGGACGACGAGGATGAGGAGATGTATGACGAGGAATATGGAGACGAGATGGAGTATGACAATGGCCTTGTTGCTGGCGGGAACGACGACGAAGCCGTTAGCGATGAGGAGGAAGAAGGCGAAATGGGGCCTGAAGGCGAGATCGAAGGCCTTCCGGGTGACGTGCCAATGGATATTGAGTTTGTGGTTAATGACCAGGGCATGGACGTCGATACCGATGAAGACGAAGACGATGATGAATCCGACGAAGACGAGGATGATGATGAGGAAGACGAAGATGGTGACGACTTCGAAGTTGGCGATGATGTGGACGCCGGCGAGATTAATGGTGACGACGAGAACCACAGCCTCCATGACGGCCCTGAGGATGAAGAAGGCGAGTGGGAAGACGAAGACGACGAGGATGAAGACCATGAAGGAGTTGTTCAAGATCCCATCACCCAGCTGAGCAACGACCAATTTGAGTTCGATGGAGACATTATGGCAGTCGAAGGTGATGGCGAAGGCGGACTGCCAGCTCCAGGGGTCCTCAGCAATCTTCTCCGGGTTTTGGGGGATCACGACTTGGATGGGCCAGCTGGCATGCCACATCCAGTCCCACCAGAATTGATCGTTCCAGCGGCGGGTTCCGGAGAGCCCGAGGACGAAGATGACGATGAGGATGATGACGAAGACGACGAAGAAGGTGAGGAGATGGATGAGAACGGAGAAATGGCATTCGAGCGTGATTTTGAGATCCTCGAACATGCTGATCATTTGATGTGGGATCATACCCCCATGATTCGACGGCACCGTCCACTCCGTGGCCCTGGTGGCTGGAGTTTCACGCGGCGTATTGGAGGTCGCGAAGACCTCAATCCCTCTGCTCGTTCAGGTCGTCTTGGTCCGCATGGGAGATCAGGGGCCGACGATGGGACGAATCCTTTGTTGCGACGGCCTCAACCCGACAGTCGACAGCGACCCGAGCACACTGGTCCAAATATTGTCCTTCCGCCCGGTCTCGAAGCGGCTATTCCGGGTATACGGGCTTTCCCTCCTCTTCAGACAACTTTTCAGACCATTGATGGTCACGGCATGGGCGGGCATGGAGCTGTGCTTGATGCCATCTTCCAGGCGATACAGCGCGGTGAGATAGAGGGTGGTCAAGTGCGCCTCCGTATCCCAACCCCTCTTGCAGACCTCCGCGATCCCTGGCGGGCATCGACTTGGGATCCGCGTCACCATCGCCACGTGTCGCGCGAAGACTCTCAACGAGCGAGCAATTTTGTTCCCGCCGTCACAATGACACGTTGGCAAGAGGAGGCGCGACTCCTCTTCGGCAATGGCTATGTGGAAAAGCTCCAGCGCGTCCAGGTGTGGGTCATGTCTGTTTTGGTTCCCCCTGCTCAACAGGAAGAGAAGGAACGCAGACGCAAGCGAGAGGAGGAGGCGAGAGCAGAGCTCGAAGAAGCAGAGAGACTGAGAGTTGAAGCAGCACGCCGCAAGAAAGAGCAAGAGGAGCAAGAGGAGCAGGAGCGGCTACGTGCGGAAGCTGAAGCTGCTGCCGCTGCCGAGGCCAGAGGTCAGGAAGAGGCTCACCCGCGGGATGGAGATGGCGACACAGATCCCATGGAGGATGTTCAAGGCACAGGTGCAGCCGTTGCTCCCGATGCTGGCGAGAGTGCCGTTTCCGTTTCAGCCGGTCCCGAAGCTCGACCTCGCGTTTTCACCACCATCAGAGGCCGTCAACTCGACATTACTGGTTTGGACATCGACGTCGAGTACCTGGAAGCATTACCAGAGGAACTCCGGGAAGAAGTCATTATGCAACAGTACGCCACTCGCCGCGAAGAGGCTCGAGAACAAGGAACCGAATCCAACGAGATAGATCCAGACTTCCTCAACGCGCTGCCAGATGAAATACGAGAAGAGATTCGGCAACAGGAAGCTCATGCACAACGACGACGGGAACGTGAGGAAGCTCGCAGACAAGCTGCAGCCACCGGTGGCGCGTCCGGACAGCCAGAGGAGATGGACAACGATAATTTCTTGGCTACTCTCGACCCTGCCTTCCGACGTGTTATTCTCGCAGAGCAACCACCAGAGATTCTCCGCCAACTTGATCCACGCCATGCTGCAGAGGGACGGGCGCATGCTAGACGCCTGTATCAGTACGTCAGAGGCGATAGAAACCCTCGTGATGACAGACAGAATGAAGACGCGGGCGGTCGGGACAGCAAGCGACAAATCATTCAAATGGTCGACAAATCTGGAGTTGCCACTCTACTTCGCCTCATGTTCCTCCCGCAAGGAGGGTCACTACGCACCAATTTGTGGCAGATCCTTCGCAACATCTCTGGAAACAGAGTCACACGATCAGAAGTGGTCAACCTACTTCTTGTCATTCTCAAAGAAGGCTCAACAGACGTGACGGCAGTTGAGCGCAGTCTTGCGAACCTGTCCCTGAGAGCCAAAGCCACCGCGTCGCAAAAGACGCCTCAGCCACTCAAGCGGACGCTTTCCTTGCAACCTGTAGGTGGCGTTAGCGAGGAAGTCACTCCCCTTGTTGTGGTAGATCAGTGTCTTGCCGCTTTGAAGCAACTATGCCAGAACAACTATCATTCAAGAACTCTTTTCATTCGCGAGGTCGACAGCAGTCCAGCTTCTAAGAAGGGGAAAGGAAAGGCCAAAGAAGCCAAGGCTGCCCGATACCCTCTGAATGATCTCGTCGGCTTGTTGGACCGAAAGTTGATTGTGGAGAGTTCCTCTTGTCTCCAGTCACTCGCAGAGCTTTTGTCTACGGTTACTCAGCCGTTGCAGAACCTTCTGAAGAAGGACAAGGACAAGGACTCGAATGAGCCTAGACCCACCAATGCCGAAGTCAGCAACGCCGCGGCAGGTGCTGCTTCGACAGTACCTGATGAGGCGGCACAACTTGGGCAACCGGACACGGATGTGGAGATTCATGATGCTCCAGCGCCTGCTGGCGGGACTGATGCTTCTGGAAGTGCAACTCAGCACACCGAGACGACAGCCCCAGCAGCCGACGAGGTTGCCAATACCAGCAACGAAGACTTAACGACCGAGGAAGGCAAATCCAAGAAGGTATTTGAACCTCCAGAGATCTCGCAACACAATTTGCAACTTATCGTAACCATCTTCGTGGCTCCTGAGTGCAATAGTGACACTTTCCACTCCACCCTGGAGACTATGTCCAACCTTTCAAGCATACCTGGCACGTCCGACGTTTTCAGCAAAGAATTGATCCATCACATTCAGGAACTTTCGGAGGCCATCTGCAGAGACCTGGACGAACTGGTGCCCCAGCTCAAAGAAGCGCAATCGATCACCGATCTACATGTTCTCTCGTCTACCAAGTTTTCCCACTCGGGCTCCGATCAGGTGAAGCTGCTACGAGTTCTCCAGGCCCTGGACTATCTGTCTGCACCCAAAGTCGAGACTGAAGATGGTGCTGAGAATGCCGTCGTCAGAAGCATCCTGACGTCTTCCTACGACAGCCTAGGTCTCAAACCACTATGGACCAAGTTGAGCGACTGCCTGACCACTGTCCGTGAGAAAGAGAATATCGCCAGCTTCGCTACGATTCTCTTACCGTTGATCGAGTCGTTGTTGGTGGTCTGCAAGAATACCTCTCTCAAGGACTCGATGCTCGCCCGTCAGATCAAGGAGCAAGCGCCGGGAAGTCCTGCACCGGAAGCCATGGACGAGCTGCAAGAGCTGTTCTTTAACTTCACAACAGAGCACCGCAAGATACTCAACGACATCATCCGCCAGTCTCCAAAGCTGATGCAAGGTAATGGCAGCTTCAGCTTGCTGGTCAAGAATCCCAAAGTACTTGACTTCGACAACAAGCGCGCCTACTTTACCAAGCTGATACATTCTCGTTTGCATCAGCAGCGGCATATCCAGCCACCACTGCAGCTCAATGTCCGCCGTGACCAAGTCTTTTTGGATTCATACAAGGCCTTGTACTACAAATCCGCCGAGGAGATGAAGTATGGCAAGCTCAACATTCGCTTCAACGGCGAAGAAGGCGTGGACGCAGGCGGTGTCACTCGAGAGTGGTTCCAAGTACTTGCTCGAGGCATGTTCAATCCGGATTGGGCGTTGTGGCAACCAGTCGCTGCTGACCGCACTACATTCCATCCCAGCCCTCTCAGTTGGATCAACGGCGAACACCTGCTCTATTTCAAGTTTATCGGCCGGATTATCGGCAAGGCATTACACGAAGGCCGCGTGCTTGACTGCCATTTCAGCCGAGCTGTCTACAAACGTCTCCTCGGCAAGGAACCAAACCTCAAGGATCTTGAGTCGATGGATCTCGACTACTACAAGAGCTTGGTCTGGATTCTGGAGAACGACATCACCGACGTCATCACCGAGGACTTCTCTGTCATTGAAGAGCAGTTCGGTGTAGAGAAAGTCATTGACCTCATTCCCAATGGTCGGAACATTCCTGTGACTGAGGAGAACAAGCGAGAATACGTCAATGCACAAGTACGCTACCGTCTTACAACTTCGGTTCAAGACCAGATCGAGAATTTCGTGAAGGGCTTCCACGATATCATCCCAGCGGAGCTTATCGCCATCTTCGACGAACAGGAACTCGAACTGCTCATTTCCGGGTTGCCGGAAATTGACGTGGATGATTGGAAAGCCCACACCGAATATCACAACTACAATGGCAGCAGCCCTCAGGTCGTATGGTTCTGGCGCATTGTGAGAGGCATGAGCAATGAAGAGCGAGCGAAGTTGTTGCAATTCGTCACTGGTACCAGCAAGGTCCCGCTCAACGGCTTCAAAGACCTCGAAGGTATGCAAGGCAATACCTTGTTCAGTATCCACAAGTAAGTTTTTTTTACACTCTTCGCTTCCGGCTGCACCAATACTAACAAAGACTCGCAGGGATCCAAGCCAATCTCGCCTTCCTACCAGCCATACCTGCTTCAACCAGTTGGACTTGCCCGCTTACGATGACTACGATACCCTGAAGAATAATCTGATGACGGCAATCAACCTGGGCGCCGATTATTTCGGCTTCGCATGATTTCGTGAGGGTGTATTGTGTGCTTGGTGGCTGAAGGATTGAAGGTCAGTCATGGTGAATGTGATCAAGGGGGACTATGGAAAATGCACCAGCACGGCGTTTTCGGGTGGCTTTTTGCAGTATTGACAGGTGGTTCTTGGGGAGTTGTAACACAAGAGCATGCATGCATTCAGGGCGTCGGCAAGATGGCATGCACACAGTTGGGAAGCACGATGACGGCCTCAAATCGGCCCTGGGAGTGTATCGTGGCGGTACAGCAGACTCTGGCCTGGGAATGGGTTGTGCAGATCTCGGACTCAAAGCCATAGTTCACCATCCAGCCTGCGTAGATAGAATAGGGTGATTTACAAAAGCATCCATCATGCCAGTTTCTTCTTCTTGCTTTGCGCCGAGTATGATTCCGTGTCATGCGGGCCGCACATATCTTGCAGTATCCGACTCGAAGATACGGAGTACAGTCGACAGGCATAATAGTGTTGCTGAAATGTTGAAAACAAGCCATGTATGGCCTTGGAGGTGCATTGTCACGTGACCGGAATCTCAGCTTCCGCCAAGACAGACCTTGCCGCGTTTGGACATCCCACTATTGGCCTTCCACATTTTTGAAATCGCAGAATCGGGGATTGAAACTTCTTCGATCCGCGCCCTCTTGAACCTCACCGTCGTTCATCCCTCGAGTCTATCTTTTCTTCCCAAACGACAAGATGGTAAGCTAGCAACGGCACACCCATTCTCTGCAGCAATGCAGTCTTCCCGTCTCGGCGAGTCGTCGCAGTCAAACGCGATCCCCGAGCGTGGACAAATTCGCGCCAGAACCTGCTTGGAACAAGTGACCGCCGGCGAACAGACATTGACTTGACCTCTTAAATGAGTCTTCAGCCATGATCTTGAGCCTTGCGGTCATGACTTGCTTGTTTCTTGGTGATGACTCAGGCTGGAGAAGCGGTTCCCTCAGCAGCTAGCCACTGCTTTGAGAACGCTTCTCCTTAGAGTTTAGAGATATTGGGTCAGAATGTTCACTGACTCGCTCTCTTCTCAATGACAGCCACCCAAGGGAAAGAAACCTGCGCCTGCGCCGTTCCCGCAAGGGAAGGCCGGTGCCACCAAGAAGGCTGCAAAGGTACGCTCCACTCCATTACCGCCTTGGTGAAAACCGGAGTCCATTCCAACACCGTGGGCTCTGGATAAGAGTGATGACAAAACTAACACGCCGTGGTAGAATCCTCTTCTCGAGAAACGTAGCCGGAACTTCGGCATCGGTCAAGACATCCAACCCAAACGCAACCTCTCTCGCATGGTCAAGTACGTATTTGCCCCGATCTTAGCTCAACCCCGACCAGCGCCCTGGTTGCCAAAGAAAAGGACGCCGAACGTGAACATGATCTGACAACATGGAACAGATGGCCCGAATATATTCGTCTGCAACGCCAGAAGAAAATCCTCAACATGCGTCTCAAAGTCCCCCCTGCGATCGCGCAGTTCCAGAACACCCTTGACCGCAACACCGCCGCCCAGGCATTCAAGCTGCTCAACAAGTACCGACCTGAGACCAAGGTTCAGAAGAAAGAGCGCCTGCACAAGGAAGCGACTGCCGTGCAGGAGGGTAAGAAAAAGGAGGACGTGAGCAAGGTACGCACCAACAAACTCGCCTCCTTTCCTTTCTGGTCATTTGATGCTCAGACCTCGCTATCACAATAGAAACCCTATGCCGTCAAGTACGGGCTCAACCACGTCGTCGGACTTATCGAGTCCAAGAAAGCCTCCCTCGTCCTGATTCCCAATGACGTCGACCCCATCGAACTGGTCGTCTTCCTCCCCGCACTGTGCCGCAAAATGGGCGTCCCGTACGCTATCATCAAGGGCAAGGCCCGTCTTGGGACGGTCGTGCACAAGAAGACTGCCGCTGTTCTTGCAATCACCGAGGTCAAGGGCGAGGACAAGTCCGAGTTGAGCAAGCTCGTCAACGCTATCAACGAGGGATATGCCAGCAAGTATGAGGAGAACCGCCGACACTGGGGTGGTGGAATCATGGGTGTCAAGGCCCAGGCGAGGGAGACCAAGAAGAGAAGGGCGGTGGAGAGTGCGATTAAGATCTAAGCGTTGATCGATCGTGTTTACCCCGCTTTCCCTGGCCCTTGTCCTCTAGTGTCTGTTAAGAGATCCTCTCATATCGAACGTGGCGGTGGCCTTTCTCGTCCCGACTTTGCGACACCACCAGATGTGGAACGGTATGACACGAATCACATGGCGTGCTATCAATCTACGACAGAAACGAAGAGCAGAAGAATCGGCGCTGAAGAGACAAGCACGCCGATGAGATAGCGGGCAATGGGGACTGAGACCAGGAACTGGAGCGATACGTTCCTGCCTGACTGCATCGACCATTGCAGATTCGCTCGGATGGAGTAGTCTTTACCGTTCAGTTCAGCCCAGTTCAGTTGAATTGTCGCATGCTTTGTTCCAGGTCCAGGTCAAGCACCAAAGCTACCTCCGATAGGCATCAATGAGAGTAGTCGTCAGGGCTGCGAAAGATGGCAAAAACAGAGAAAATGATACCAATGTCTGTGTGTTTGTGTGTTTGTCGTTTTATTTTTCGAGTTCAGTTCCGAAACTTCCTTACTGGTCCTCCGCCTCCTCCTCTCCTCCTCTCCTCCTCTCCTCCTCTCCTCTCCCATTTATGCCCTGGACTAGACCTTATTTCCTCTCTCATCCTCCGACTTGAAGCAGAGAGATAAGACGACCACGTGCGCGTCTCGCCAGGCTGTCAAGTCTATATTGGCGATATCTAGGGTCCTGTATGTAATCAGCCCGTTGAGGGAAATGAGGGCTCTTGGAGGACTCCGTTGAATAAGTGATTGTATGCTCGTCCACGATCACGGGGAAAAAGAATCATTTATTTCCCTACAGTTTCGCCATCGGTCGAGCAGCCTGCCAGGCACCTTTAATGTACCATGGCTTGGTTACTCTGTTTATTGTTTAAGTTGTTCATCGCTAGAGTCTGAACTGCACTGTACTGCGCACGTCGAGACATTGGTCCGAAGGGCTGGTGTGAGACGGTCACCGCAGGGCGGGGCAGGGGCGTGCGAAGGATACTACAGGTACAGATACAGATACAGATACAGATACAGATACAGATACCTGCGAAGGACGCGACGCCAGGTCCGGTACACGTCTAAACCTAGACCTAGACCTGGACCTGGCACTCTAGTATCGTCTTAGGCTGACCGGGACACGCCGCGTGGCCTGGCATGTCTCGTGCAGCAAAAGATACGAGGCGGTCGTGTCTCGTGGTCCTGGGTTGGCGGAAAGAACTCGAGGTCACTTCATTTGTTGGATGGAGGATGACTGGTACTGTACCTGCGAAGAGACAACAGCATTAATAACAAGACAACAGTACCGACGACAAGACAACAGCACCTACGACGAGACAACAGCACCTACGACGAGACAACAGCACCTACGACAGCACCCAAGGTGTGATGATTGCCATCCATGGTAGTATCCTTGATAGGCATAGGCGCATGGCATGATCACCACTGACACGAACAGGCATGGGCTGTCAAGAGAGCAGAGAGAAATTCGAACGAAAGGAAGCTGTTGGTCATTCGCTTGCTCCTAGCAAAGGCAGGCTCTCAGGGGATATCACACGCATACTGTCAATCCGCCTGCAATTAAAAGCACCACGTCGCTGAAGGGGAACGCATCCGGTCGGTCGTCATGAGATCAACCCTCTGTACAATCAACAACCCGACTCGGGAGCCCAAGACTCAAATCTCCATTCTCCGTCCGGGGCTATGCTGTGGTTCGTCTGCATGGTAAAACCATGGTTCCAAGACTCCAATAGTCCAATTCGCAAGTCTCCCAGTGGTCGTCAAAACTGGAGGCCACTTCGGCGACTTTGGGGAGGATGATTAAGTACTGGAATGCAAGCCTGTCTGAGATACACAACCATTGGGAGAGAGATTGTGGCTCCATCGTTAGTGCCGAGTCAACCCTTGTCGTGCCTGGTCAATTCAAGTCAGTCACGAGGCGAAAATAGTTCCCGGTGCGATAGAGCAACCTACCTTCATCGCCTCAATTCTGGCCTTCAGTTGACTCGTCACCTCGGCCGCTCTCTTCCAATTCTCCTCCGGCCTCGCGCCACTGCTAGGTTCTCTGCTCCCTACTCCAGGTCTCTCAGCGCCCGAATCACTCGCCTCACGGCTCATCGCTGTATAGGCAGGGCGCTGTGGGCTACTCCTCCCGCTTGCGCCATTGGCCATGACTGGAGGACTAATCTTTCGTCTCGCTACACCGAGAGAATCGATTCCAAGGCCATGGTTTTCTTTTTCTTCGCTAGGCGAGAGATCGAGACGGTTGCCCTGAGATGCGTATCCACTTTGTGGTCTTGACTTTGAGCTCGGGTTTGTGGGCTGTGCCCGTCCGCTCTGAGTACTTGCCGAGCTCCCCGTCCTATGGAGTGCTGTGCTAGTGGGTCGGGGAGGGTGAGCAGCATTGCCATTTGCTGGATACCGGCTGTTACTGTTCAGAGCAGAATCTTCGTAGATACCTCCGGCCCCAGGGTCGGCAGGATCATCCATGCCTCGACCACGCATCATGTCTTCTCGTTCGCGGCCGATACTTTCACGACCTAGCCGTGATACTTCGCGCTTGTATCGCTCACTTTCTTTACGGATACTTTCAATCTCGGCCTTCAGGACGTCACATTCACCTCTTGCTCGGACTAGTTGAGTCTCCTTCGCTTTGATCTGCAGCACGTCTCGTGTGTGATCTTCTATCAGTTGCGCGTTTTGGTTCTGGAGTTCTGAGATTTCAGCTGTGAGTTTGGCGTTGCTGCTTCGTAGATTGTCTGCGAGATTTGCTAAGCGTTCTTTCTCCGCCCGCAGTTCTTCGAGTTCGGCGCGCTCAATCGTCGAGAGGCCACTTGAGACTGGTGCGGCAGTCGGAGGAGACAGGGGAGCTGCAACTGGTCGGGCCAGAGGTCGTCCGGCAAGCCCCCCTCGTCCCATACCGAATTTTGAGGGCGAAGGCGCTGCTATTTCTTCGTCCCCGTCTGTGCTGGCTGGTGGCGATATCACGCGCCGAGGACTTGTAAGACCACCAGGCACAGGTTTCTTCAGGCCACCAAGCTTCAGGTTCGCGGGCTGTGCCAGTCCCGGACGAGCTAGACCTGTCGCTTTGGGTGCGGCTTTTGCGGTCGGCTTTGGTTGAAGAGGTGTAGCGTCCTCCACCGGTGCCGCTGCAGGGGCTGGCTTTCTGACAGCAGCAGCAGCAGGTTTCTTCGAGCCTCCGAGCACCTTCTTGCCAACGGCTGACGTGGCTTTTGCCGGTGCCGGTGCTGGCTTCGGCTTCTCTTTCGCTTTGACTTGGGCGGTATCAAAAAACTCCTTGATCTTGGCCTTTCGAATATCGTCCAGTCCGTCCAGGTAAGGGTTCATGGCGCGCTCGCCGATGATCTTCATTAGTATTCCCAGGATTTCTGCACCACCTGATCTCAAGTTCTCGGTCGATTCTGTAAGCAATTTCGTGCCGGCATCTGCGAGACGTTTCTGCTCTTCCTTCGACGGTACATCTCGTGTGGTCCGCAGGCACCTCGCGAGAAATTTTATTGATTCCGCCTTGACATTGGGGTTCTTGTTCTGGAGGAAGCCTAGAGTCTCTTCGAGACATTCGGTTAGGGATGTGGAAGCAAATACGGCATCGAGCCCGGCACCCAAGGCATCTGCCACGGACTGCTTCTTCTCCTTGAATCTCTCCATCATGGGGGACATAATGGTGGAACGATATTTGGCAAAGGACTTCCTCAAACCGAGTGCCAGCTTTTCGACGCAGTTAGCTGCCGCAGTGACCACGGCAATGTTGGCATCCTTCATACACTTCGCGAACACTCTCACTAGGTCGTCGAACGGGGCTTCTTTGATTCGGGGGGTGTTGACAATGTTGAACAGAGCGTCGAGGGCATCTTTGCGGTCCTTCCACTTGGTCGAGCTGACCATTTCGTGGAAGTCGGGAGGGATCTTGGCGTAGACATCGACAGGTTCTGCAAGGTCAAAAGGATTAACTTCTTCCGCCTCGTCTGCCTCCTCGGCTACTTCTTCGCCGTCCTCATGCCCACCCGCCGTTGGTGGGGGTGCTGTGGCCAGGGCTACCTGCTGTGATCTTGTCAGGCGCTCCTGTTTTGGGGGGGGCTCTTCCTTGACTTTCTCAAACAACTTCTCCAGATCTTGTTGCTGGACAGGTTTTAATTCACTCCAAAAAATGACCCTCATTGCGTCTTTGAGCCATCTGTACAGCTCGACCGTGAGATTCTGGGCTTCTGCTCTGACATTCTTGTCGGCATGGCCAAAGACTTTGGGAAGCGCCTTCAGGACAGCTTTGGGTTCGACGACCTTGACACCAAAGTTGTGGAAAATGGCGGTGATTGCGCCGAGGGTCGCGGCGATGACTTTGGGTTGCTTGTGGGAGAGAGCGGGTAGTAGTTCTTCGATGACGGGTTCTGACTTGTCGAGTTCCACGTAGAGCAGGATGGCTTCGAGGGCGCTGGCTTTGGCTTGGGGTCTTGTGGACAACAGACCTTTCTCGTAGATGGGCTGGAGGGTGTAACTTCGCGAAGTCCTAGCGGCTTGAACGCCGCCATATTTCAGAAACGCGCACAAGGCAGCCAAACCGTCTTGCTGAGCAGCAACATTCGAGTCGCCAGCGGCCGACTTCCATAGGCCTGGGTCCTGTAGAAAGGGTCGGAAGGCGGGATCTGCTTCGTCTGGTGTTTTTTCGAACTCTGCCACGGCAGCCTCATATCCTCCCTTTCTGGCCTTCCAGTTCTTGTGGGTAAATCTGTCGACCAGGGACAGTTTGGAGAAGTCCTCCTCCCCGTCGGCCATGGTGGATGTCGGGGAGAAGATACGGTTGCGGAGGCGGGAGAGGAGTCTTGCGCCAGACTTCTCGCTCTTGTGACGCGCAAACGGACTGTCAGAGAACATCAGACCAGTATCTAGACATGACATCGGGGGGGTATGGGCTTACTGGCTGTTATTGTGCGGGCGTCATGCGCATGCGGTGTTTTGGGATGGTGGATTCGCACCTGCGGTCTCTGCGCTCTGAAGCGGTAGTGCAGGTGCGTCAAATTAATGCGACGGGTATGCGACACGTCAGAATCTAGTTTGGGGCGCGACAAGTGTGTAGCGACGTGACGACGGCGTGAGTTTGTTTGTGGTTGTGATTGTTGGAGAAGGTGGGAGTGAAAGTTGCGATATAAACATTGTCTTGGGCCTATGACAACAACAACAACAGAATCCATGGTCCCTCTCTCCTCAACATCTCCCTCTTCCACAGTGCTCACTGCCAGCTCCCTTCCTCACTTCTTCGCACGTCTCCTACTCGGCGTCTACTCTCTGTCGTCGGACGTCACCACCTGCGGTCAGTTGACAGGCAGTAATTGTGCGAGTCACCGCATGCAAGTCCAGTGGGCCTGCGATTGCCAGACATGAGCCAGTTATTGACCTCCCGGCAAGCAGAGGAACTGTAGGTCTGCTTCAGGAGGTTTGCTCTCAAACAATGACTAACTCGCCCTCTCTCAGGCACAAGTCGATGGTCTCCTACTTACTCTCTATTGGCATGACAGAAAGTGCAAATGCTGTGCGCCGGGAATGCAACTTGGCCGACACATTTGATGATGCCACCGCCAAAAAGTACGAGACCCTGCTCGAGAAGAAATGGACATCGGTGGTGCGGCTGCAGAAGAAGATCATGGACCTCGAAGCAAAGAACGCAGCCCTCCAGCAAGAGCTCGATTCTGCTACTCCGCTGTCGTCGACTCGAAAAGTCGACCCCCAGACATGGCTCCCCAAAGCACCCGCCAGACACACGCTACAAGGCCATCGCCTGCCCGTTACTTCCGTGGCATTCCACCCAATCTTCTCCTCACTTGCTTCCGGGTCAGAAGACTCAACCATCAAGATATGGGATTGGGAACTAGGCGAGTTGGAGCGCACACTGAAAGGCCATACCAAAGCAGTGCTGGACGTTGACTTTGGCGGTCCCCGCGGAGGCACGCTGCTGGCCAGTTGTAGCAGTGACCTGACTATTCGGCTGTGGGATCCCAGCGACGAGTACAAGAACATTCGGACGTTACCAGGTCACGATCATTCCATTTCCTCCATTCGGTTCATACCTTCCGGGGCGGCAGGCGCTCCGTTATCTGGAAACACCCTAGTGTCCGCCTCGAGAGACAAAACACTGCGGATATGGGACGTCACGACCGGATATTGCTTGAAGACACTCAAGGGTCACACTGAATGGGTCAGAGCAGTTGTGCCGTCAATAGATGGCAGGTGGTTGCTGAGTGCCGGCAACGACAACGTTCCCCGCTTATGGGACGCGAGCTCAGGAGAAGTCAAGATCACATTTCTCGGCCATGAGCACGTTGTCGAATGCGTGGCTTTTGCTCCCGGCTCCTCGTACGTCCACCTGGCGACCATTGCTGGCTACAAGAAGCCTCCTCCGACAAGTAGCAGCGGCGAGTTCTTAGCAACGGGCGGCAGAGACAAGGTCATCAAAATCTGGGACAACCGAGGAACATGCCACAGAACCCTAGTAGGCCATGACAACTGGATCCGTGGTCTTGTCTTTCACCCGGCGGGACGCTACCTCCTGTCAATCTCAGACGACAAGACAATTCGGTGCTGGGATCTGTCACAGGAGTGCAAATGTGTCAAGGTGGTTGACGATGCCCATCAACATTTCGTCAGCAGCATCAGGTGGGCCCCAGACGTTCCAGTTCAAGCACCGGTGAATGGCGAATCCAATGGCATCGCCAACGGGGTAAAGAAGGAGGACAGTGGTGGCGGTGGCAAGATACGCTGTGTCATTGCCACGGCCAGCATCGATCTGAACGTCCGCATCTTTGCTGGTTGAGTAGCGGGCTATGGATGGCGGCTTCCGTCGTGTTCTGAATCGTTTAAGCAAAATGCATCTTGATGGTCTTGGATGATAGACAAAATGACGTGAGCATGAATGTATGAGTATGAGCGACGAGAATATGAAATATGCAAATTCGTGACACGCCTCTTGAGCCCGAAGACTGTGCATTGAATGATACCACAGAGCAGCCAGTGCTTGACTGCGATCTTTCCCATGGCAACCGCGAAGATTTCCAACGCCGTCTTCTTCCCGTCGGCTGGCAAGGAGCCGTCTCTCACCGGCGCAAACAAAGCCGACGGACTTCTTCAATCAGTCATTTCATCTGGTCGATTAGAGCCAGGACTGTCAATGTGAACCCTCGTATTGCGCCTTGGTGAATACGAATCGCCCACTTTTTTGCTCTCTGGCAAAAAATCACACGAGCCTCACCCCCATCTGACACGAGTGTCTGAGTTCAATGAACGGCATCTCAGGCCATCATGCCATACACATGGTCTCCTCGTGAAGCCAAGCTCTAGTCAAGTTCAAAACTGCCTGACTGGCATTTCCCAACCGCGGCCCAGTCACTGATCAAACTGAACTTGAGCACAGTGAAACGGCACCTTGAACGTTCAGCCTCCACGACTCCTCCACCGCACCGACACTAGATGAGCTCATCCTTTGTCTCCTCGACACTCCTCTGCATTCCTCAGCTTATTGTTTCGGGTGCACGGTGATTGGTGACGCATTTGCCCGCATTGGGACCGTCTGTGAACAAAGCAAACCGAAACGGCCCTCGCTGTCCCCAGCCTCGCATGCTGCCTCATCGCCATGGCTACTGACCATGCATCCCGTCACAGACTCAGCCCACAGAGACAAAGAAGCAGAAAAGGTGGCGGGCATATGGTAAGTGCTTTCTTTGATGCTGTACAAAGACTGATGGCTCTCCCACCTTCTATTCGCCCTCTTCCTTCACGACGAGAGGTCGCACGGCCATGGTTCAAAGCATTCCTTTCTTTGCGCTATGACTTCGGCCTCCAGTGACAATCGTCTCCCCAACCTTCCAGCATGGTACCGCCTGTTGCCCAAACCCGCGGCAGAGCGCTATCCGGCGTTGCGGCGTACCTCGTCCCTCTCACAGCATCATTTGTTCCGTGACCGATCTCAAGACCGAGCTGCTGCTCGCGAAGATGGTCTTCGACGAAACACAGACCACGTGCCAGCCCACAAGGGCTCCATGTCTACCGCTGCTACTTCACAAGAGTGTATAGGAGAACTACAGATACCTGCAAATGGTCATTCTGGCTCGGCGTCCTCGCCCGTCCGAGAACGCTCCCTGGAGATGGCGGAAACTGGTTCTGAACATCCTGTTGGAAGGAGTAATTCCAATCCCAAAGAGAACGTATGCCTCTGTCCGGCTAGCCCCAAGATACCAAGACCGCGAAACTGTGAGGCCGCCTGCATGATCGTGATGCGAGAAGACGCTAATAAGGCATAGCCTTCATATTATTCCGCCAACACCAACAGGCCAGTATCATTGCACAGAATCCAGGGATTCCGAATCCGGAAGTGTCAAAGATTATTGGCGAACAATGGCGTGGTCTGTCCGCTGAGGCCAAAGAGGAATGGAACCTGCTTGCGGAAGTACGTGGGAATAAAGATTACTATCCTTAACCACCCGACAATGACCTTTGTATGCTGATTTCTCTCCTTCTTTAGGAAGAGAAAGCCCGCCACCAACAACAGTACCCAGGTTATCGCTATCATCCACGACGCAACGGCCGGGTCAGCAATCTGTCATCTGTCTCTGGTCCCTCGTCGGCGGAACCACAAGAGTCTTGCGCCAAGTGTGGTGGGAAACCAATAAACCATTACAACAACCCAACACCAGTCTATATACCGCCGGCCTCCACCGTTCAACAAACCATGGCTGTTAATGTCCCCACGAAGCGTGGTTACGTCGTCACTGCTGGACCACCCGGTCAGCGAATATCGCCGGACCATGCCGGCTTTCAGAGAGTCGATTCCCGACTGGTGTATGCCATTCCACCTGCGGGCCAACCCCTGCCTACTCCTCCATCCGCCGAATCGCAAGATGCAAAGAGACGTCGCTTGGGCAACGGTGTCTACGTTCCTGCACGGGAGGTCTACCCTGAAGCAACGTACTCATATCTCCATTCTCCTACGACCAATGGTGCATATGTCCGCCAGGAAGTTTTGCACCCGTCACATATCCAGCATGTCCAGGTTCCCAAACCGCAAATGGTATCCCCTCCTCGAGCATATCCTAGGCCGCCAGCGCTCCAGCCCATCCGTCCACCGCATCCCCATCAGAGAAACCGTTCGAGCGTGGCTTTGCCTCCCATTGAAACGTTGGTATCGCAGACGCCTACTAAAGCATCCATGGCTCAGGTGCAGAGCTCGGGGGTTGAGGCCATGATCATGTCTATACCAGTGCTGAACAAGATTAAAGTTCTGTCTCAACTGTCCGGGCCACTGCCGCCTCCTGGAATCACCTCTCCGAAACCTGGGGTGCGCGGAGCTATTATTGCTGTGGAGGGCCTAGATGCGACCAGCGTCAACAGCATGACCAATTCCCTAACTAAGCAGCTGGAAAAGGAGGGCAAGTTTGCAGTCAAGATCTTTAAAGGCCCGGACCCTTATACTCTCCTTCACGAAGCCCGGAGGGGCGTCCAAGGACAGAAGAGAGGGACCGATGCATACTTGAAACTCATGACCCGGTGGCACGAGGTGAGTCAAGAGATAGTAGAGTATATCACTTCCAGACCAGGTGGTGGATCAGCCACCACGCTCAGCGACAACCATACGGACCATCGTGTGAGTGGAGTTGAAGAGCACCATCAGCCTCCAGAAATACCCGACCAAGTCGTTCGAAGTGACGCACCACGACAGGCAGAATCGGGCAGAGACAAGGAGGAAGACAGCCTCGACTCAGCTGTTTCTCCAAAGACGACCTTCATCAGAGCTGCAAATCCCTCTGCCATGTCACCTCCTTCCAGCTCGGCGTTGCACAAGGGCAGAAGCCTAAGCACTCCAGGACTTTGGACAAGCAACGAGCCCCCGTCCTCCGCCCTTGATACTCGTCCACCAGCCTCCTCATATACGCGGCATCCGAACTCGAAACGCATTCCTCCTCCACCACCAACACTGCCGCCGGCCTCGTCACTGCCTTCTCAAGTCCCGACGTCGAAACCACTGTCCCGTAGCTCCCCTCCCATGGCCGCGCCAGTCACGATAAACACCGGTAACTTACCTCCTCCGCATCCCACCATATCCAACACCATCAACAGCCCAGCTAGCACGCCCATCCCCGTAGCCATTGTGCCACACTTCCAACTCACGACTGTGGACGCCAGCTCCATCAGCATGCCCATCCACGACAGCTTCTCTCCACCAGCCCATTGGCAATGGTTCGCCACCATGTGGAGGGGCAGCGTTGGACCAGACATAACCATTGTCATTCGTGGTGTGGATGAAGAACCAGCGGAGGGTCCAGATGTCAGTAAACCGGCGTCTCTTCCAGGTATTTCCGGCGTCGCAAATGCAGCCACTTCCAATGCGAGAGAACGAATTCCCAGCGTGGCATCGAGTCAATCACACAGTTGCGGCACAGGAGTGGAGATTCGGTTGCATGATTCGAGGACGGTCATTGTCAAGACGGGGATTGTGGGTTCAGCCATTCCGACGACTGGAGGTGCTGGAAGTGGTGAGAAATCGCACAGCAAGGAAATGACACCAGCCCAGCAGGCTAAGGAGGTGGAAAACTGGCAGAAGGCGAAGAGGCGGGTTGGGTTTGAGGTCGAGGAGTTCTTGAGACGATAGATACCCTGGAAATGGGTGGTGGTGGCTGATACTGAAGGATCTTGACGCGTGGATGCAGATAGAACACCAGACACGTCGTACAGATGGGGATTTGACCATTGTCGCGGACAAATATTCTATTCTGTGCCAAAATCCTGTCACAACCTGGCCCTAATCTCCGGCTTCTGTACACTCTCCTCGTCCAATTCCACTAATAACGTCCCTTCAGCAACGTCGTCGCCTTCCTCGTTTTCCAGCTCGATTGCCCACTTCACGACACCCGCCCTGGGACTTCTGACTTCCAATTCCATCTTCATCTGTTTGACAAATGCGATCACCTCATTCTCGCTGACTTCGTCCCCTTCCTCGACCAGGACCTCGACCAGCTTTCCGCTCATTGGTAATATGATATGTGCTTTGTTGCCGGGGTCGCCCCTTCTGTGAGTTGATGCCGTGGCGTCTGCCGAGGCTGTCGTGCTGTTGAGAGTCATCTTGTAGCTCTGTGGCTGTTGGCCGGGGATTGTGTACGAGACATCGGCGATGAGGGCCTCTGGGAATTCGTTGCGAGTGACCCGTTCGATGGCGAGGTGGTGCGCTGGCGGCTTCGCTGTTGCGGGCGACGTGTTCCTGGGATCCTCCAGCACCACAGACCACGCGTCACCTTTCCTGAAAGGCGTGGCCGATGGAGCACCGGCCGATGCGTGGCTGTTGCCCAGTGACAGTGTCGGTATGGAGGAGTCAAGTCTCTCGGTTGTGCTGGCCAGTTGTTCGCCCGACTGGACGAGACGCTCCAGGTTCGTCTCCAGCCACCGTGTGTCGGCTTCGCCTGATGCAAAGGTGTCGTCTGCTAGGATGGCCTTGAGGAGGTTCAAATTCGTCTTGACTCCCGCGACCTTGGTCTCTTCGAGGGCTCGTCGTGCTTTGACGATACAGTCACCGAATGTCGAGGAGGTGACGATGATTTTCGCCATCATGTTGTCAAAGTCAGATCCCACCACGCCTCCACGCGAGAGATGGCTGTCAACCCTGACTCCGTTCCCCGTGGGGAACTGCACGTCTGTGACCTTCCCGATGCTCAGGGAGAAGCCTGAGAGGGGGTCTTCGGCACAGAGTCTCAGCTGGATCGAGGCCGAGTGTGGTGCCTCGTCCGCGTTTCCAGACGGGATGTTTTCTGGGCCCTGGATCCCCTGGGCCAGCATCAGCTGTTCCTTGACCAGGTCAACTCCTGTAATGCATTCGGTGATGGTGTGTTCCACCTGCAGTCTCGGATTGATCTCCAAGAAGAAGAACTTGGCTTGCTGGACGTTAACCAAGTACTCCCAGGTCCCGAGGCCCAAGTATTTCAGCTGCGTGGCCATCCTCACGGCGGATTCGATGACCTGCGCGACGACAGTCCGGCCGTGCACAGGCGCAGGGGCGACTTCGACGATCTTCTGAAACCGCCGCTGGACGCTGCAGTCTCGTTCCCAGAGGTGCTTGACTCGGCCTCTTCCGTCGCCGATGATCTGGATCTCAATGTGCTTGTATCCATCCACGGCGGCCTGCTCTGCAAAGACCAGCCGACTGGGTGATTCACCCACGCACCTCTGGACGGCGTTCTCGAGCGCGTCTTCGCTCCGGACCAGGCGGATCCCGCGGCCTCCACCGCCGTCGACAGCCTTGATCATCAGAGGATAGCCTGCTTGTTCGGCGAACCTCCTGACGTCGTGCACACTGCCGGTCGGCCGGTCCATGGCTCGGAGGACAGGCACGTCACACTCGGCCGCGAGGGTCTTGGCCATCAGCTTGTCGCCGGTGCGTTGCAGCACCTCCCACCCCGGTCCCACCACCATACAGCCCGCCTCTGTCCACATCCGTCTCGAAAACTCGGCACTCTCGCTGAGAAAGCCGTACCCAGGATGCACGGCGTCGACGTGGTTTTGCTTCACCACCCCGATCAGGTAGTCGATGTTCATGTATGATGCCGCACTGGGCGCCTTGATGGCATGGTGTGGTCGCCCTAGGGAGACATGTGTGCTGTCATTGTCCGTGTAGAGCGCGAACGTCGTTGGCCGATTGGGCAGTTCGTGGCACGACTGCAGTATCCGGATTGCTATCTCGCCACGGTTGGCGATCAGTATGCGGGTGATGGGCCGCTGGGGTGGTGGTTGTGGTGGTGGTTGTGGTGGTGGCATTGTGTCCTGCCCAGGGGAGCGTAGCGTAGCAGTTACAGTATCTAATTTCCCTACGCCTTTGTCCGAGGCGACTTCTATGGAGCCAGCTCTGCCGTGCGAGGTCTCTCTATCTATACCAGGCGGAAACAAAGCGAAAGAGAGAAACTGTAGATCTACCCTGTCTACCTCGATGACATGACACAGGGACGAGCGAGCCGAACGTACTGTACGACGTATTTCCCCGGCTAACGTCGAGACGGTGGGCACCACTCCAACCACCTCCCACCCCCCTGAGCCGAGGCTGTTCTCCGGATTCCGTAGAATGTGGAGGGAACCGAACCGAGGATTAGCCCTCGTGCCATGTCAGGGCCCTTCAACCTCCCCGACTCTGCTCCAGAGGATTGTGGTTTCCTGGTGTAGGATTGACGTGCGAGGGGTATCCAGAGTACGCCGTCAGGATCCCGAGGAAGAGGTCGACAACGTCAAACGAGACGAGCGGAGAGGGGACTGATTGATTGATTTGGTCCCTGCTTCGCCTGCCCTGTGAGGATCAATCAGCTCGGGCGGATGACCACTCTTGATTCCGTATGGGTATAGACGTCGACAATACATGAGCAATCTCAAAGACAAACTCCTCAGCTTCTGGAACAGCATGACTTCGAAAAAGCGCGATGCCTCGTCATGGGGTGTCGGGGTCGACGATTCTGAAGGGCCGGCATCGACATCCACCATCAGCGATCCGGTTTCCTCGCAGCACACGAGCGCGCCGCCTCAACCTCGACCGAGTCCTCACAAGTCGTTCATAGGGCCCTCTCCTGGCTCCGGAGGCGCCGGTCGTGATGACCCCGTCTACTCACAGGCACCTATCGGAGGGGACTATCAAGGAGGCCAGCCCAAGAGCCGAGTCAATGACCCAGTGTATGGTCAGCCTGTCGAGGCAGAGGCCAAGCCTCGTCAAACAGCAACTCAGCAGGGTAATGGAAAAGGACAGGTAGATGCGGCGAACGACCCGGTTTATTCGCAGCCTCAAGCGTCGAAGGCTACGGTCAATGATCCCGTGTACGCACAACCGCAACCCGCACCGGCTGCCTCGGGCTCAGCAGATCCAGGCCCAGGACAAGGGAAGATCTCAGCGGCCGACGACCCTGTCTACTCACAATCCGCCAGCGGCAGCGGCGGTCCACAGACAAAGACCGTCGCCGATCCCGTGTACGGACAACAGGTGCCACCTCCATCCACGCCTGGTCAGCGCACTCCCGGTCTAGGGAAAGGCAACATCCCCCCAGCAGACGACCCGGTATATTCGCAATCGACGTCCAGCGCCTCGAGCCGGCTCTCGCAGCTGACCTCGCAAATCTCTCCACCGCAAAGCGAAAGCAGTGGGCCACAGTCCCAACCCAACACCAAACGGGCGCGCAAGCCCCAGAAGAAGAAGAAGAGCTCCGACCCGTCGTCGTCGCTGCCGGACGACTACAGCGACATCCTCGGCCACCTATCGACGCTCCGCGGCATCGCGCAGACGCCGGACCTCACGTCACGAGGCTACCAGCGGCAAAAGACCAGCGGCAAGCTGTGGTCGCGCGAACGCATCGCGCAGCTCCTCGACCCGGACACGTGGCGCGAGTTCGGGTCCGTGACGGGCACGGTCGAGTGGGAAAAGGACGCGACCAACCCGCAAACCGAGCACGTGCGGGCCTTCACGCCCAGCAACAACCCGCAGGGGTTCGGGCGGGTGACGGACCCGGTCACGGGGCAGACGCGCGCCATCTACCTGACGAGCGACGACTTCAGCATCCGTAGCGGTCACGCGGACGGGTCGGTGGCGATCAAGACGCTGTACGGCGAGAAGCTGGCCCTCCGACTCAAGGTGCCCGTGGTCAAGCTGGTCGACGGCTCCTCCGGCGGCGGCAGCGTCAGCACCATCATGACCAACGCCTACAGCTACATCCCGCACGTGACCACCCTCCGGCCCGTCGTGCAGCAGCTCAACATGGGCATCCCGAACATAGGCGCGGTGCTGGGCCCCGCGATCGGCCTGGGCGCCGCGCGCGTCGTGAGCACCCACTTCAGCGTCATGGCCGGCGACATTGGGAGCTTGTTCAACGCCGGGCCCAAGGTCGTCGAGGGCGCCACGTTCGAGGAAGGCCTGTCCTTCGCCGACCTCGGCGGGCCGGACGTGCACTGCCGCAACGGCACCATCGACAACCTGGCGCCCAACGAGGCCGGGTGTTTCCGCCAGATCCGCACCGTGCTGGGTTATCTGCCGAACTGTGGCCAGTTCGAGCCGCCGCCCTGTGTGCTGCCCTGCGCGGATCCCGTCGACCGCGAGGACCTCGCGCTGCGGTCCATCGTCCCGCGCAAGAAGTCCAGGATGTACAATCCGTACACGATCATCGAGTCCGTCGTCGACCGGGGCTCGTGGTTCGAGATCGGCGCCCTCTGGGGACGCACCGGCATCACGGGTCTCGCGAGGCTGGGCGGTCGGCCCGTCGGCATCCTGAGCCTCAACTGCGAGGTCAACAGCGGCGCCTTGGACGCCATGGGGAGCCAGAAGTTGATGAAGATGTTGAAGTTCTGCGACGTGTTCAATCTGCCCGTCGTGCAGTTTGTCGATGTTCGTAAGTCACCACCTCACCCATCATCTCCGATTCTTAGTCTCTCGATAACTGCTCCTGTTGCTATGTTCTTATTCTATCTGCTATCTACTATCTCTCTCTCTCTCTTACCAGCTGTATAACTGCATGCCCGTACTGACTCGATCTAGCCGGCTATGCTATTGGCACCGTCGCCGAACGCACGGCCACCATGAAATGGGGCGTCGAACTAGGCAAGGCGTACTACAGCACCACGACTCCCATCTTCAGCGTCATCACCCGGCGCGTGTACGGCGTGGCCGGCGGGATTATGCTCGATAGCCGCGAGCCGTGGATGCGCATCGCTTGGCCGTCGGGCAACTGGGGCTCGTTGCCTCTGGATGGGGGCATCGAAGTCGGGCATCGCCATGAGCTGAAGCAGATCGGGGAGAAGGAAGGGCCCGAGGCCGTCAAGAGACGGTACAAAGAGTTGGAAGACGAGTATATCCGGTTGATGAACCCCGTGAGGACCGCCACAGTCTTCAATGTCGAGGAGATTGTCGACCCAAAGGACACGCGGAGCATTTGCTGCCGCTGGGTGAAGCACATGTACGGCCTGCCGATGAAGGAGAGGTTGGCGGATCGGGCGAGTGGGAAGATCCATGCTGTCTTTACCTGACGTTGGAGAGGCGCGATACCAGTGATGAAAACGATCCTGTTTCCCGTTTTCACATATCCACAAGAGCAAGTCCTGTGTTGAGCTTGACACATAAGTGACGGCCCTTGTGTACGGCGTTGCTGCGCCTTCGGTTGCCGTGCCTTTCGTCCTTCTCTGCGAATCCCTTGGGCTGTTGGTCTGCAATGCTGCGGCGGCGGCGGCGTGTCTCGCTAAGCTAGGCGGCCACCCAAACCGTCCGCAGACGATTACTCCTTCTGCTCTTCCTTCTCCCTTTCCGTTTGGAGCTCCTCAAACCCAGTCGGAGCTTCCTTGATTTCCTTAGTACTCGCAATACCTTGCAGCGTCAGATACACGTCCGTGCCCCAGCCATACATACTCTGCACAGCAATGCCTCCGCCGAAATACTCGGCGTAGGCTCTCGAGAGGGGTAATCCGTATCCCAACCCTGCGATGGAGGACTGATCTGCTCCGGTACTCGAGAGGACGCCTAGGCCCGAGTCATCTTCGCTGCCAAGACTGCCGTCGGTGGCCGCGGCGGCCTCTTCATTGTTGAAGGTGGTGAAACTATAGGACCAAATGTTGGGAAGAGCTTCGGGCGGGATGCCTCCTCCACGGTCACGTATCCGCAATGTTATACACGGGACGGCCGAATGGAGTGGCCCCATGGGATCATCGGCGTCGGAGCAATACTCCTCCAACCCCTCCTGTGAGAAGTCGTACGAGTTCTCCTTGCTCACCGACATTTTCTTGAGAGATTCGAGCTTCGTGATGGCCACGTCGGGCGCGGACGCGATCGTGATTTCGATCGCTTCCTTCTCGTTGCCGCTCTCGATCGTCGCGCGGAATGCATTCTTCAAGAGCTCTGTGATGATGTACTCGAGGTGCATGGGAATGTGCGCAAATTCTGCGGCCTGGTCTCCCTGCATCACTAGCGACGGGCGCACCCCATACTTGTATTCGCACACCTCGGCTACAAACCCTTCACAACGGCGCACAATGTCTGCAGGTTTGACGGCAAGGTCGATGACTCCGACGTGGGTGGGGTCAGGTTTCTCCTTGATTGCATCGGCCGTTGACGCCATGTGCAAGGCCAGGTGCTGTTCAGCCAGCAGTCTGGTGCCGATCCGGGCACGCAGATGCTGGTCCAGGAACCGGGTGACTTCGGCGGGCTCGATGTATTTTCGACATTGCAAGAACCCCTGTGCGAGGATGGGAATGGTGTTAGAATGCGTCCGGACGAGATCCGCCATGGCATCTGTGAATTTCCTCTCATCTTCAATCGTCTCGATTGGCTTCTTGTAGAATGGCTCGAGCGTAGAGAGCGAGTGCAGATAGTTGTTGTATATCTTGGACACATTCGGGTTCGAGACCACGATGAAGGGAAGATTCCGGAGGGCCTGAATACGATGTGCGAGACGGGCGGGCAGGAGCGACAAGGTGAAGTTGGCGGACGAGAGGAGCGCAGCGTCTCGAAGCGGCGGTTTGCCATGTCTGATCAGTGTCAGTCACAGTGTTGGGCACACGGTAAAGCACACGGCACGGCTTTCATGGTACGTACTTGACCAGGTCTGCGAGGGTCAGTGGGCGGCGAGGCTTCGCTGCTAGCCGGTGTATCTCCTCGTCTGATACCGTGGCGTTGGTGGGAGGATGGGACCACTCGTTGTCCGGAGGAAATGGTTGCTCGGTCCCCTCTGTCGACGCCCATCTTCGCTGAAGAAAGGACCGGCGGACAACCCGCTGTCGCAGGGCGGTTTTCAACATGACGCACGTCTCATCGAGCCAGGCTGCGTCGCTGGGGACAACAACAGCTTGAGAGGAGGTTTACTGACAACACACGACACGACAGCATTATCTTATCGACGATCTACTCGTATCGACGCCAGCTTGTCGGTATGACGCATTTGTCTCCATTCTCCGCATTTCGAGAGGAGAAATGGACGTAGCAGAACAGCCTCACAGCCAAGGGCAAACCATTCCTCTTTGGCGTAGTCACCCAGTACTGGGTAGTTTTGTTCATTATCATTATGACATCTCTACTGTGTACTTGTACTGGGGCATGCTCACCCACTGCCGCTGGCAGCAACACCAGCATAACCCGAGAATTCTGCCTTCTCTTCCATGATCAACGGAATCTCGTCCTCCACGAGTGACTCCATCAACCGTTTCTCTTTGGGCTCCCATCCCAGCTGCCGCAGTCTGTTCGCTCTACTCCGCGAATTGGACCCGACCACCCAAGCTGTATATTTCCCGAACAGGTCATCGTAATCACTCTCCGGAATTGTCTTGGGTTCGTGGGATTTTATCCTGCCGGCGTCGTAGAGGACTTTGCCGATCACAGCGACAGCGTCCTTCCAAGCGAATTCATACCCGTTTTCGCAAAAGAAGTAGGGGTTTTCGAGGACTTTGGAAGCGTCAGTGCTCTCGAGCCAGTGAAGGAGGGTTAGATAGCCGCGAGCCAGATCCTTGACGTGAATCTCTGACCACAGTGATTCACCCTTTCCCACATGGCCGGCATACCCATGCTTGATCGCGAAGCGTGCTAGGGTCGGCAGTTGGATCGACAGCCGTTTATATTCGTGGTTCGCGCCATATATCAAGGGAGGGATCATGATGACCATCTTTGCTTGCGTGCCGAGTTTCTGGCGCGCGCGGACGATCGCTAGGTCGATCAGGCGATGGGAGGCAGAGTCCGGCAAGGCGTCAATATCCTCTGGCTTGTCGTCGTGAAAGACCTTGTCACTTTTATAGTTCCCCTTCGCGTCATCGCTGAGGAGAGAAGTGCCGCTTGTGTGGACGAATATCGTGGATTTGCCTTGGCTCGCACGTTCCTCGACCCCGGCAATAACAGCCTCTACAGAAGGCAGGTGGTCCGCCGTGGCGGTATGGATGACAATATCGCTTGCGACAGTCTGCTTGACAAGAGTATCTCTGTCGTCAAGATTGCCGAGGACGGTTTTGGCGCCCGAACGCTGAAGCTCGGCTGCATAGGATTCGCGCCTCGTAAGGGTTGTGACTGTGTATCCTTCGGCAAGGAGCAGGTCAAGCACCTCGCGACCAATGAATCCGGGTCCGATGAGAAAAACGTCTTTTCCCGGCGCTGCCATGGTGATGAGAGGTGATTTTGGATGATGCGACTGTGGTTATGGAGAATCTGTGATAGCAACAAGAGTTATGTCCCTACGCATACTGGGTATTCACGAGCCCTCTCCTGACAGGCAAACTTATATATCTTGCGTCATTGACTGAACATCTGGACTCCAACCTCTCTCAAACTGTGCGGCCCCTCAGTGGGGTTGATATGGACGGGTTGATTTCCTGCTGGGTGCATGATCTTCGCAGTTTCTGTTTTCCATGACAGCGCCCACAGGCCGAGAGTCGATCTCGGACCGCCAAATCCGGGTGAAAATGCCAGATGGTTAGAAATGCGACGCGCTATGGTGGAAAAGCTTAGAAGACGGTGAAAATCTTCAGTCGACTTTCATGTGGGTAATTTGCTGCAATTGGATGGATTGAAAGTCTCATTACCAATCTGGGTGGCATTGACATTGTACTGTGTACCTGAGGTGGTTGATCAGGCCGTTAATAGTGACTTTACACAGCAAAATACACCACATTTTCTACTGCATTGGCGAGGCTTCCTTGTTCGTGGGTATGCTTTTGTGTGTTGGTAGGGACCTGAGAACGCTGCTCTTGACAGACAGCCTCTCGGGGTCTACCAAATGATTCGCATCTCGGGGCATTTTGGACGTCGACCTATACTTTCAGCTCTCGTCAACAACGGCTTCCAGCGCAGCCACTTTCTGTGCCGTGCAACTTCGGGCACCCTGGAGAGTAGAGAGGGGATTCTCCTCTGCTAGCTTTGCTGGCGGCAGATGGCATGAATTTGCCACCGACCATTTGCTGCCGGATGGTTGGCGACTGCGCGGCTGGCATGGGTTCAACTAACAGAAGCAATGGGTAGATGGGAGATTCAGCATGTTGAGCTTGAAGTCCGCTACGATGTCCAGCTACTTAACCCGTCTTAACTCCTACGTTCCCCTGCCATTCCAACCCCGTACCCAGCGCTGGCGATATCGAGGGGTGAACCATGTAGCCGTGGCAGGAATCCGTTCGATCGCTCACAGGACTTGCTTTGTTACCAGCACTCAGGCCAGAAAGTCATGGCGTCCGGTTGATGGTGACATTTCAGGGGAGGACGGTTTCTCGGCAGCAGCCCTCTTTACTACATCGTCTTTGACCGCACTACTTTGAGAACAGGAACGGGAGCCGTTGGATCTGAAAGACATATCTCGGGATGCCTAATGTTGAGCAAGTGAAAGTACATTCTCGTAGAATCAGATAGAGTGACCGCTCCGATGCCTCGTACAGACAAGTTGCCTTGTTGCGTATCCGACCATCGACACGTTGCTTGTTGTGGCGAAATGATCGATGTAGATTCGGAGCATCGTAACAGGCTAGTTTCTCGTACAAGAGAGACTCGAAGGAGATGTGAAGGGTTCGAGAGAGAGTTTGGTGGCGCCCGTGCGTCGGCGCCTCACACGTGATCCTAACTTCAACCGACGTTCATCGCCATTTCACAGTCCACTATTCTTATCTTCCACCACAACAAGACACAAGATTCGGATCGTTTCCCAAGCTGCCCCGGAAACTGAAAGTTATGCCAAGGTAGCCCCTGCGGAAGCTGCCACCAAGATGGCACTGCCTCTTCCTGGCTCCCCCTCGTCGTCATGGGCCTTGTTCGCTGAACGTCTAAAGCACACCTTCAGTGGTGCCTCTCCACGGGTCTGCATTGCTTTCTGGCTCTTTGGTAAGTGGCATCTAGATCTGTTAGTAACAAAGTTACGAGTGTGCTCTATACCTCCAGGCTCCTGGATATCAATGCTGACTGTGCGCAGGGTTGATCAATAACGTCCTCTATGTGATCATTCTCTCCGCTGCGCTCGACCTTGTCGGCCCTGATGTGCCTAAAGGAGTCGTACTCCTCGCCGACGTCATTCCCTCTTTCGGGGTCAAGCTATGCGCACCCTACTTCATCCATGTCGTCCCCTACTCGGTGCGAATTTTGGTCTTCGTGGCCTTGAGTGCCACGGGAATGCTCCTGATTGCGCTCACGCCTGGCTACACGGATGGTGGAACAATCACAATGAAGCTGGCTGGAGTAATTTTGGCGTCGTTGAGCAGTGGTGGAGGTGAATTGAGCTTTCTGGGTCTGGTTCACTATTATGGTCCATTCAGTCTCGCGGCATGGGGGAGTGGCACAGGTGGAGCAGGATTGATAGGAGCTGGCGCATATGCGTTAGCTACCACGACGCTTGGCTTCAGTGTCAACACCACCTTGCTGGCTTCTGCCTGCTTGCCAGCGGTGATGCTGTTGTCTTTCTTTCTGGTTCTTCCTTTGGAGCCCCTTCGGTCGCACGCTAGGACCCACGACGGTTATGATTCTCTCGTCAGAGATGATGACAATGAGCAAAGGGAGGGGCTGCTTTCCTCCCCAGGTAGCCCGAAACCGGCCTTTGCTGGAAAGCCTCAGACGTCTGGCTTGTCATTGTTTAGACGCAACTTGGCTCGAGCTAGGGGATTGTTCCTCCCATACATGCTCCCTTTGCTCCTGGTCTACATCGCCGAGTACACCATCAACCAGGGCGTCTCGCCAACTCTTCTCTTTCCCCTTACGCAAAGCCCGTTCAAGCATTTCCGGGCTTTCTATCCGACCTATAATGCAATCTACCAAGCGGGCGTCTTCATTTCAAGGTCGTCGACGCCATTCCTGCGCATTCCCAATCTATACCTGCCGTCGTTCTTGCAGGTGGTCAACCTGATTGTGCTGACGCTCCATGCGCTATTCAACTTCATTCCGAGTGTATACATCGTCTTTGCCATCATCTTTTGGGAAGGGTTGCTGGGTGGTCTGGTCTATGTAAACACTTTTGCAGAGATCAGCGACAAGGTTCCAAGGGAAGACCGAGAGTTTTCGCTATCTGCGACCACCGTCAGTGACTCTGGCGGGATTTGTATCGCAGGCTTTCTCGGCATGGCGTTCGAGGTCTGGTTGTGCAATTGGCAAGTTCGCCATGGGAGGGACTATTGCAAGAAATTGTGACACCAGTCAGCCGCATTAAACTCCCCTGAGACCGAAACTACTGGCGGAACGGCTTGAAGGATGATTATTTGATGGAGCTATGAAAGCGGTGCCATGATAGGTATCCTTGCCAGGGAGGAAGAACGACCCGGAACAGGGTCTATCGTCATCATGATAATCATCGTACCGATCTAGATGCACCAGGACGAATTCGAGTAAACATGCAAGTGCTGCAAGGCGTGAGATGCTGGGTCGCGACGGATTTTCCCCTCGCCACCAATGGGGGTTTGGGGATATATTTACTCCGGGGTTTGTCTGCGTGGCGTGTCCAGCACGTCCCCGGCGAACCCTTATTTTGTCAGCGTGCAGATGATGGGAGTGGCAGAAGCCAGCAAGTGGCAGCAAACCAAACCACAGCAGCGGCACTGAACGGAAGTGGATGCAGTCGCCGTCGCGAAAAGACCATCTAGCATGCGTGCACCTCGACGGGGAGCTCATTGTGTCGAGCAGCCGTTCGCAAAAACGATGATTTCAGAAAGCTTCCCAAAGAAACTTCCCATGTCACAAGCTCACAACACGAAGGCCTTGATCCTTGCACACCGACCTCGGCCCCCAAGTAAAGCCATGTCAGGGCCCAGAACCGTTCGGAAAAGAAACGTCATTGGCAAGCTGCAGCTCTCCTGTGGCGGGCAGGCGCCCGTTTAAGCAGTGTTTAGCCCTGGAAGCTTTTAGCTAACGAGCAGAAGCATCCACACCGGGCTCCCCTGGACGCCAAAGCGATCATTGTGCCTCTGCGCCCTGCGGTGGAGAAAACTTCGACCTGCAGCGGAGCTCGGATCCCTGTTCGGTGGATGGGCCGGTCGTTCAGAGGTGCATTCTTCACTGGTTGGCGGGTGGTGATGACAGGCGTCACCTTGGGCTTGTCCGAGCACGCTTCGTCCTCGCTGTCCTCGGGCAGTCACAGCTCCTTTTGCTGCTGTTCCTGCTTGGCTGGTGCCCCGGAAAGCTGTCGCGCTGCCCTGGTTCCACAGCCTGGCGTTCCACAGTTGGCGATCCACCGCAAGCCAAAATCGCTGGCGACACGGCATCCACATCACATTTCGCATGATCCATCCTCACCCTCGATCCTCGTTTTCATCTTTCGTCCCCGTCGACGTCCACGATGCACGATATCTCTCCGGATTTTTCCCTTTTGGTATTCACGACATAACGATTCCACGTTGCTCTCGTGCTTGTATAGTTCTCTCGGGCGAGACTCCTTTGCATCATTGACCTCTGATCTCTTCTCCAACTCGGGTCGCGGCAGTATCCACCTCGACTTCGCTGCAGCCTCCACACCCTGCTGCTCCCTGTTGATCATCGCCCAGCGCCTGAAGGTCGTCGGCTGCTCGCTGGCGCACGTCGCAGACAACGAGGTCTTCAGACCATCATGGCGATGCCCGGCCATTCGCCTCCGTTCAACGGGCCCTCAAGCCCTCCGCGTGCATTCACTGGTACGTGTTCACTCTCCTGACGCAGTTGGGCAATAATTCGGGTCGCACACTTGTGGTTGATCATGCGCCAACTCATTACTTCATGCTTCACCACTCACATCACACTTCACTCTCGGCGCACCATATACTTGGACCACTGTATCTGACACATCTTCTTAGGGTATCCCGAGCATCAACAACCGCCGCTGATGTTTGGTCCTCCTCGCACCATGCTGCCGCCGTCTCCACAGCATTTTCCTCCTCCCCGGTTTTCTCAGCCTCCAGTGCAACAGAACTCTGGTGCAACCGTTGCGACCAACGGGCCGGCGGCCCCTCATAAGCGACCAGGAAGTAGCATGTCAATATCCTCCATGCTCGGCGCTGAACCAGAAAGACCTCTGCACGATCCGTTCCACATCCACGGTCAACCTGCGAGACCGCAGTCTGGGCCGTTTTCACATCACGGACCGTCAATGTCACTTGGCGCGGTCATGTCGCCGCCTCATTACTCGGGCAAGACGAACACAACTGAATATTCGTACAAACCGAGGTCAAAGACTCCTGACAGGGCTGCGGGCCAGTCACTGGGGGTGAGAGCCCAACGTTCGAGTTCAGGGAGCATGACTCAACGCCCTGGCCCTTTCTACGAACCGACCCCACGATCACAGCCGACCCAGCCGAATACTTTCCATGAATCCAAATACACCCCTCCGTTTGGTCCCGTAACAGGACACAGAGACGAGTTCGAGGATCGAGCTCGACGCACGAGTATCGGTGGCATTTTGCAGAGACCCGAGAGTCAGCCTCAACCAGCCCACATGTCACCGTCGTTTCCTACGTCTCACCCACTCAGTCGACCCGAGAGCATACCTCCCTCCCTGGCGCCAGTTGATCGGCCGGCCCAGCAGATAATGCACGGACAGGACCCCCCTCGCTCGAATGGCGGCACGAGTCACTATGACACGCGCCCGCCTGGCTTTTCGACCCTGTCGCGAGTTCCACCGTCTGCGCCTCCACCAATGTCGGCTCCTCAGGACCGCCCTCTTACTCAATCTCTTTCTCCAGAACTGAGAAGACCTCATCTGAATGGTGGTGAGGGTCGACTGGCAGGAATACTGAATCAACAAGGTGATCCCCTTTTCGGGTCCCAAAACATGATGCGGCAAGACTCGATTCAATCACAAAGCGACCGATCTGTCCTTGGGGATCGTCTCCGTAACAACCGAGCTTACTCGCCGTTTGCAGGCTCCGTCGCTTCGGGGCCCTTGGACGACCCAGTGCGCAAAGGTAGCGAAGAATTGTCGCAACACAGGACCATCCTTGGCTTGGCGAACGAATCCAAACGGGGGAGATATTCGCCCGTCCCGCAGGCTGTCCAAGGAGCGCAAGCCCAGACTCCAGCACCCGATGCAGGCATCAAATCCGAGCACGGTCGGGTGTTCGCTGGTATCGGCAGTGGATTGGGATCTGCTTCAGCCGGTCCTACTCCAACACCTCAGCCTCTCTCCGCTAGCCCTTTTAAGCGCGATGAAGGTGGTGCTCGCTTGAGCGAGGAGAACCTGTTGAAGATGTCCCGAAGTACGTCCGGCATCAGCAAGCGGAATCGCAAGGCGATGGAAGACAACAACCGAGCTGAAAGTGACGCAGGCGACGCTAAGAAAGGCCCTGGTCGAGGCAAAAGAAGCAAGTACGCACACTCGTACAAGCTCGACCTGGACGATACCGCTCCGGGACAAAGGAAGAACGTTGCATTTCCACTGTCTAATTTCGGTCGTCGCGCGGCCACCCCTACATCCAATCCGTCACAATCACTCCAGAATTCTCATTCCCAGCTACCGGCGTCTGCGGCAGCACGGCAGCTCAACAAGTCCAAGAAGACGATCAAGATATCCACTGTCGTAACACAGGCCGCACGCAATCGACGTCGTCATCTTGGGATTTTCAAGTATGACCCTGTGGTGTCACAGCCGAACAGCATTCTACCCCATCAGGAGAAGTTTGATGTTTCGATCCGGCCAAATCTTCTGCCTTCTTTTTCAGATCCAGAGCAGATCAACTGTACTTATACGGTCAAAGTGTCCCGGATGTGGTTACGGGAACGAGAGAGACATCTCATAGGTCGCGAGCAATACCTTTGGGGTTCTGGGATCTATACGGACGATTCCGATCCCCTGGCAGCGGCCATGCATTCGGGTTTCATCGAGTCCGCGCGTCCCAACGACGCCGTTCTGGAGCGGTTGATCGAGGAACAGAATCCCAAAATCGAAGGGCTGGCAGCGCCGGTCAAGCCGGCAGCTGTGTCGGAGGGTAAAGATCTGCATATCACGTTGGTCGTGCTACCACAGCTGGAAAGCTATACGGACAGTGTGCGCTACGGGATCAAGAGTCGAAGCTGGCCTGAGCGTGAAAAAGAGGGTGCGACTCCAGCTCCTCATGACGGCGTTAGTTTCATGGTGCTGAAGACGGAGTTTTTGGACGACGGGATCATGAATCGACGTGTTGGCAGAACGGGCAAGGAAAAGCGCAAGCGGCTGCGGGAAGAATTAGCGGACCGCAAGCGTTCATTCGAGATTCGGGACAAAATGGTTGAGATTCAAGCCAGAAACAGAGAGAAGAAGTGGAAAGAGCAACGACAACAGAAATCAGCCCAAACTACCGGCGCCAGAGCCTCCTTGAAGCCCGACGAAGAAGGGCTGAAAAGCTACGCTGGCTTTTCTCGTTTGGTCAAACCGTCGGACGAGAGGGAAAACCACGTGCCCAGCAACAACACAGGCGATCGAAGCAGTGCCACGCTGGAGGGAGTTGGGCACAACCCTGAGGAATGGTTCAAGCAACTCAACGACTCGGCAACGCCGGCAGAGCTCGCCGCCACCGCCAGTGCTTAGCGCGCTTGTCGGCAGTCTGCTCTGCTTCTAGATGCAAGATATGCGTGCAGTCAATGTTTCCGTGAGTGGAATCGACAGCTGGAGAGGGCGTGGATGGAAAGCAGCACGAAGAGGACCCCCATGGATATGCGCAGACACGACAGATTGAGAGGTGGTTTGGGATATGTTGACATCTGGTTAGGAGGCATCATTTGGCATGCCGAGATACCATTATTACATGGCAATTAGTAGCGACAGGCGCTGGAAGTTAGCGAACATGATACTCCGATCACTCTGACGCTATCGAATCTATCCCTGCTTGCTCTGTCAATGATTGGACGGAATTACGCGGAGAAGATGGACGGATGCATGTGCTGTGGGCGGCGAATCGTTCACGTCCAAATGGTTCTGATCTGAATATTCATTCCAATGCTCATCGTCTGCTCGTCCTGGTTTCCTCGGTTTTCATTTCTTTGGTCGTTTTCCTCTCCTGTTCGTATCGCGCACCCTCCTTCTCTCCCCTCGCTTACAATGAGCAGCTCCGGCTCCCGCCTGTGGACTTGCTCCCGATGTCTGCGTGTACAGAAACTGCGGGGTACATCTGTCGAGTCCAAAGCCAGGCCGGTTCGTCGCAGTCGCCACCCTTTTTGCACAACCGCCGTCTCTCGGGGTGATGCGACCACGGAGACCAAAAAAGATGTTACACGTCGATCGAAGGATGGCACTCAGGCTGCAGAAGAGCAAGGAGCCATGTCTCGCAGGCTGGCCGAGATGGCAGAGGAGACAATCGACACTGGGAGCAAAAGCGACCGCAAGTTGATGCACGACGCGGGTTTCTCGGAGGAGTTAAAGCAACAGCTGGAAGAGAAGATAGCTCAGACGAGCTTCGACGCGCAGAATCAACGCGCTGCGAGCCAAGTGAACATGCCTGTACGCACTGAACACCACGCCCCCATCGACCACTCGGTACTGATATGCATCTTAGAGCTCGGCAGGGAAAGGCACCCGCGACATCGCCGGCGCAGACCCATGGACCGGGAGCGAATCCCTCCATGACTCGGCCCTCCGCATGCTCGACGACAGCCACAAGAGACTCCGCACACCCTACAAGCCTCCTCGCCCTCAGCCTGTGAACTTGCGGCCCGCGCCGAAGAAGAATGTCTCGGCGGCAGACCGGCTCGCCAATGCGCGCGACAAAACCTCCATATATGCATTCAGCCAGCAGAACGACATGTCCGAACAGGAACGTGAGAAATGGCGCAAAGAACTGAAAGATCGCTTCTCCCCCGGCGCCCGACCCATGCCGACTACAATCACGGGGTTGACGAGTCTTGCGAACGAGCGCATCGAGGACGCCATCGCGAGAGGCCAGTTCAAAAACCTGCCGCGAGGCAAGGGCATCAACGTGGAGCGCGACTACAATGCCAACAGTCCGTTCTTGGACACGACCGAGTACTTCATGAACAAAATCATCCAGAAGCAGGAGATTGTGCCCCCGTGGATTGAGAAGCAACAAGAACTCGTCAAAGCGGTGGCCAGCTTCCGAGGACGGTTGCGGAATGATTGGAAAAGACACGCCGCTAGAATGATAAGTAGTCGGGGTGGATCTGTGCAGGATCAAGTCCGGCGCGCGAGGGGATACGCTCTGGCGGAAGAACGCGTGAATCCGAGACCGTTGCGACGGGTGGAGAACTTTTCACATATAGCCAGCGACGGCACTTTAACTACTGTTACCGTGGAGGAGAAGATCGCTGCCGGTGTGTCGGCCGGTGAGCTTGAACCTCAGGCACAGAACAAGGCGGACGAGCTGCTGGAGCACGAGCAAAACCGGGATCACAACCAGGAGCCTGGCCAGGAGCAGGTGGAGATCCAAATCACCGAGCGACCCGCTGAGGATGCTCCCATCGCTACAAGCGGTGTGTCCGCGGCGCCGGTGTCAGCGATCACAAGCCCGACACCCCCTACCGGAACATCTTCGTCCTCCTCCTCCTCTCCCTCTGTTCCTCCCGTCCTCCCTATGCAGCACCCCTTCCGCGATCCAGCCTGGCAGAACACCGAACTGGCATACCACACGCTCGCGGTCCAGGAACTCAACGCCCTGACGCGCTCGTACAACCTCATGGCTCCCAAGATCGCCCAGAAACCCTACTTTACACTACAGCGTGAATTGGACCGCTGTTTTGCGGACGTGGCGCCCCTGCTGGGTGATGAGATCTTGGAGCGCAGTCGCCGACCCGCAAAGATCAGGGTCGAGGTGCGCGGCCATCGAGAGGGTGGCGTGCTGGACCGGTTTGGCGAGGAGTGGACCGGCCATGAGGGCCGAATTCGAGACGAGAGGGCAGAGAAAGGGTATGGGTTCCGGGAGTTTTGGAGGGACTTGTTCGGTAAGGAGAGGGGGGAGGCAAAGGGGAGGAGGGATGTCGTGTAGCGAGGCGCTACGGAGTGTGCGTAGTGTTGGCTGGTGTCGCGCTGCGTGATGAATAGTGGGTGAATTGGCGGTGCGTAATTCAATCATCTTGTACAATTACATCATGTTGGAAGAGGATATTAGCTGGTTCGTTTTGCCGGCCGGCCAGGATAACGCGCCCACGACAGATAAGAACGGCGTTTCATAGATGAAGACTCCCCGTACATGAGATGGAGAGGCATGATATACAGCAGGAGAAGCTGTACGATACGCTTGAATCTTTTGCACCAAGCGGAACAGATCACAGAGCAGATCACGGAACAGACGACAGAGCAGATCACAGAGTCAAGATGCCGAGTACGTACCTAGCTACGTAGTGACGTGTGTGTGTATCTCTGTGTGTGTACATACCTAGCTACATGTGTTGCGCGCGCGTGGGTGTGTGTGTGTGTGTGTGTGTGTGTGTGTTTTGAATTGAATTCGACTATCGATCTGCCTCTACTTCTACCTCTACTTCTCCTGCTCCTGCTGCTGCAGCTTCTCTTGCTGCTGCCAACCCACTAACTACTCGTACGTAAGTAAAGCTTGAACCTGACCTGAGCCCTGGACTCTGCGCTACCTTGACTTGACTTGGACCAGGCGCGTGGACACGATCATCCCCTCCCTCCATTCTCCACCAAACGCACCACTGTAAGTTAGACCGTTTCGTCACCCACGTTGTACAGTCCTCGGCAACCGTGTCCCCTCGCCAAAGCTCGCGTCTCGTCACGTCGGATATGCACACACATACACACACCCCTCTCGCGATATCCCCAGCCAGCAAGTCCAGCACGGTATTAGGTCGGACAGGAAGAGATTGTCGACTTGGAATCGAGGGGAGTGCGCCATCACTATCTTGTTCGGATCGAAAGTAGTGATGATGGTGGTGGCGATGATGATAATGATGACGATGACGGTGAGCCGGCAAACTGAATCAGAAAGACGTGATGCTGGGCTGGACGAGAATAGACAAAGTCGACGGCGAAGATGCCAAGAGAGTACGGAGTAGTGATGGTGGTCGATGGGTAGGTAGGCATAGGGCTCAGCGTCGGTCCTGTAAGCACCGCCTATCCCAGGACGGAACCGGCGATGAAGCCGCCGAGGGCGGCGAGGCCGACGAGCCAAGCGAGGATGAGGAAAATCATGGTCTGGTTTGTTTGTTATCGTTGTTGGAGGTGTCGGAGGTATTGTTGGAAAGTGATGAGCTGGTGGTGAGGTGATAGAGTAGGGTAGCTTTGTGGACTGTGGACGCTGAAGCTGAGAGGAAATTGTGCTGATGAGTTTCAAGCAGAGGAGGGAGGAAGGCCAGATTTTTATAGCGTGTACTCTCGCAGGCATGACCGGTCCCTCTGGCAAAAAGTAGCTCACGAGCACTGAATAGAGTTTGAGAGTTGTGGTGGTTCTGTAGATGAGGCTTTGGCTGAGAGGCCTCTGCTTCAGATACTTCTGCTTAAGAGGCTTGTGCCTCAGAGATTTCCGCTTGTGAATCTCTGGTTGAGAGGCTTCTGCTTCAGAGAATTTTCCTTCCGAGGCTTCTGCTGAGAGACTTCCGCTTGAGGTAAATTTGCTATCCAGATTCAGGTCCGGAACCATATGGATGCTGAACTCTTCGTCGCTGAGCCGTGTGGGAACCGCGACAATTAAGCTACAGACTTTCGATAGGTATGTCTTCGAGCCTTACGATAGTGGATTGCTATCGGTCAAGTCGGGAATGCGCGCAACCTGAAAATTTTCAAGGTTATCATCGGCAGCTTTGATCAGTTGTTCCATTCCTTTACCAAGACTGACTGGTCCTTCGTCGTTGGAGAATCTGTCCGTCCGGTATGGGCAGCCGGTCCAAGAGGTCAGGATTCGTCTTGAACTCCGGGCTGTTGATCACGTCCTGCGCCTTCGACATGTTCCTTTCGATGATGATCCCGGGCACCTCGCCACTGAACACAGCACCTTCAGGGTACCCAGTCAGATCATTCGCAGCGCTTCCGAGAACTTTGGCCAAATACCTCATCAACGAGGTCAGTGCTCGGCATTTGGTCTCTTCGTTCGAGTCTCGTGTGGTTTCTAATGTGGTGGATATTATGGCTGGCATGTAGTAAGGTAGGACGGCAGTTTCGTTGACGTTCCCATCCACGTTCAATCCTGTGACGAGCCGTTCCTTGTTCTGATCATCTAACGCGTGGAACGCTTCTTGGAACAACTCGGCCTGCTCTTTGTCCGCCGTCCGGCCCATGGTGAGCAGTCTGAGCAAGGCCCGTTCTTCTCGGTCGCTAACACTCAGCCGGCGAAAACCCTTGATAGAAAGCAAGTTGCCCCGCTTCGTGAGGACCTTGTCATAGCCTTGCCTTGGGTTGGAGTTCCCCGCTATGATATCGAGGGAGACCTCGTGGACGGTTTTGAAGGCTTGGAAGACGGGCTCGATGAAATTCCTCGACCCGCTCCAGTCGAGATGACCTAGTGCGCCGGCAACATCAAGGATCTGCTCCATGAATTTGAGTTCGAACGCGTGTTCTTTGCCACGCATGTTAAGTAGTCCTTCGAGGTTGACGGGCACGCTCTCAGCTTGGGCCAGCTGACCGGCATTCAATTCAGATCCAAGCTCCAGGCCGAGCATGATTTCCTCTCTCTTTCCAGGGTTCAGGTAATCTAGGGCGGGGACCATGCCGGCCTTTGCTGACTCTAGCAGGAGCGAGTCGTGATTCTGGTCCGGTAAGCGGCTGTGAGTGTGGAAGTAGTAGTCTTCCTCCAAGTTTGGGTCTTTCCCCAAGTCATTAATGACCATGGACAGGACCAGGGCGAAGAGGTCATCTAGGTCTCTGATACCGGTGACAAAGAGCTGATAAAGCCATTCGAAAGATTCCTCAGAGAGCCGGGTCTCTGGAGGCTGGGGCCGTGTAAAGCGCTCGTAGTCGCGATTGTGAATCCACCGAAGCGCAAGGATCCCGACCAGTGTCCGATTGACCTCATCGTAGTTACACCCGTAGAGAATCTGCGAAGGGCTTGGGCCGTTCGCACATCCATTCGCTGCTGCGCGCTGTTGTTCTGTCCCCTCGACAGCCTTTGCCGCCTTCAGTCGCTCGAACTCGGGTTCGAAAGCGTCTTTGATTTGATTGAGAATGGTAGGCTCGTCCACGGCGTAGAATTTCCCGGCGCCTATAGTCTCCTGGAGAGCGCAGCGCGGTTGAAGATCGACACTCATCTGGAATTTCGGGCACCTCTCATAGAATACGTATGCGGTCGGTCGCCCAAGCATCTCGCGATCACTGGCATGATCAAGAACGACGGGGTCCTGACTGGAGTGACAAGGTGACAGTCCGTGTACCCGTGTATGCGTTTATGCCGAGAGACAGGTTGCGCAACCGGCTGCCGCCATCTTATTGAAGTCACGAAAAGGAAAAGAGTGGGTGAAACGATGCACCTGCCATGTGCCTGTGGCTGTGCGGGATGCGAGATTGCTCCTTTATTGCCCACACCGCAAACGGAGTTACTGCATGCTCTTCCAGCAACCGCAAAGTCGACAATAGGCGTGGAAGCCGGTAGATGAAGTGTCGAGAGAAAGTGAAGGACAAGGCTGACTTCAGGTCTGTGAACTGGACTGAGGCGTAGCAGTTGGTCGAGTCGAGCAGTGGGCGATGCGGTGCAATAAGCGAAGCGAGAACTTTGGCAACTGGGGATTCGAGAATCTCAGCTCGTGACCATGAGTGGCCAGTGCCACAGCAATGCCTCTTTGATCTTGTTGGTCGGATCGCTTAGGCCCTTGGCAGGCACTGACATCCAATGCGACAGCGACCTCAGACCTCGCCGACTTTGCCGAATACATATTAATGGAGACATCACACGACTATCTGAGTGAGACCTAAGCGTCGACCAGACGCGGGATCTCATACATGAGGCCTAGATAACACCTCGCCATATTGGGGCTGCAACATGGGACACCGACATGGGGCTGAGAGTGAAGTGAAGGCGAAGTGAGAGCAGACTGCGGATACACTCTGTTGCCGGAACTTGTCGGGGCAACCATCTGGCAACCAACTTGAATCATCAGTGACATGGCAGGGACTCATTTCAAATGAACTGTTGATTGCGGCATTGTTGGAAGCTGACTCGACAAGACCTGATGAGAGAGACCTGTCTCCACGCCAGTATCTCTGCATCAGCGTCAATCGATGGAGAGTGGCAATAGCTGCCCAGAGCACGCTCGCAGAAGTGCAATTCGCGGGACAAACAAGACGCCAGGGAGCTGCCTGGAATGCCTCATCTGCGAAGGCAGTGAATGTCACTTCCATGGATACTGGTGCCATCTTCAAAGGAACAGGCTTTCGCGAGTCCAAAGTCACTACCAATTTTCACAGATACTACCCGGCAGTGAGAGTGATGCCAGTCGCGCTACTTCAACTTCAAAAGAGACCTGGTCTACCGCCATCATGTCAACCAGCGCTCCATCTGTCCAACCTCAATTCCGCCATCTTTCTTGCACCCTCCCCCCCCCCCCCCAAACACATCCGTACTAGCATACTTTGGTTCTGTGCCTCCTCAAGACCGCCGACCCGCCACGTGTCAGTCTACCTGACCCACAGTCGTGCAATATGGAGGGTTCCGGGACCGACGGCAGAAAGCAAGCAGCCGGGTCGAATGACCGTGCCTCAAATGCCTCCCTCGTTGACCAGCTCGATGTCAGCGCACCTCGCAGAAGCAAACGCAAGCCGAGCTCCCGCCCGCCCAAGTTTTTGAATGCTATGGACCGTCGAACGGAAAATGGCATGATCGTCCCAGCGCCGCCTCCTGTCATTCGTACTGAGGAGAATGACCCGACGCCCTCTCTTCCTTCTGTGGTTGCCGCTGTCCAGCGAAAGAATCATCACAAAACGAAGCTTCCGCCGAAGAAAAAGCAGAGACTCGACACGACCCAGCAGACACAGCCGCCTCCACCAATTAAGCCTAAGGCCGCTTCCAAGCGAGATCCAAAGCTCCCCGAGACTCCTGCGCAGGCGGAGAAGTGGGATAAGATGTTGTGGGAAAAGAAGCTCGAAGGCAAGGGTTGGAGGGAGATCGCCGAGGAATGGGAACGGTTGACAGACACAACGACCGAGATAACGGACCAAATCAAGGAAAGCGACGCCATTATCAAGCGGCGTCAGCTCATCGATCGACTCGCTGTCCGCTTCGTCATGCTCAAGGAGAACTATGCGGCGTCCGGCACCATGGAAGCAAGTTGTCCCTCCTCTCTTACTCCCTTAATGTTAATAACACTCCGTGCGCAGCTCCCCGATTCATACTACGAAGCCCATCCCCATGATCTGAAGTACCAGTACATATCTAACCGAAAGCGACAGGATGTCAAGCTGATCCGGATCATGGACAAGACCAAGGCGCAGCTAGACGAAAAGTTGTGGGAGACTTTCTGTCGCAACTACAAGGAGGACGAAGGCCTTGAGATCTCAGTGACTGAAGCGCGTAGACGTTACGAAGCTCTCATCAATGGTGTCAGGAAATTGAAGCCCACTGCGAGTGAGGAAAAGGACATGATCAAGGTCAAAAAGGAGATTCGACGGGAACCTGTTGCGATCAAGCACGAGGACGATGACTGAATGATGGGAAGCAGGACATACGAACCACGACTTGTTGTAATTAGCCATACCTTTATCATGCGGGTTCTGAGTCACCTTAGAGTGTCCTCACATTAGGTGAGGATGTCGCTATGTATTCCTCGGCCTGGAAATGACGTCTCTGAGGTCTCTTCAGGAAATCACCGTGCTACAGTAAGTCCTCGATGAGCTCGACTTCCCCGCCTTGAAAAGGCCGCATCAGATCCGATTTCTTACTCGTACAGCCTGTGCCAGCTCGCCGGGTTTCTCCTAGTGGTGCACTAAGTGTAGATCGCACGCCCTTCGTCCTCTGCATTTAATAGCCTCATTTTTAATCCCGAGCATCCCATATTCGGCCCAGTTTTCTCTTGTCATGGAAATGTGGCTGTCTCGAAGCCATCATAATTGCTGCCACAATGACTTCGGCCGGCGTATTGACTACGCTTGCATCACGAGAATCCATTCAACTGCACGGTGCCGAGGATGACTCCCAGCTCGAACGTGTGGTCACGCCGGCCGATGCTCAACCCGCTATGCGACCGATATCGCGAAGAAGGCAGACAAGCATACTCTTCTGTGCCTTCTTTGTTGTCTTCGTGACCATTGGGCTGAACCAAGCCTACGGGGTCTTTCTCAACTACTACCTATCGGGCGGAAGCAGCCCGAAAGATCCATTCTTGCCGAAAGACCAGGTCTCCAGCAAAGCAATGCTGGCTTTTGTTGGGACTCTGGCGGCCGGCTTGACTTGGGGCGGAAGTATCGTGGTCAACCCGATAATGGCGCGATCGAAGGACCCGAGGTGGATTACAGGATCAGGTGCGGTCCTCATTGGACTGGGCTACGTGCTTGCGAGCTTTTGTCACAAAGTATGCCTTTTGTCTAAGGAGTCGCGTGTCAGATCCTAACGGCGCATGTACAGGTCTGGCAGCTCCTTCTTACACAGGGCTTGATCTATGGAGTTGGCACTTCGCTGGTGTACTTCCCGGTGCTTGCTGTGGCCCCAGAATACTTCGACGCTCATCGAGGCTCCGCTATGGGGTTCATCCTCTCGGGTGCCGGTGTTGGCGGATTGGTGTACGCACCTGCAGCGCGCGCTCTGCTGGCAAAGCTGGGGGCAGCTTGGACTTTGAGGGTCTTTGGCCTAGTCAACTTTGCCATCTGCATTCCGGTTGTCCTGGGGACACCGCCGTCAAGGAGTCTCTCAAAACGCCCCACCCTCGTGGACATCAGGCTTGCGAAGCGACCTACGTTCATCTTGCAGGCTATAGCTGCCATGGCTCAAGCGGCGGGAAATTTGGTGCCCATCACGTTCTTGCCTGAGTTCAGTACCAGGCTAGGCTACACTGCTGCATTGTGAGAATGTGCCAAGTGATGCATTTGTCTGAAGCTGACAGTCAATTCTATCAGTGGTGCGGCTCTCCTTTCGATAAACAATGCGGTAAATACGGTGAGTCGGATCGCGATGGGCTTCATCGCCGATGTTGCAGGCAGACAGAATACGCTGGTGCTCAGCGTGCTTGGGAGCGCAGTCAGCGTGGTGGCCTTCTGGCTCTCGAGCGCCTACGGCGACGACATGCGGCTGTGGATCACATTCGTGGTCACGTACGGTCTCTTTGCTGGAGGTAACGTCAAGACTCAATGCCGATAGTCTCTGCGCTTCCATTGACATGTGCAGGCTACAACTCGCTCTTTCCCACCGCGGTGATAGAAGTCTTCGGCGCTCAGGCATACGCCTCGGTCAATGGCTTCATTTACTTCATCCGTGGCCTTGGGGCTCTCTGGGGCTCGCCCGTGGGCGGTGCTTTGGTCGCAGAAGGGCAACATCCGACAGCATACATCACGTTGATCTGGTATGACTTCGGACTGCTGATGCTGTCTAGTATTTGCGTGATGGCAGTTCGCGGCTTGGACGCGTCTGAGAAAGGAAGATTCAAGTTGAAGGCTTGACCATGCAGGGCCGTTACAGCTGAATGTACAGTATGATATGAATTGTAGGATCGTGAGCACTAGAATCCCAACTCACCAAGTGACCGATATCGGACAGTGGAAATAGGCTTCCCCCGAGCCCCCCAACCCCCCTCAGCCCTCCCCCAGAGCGTTTGGGGCTACAGCCGCGATTCGGCAAGCTTGATTAGTGGTCGCCGGTGGTCGCGGGGGCGCCTAATTGGCTCGTCTAGGTGACCGCCCTGCGTCCCATCTCCACAGTTCTGCTCCGTTTCATTGCGGCCTCTCCGCACGCATCAGTCCACTGCTCACGAATTCACCTTGTCCACCGTTCTCACCTTCGATGGCGCCTGTCCCTTGTCTTTCTCGGTGAACCAGATTAGCGAAGCTGCCTTCACCTGAGCCCATCTTCGTCTTGAGGGATTGGATTCCAACGACGACTCCTCAAAATGAAGTCACTTCCCGCACGTCTTGCTCGGCCCCTCACGAGACCCTTGTTCCGCAGCTTCAGTACCTCAAGACAATGCCTTGCCGACCACGTGAGAATAGTCGAGGTGGGCCCAAGAGACGGTTTGCAGAATGAGAAGAGCTCAATTCCTCTCGAGACCAAGCTCGAGCTTATCAGACGGCTGGCGCAAACAGGCGTCACACATATGGAGGCAGGATCCTTTGTGCCTGCGAAATGGGTGCCACAGGTGAGTGGCCAGCTTCATCGATTGATGATAATTTAGCTGAGCAGAGCAGATGGCGTCGACGGCAGAGATACTGGAATCAGTACTGACCCAGCCACCGGCCGCGCCTCACGGGATCGCATATAACTACCTCGTCCCCAACATTCGAGGGCTGGACAGTCTCGTCAAGATCTTCCAAGCCAAGGGAGCGCAGAATCCCTCGGGCTATCCTACGCCACCCGCGTCTCCTTCGCCAGAACAGTCCGCGGGTCGAAATGCCAGGGTCGAGGTTCACTCTGGGAACTCGACAGAGGTGTCCTTGTTCGCAGCAGCCACAGAAACCTTTTCGCAAAAGAACACAAATTGCAGCATTGCAGAAAGCTTGGAGCGGTGCAAGCCGATCATGGAGCTTGCAAAGCAACACAACATCCGGGTGCGCGGGTACGTTTCAGTTGCCCTAGGCTGTCCGTACGAAGGGCCGGATGTTGATCCGCACAAGGTTGCTGAGATCACTGCGACACTTCTCGAGATGGGATGTGATGAGGTTTCTGTAGCTGACACGACGGGCATGGGGACTGCGCCTAGGACGAGGAAACTACTTGACACCTTGAAGGAGGCTGGGATTTTGAACGAGGATCTCGCATTGCATTTCCACGACACATACGGGATGGCGCTCGTGAACACGGTTGTTGGCCTGGAGCATGGCGTGCGAATCTTTGACAGCTCTGTCGGCGGACTTGGTGGCTGTCCGTACAGCAAGGGTGCCACGGGCAACGTCGCCACTGAAGATTTATTGCATCTCTTGCACAGCCTGGGCTGTGAAACAGGTGTTGATTTGCCCAAGATGGCGGAAATAGGCCAGTGGATCACAGCACAACTTGGCAGGCAGAATGACTCGAGAGCTGGGAAAGCTACGCTGTCGAGGATGAAAGACGCATAGTAGGCAAGCCAATAACAGCAGCTGAAGCAGATGCTCGATCAAACATACGTTTGGCCGTGGGATCGCTTCAATTGATGCCTGTTCGCAGAACTCGTGCGCTTCTTCTGTTTGGTCGTACCTGGACTGGAGTCGATCGAGGTGACTTGCTGCAAACGAATCTCTGCGCCCTAGAAGAGGCAGAGTCCACCATGTGTACACCGCAGGCAGCGCAAAACAACCAGCTGTGCCGCGATGAACTCTCATATCCTGATAGCACTCCGCCCAGCTTTAGTAAGACGATCTCGCGGACAATAACTCTGCCCTCCTCGCGCTTTCATGACACCGAGGCCGAATGGCTGAGCGGTGTATCTAGAACTCTTGACATCGAGTACACGAGCTCCCTTTGAGTGGTTTGGACGCCTGAAAGTCAGCACTGGCCGGCATAGTCCGTACGCTGAGGGGCTTGTCGTCTCTCTTCTGCACTCCAATCGCAACCTCGTATACTTTCCAATCATCTCGCATTTGATTAATCCTGCTGATGGTTGCCAAGCCGATGGCAATTCACTTCTCCAGACCCTGTCCGTTGCTGCCGCCCTCAATCCCAACGGACACGCGCCAATAACAAATCAAGCGGCATGGCGTACGTTGGCGGGGTGTCCGGCTGACACGCGAGGCTGCCGAGTCGATGGCAGGTACAAAAGAACAGAAAAGGACAGAGGGCTAAGTCGAGTATTCGCCGTCCTCGACAGACCGCCCGCCTTCGAGCCCACGGGAGAGGCTCCTATACTCAGATGGCTCGCGCCAGGCCACGTGCCGGCTCTCTCGATGAGAAGAAGCTGGCAGTCGGACGAGAGCAGGTCAGACTGAACGTCCAGGCTCATCGGCAGCGTCAAAAGGAGAAGAAACGGCTGGACGCTCTCAACCAACCATATGAGCCGAAATTTCGCTGGGTGCAAGAAACGAAATGGCAGTCACAGGGGGCGAAGGACTCGAGCACCCGTGTCAAGCAAGAGAGGCTGCGAAAACCACGGCGGAAACCCTCCTCTGGATCGGAATGCAGCCTGCTGTGTGAGCCGAGTCCAGAGAAGCAATATACGCTCTCTCTGCTGGGAATGTTCCGAACACGCTTTCTACCCGCGCGAGTGACTCTCCCAGGTGCAGGAGTCTCGGAAGAGCAGCTAATCACCCCATGCGCAATCTGGGTCGTGGAGGCTTACCAATTGGCGGTTGTCCGAGAGAATCCTGTGGTAACAGGCATGCTTCGCGCGTTGGGACTCAGCATCCTCGCTGCCGAACTGCGACGTGAAGACATTCGGGCTGTTTCCTTGACTACGTACCACGAGACACTTCCTTTCATCTGTCGACAGCTCACCTCGATCACCAGCGGTGGGGGTCTCGACTCGGACGATTATTTGGCGTTGATTCTGTCGGGCCACGCCGCCGCAATCTTCGAAGTCAATGTCAGTGGGTGCATGTCTCGTATATTCGACCAAGTTCGCGGTCTGGGCTCCGTGTACGTACATCAGCTACTTCAGTCTGGCTCGATGCCTAAAGATTGGCGCTATCTGATGGAAGAGTATCGTCTCTTTGAAATCATCTTCTGCCTTATTTACCGCAGACCGTCGGTTCTGACTGGCACGGGGCTCTGCAGAAGTGCGAGGCAGCGCAACGATGGTAGCCACAAACGAAATGCCAGCGATTCTGGGAATAGCCAGTTCGGCGAACTAGTCTTCCTGGCGCGGCACATCCCTCCCATCATGAACCATATCGACGAGTCGATGGCGGGAAATGCAATTCGCAACCGGGCAGCCGAGCAACTCCACGCAACAATGGAGACTGTGTCCTTCGTTCTGGAAGAGCTGCAAAGATGGTGTACTGCGTTCCTAGCTCGAGATGGGAGGGCGTTTGCGGAATCGGAAGCCTACGTCTGTGGGTGCGGCGACTTCGACTTTCCAGACTTTCAGGTCGCCTCAGCTTGGATCTTTTGGTTGTCCTTCAAGATACACGCCCTTGAAAGCTATCTCTCCGTCGTCGACATCATCCAGTCGTCTCAGCAGAACCACGATATATCTGACCTGTGTGAGCATAGGAGTAACACCAGCGGTACACGGGTGAGCCAGTTCTGCAAGGGCATCTTGGGCGCACGTTCAGAACTGCTGGAAACCGTCCAGCTTCTTATTCGCTCACTGCCATACCTGCTGCAGGCCAATGTTGGTTACGTTGGACGAAGCTTTGTCGCTTTCCCTTTGGAGACCGCGAGAGTCGCACTTCTGCACGAGTTACAGCGTGAGTCGAGTGTACCTTCGCCCGCAGATGTGCTGTCACCGTCAATCTCGGCAGATGAACCTACGCAGGGTATTTTGCAGGGGTTGGCATCTTGTGCACGGATTATGGAGAATGCGAAGGCCATGAAATGCGCGTTATTCTCTGATCAATGGGCCAGTTACTCAACTGGGGTCTGATCATGTTGCCAACAAAAGACCGCAGTGATGCGGAATGACCTCGATGAAGAGTCAGGCGGGTGGCATGTTTGACCATCACAAGAGAGACATCACCTTCATACCGACGCCGGCCACGACAAACGGTCCGAACAGTGACGAGCCGACTTACCGCACGGATATATATTTTATCCCTTGGAGCTTTCTTCCTCTACAACCTGAGTACCAGCTCCATTCCTTTCCGAGACCCGCCACCCACCAGTCCACAACTTGGAAGGCATGAAGGTACTCTATAACAAGCAGGACCTCATAGGTCAGGATATCCTGCCGGATGATGCATTCTGGGAGGTCCGGCACATACTCGATTCCGAGCTCAAGCACCACTTCTTCAACAGCTTAGAGTTCTACGAGACTTTCTCTCCCGACCCGGGTGTTGCAGAATTTGATCCATCCCAGGGAGATCTTTTCGGTATCGGTCGAATCAGAATCGACATGGCAGCGGGCGTCCGCCTTGTTCTTGACGACGTTGTTTACAACCCGGCCCTTGTTACCGAAGTACTGAACAGGCCTATGGTCGTTATCAGCCTGTCAAGACTCCTGAAAACCCTCGGCTGCACTACCGAGATCGACAGATACGATAACTGGGTCATCAAACAAGGTGACCAAATTTTTATCCTTGGAGCAAAGCCTCCCCATGGTCCCCCGGAGCAGCGTTGGGCCCTGGGCCCACGTATCCCGGAGAGCGGTAACATTGCAGTACCGCGAGCGCTCCAAGCAGCCATCGCCTTGGGTTCAACGGAAGCTGAAGACCAACCCCCAAGAGGCGTCCAGGCTCCTGTGATGAGGCCAACAGCGCAGTCGGCGGAGAATCCAGTCGTTGTAGGGATGTCGACTGTGAGAGCGCCGGCCGCTCCCTCGAGGCCTGCCCCTACGCCACAGCACAATGTCAGTGCCCCGACGCCAAGTCTCAGGGAGAGGGCTCCGGGTTTCCAGCATATCGGCGGGATGTGGATTTCACAAACCACGCCAGTCCCAGGCACGCCCGTGAGAAGCGTCCCTAGCTCCCACAATAGACTGGGCGGGAGAGTGGAAGCCGATCTGCCGAAGCCATCACCCAGTAAACCCCTGCCTAATCCCCAAAACGCCGCACGCTCGCGATGGGGTAAAGTGGAGCATAGAAGCCTTCCCCGGGTCGACGAGAGGGCAGCCAGGGCACCGACGGCCCGGGGTTCAAAACCAAGTGCGCCTGTTATGCGAAAGCCGAATGCCTCACTCGACGTCGGTTTCTGGGCTTCGATTTTCGGTCAATCAAGAACGTCTACCAACCGAAAACAGGATAAGCATCGACCAGCGGCTGCGAAGGCTCAGGGGACTCCGAGCACACAAGGAAATGTTGGACAGGGCAAGACGGCGGTGACGGCACAGAAATGTGCAACCAGGCAGGAAGCTGGCAGGAATGGTCAGACAGCTACGACTGCCATTGCGCCTGGGACGGCCAAGGTCGAGCTGGTCAAGCAAGGCCAAAGCAGAGCCGGGAAGCAGCCTGCTACGTCTAAGAACTCGAAGACGACCTCTAAATCGGTAAGAATCCTCTGAGAAGACTAACAAGGGCTTCGAGAGAGGATGCTCGAGCGTAGAGGCAGACAATGCCGGGAACCTACGGCCACGCGGTGGCTGGGTGGAATCATCTTATCGGGATACGCATTGTGCTGGAGAAGGGGAATTCTCAATGATGAGTTTGCTTTAGTGGAGCCAGCTGTATTTATCACGTACTGTATCGACAGTGCCTTTGTTCGTGGGGTGTGAAGGTTATCGACACATACATCTACGCATGCTACAGTAAAAGGTCCCCCAGCTGGAGCTGATCAAGTGCGTTAGTGTAGCTAGTGGCGCTAGTGGCGGCGAGTGGCGAATGTGTGTACGATTTGCAACCACTAGTATGCTAGTGCGAGGTTAGTGCGAGGTTAATAGAGCCGGCTTCGGATTAGTCATGCCGGTCAGAGTCCAGACTTCAATCGCGATCAACATGGGTCTGCTTCAAATCTTACATTCATCATCAGTTCCAGATTAGCAGTCTGAATGTCGCGGCCTGCTGGCTTCTCCAGGCGCTGTTACTGTCGAGGAGACGAATGAAGAATACACGGTTCCGTGTTCCTCCTGCCATCCGACCCAACAATGATTTTATCATCTGAGAGCCATGGCGATCAGTATGCCGTCAAAGCGCTGCCGGTTAAGAAGAGTGGCACTCAGCATGTCGACGATGCTATGCCTCTCGAGAAGAACGCTGGGCTTATCATGGCCGTACGTATATTACCTTGATCCGCAGCATGAATGCCTTTGGTAGAGGTCTTGCTCGTTTAAAGGCCGAGTGGTGCTGACACGTCGAGGAAAGACCAACAATGCTACCACAGCTCTGAAAGCGAGCACCGAGCGTCTCTACTTGTCACGGCCGCACTTCTACAAGTCATTCGTGAAGGAAGTCAAACGCGCCACGCCAGCGATCCATCGAGGGAACTGGCTCCGAATGCGGGCTGTGAGCTGGGTGGTCCGCAATTTCCTCGAGCGTGCAGCCGGTGAAAGGAAGGTGATTATCAATTTTGGTTGCGGGTAGTAAGTTTTGGACTGCATTCCGACGGACCTTCTCCTAGTAGTGGTACTGAGAGTAGTAGCGACCCTCTGCCTTTCCGGTGGCTCGCTCAGAAGGGCAGTCTCTGCTCCGATACCAAGTTCATCGACGTCGACTACGAGCTCTTGATCGAGACGAAGCGGAACATCATCATGCACCGGCCTGAGATGAGGGACCTGCTTCATTCGACAACGTCTGACATTACGGGCATCGACCCTTCCGTTGCGCTTGATAGTGAAGAATATGCCGCTATAGGCTGTGATCTACGCAATATCAGAAGACTGGAAAGACTCATGAAGTCGGTGGTGGTTCTTGAGCAAGCGTCGGTCTTGTGCATCGCCGAGGACTCGACCACCTTTATGCCTGTGAAGGCAGCCGACGCACTGATATGGTGGAGTGCAGGACTGTCGTCTGGTGTGTTCCTTCCTTATCGTGCAGCACACCTGTGCAGCTTGTGTCTAACCTTCCGACTCGTCAGATGTCACGTTCTGTCTTGTGGAGCCTAGCAGTCCTGATCAACCTGATAACCCTTTTACCAGGAAGATGACGGATCACTACAGGGGCCTCGGTACGCCCCTGAATTCGATCTTCGAATACCCATATGACCGTGCCCAGATTCAGCGTTTCAGCAATGCCGGATATGCTCACATAGATCACCAGTCTCTGTGGGAGCTGTGGGCTGACCCACGCTTCCTTTCGCCCTCGCAACGCATGAAGTTAGACCACGTGGAGCCATTCGATGATTGGGAAGAGTTTGCGCTTTGGGCTAGTCACTACTGCCTTGTAGTAGCACATAACGGCAGTCGGCCAGTCCTCCCCAGCAAAGTCCACATGGCCAGACGCGACTCGATTTCCAGCGACGCTTCTGACATCTCTGCACGGACGTCATCACCGTGCAATCCAGAATCGGAACACTTTGCCTTTCGACATTATGGTGACCCAGGTGATCTTTGCCAGCGCCACCATGGCTCAGCTTATCCTGTACCGGACCAGGACGCTATAGCTATCTTTGGAGGTAAGGGATCAAACTCATATCTATCTACTAGTGCGGTCTGCCGACCCCGACACCTGAACGACGAGACACCCGTGGTGCTTTCGCCAGAGGTGGGTGCACGGTCTTGTCATGTGATGATCTCTTTGAACAACGGTGATAATATGCTGGTGGGTGGCCGGCGTTCGCCGAGCCAGCCTCTGAAAGACTGTTGGTTGCAGAAGGGAAATACTTGGTATCGCATACACGATCTGCCAGAGGGACGCTATCGCCACCGGCTTGTCCCGGTGACCTTGCCCGGGAACGTTTTCGGTGCTATCTGCTTTGGCGGCAAGGTGAGCCCAACGAAGGTTGCCATTGACGTGCTGTTATGGGAGCCTCTCAATGGCTGGCGAGGGCTACGAATCTTTGGCTCGGAACCCAAGCCTCGATTTGGGCCGAACTTTGTCTGTCTGGGATTCAATCACGGCTTGTTATTTGGCGGCATGAGGCAGGACGGCGTGATCTGCCAAGGCTTCTGGCGGTGGCGCCTTGTCATTCGCGACAACGAGGTACTGGCTCTCAGGTTCCGGCCCTCTCATGCGTTGGACACGAGCATCGGCTCATATCAGTACTTCGCACGCTTCGGTGCCTCATATGGCTTCGTACAGGACTACCTCTTGATTATCGGTGGAATAGCTAGAGGTGGCTGCATCCCCAGAACGTACGAGATCCTGAGCCTCACCGGCACTTTCTCCACCTGGCATGATGAGGAACGCAAAGAACCCAGTTTCAGAGTGAGTACGATCGAGGCAACACGGTCGCCGGACTGCCCACGGCCGTTCCTCATTGGCCATTCCACCCGGCCCACGCAGACCGGTGCGTATGTCATTTTGGGCGGCGGCGCGACTTGCTTCAACTTCGGAGACTATTTCAATCGAGGCATCTGGGTGCTCTACGAGAAAGAGACAGGTCTTCCGGCCGAATGGATCATTGTCCCCAGCCAAGCATCGAAGCTGCCGCCAGTCCATTCAGAATGGGACTACACAGGCGTGAGGCGGAAGGAAGGCATTCGAGTTGATCCAATCTTGCTGACCGGGTCACAAGAGTTCAACATGGCAGTTCGTCTATCGCAGCCTCTTCTTATGCGAGGCCTTGACTGCGGGCCTGCCACGCAGCTGTGGTCCACGCCTTCCCTTGAGAATGTGCTCTCGGACGACTTCTATCTGGAGCAAGACATCACGCCCGGCACATCCGCCAGCCCCGGAAACCAAATGTGGAAACAGATTCTCGATATGGCAGACACATCCTCGGCCATACTGAACCTTCCGCCACCAAATGTCAAGATTAGACAGTGTGCTCTATCGTGCGACAAGAATGAGAAGGAGCAGCTTGCCACCCTGTTTCGGCTCCCCACCGAGTTGAACAGCATAGAACATCTCATCACATCCGTGCAGCTACAGGTTTCCAGAAGAACATGCCACCAGCTTCGGTACAGTGCCACGGGAACCATTATTTTCCATCAACTAGGCACGCGGAAGGTGCTCTTGTCGCCTCCATTCAACCAGCACAAGCTCGGATATGCTCCGGGCTCAAATATCAGCGACCTCAATATTCTTTGTGATCCGACGCTGTTGCAGGAACACTCCTTCTACACTATACCCGGCACGAGCACCCACGTTGCTATGATGCAACCAGGAGACGCATTGTATATCCCACCTTTCTGGTCTCGTGCCAGTGTGGTCCTACGGAGTCCCAGCCGCAACATTGCTCCACAACAAACCCAACTAAACGTTGATGGGTCTTCCCCGTTAGCTACTGTGCCACTTCCAACACGCATCGGTAACAGACACGCAGTCACTGGGAATGAGACCCCACCCAGCTCTACTGGGAAAAGCGATCACCAACTCAATCCGCTCGACATCACATTTAAAGTGTCCTTTAGGATGCTGCCTCACTCTGCCCTCTCTACAACCCGGGACGAAAACTGGTCAGCTGAGCTTAAAGCGTACGAGGATAGCAGACGAGACCTGGAAGCCGTCATGAAGAGGTTCACATCTTGTCTTGGCAAATCAAATGGAGAGCCTGCAACGTTTGGACGCCAACCATGCGCTGATATGTTACTCGAGCACATTCCCAGAGATGTTGCAAAGGTTTATCTGCAGCGATTGGGGAAGGAGCTACTGATGAAGGCCGAAGAGCTGTGAAGTTTCTAGCAGGGCGCCGCAACGGCGACTAGGTGAAACTCAACTCGGTCGTGATGGCCCACTTGTCGACTACTTCCACGGACCGCCGGAACAAACGCGCCGCTTTCGTACCTTTGGACTACGACCAAGTTTTCACGAGTCCTCACACTGGTTCTTGCAGCAGCTTAGGGAAGTATACCGCAGGCTCATTTGACTGAGGGCTTTTCAGCTTCCCCAGTATGTGTTGCGCTCTCAGATTGGGTGCGTTGCGTGGACAGAGCCCGCCTAATATGACGTGTCGGCGCAACCACTGGCCTCGGGGATCTGCTATGATCTGAATATCCTTTCACGGTATCGTGCCAGCAATTTCTCGCCCCAGACCTGCCGATGCATATCTGCAAGGAGCGCGGTCCTGACCTCTCCAATTCCACGGAGTCCCTCAGAAGGGCATGAAAACCAAACGAACCAAAGGTCAAGGGTCTGTTCATTATTGCGCTGTTTGCAGCGTACGTCGTGCGCTTTCCTGGTGGATGTTCTGTACGTCCTCACGGCGGGGTTCGATCCCCTAAGCAGGTTTCGACGATATTTCCAAAACCTACTTCGCCTACAAAGGTATATCGACTATCTCGAGGCACTCATAATGGCGCAGTCGAAGAGAGGGAGAGACATGGAGGAAGAGGCATCAGCGGACAACAAGCCATACAGGTGGCTAGTTTGCTAGACGTGTCATGCGTGCTTCTCAGTGACAAGATGAAGCTCCGTCGGCGCTGAAGGACATCACCGAGACTAAATAAAGCCAGTCATACCGTCAAACAACATCGCAAGGTGATAAGACGCAAGAGTGCGTGCAGTGGAACTATATTTCAAGGCCTCTCCTCAGAATGGATCGGGACCGTCTCTTTCCAAAGCCGCCCATATCTTCTGAACACCAATCCTGATTCCCATATCTAGACTCTCTAGTCTCGACGCGCGACGTTCTAGCCTCGACGTTCTAGCCTCGACGCTCGCCTCTCGACCCTCCACTCTCCACACTGACAAAACCATGCCCTCACCCCCGGAAAGATGGGTTGTTTGGAACACCAGCCCCCACCACTACTGCCACGACAAATCCCTCTTCTTCAACCTCAATCTGACCACGCCCATGGACTCCGCCTCCTCCCAACCAGACGACCTGAGTCACCTGACCAAAGAGGACTTTATCGTCCTCGGCCAAGGCGACGTCGTTATACCCATCCCGAACAAACCCGAGTCCAAGGTCAAGTCCAAGTTCAATTCCCTCCGCTTGAGGGACGTGTTTTATTACAAGACGGACAAGCCTAGGAACATTATAAACCTGACGCTGTTGTGGGACGACTATCCGAAGTTGATGCTGGGGAAGATGAAGCTTGATGACTTGCATGGTACGGGGATCGTGCATGTTGATGATCCCGAGACCGTGATTTTGGAGGTTGACGAGTTTGATGAGCTCCGTTGAGAGAGAGAGGGGGAGAGAGATTCAGCTGGTAGCATACGGAGCACTCACTGGGTAGATAGACAGATAGATCTAGTGGTGGTAATTATGATAGAGGACAACGGGTTGCTGTGGTATCTGCTAGGGTATAGCTTGGGGACTGGGAGTTGAATGAGAACTGGGGACTGGAATTAGGGAATGGCACTGGGGAATGGAACTGGGGAATGCGCCTGGGGACTAGAACTGGAAAGTGCAAACTGCTAACCGGAGTAACTCGTATTAGGAGATCTATTCCTGTACTGCTGTATTGCTGTACTGTACCGTGTAACTAATTACTCCGTATATCATCGGTCCTTGGACTCTCGGAACCAGGAGGGAGTGGCAGTGGGCACTTAGCGCTGTGGCATCATTCCTCCTGCTAACAGCTCATACGAGTACCGTCGCTTTACAATGCCGCAGTGGTTCATCTTTAACAGAGACTCGAGTTGTGCAGGACGGAATCTTAGTGTTTCATCAAGTAGTCTCGCGATACTGTGGTGAACGACAGTGATCGCTGATAAAGGCGAGGATTGGAGTCGAGGGACATGTCTATCACCGTTTGGCGTTGGCAAGGCTAGAATCTTGGAATCACCGTACAGTCAACGTCGTAACCAGCGTCAGAGTCGCTTTGAGCATCACGTCGTTTTGAGCATCACGTCCTTTTGAGCATCACGTCGTTCTAGACTACGTATCACTATCCTAACCCAACCCATCTCATCCTATCATATGCCCAAACGAAGAAACCTATACGTAAGGCCTTTCCAAGATCCTCATCTTCCATCTCATGATCACCCTCCTCTTGTTCATCTTCTACCCGTTCGGCGTCCTGAACCTGAACCTGAACCTGAATCTGACCGACCCATCCGCTCTACATCGACGCAGACGTCCATCCAACAACAGCGCCGTAGCCCTCAAGTTACTCCCTACCTCTCATACAGACAACCACACACACCAAACCGCAATACCCACCATGCCCCCTTTAGGCGGTGGCGGCTTCTTCCCCATCATCCCCGGCATGACCATCTACCGGCCCATCCGACCACCCACGGCGCGTCCACCACGAAGACCGACCCTTTCCAATTCAGCAAGAGACATCCCCCTGCCAGAGACATGGCCTTATCCGCCATCTTCACACCAGAGACCGCTCAATTTCCCGGCCCCATCCCCGGGAAGGACGCACCATAGACAGGGCGTCAAGTTCACGCCGTGGATCCTGAACTTGTCGTCCCGGACGCATAAGTGCGTGGATCGGAATCTGTTCAGGGAACCGAAGCCAGAACAGCGGACAGGTGGTCCTGGTTCCTCGAGATTGTCGTCCGGGATCGTCGTCCTCCCCATCCTGCCTGGTCCGAAGCGGAAATTCCCTTTCTTCGACGTCAGCGTCATGACGCTCTCCAATGTCGAATATACGCCGCATGCAGAATACTCGGAGCTGAGCTGGCCTTTGCTCCAGCAGCAAGGGTTCACCCGCCATGTCCTCCACAATGACCACACCCACGGCGTGACGGACAGGACGGGCCGCGCGAACGAGAGACAATACCCCGATGGGGATGACGGAGGAGTCGTCAGAACGTTAGCATTGAGGCCGGGACCGCGGTCTCGACGTGACGCAGTCCCAGCCCCAGGACGGAATGTACTTGGCGGGCCTCGCTTCCGGACGCCGACTCATGCGCCCTCTGAGCGGTGCGGTCGTCTCGACAAGGAGAACAGCGTGATTCGCCATATTGCTTTACCTGGCGTGGATCTTTTGTGGTGCGGGTACGATTCGTTCATGAACCCAGGGGTGATTGCCGTGCATATGACTGGGGCGGGGATGGTGGATCTGCGGGCCTGGAGCTGGGGCGTGCAGACCGGGATTGTTGGTAGGGGGGCTGGATATCGTGGCGATCCGAGCGGCGGGATGGTCGTCGGGTGGGTGGCGCGGTATGCTGGCGCGGGACCACATGAGGAGCCTGTGCGTGGGGATGCGGAGGATCTGTTTCGCAGGATCGTGCAGGGGGGTTTGGTCGAGGGGGAGGACTTGATTAGAGAGATGGGGGTAGATGAGGGAGGGAGGGCCGCAGTGACCGAGAGAGAAAGTCAGAGGGCGAGAGAGAGGGGGAGGGAAGCGGGAAGACAAAGATTGAGGTGAGGGAAGGGAGGGATCTGATGTTACCGGGCCTTGAGGGTAATGGTTTTGAGGATAGCCCTACGGAGTTATTCCAACTGTCCTGCGACTTGTGATGCGGACCTTGCCTCTTGTGTTCCCTGCATGAAGTTGGTGAAGTCGTCGAGCTGATGACCGTCTGACATGTTATCGCCTACCGGGCTGTTCAATGAGGGGCTTGTTAATGAGAATACGGATGCTCGGGCCGGGTAATGGGCTGGTACTACAATCTGTAACTGAACTGAGAATGGAGTGGAGAGAAAGTGATCACAAGACATTGGGATGAGAGCCCTGAGGAATGAAAGTTAGGAAATCAAAGTCAGACAAATCAGAGTTGGCAAGGAATTAAAGGAAAGCTCAGAATGCTGTGAAATAGAAGTGAGCAAATGTAAGTTTGGGGAGGTTTGAGTCTGAGAGCACGAGCTCAATTGCAAACAAGCCCACAAACACTGAAATGTATGTGCAATGTACTTAAAGACAATGACAACAGAATGATTTGTAAGGAAGGTCGGACGTGCTAGGTGTATAAGACATGAGAGATCTATTACTCAACTACTTCATCAAGACATGAGATGAGAACTAACTGAATAGATATCCAGGAAGACATAGACCCACATAGGCTGTCCTCCCTATGGCGATGCATCTCTATATCACAGCAGGGAGCTCCATACGTTCAAGCCATGAGGTTACCGTCAAGGCACGGCGTGCACTGCAGAAGTAGCCGTGATTCCACTGTCTTCCATTCCTGACTCTCGATAGTCATTGTAAGCTTGCGGCGACGTCAACCGTCGTTTAGAGCCTTTAGTCTGAAGTCTCCCGCAAAGTCTTTTTACTCGTTCAAAAACAAGAGAGCAGCTGAATGATGCTCTCAATGACTTCTACCTCACCCGCCATACTCCTTGGCGTTCGTCTGCACTGGCTCCGTGATGGACTTTCCGTCCTCAGCATGCAGCTCGCAGACCTCATCCGCACAGGCCAGCGGCTCTCACTCACTCAACTGGTTCATCTCGTTCAATGAGAATCGTGCCGGTCTGGCTGTCCCGGGCCATTTGGAGGGGCTTGTTTCCGGTTCGAAACGGGGCGCCTCAACCTGATTAGTTAACCCCTGACGGCGATTTGTACTTTCACCCACACGCGATAAGATATCGTTCCTCACTTGTTGTTTGTGGTCCCGGTCTGCGTGAAAGGATCGATCACTGTAGTAGGGCGATTGTGGGTTCGGGCCATCATTGAAGGTTGTCGCGCGGCCGTCGCGAGGTGATAAGCCATCGGACAATAGGTCGGTATGGATGGCTCGTGTACCACGTTGATCGTCCTTTTCAGCTGTATAGCCACGAGCATGTCGAGCATTCGGGCGCACAGGGACAGGTTCGCTGCGAGGGCGACCACCGTTCTGTGACCCACCACTACTGTCGCGGATAGGCGTACCGGTGGCTGTTGCCTGTTGGCGTGAACGAGTCGCAGCACTGCCTTTAGATGTGGAATGGGCAAGACTTTCATGTCCTTCCTGACCACGAGTTGCTGCAGTCTGGTGCTCGCCATTGGTTGAAGCAGCGCGGTTGGGCAAGGACATTCTTCCATCCCGCTCAGATTCATTTGTGAGAGACTGGCGAAAATGGCTGCTTTGACCTTCGGATGTTGCACCCTCTATTTGAGCAGAGTTGGAATGGTGTCCACCTCGTGGCTCTGAACCTGGCGGAAGCCGATCATGGTCCTCACAGAAGATGGCGCCCAGGCCCTCACAGTCAATGCAACTGATCTGCGAGCGCACCGACGACCCGCCCGACCGGTGCAGCAAGGGCTGTTTCCCGTAACCGTTGCATCGTTCACATACAGTTGGAAAGCGCTCGCCAACAAACTCGGCGTGATCCGTGATGGAGACTGCAGTCTGGCGCCGGCCAGTATCGATGTAGACAGTGCGATTCCCTTCGATATACAGGACTCGACCATCGATGATGAGTCGCGTACAGTGTGTCAAAGAATCAGTATGGTCAGGGTCGTGCGGCATAGGCTGTGGACCTGGTCTAGTTGACTTTGGAACTCGTTCATCTGTGGCAGAGGGACACTCATGAAGTTCCTCCTGCGCATCCTGAGCGCCACTGGAGTTCGTAAGTGTCGGCGACAAATGCTCTGATCTAAATGAAGATGAGGCTGACGCATCGGATGGACTGATGCTGCGACCTTCAGAAGATGGTCGAGGTTGATGGGCTAGTTTGCGTGCCATGTTCGGTTGGAAGTGTCTGCGAGATAAGTAATTTACGAATGGATAAGGCAGGGATAGACGAATTTCGTCGCTAAGCCATGGAACGAAGTACTCGAGGGAGCGGCGGACTCGAGGGCATGGTGGACTTATATAGGCAGGGAAAGGCGCGGCAAACGCAGTTGCCTTTCGGTGACAGCAGGTATCGGGTGCTTGATCTGACAGATGTGATATGAGCTAGTCATGTTTAAAGCCAGTAAATCTTCCATGACACAGTTTCACTCTCTTGTTTGCCATATGTCGAATAGAGTCCGACTGTCAGCTGGGAGATCCCAGTCAGCCGAGAAGGTCAGCGGTGATGGAGGTGAAAGTGATCCATTTTGAACAGGTTAAGATTGAAGATGCGGGTACCATGAGAAGCTCTCACATACGTGGTTGGAAGCGTGGCCAGACCACCCATGAGGACTTCACCTCAGTGTCGTGCCGCGACCGTTCGCTGAGAGCTTTTGGTCGTTCCATATCAGCGCCCCGTTGAACAGCTCAAAGTGGCACCAATAGACACCCTGTTGTGTGACTTTCCTCTAGCTGTTCAGGTTGGGACACTTCCTGCGGTACTAGGCATTTCCGTGGACCTTGGACAGAGTTGATTTGACGTCCATTAGCCTAGTCAAATATCTCCATATTCCCTCCTTCAGTTCTCTTTCTGACGGTTCTTCCGATACCGAACATCTTCGGTGGTTGTTGTAGAACCAGGTGACCTGTGCATCTTCGGTTCCTCTTCCCAAAGAAATTGGCGAAATTAGCACCTTCTCGCCAGCAGCACCCCAGCCGTCATGTCTTTGTTGTAATGTACAGTATTTCGAACAGTTAATCGAGATGCTCGGGTTTATTCCTCGTTTGCCATCCTCGCTGCCGCATCTCTCGCTCTCTTCAGCTCCTCCTTCTGTTTCCTTACGGCGTCCATACCGGCCTTGACCCGTTGTCTATCGATTTCTGCTTGCGCGAAGAATTCCTTGAGCCTATCCATCTGCGCGGTTTCTTCCGGGTTTTCCGGGAAAGGCTCGCACTTGGTCGCGGTCTGAAACCACTTCCAGAGGCTGCCGGGTTGATGCGGACCTAAGCGCAGTTCGACACTTCTTGTAAAGGAAGATCCTGCCGAAGAAGCCGGTGAAGGCGTCGAGGCTTCAGTACCCGCCTGAGACTTTGCCTCTATTGCTGACCACGTCGCCCTGTACTCTCCATCGCTGCTTGTCTCTAATGTGGTCGATTCCAGCTCGTTCAACGCTTCCTGGTCGGCACTCTCAAAGGTCAATCGTAGTCGGCCTGGTCCCTGTTCCACCCTGATGGGTAGGCCTGGATTGTGATATTTTAATCGAGGCAGATGCTCTTTATGGAAGATCCTTGCAGGTCTGGTGCTCTTGTTCCATTGCTTGCGATCGTATTGCAGACTCAGGCGTGTCAACTGGGGTAAGGGTGGAGGAGGGAGAATAGCGGCGCCTTCGCCATGGCGTATCGCAAACAACTGTACTCGTCAGAACTAGCCCATTACTGGAGAAGACTCCGAGACTCACTTTCTGCGCGATGTTAGCCCATTTCATGGTAGTCACAGGGAAGAACTCACTGGTTGGAGATGGCGCATGCGCTTTAGAACGTTGACCATCGTCGCAGCAGCTCTTCTTGCTCTGCCTTTAGCAAGAAGGAGAAGCAGATCGGGCTGATTTGCAGAGCACAAATTGGAAAGCCGCAATGCACCTTCTCTCACAAAAAGCCCACTGAAAGCTGCTGGTCAGTCGCGGCATTCTGAAATTGCATTAAGCAACTGTGCCAAGACAAGGCTGCACAAGGCTATGGCCCCGCAGTTTTACCGACGCGGTCCTAAGCGGAGCACTGCGGAGACCTGAGCCTAATAGGAATAAGGCTCTCTACCCAAAGGGGTTGTCGACAAGAAACGACAGGGAGCTTGATCTATACATGGAAACGACTGGAAGAGGACTGTATTGGTAAATGGCTGGTCCACGTGCTGTCATATTTGGGAGCTCACTTTGTGAAGCATTCAGAGAAAGTCACGTTATCCTTTCCTGATTGATCCCTAATGTGTCCTATTGGTCCTGTTGTGAAGGCGGTGTAGTTACATGGAATAAGCCACTACCGGGCACCTATCCCCTATATTGGACTAATGAACTGTTCATTTCAAACTACGAGGCTCTTCTGACGTGGCAAAGATGAAGTCGCCTCGCCCAGTGACTGCAGAAGGTGTGGTTCAACCAATCCCCAGGATCACAAACAAGGTTCAGAGCGCTGGCGACTTCTCTGGACGTCCGCCGTATTTGCCATTATTCTGTATCGGCCAGCTTGCTTCTGGTGAGTTGTATCCCTGCTTTCATCGTCTCGATGGCTGCGCAGCCTGTTCCTTTGATCTTGCTTCCTTGCGGAACGTGGCTTTGGAGGGAAGTGGCTTGCCAGCTGGAGCGATTACATGGTCTCGCTTCAGCCCCTCATTGTTGCGATTAGCTGTGATGATAGCCAGTTCCGTCTCTTGCAACGATCACATACCAGAGTACAGGGCTGGCACCCACAATCTCGTTGTGTACTGCAGTGGGCCTGGCTATTATCTAATTTTGAGACTCTCTGGCAAAGTGTCCTATACCACAGCCTCTGCACGTCCCAACGCGTTGCTCTCCATGCTGTGGAATAATTCTTACTGGACACCATGACTCCGCACAGAGGTCGAAGAGCCTCCAATTGTCAGGATGATGATCTGGTTCAGGGACTGTAGAGAGATCACCTGCCGGCAATATTCATGTCTTTGAAGCTCTTATGCCACCATGTTCTCTTTTCGCCTGTGTTCATCCTGAAAATCATTCACATGTAATTCGAAGGGACAGATTATAGGCGGTTGGTGTCTATGAGAGACGTTCTCAGCGTTATACAAGCGTTATAGCATTGGTTGCAACCGTCTCATGCAGTTATGGGTAGTCTTGCTGCCAAACAGGAAAGTCTATCCGGCCCGTTTGCTTCGTGAACGCGAGCGCAAGCAAATTTGAGAAGTGTCCAGTTTCCCTCGTCCACGATGCTGCGGCTGAGATGTGGTCCTCATGTTTGGTAGAATCAGAAACAATCAAGTACGTCAAAACTGCTTCCTGATATTAGGTTGACGATGCCTTCTTCAGAGCCCAGAACAGGGAGAAAACGACTTGGAGAGCGTTCCGAGGCTAGAGGGAGACGGGAAGGACGAAGGAGTGTATCAACGGATCTCATGTTTCATGTGGCGCTTTCTTCAATGAGACTGAACCTGGCACGCATTTGAGGACTTAGCATTTAACCCAGACCAGGGGTTGAAGGTAGGATATGTGTCTTTCGCCAGGATAAAGCCGACGGCAACTTCATGTTTGAGAAAGAATGTGCAGTTACCAATGCCATTCCGACGCAAAGTGGGTGATCCAACAAAGGAAGTTCTCTGGGCAGTGGAGTTGGTAATCCCAAAAATTAGACAGGAAATAAGCTGGAAGGTCTGCTTCTCACTTGGATTCGAGGTGGGTGCAGGTCCTGCAACGACAAGATCTACAGTGTCGATCTCTACCTTCGTCAGGACAATGACCATCGGGGTCCGGCATGTAGACACAGAGAGACAAACACTTCCCATGAATTTCGCTGGAGGAAGTGAAGGCGCTGAACAGTTGATATCCTGTTTGGAGGCATCTCGCCGAAAGCCCTGTGAACACCGCAGACAGACGGCTGTGGCGTTGCGTCTCCCTGCAGCAGCAGGAACAAGGACACACTGGAAGCCACTGGGAAACATAGAACGCCCGTCACTGGAGCATCGCCTGCCTTCTTGCTCTCCAAAGGAGCGCAGAGCGCAGGCAACCCGGCTCCCCCTGCCCCTTTGGGCTGGCGGATTTCAAAGTGAAGACTTATGCCAGCTCGTCTCTCGCTCTCACATTTGAATCTGTTCCTCATCCATCTTCATCTCATCAATCACCTTCCACAACAAATCATTCTTCAGATCCACATTCGAAAAGCTCCAGGCACGTCTCCAGATCCCAAGAGATTAATTTCACACTGTCGCTGGCGGCGGTTGTGTCATTGATTGCTTCGATCTCGTTGACGCGCCCTTACTTTCGTTCTTCAACACCACACATCCTATACCCTTTTGCTCCCTTTATCAGCATCAAGGAAGTCCTTGTGTAAGTTATGATCTCTTTGTCGGCAGTGACGAGTTTGCTGACTACTGGTAGTCTCGGACCTCACCATGGCTGACTCTGAACGTTCAATTCTGCGTCACCGTGGACCAAAGAAAGACAAAATCGACACCTTGACTGGCGGCACAGAGACGTCATCCATTGCTGACGGAGTCGAGGACGACATTACTGTTGTCGCAACCACTGGCACAGAGTCAGCAGCCACCGTCGCTCAAGCTCAGGGTGAAGACATTGGTACCATTGACTTTGACACAGACGAAGAGTTCAATTTGCCCCCAGTACCGCCTAATACGCCTGCTGAAGCCAACCTTCCAGTCATCCGTGACTATGCCGTCGTCACCAGCTCGAACGGCGAGGAGTCACTCGTCTGGCATGCAACTGCGGCCGCTTATCTTGACGGTGTCGAAATGATTGAACAGGAGAAGGCCGACGCCGTGACTCTGGGAACACTGCTGTCTGACGCGTTGACACCCATCAATGTCATCAACACCGTCATTTACCTCGCTTTGCTGTGCGCTAATGCGAAGTCGAGCAAGCTCATCTCTCCCGCCACGCTGTTCGCCCTGGCACAAATCAATGAGAATCGTGAGTTTTTCACACTGCCGCTTTGATCGTTGGGCTGACCTTGCTGCAGTGGGGACGATCACCGAGGGACTCTGGAAGACTGTGATCACTCTCGCCCGTAATCGCAATCCTCGACCGTCACTGCGACTTCTCGGCAACAACGTCCCCTCCGTCGATGTGTTTGTTGTTTGCTGCGGCGAACCTGACGATGTGGTCTTGGACACGGTGAAAGCCGCTTGCAAAATCGACTGGCCGACCAGCAAGTTCCGTGTCATTGTCGCAGATGATGGGAACTCACTGAACCTTCGAAACAAAATTCAACAAATGCAGGGAACATATACCAACCTTCACTACTACTCTCGAGTGAAGCCAGCCGTCGGACACCATGGGTACAAGGCGGGAAACCTCAACGCGACACTCCTTGACTATGTTGAAAAGACCCCTGCTGGCTACAGCGAGTATTGTGCAATCTTCGATGCCGATATGATGCCGGAGCCAAACATTCTTCGAGTCTTGGTCCCTCATGCGATTAAGGATCCGAATCTGGCAATGGTGACTGCGGCCCAGGTATGTAGTGCCAGATCAACCAAGTCTGCGAAGTGCTGACCATCCTAGTTCCATTACAATGTTCCCAAGGATGATCCTCTGAATCAAGGGAATACCACTGGCACAGGTGCTGAGGACGGAAATCGAGACCGAGTAAATGCCGCTTGGTGCCCAGGAAGTGGCTTCGTTCTCCGGACTGCTGCCTGGCACGACATCAAGGGATTCCCAGAGTTCTCTATCACGGAAGACCTTATCACCAGCTGGTGCCTTCACGGGAAAGGTCACAAGATCGCTCTCATCCCTGGTGTGATGCAGTGGGGCCTGCAACCAGATTGTCTGATCACCCACTTGAAGCAACGTCGCAGATGGGTAAGGATTGACCCGAAAACTTGAGACGGGCTCGATGACTGACAACCAACAGTGGACTGGCCATATCCGCGATGCGCTGCGATATAACTTCACCTTGAATGCGGAGGCCCTGAGTGGCGCAAGCTTGATTCAACGTTATGCCATGTTTCATCATGCCTGCCGTCCGTATACGATGACGATCACCCACACTATCAACACCTTGCTGACCCTTGTCTGCTTGTGGTTGGGTGGTCCCGTCATCGGCGGGTCCGACATTCGCGGTTTGAAGCAGATTGTGTACTGTCTTGCCATCTCTCGTGCCATCGGCTTGATCGGAGACGTCAAATCCATCTTCTCGGGTAGCTATCTCAAGGTTCGTCGCATGATCGCAACCGGTGTATGGATGGGCCATCATTTCTCCCGGGACACCCTCCAGACCCTGTTGCCCCAACGCCTTGGTGGTCTTAGACTCGGCTTCGGTGTGAGCGGTGTCGAAGACAAACCACAGATTGGTGTCAAGGAACGCAACGTTGCCAGTCGCCCTGCTCTTCTGACCCGAGTTTGGATGGTCCACCAACGTGAGGGTATTCTCTGGCATCTCGCTTTGTTCTTGGTGACGGTGGCGCTCGTGCTGTATCGAGTCGTGAGTGTGTTCAAGACGTCGACCGTCAATGGTCAGGTCATCTTGAGCAATAACTTCTGGACCGAGCTGGTCAAGTCGGTCGGTTTTCCAGGTTTGGCACTCATCGACAATGTCCTGTACTATCTCACGCCCATCTTCTACATGATCGATCCACCGACCATGCCTGAGCGCCGCGAGACCATGAAGTACGAGCCTGACACAGGTCTTTGGAAGCCACGCGAGGAATACAAAAAGGTGTTGTACACCAGAGCCAGTTAGTGGCTGGCTGTTCCCCACGTCTTCAGCGTTGCCTGGATGGTTGCTGTCGTCGTCATTGTGAGCCGAATGTGAGGTGATGGGCTCTGACTGGGAGTATGTGAGTCGTGAGCGGTGGACAAAGTACGCTGAAGGTGAGAGGCTGACGTGGACGTTGACACGTACACGTACCCTACAAGAAGCGGAGCCTAGTAAGTGTGACATCGACCTCGGCGTCGTGCCAGACTGACCGCGCCCTGCAGCACGCTATACTCTCTGTCAGCACAATGCCACGCGGTGACAAAGGAGACGGAAGACAAGCGTACACAAACACGAAGTAATCAACGGCAAAGAGCAGAACGGGAATGACGGTCGTACAGTGTTGGCCTTTAGCAGCGAGGGAAGAGATGGCCAGATTCGCTTGATCAGGTGGTGCTGCAACTTCGACAAGTCCTGGCAGGTCCCAGAGCTTCATGTTGACCTTGTTCGCGGTGCATTCACCATCAGACAAGTGGCGTCCAAGGTGATCAGCACTTGTCGTTCATTCACGCCCAAAGTGGCCAGCGAGACATAGAGTCTCCTCTTAGCACAAACAATAGCTTTAGCTTTTCATCAATGAGACCGGCCGCCAGAACAAAGCTGCAAATCAAGCTTTGCGAGCCATGTTCAGCATCTCCTTTGCTCTCAATTCCTCGTCAAAAGCATCGGGGTCCTCGACATCTCTGTCCTTCTCTCTCTTTGGTCTCAGTCCAAGCTCTGCCTGATGGTCCCAGATGCGATCGTGCCTTCTGGCCCAGCGCTGTTTCCTCTCCTGTGCCTCCTCGTCGTTCTTCGGCTTCCATTTACTCTTCAATATCCGTCGAATGGCCTCTGGCGAGACTTTGAAGTGCTCGGCCAACACCGGCGTCGACCACCGCTCAGAGTCTTCTTCATACAAGGCACGGATCCCGTCCATCGCATCAGGTGAGAGTTTCTTCCGTGGTTTCCACCCTTCGTCCCCAAACTTTTTCTCCAGCGCTCCCTTTTGAGCTTGCCATGGTTCGAGCTTTTTCTTCTTAGGTTTCACTGACAGATCGCGGAGTTCAGTACGTGATTTCTTGTTCTTTGCTGGTAACGATGTGCCAATACCAACACCGACACCTATAGCACGTGTGCCCGCGCCTGGGCCCACGGCCTGGTCTGTTGAGGATCTGTCTTTTGTCCACGGACGCCCTTGTCTGTCTCGGAAGTTCTGTCTGTCTGATGTGACAATGATGCCGCCGCCACCGCCGCCGTCTTGGTCATCCCTGTCGCCTCTTCTGATTGTTGGTGTGTCATCACGTTGGGGTGCAGGCGTCCCGCTCGGGTCGTATCGTCCGTCCCTCTCGACCCATCGCGCGTCGTCGTGTCGAAAACGAGGTGCCGCCCGGGAAGAATATCTTCGCTTCTTGGAGATATGGATGTCCTCTGCTGCAGGCAGAAGAGAGGATACGCATGCTTTGGAGGAGAAGGGCTGGGACAAGGATGCTGATGTGCCTCGCGCCCTGAAGGGGAGCACAGGTGTTGCGGTGTAGGTGTGGCGGTTTGGCACGTTCCTCAAGGCCTGAAGGAGTCTATTCCTTGACTGCGAGTTCATCATCTACCAAAGAGCCTGTTGGATCATAGATCTCACGTTCAGACTCTGTAGCGATGGTGCTGCCTTCGAAACTTCCTTGTCTGTGAAACCCAATTTCCCACGGCCCCCCTTGAATCATGATTCGTTCATACACGCGAGCCGCTGACTCGGACGAATCCGACGTCGTCGTCATTGACATCGACATCAAGCACTGCGGCTGCACACCACATGACCATTCCCCAAACCACCAGATTTAGAGAGTGCTTGTATAATTATTCCCGTGCGAGCATTCGCTCCTAATGAGTACGAGTATGACTACAAGGTAGGCAAGGGGCCGCATAATTTCGACAGGCCGTTTGATCTCTGCAGACTATCGCCTCAAGGATGGCGTGGCCGAACCCATTCCGGCGGCGTGACGAGAACACCAGGACCTGCTGGGGGTATACCTTCCAGCTGACGCCCGAGCATCTCACGCCGGAGCAGGCCCAGCCCCTGAAATTCAGCTACGACGTGTTGGGCGAAGAATGCTACGAGATCCTCGACCAGATGAGCAAACCACTGCAGGTCTCACAATCCTCCGACGAGAAGGCCGCTCCCACATCGACAACATCCGTGGTCCAAGATCCCGATGCGGCTTCTTCTCCGCCACGCCCGCCCAAGCGTGACCTGTACGTCCTCCTCCGGGACAACAGGCACACGCACCCCAAGCTCCAGCGTCTGTGGGACGAAGCCACGACCACACCCGAATGGGTGTCGTGGCCGCAGATCGCGCGGGGGCAGGACGTCTTTTACCGGTACGGCGCCGCCACGCTGACGGGGCTGGCGTACCAGTCGCTGCTAGGCGGGATGGGGGCGCACCGCGTGGTCGAAGTGCTGGCCCGCACGGGGGGCTTCTCGCCCAAAGTCGCGCGGCACCGACTGTTCGAAACGACGCAGCACATCCTGCAGTGCACGCGCGACGTGGCCTCGATCCAGCCCGGGGGCGACGGGTTCGCGAGCTCGCTGCGCGTGCGCCTCCTGCACGCGGCGGTGCGGCGGCGGATCATGCGGCTCGCGCGCTCACACCCGTCGTACTACGACGTCGCGGCCTACGGCGTGCCGATCAACGACCTGGACTGCATCGCCACGATCGGCACCTTCAGCGCGACCATCATCTTCCTCAGCCTGCCGCGGCAGGGGATCTTCCTCACGCGGCGAGAAACGGAAGACTACATCGCCCTGTGGCGGCTGATCGCGCACTACGTGGGCACGCCGACGGCGTGGTTCGACACGCCCGAGCGCGCCCGCCGCGTCATGGAGTCTCTGCTGCTCCACGAGATCAACCCGTCCAACACGAGCCAGGTGCTGGCCAACAACGTCATCCGCTGTCTGGAGAACCAGCCGCCCACGTACGCGAGCCGCCAGTTCCTCGAGGTGAATGCGCGCTGGCTGAACGGGCGCGAGCTGGCCGATGCGCTGGGTCTGGGCAACCCGGGCTGGTGGTACTGGGCGCTCATGGCCGGCCAGTGCATCTTCTTCAGCTGTCTCTGTTACACGTATCGCAGCGTGCCCGCGCTGGATCGGCGGAAGATCGACACGCTCCGGAAGGTCTTTTGGGCCGTGATTGTCGAGGGCAAGTACGGCCTAGGCGGCGAGGAGACCGTGTTCGAGTTCAAATACGTGCCCGAGTTGGGCCTGGGCACGGGGAAGGGCGACGATGCCGAGGTCAGGGGCAAGGAAGTGGGTATCGAGAGGAGGAACTTCAACACGTTGGTGGTGGCCGCTGGTGTGCTGGTCGCAGTAGGCTATCTCGGCGTCAAGGTGTCGATGGCGGTCCTGGGGAGGGTCTTCTAAGGGAGCATATAATGCGGAGTCATACACGCATTGCACCGTTGATCATCGGACCAAGGTGCGGCCGCGTGGCTTGTACACATAGCATCATGGATGCGTGTTCGTTCGCGGGTATCATTTGCATATGGCATACATAGGGCGAACGTGGTGTATTGTTTGCATTCTTTCATTTCAACATCATCATATCATGACAGGTCCGTTGGCATGATGGCCATGCGCCGTCGTAAGAACCTGGCCTCTCTGCCTGGTCCAATATCCAGACATGTCCATCCGTAGGAGCAGGCATTCAAACATATCCACATCGTTGCTAGAGTCCTCTAGCTTCTCAAGCCCCTCCTTGCCTGTCGCGTTAAGAGCCTGTTTTCCGGAGCGCAGGACATCCATAAACTGCAAAACTTTGGTTCGAAAGTCGTTTCGTAAGCGCTTCATGGTATTCTCAATCGAACTGTCGATCTGTCCGTCCTGCGCGACTGGCGCAAGCCTCTTTCGTCGTTCGGCGGAAAATTGCAGAATAACGTCGTAGATCTCCTCCAAGATCTGTCTCGATCGAGTTTGTCTTTGTTTCAGAAGAAGAGCGTGTAGGACGAGATCGAGTGTTCGCTCGTGCAAGGCACGCAGGTGATCCAGACTTTGGACCGCACGCAATGTCTCTTCATATTCCTGGTTGTCGATGTGCGTCTTAGCATCATCCAACACTGCTTCGAATTTCCGCCAGTAACTTTCGATTGCAATATTGTGGCTATAGTCAGCCATGGTCAAGATGAAATGATGCATCTCAATGATGACCCGGTCACACGAGCGTGAGTTGAAGTTATCAGACGTTTGACCGATCTCATCTTTCAACATACTCTGCGTCAAGGCTTGCATCCTCATCGTGCGCAGAAGATACTGGAAGATGCGATCATATTTGTCCAATATGCTCGCCGTGATAACCGTTTCCAAAATCTCGTTCGGCGCCGTGTACTGAAGTCGGAGAAAGTCAAGTGCGTGTATAGAGTCAACATCTCGGCATTTCTCCAGCTCTTCAAGAGGCATGTCTCGAATGGAAAAGGAGATGGTTTGGTCCAAAGAGCCATTCGCAAGGCTCAGACTGTCCGATAGGATACTTATAAGCACCAATCTGACCTCCGAGCCAGCAGGTGGCCAGGTATCTCGCGCCTGCAGCCGGAGACCAGCAGAGGCACTTGTTCTTCGTTGACTTTCACCGCTATTCTGATCCGAGTCGAATAGAGCGGTGCTGAGCCTTGAAGAGAAGGAGGCATTCTGAAGGAGGTGAAAGTTCCGTTGCAGGTCGAGGTGACACAGAAAACTCTGCTCCTGAAACAACAAGCGCAGGACCGAATACGACAGAAGGCGATGTTGAGCTGATATGAGGGGCGTGATGGACAGATTGAGAGACTCCTCAAAAGCGATGGGGAGCCTCGAATCACCCAAAGCTCGTCCTTCTAGGTAGCTTGCAACCTGGTCTTGCAATTCGTCATCCTTGATCTCTTCCAATAAGTGGGCGCCGGTGTTGAAGATGTTGAATTCCAGCCGGAACGGGTTGGCCAACACTTTCTGCAAAACGGCAGAATCTCCAAGCCCGAAGCTTTCAGAAGCAGGTGTGTCAAGCGTACTGGTGGAGGCCGACGACTCTGCAGAAACTATCAGAGACCTCATTGCGTCTTCGTAGGCTACTGCTCTAGACTGCAGCTCGCAGACAGCTTGAAAACTGAAGCCGAGCTCGAGTGCCTTCAGAGGTGAGGATCTGAATGCAGTGGTGGAGAGAAGACAACAATCTGGTGCATGTTTTGTCAACAATCTCAAGCTCTCTTGTGCTTCATGAATGACGTTCTTGAAGTTTGACTCGAGCAACAGTTCCCACGGTTCTTCCCCCGAAAGCTTCGCATCTATCTTCTGGTCGAGAGAATTTTGAGGCTGCTCCGGGCTGAGCCCAATCTGCTCACTGAGGACAACGAGAAACGGCCGGCAGGTGCAAGATACAGTAATCTGTAATAATTCGCTGAGGCTTGGATAATCCAGAGAAGCAATTGTTGCCTTTTGAAGCAGGCTCCGGACAGCCAGACCTTGTGTCTGCTGGTGGTCCAAGGCGTCATGGCATTGACCTAGAATGTTAAGTAACGTCCGTGTCTTGAAGATCCTGCCTTTCAATTGGAGCAGTGACATTAGGTTGGGCCTGGCGACACAGAGGTATCGGTGGATGGCATGCAGGATGGACCTGGATGCGGATAGAAATGCAACTCGAGAAGATGACAGATGGGAATAGCTCTTGTCCAATTCTCGAAGGGAGTTTGTGAGGTTCTTGATTGCCAATCCAACATCTGCAAATTCCTCAAAGCAGCTCTGCACCAGCATCGGGCTGTATGCATGTGTCGAGAGATTCTGCCACTGGGGCGCAAAGATTCGGTCCATTTCATTCCAACTGAACAAGACCGATTCTCGACCCAAGCACAGTTCGTAGCCTGCATTCAAAAGAACGTTGGGTTTTATAGCTCGCGGAGTACTCTTGTTGTTGGCTATGATTATGCCGTTGAGTATACCGGTGGCCGCTTCAGAAAGGTATCCCGACGACAATTCCTGATGCCTCGTGTCCAGGAAATTGTCCCAGCTGACCAATTGATTGTGACGCTGCCTCTTCTGTATTTCTGGGAGCGCCCATATGTCCGTAGCCTCCTCCTCGTCCTCGCCCTCATCCTCGAGGATATCTCCATCCAAGCTCTGGAAATAGTCATTCTCGGAGTCGGATGTGGAAATGGATGCTGGATCCGACAACTCGGGTAGTGGGATATCGTGTATATCCAACTGGAAGACTTCAGATCGGAGACTCGGCAAGATCTTTGACTCGCCTTCGTTCAGCCAAAGGAGTCGGCTCTCGAGCGACTTGTTGAACTGGAAGCCATCCCATATTGCGTCGTGTGGGGGTAGCAAAGGCTCAAGTTCTTTGATCGCACGGGTGGAGAAGGGATCAGTCTGATCTGGCAGGGACATTGTGGGGGATTTTACATGGTTGTGTCCCTTTGCAAGTATTACAGCCCTTAGACCTGGCGAGGCTACCTGACTGTGGCGTCCAAGGATGACGGCGACAACAATTGTGACTGCGACCGCAACTGGAGCTGCAACTGATCATGACCAACGCGTAGGTCAACGCGTGTCCAGGAGCGGAATAGCGTGCGCAATTATGCCGAGAACCTTACTCTTTCGCTCTGCCCACGACGTTCTACACCATGACAACGACTCGGAAGCTATCTCGTATGTGGATGTGCTACTCTCTAGCGTTTGAGCAGAAATATTATTTCCCGGCTGACAGAGCGCAGTGCTACACTTTGTCTCTTTAGACAACACGGTCGCGCTCTCCATGGCCTATATGGACCCTAGAACGCTCCAACACAACCTGGCTGTGCTGCTGTACTCCGTGTTGGAGTAGACACTGAGGTGAACTTGTCGCAGACTGGCACTCGAGACAAATCGCGCCGAGCCAGGGTCACTGAGCAATTCTTGACCCTGACGCAAAAGACGCTTGAGGACACAGACGTATCTTGACATAATAACTGATTGTCATTCCCGAAGCAGCGGCCCAGCTACGATGTATGCATGAGTCCATCTACTGGATCATGGTCCCTCCGTGCCTCGTTGGGGTTAAACACTCGATCAACGACCAGTCGAGGCAATGCATGACACAAAGAGCGGACAAGAAGCGCGCACGAGGAAGCTGTAACGAGTGCAAGGTACCTTGCCGTTCAGAACTAGAATTGTACAGGGCCTACCTTGACTGTCTCGCGTCGCCGCATCTCCTTGACTTTCTCCATCTTCTCGACCTCTTTCTCAGCACCTCGCTTCTTGCGCATTAACTTGTCAAAACGGCCTCGTGCGCCAAATTTCACTTTGGTGATCATGTCGCCTGCCTGTCCTTTCGTGACATCCCATTCGGTAAGCGGCTCCTCCTCGGAGACTTCACGCAGTCGGTTGAGAAAATCAAGCTGTCCCTGCGATGCCGGAGACTTGCGCCACGAAGACGATGTGGCAATAAAGATGCGCTCGAACTTGCTGGCCGCAAACGTGTCCGCTGCGTGCAAAGCGTCGGAAAGGGTAGACGCGGAAGCGACAGTACGAGGACGAGACCACGGAGACTTGGATTTCTCAACCGCGTGAAGGGGCTGTTTCCATATCACGACAAAGGTAGGCGAGTCGGACTCTCGTGAGGATATTGCATAGTTAGAGGCAGAGGTGGTGGTGGGAAGCCGGCGTTCAAGCGTCAAAATGCCACCCTTTGCCGCCAGAACATACTTGTAAGAGTCGATCTGTACCCAAGCGTTTTGAGAGATTGCACGGACGTGCCTTTCGCCGGAGGTATCTTCGAGAAGATCGTGCACTGAGTCATAGCGCGTAAAGTCGAGTTGATGGTCGCCAGATGTTGCACGATGCAGTGGAGGCCCGCTCGCATGAGCGGAAGAGAGCGCAGCCTCTTCCGGTGCTCTGTCCTTGAGTTCTTTCAGGTCGTCCACTCTTGCGGCTTTCACCACTTCTGACGGATCCAGCCCGAAGAGAGTGGGAACCGTGACGATCCCCGTCTCCAGCGAAGCCACCATGTCGATAACATGACAGTCCTGCTTGCCCGGATGCAGACGCATACCACGGCCGATCATCTGGACAAGGAGGTTCCGCGACTTGGTCGGGCGAGCCAGCAGCACACAGTCAATGTTGGGCATGTCAGTGCCCTCGGTGAATACCCCACAATTCAGCAAGACGGGAAACTCTCGGTTCTTGAAAGCTTCAAGCCGTTCGCCTCGTATCCGCTTCTTCGTCGCGCCGGTGATGTACTGTGCATCGATGCCATGTCTGCGGAACGTGGACGTCAAGCTGGTCACATGGTTGATGTCGACACAGAACACCAGTGTCGATTTCCGGTGGCCAGCTTCTTCTTGCCATGCCTTGACTGTGATATCATTGCTGATCTCCGTATTCACTGCCGCCGACAATTGACCTGTCTGAAAATCTCCATCTTTTCCTACCCGGACTTTGGATAGATCTGCTTTCGACTTGACAGTGGTAAATACGACATCCGAGAGCCACTTCTCACCGATCATGTCGACGTAGTCTTTGTGATAGACAATATGATCAATAGCCGCGCCGAGTCTCAGGCCGTCGAAGCGAGAGAAGGTCGCCGAGACACCAACTAACGCCGGGCCAGTATCCCGTCTTTCTTCCAGGCCAAAGTGTTCGAGAACCCGTAGATAGCCTGCTGCCACGATATGATGGGCTTCATCCACCAGGACCAGCTTGAAACGATCTGGGTTGTATTTAGTCAGCCGGTCACCAGAGACCAAACTGCGAACGGAGGCGACTGTAATGTCTGCTGCGCCCGAAGCGTGTATATCTCCCATCTCGATGTCGATGCTCTTGTCTGGATATGCTCGCTCGCAGTGTCGGGCGGCTTGCTCCACCAGCTCTCGCCGGTGAGCAAGGATCAGTGTCTGCTGGGCAGTCTTGGTGGGTGGCTGGACTCGATCGATTAGTCGCGTGAATATGACCTGGCAGCCCGAGTTAGCACCACTATCCTTGGGGCAAGTCTCATAGAGTACCGTCTTGCCGCTACCAGTGGCTAATGAGATGCCTAGACGCTTGTGGCCTCTTTTCAGGTATGAAAGCACCGACTGAATGCATTCTTCTTGATACTCCCGCAGTCGAATCGCTTCATCACGGACCACAGGTGGCAGCGGCGACTGGACAACCGTCGCCAATGACCGACGCGCCTGTCGTGGGTGCAAAATGCATTTTGAAGTATAAGCCAACCTCTGCAACCATCCTGACGGTGCTAGCATAATACACGATCTGACATGGCTATGGTAAGGGTTTGGGGACATATGCCATACTGCGTCCACAGTCAAAAGAAGTATTAAGCGCATAGAGAAAGTGACGTCGTCCAATCACAACTGGTCGAGTACAGCAGGCGACGGAAGCTTCTTGGGCCTCCTTACTTTGCATACACCATCTGCAGGTTCCTGATGGGCTTCCGAGCATACCTTGATTTAGTCAAGATCGTACACGGCGTCTAACGCTTAATCAATACATGTATTTGCATTCCTCAGCCCCATGGACCGCTCTAATCGGATAGACTAGTACACCAAGCATAACCAAACTGGAGGTACAGAGCCAGACTTCTCCCACTCGCACCTCTCTGCTTTCAGAGCTCCTTAGCAACTGACACTCTTCAACTTTGGAATCAGCCTCGAATTTACAAGTGGCTGATAATACCAGCTGCGTACTCGTGGGTCTTGGCCTTCCCACCCAAGTCACCCGTTAAAGTCTTGCCTTCTTTCAACGTCGCGAAGATAGCGCTCTCAATCTGCGCGGCATGCTCGTTCAAGCCCATATGCCGTAACATCATGATACTGCTGAGCAAAAGAGCCGTCGGGTTGGCAAGGCTTTTGCCAGCGATATCGGGCGCCGAGCCGTGTACGGCCTCGAAGATAGAGCACTCATCGCCGATGTTCCCTGAGGGTGTGAGACCCAAGCCACCAATCAAACCGGCGCACATATCCGACAAGATGTCGCCGTAAAGGTTGGGCATGACGAGGACCTTGTCTGAATATGGACCTGGATCGGTCGTGATTTTCAGGCAGGCGTTGTCGAGCAATTCGGCATCAAATTCAATATCGGGGAAGTCTTTCGCGACATCTCTCGCCGTACTGAGGAAGAGACCATCCGACATCTTCATAATAGTGGCTTTGTGCACAACACGGACCTTGTTCTTGCCAACGTCTCGAGCATATTGAAAAGCGTATCTCAACACACGTTCGGATGCCTCCCGAGTGATGAGCTTGATGGACTGCACGACACCGTCAACCACAACGTGCTCGATGCCAGAGTATTCGCCCTCGGTGTTTTCTCGAATAAGCACGGTATCGACGTTATCGTAGGGTGTCTTGTACCCCTCTATGCTTCGGCACGGACGGACATTGGCAAAGAGGTTGAACGTCCGACGGAGGGTGAGGTTGAGGGAAACGTGGCCCTTGCCGACGGGTGTGGCCAGAGGCCCCTTCAGAGCCACGTAGTTCTTCTGTACGGATGCAATTGCTTCGTCTGGAATGACGGTCCGCCCATCCTTCAGACGAGGGGTGACGTCCACGGGTTCCCACACGATAGGCACCTTTGCAGCTTTGTAGATGTCCTTGACGGACTGCGCAATCTCGGGACCGATGCCATCACCTTCTATTAACGTGACAGTGTAGTTCCCGTCTGACCCTTTCTTGCCCTTGAACTTCGCGACCTTGTCTGCTTCGGCGGTTGAGGCATAGCGCCTGGGCTGGAACTGAGCAGTAGAGAATCAGTCATTCGGATTGCAAGAGCTCGCGGGAGCATTGGCTGCGTACCTGGACGAAGATAGGAGCCCGTATCGGCTGAGCGCAGGCTTTTCGCAAGCATTGGCGAGCAGGAGCAGCGAATGCTCGAGGAGCAATCATGGTGGGCGAGCTGAGCGATAGACAGCTTGAGAAATTCAGAGAGACACCCTGTTCATTACCATCGAGCAAACGGATGTCTTGAAAGGCTGGGTGAGCGTAGGTGGTGGGTAGACTGCAAAGCGAGGGAAGCTCTTTTTCCGAAATGTTCAACGGCGCGGGAAGGTGCCAGTTACATCACAGCTTCAGTTGCAGCTTCCGATAGCTCCACAGCGAAAACGAAGCCAAGCCACGCTAAAGCTGGGCTAGCTGATCACGTGTCGCCAAGGCATCTCACTCCTCGCGATTCTTACTGTGGAGGATCGTGATTCCGCGCCAGTGACTTTGGTCACCCACGGCCCCTTCGTCCATCATGGCCGCCCGGGATCGAGATGTAGTCACCTACTTCAATATTCCCAATCCATATCCTACCGAGTGGCCGGATGAATTCAACAGCGATGACGATGAGGACGCCGCCGGCGGGGTGCGACGCTCAAGGTCCAGATACAGCGCGCTGGAGAGAACCGCCAGCGAGAGGAAGAGTCTACTGCCTGGCTCTCAGAGGACCGGTGACGGCCGGGCGAACTTAGTCCAGAAGGACGAGCCAGATCCTCTTGGCGCTCCAGGTAGTGTGGTCTCCAATTTGCGGCAAAGGGGTCTTCCGGTCGACGCGGATATACGGCTCAAGAACAAGTTTATGCTGTCTTCCACCACATTTGCCCCGGAAGCTTTTTTGGCCACGACGCATGACCAAGATACTGCGAGCGATCTTGTTGCGGGTTCGAATTATCTTGCCAAATCCATAGATCAGCAATCGGCGCCGTTGAAGAATCTGGTCGAGTCCAACTTCGAGCGCTTCGTCCGCGCGAAGGCCACAATCGACAATGTGTACACCGAGATGCGCGGCCAGGGCGTCGACCCGCAGGCCAACGTCCCACCTTCACCGTCACATTCGAGCCGCCATTCCCGACGTATTAGCGGCATCCATTTTCGCAACATCAGCACTGGCAGCGCTTCTGGAGCGGCACAGTCCCAGCCGCCGAGAAAGAATGCCCTCCGAAAGGAAACAGACTACGGAGTGAATGGCGTCAAAACCTCTCTCTCAGAAGTCGCCCAGAAAGCCGAGGATGCCTGGGGACCAGCATTAGGCGGGAAGAAACGGGAGGAGAATCTCAAAATTCTTTTAGGTTCCGTGGAGAAAGACCGGGAAGTCTGGGTGCTGGCCAACAGACTAGAAAATGCCATCAATCAAAGAGACTACAACAAGGTTCGCGAGCACTACAACGCCGCTCGTCGGTACAGGGCGGAGGTGCAGGCCATGGCTGAGAAGACGAAGCAAGCTGGACGCAAATTTACCAAGGATGAGACTTATTGGGTCATCATCATTGGCAAGATGTGGTCCAAAATTGACGAGCAGATCAAGACGTTCAAGAAAGACGTCTGGCGAAGGCTTTCCACTCCCTCAGCAGCTTTGCCTTTACCGGGCGTCTCTCAGGCGGAAGAACATATAGAACTCATCAGCGTTCTTTTAGACCTCGGCGTGGATGACAGTCCTATCTGGGTCTATCTTCTCAGCAAGTACGACTACTTGAAGAACAAGATTTCCGCGGTTGTAGAGAGATCGAAGATCGAAATTGAGATCCTACGCCGCCGTCTGGCACTCGCGGAACGTCCACCATCTCAGACTATTGCGGCATTCCTGCGGCAGGCTTCCAAGGAGCGTCCAGAAGCGCTTGACACCGTTGATGTTATCGATTTCTGGAATTGTATTTTGACCTACGTCACGAAACTGCTGTCCATATCAAGTGGACTACTAGGCGAGGTTGTCGAGTTCTGGGAGTCAGCACAGTCGTTCATTGATGGCACGAAAACGAAATCCCTGCCTACCGGCTATGAAGGAGAGAGTGCCAGACACCTTCAATTGTCCCAGGACGATATCAACGGACTTCGAAATGGTGCTGTTGAACTTGTGGGCCAGCTACGGGACGCTGTCTTCTCTCTGTTCGCCGATCCACCCGCTGAAGATATTTCGTCTCTCTTCTCCCCGGTGCCTGGCTCTGCGGGGACACCAACCACTCCCTATCCTGCATCTGCGTTCTCGCCCACCGACGGCCGCATCGGCAGACTTGACCCCAACGACGTGCCTGTTGCAGAAAAGAAGGGCGAGCCATGGGAAGACTTTGCATTCTGGCCACCTCACTCAAACGCACTGAGTGCGGTGCAATATCTTCAAAAGATCCTCACACTTGTTGCAATCTCTGCTAACGAGATGATGGGGTTGGGCCCGGTTAGCAATAACAATGCCATGTATGAGAGGATCAAGACTATGACTGCCGGAGCTCGCGAGCGTTCCATGCGAGCTGTTTGTGAAGCCTGGAGCAAGGATGCTGAAAGTTGTAAGTCCATGGAAGACTGGATCCGGGCACCTGAAAAGCGAGACCAGACACGAATGCCACTATACTTCGAGGCATTCGAGAGGAAAGTGTTGCTCGGAATGCAACAAGTGTTGTACTTCTCGGACACGACCACTAAGCCAGGTGCGCGTGAGGTTATCACTCCACCGCCATCGAAGCTCCTGCAGATGATACGAACACAATTCGTCAGCACGGTCTACAAAGCAGTTAGCGGCATGCTCGACAATACAGAGGTGCCGAATCAAGGTGACGAGGATGAGTGGGTGGTATCAGCCGGCCTCAACTCTGTGAACATGGGCACCGACACGGGCGACATCCTGGTCCAGGACGCGATCAATGCGTCAAGTCGCAGTGTGCGCCTGCTCCTGACCATGTCCAACACCAAAGCCCTACGCAACGAGCAGGTCCCGTCGCTCATTCATTTGTTCGAATCGTCATTCTCCGTCAAACTTGCAGACGAGTCAAAATCGATCAAAGACGTCTTTGGCCAGATTGACGCCAAGTTGTTCCATGCATACACTCGACCGATCGTCGCTGAATTGACGAAGATGGTCAAAGACGGCATCAATTCTCCAAGTTGGGTACCCAGTACCTCGAAACCCGTACAAGTCCAGCCCTACGTTTATGCGGCGCTCATGCAGCTGGTCAAGGTGCACAGCGAGGTTTCTACCACAGTCTCGAGCACAGGTTACAGCAGCCCTTTGCTAAGCGAGATTCTAGCCTACCTGCTCGAAAACGTCTCTCAAGCGCTCCTTGACGGGTTCAAAGAGCGGAAGCCCAACACCTACACGTTGCCAGCGTTGATGCAAGCCACTCTTGACACGGAATTCATCGCCCAGACCATGACCCAATACGCCACTCCCAAAGCGGGAGAGATCCAAGGACAAATCTACACGGAATTGGACAAGCGAACCACCAACGAAGCACGAACACGGCTGCAACAAGAATTAGGAGACATGAGGATTGTGCTGAAGAAGCTGAGAGAAGGCAGCAGAAACAGCTTTGGCTGCTTTAAGAAGCCGAGAGGCAGTGACAAGGAGAAAGGTAGACAGCAAGGCGGTGCAACAGCGTAGTTTTCAAGACTTGGGTCGTACGGTAACGAAGCTCAAGTCAGTGCAGGAGGAAGAGAACGACATGCAGTGACTGTGACTGCGAATGTACAAATACGCAAGGCTCCAGGAGTTATGGACGTATAGACAGAGCAAAGATACCCAGTGTGGTCCGTATACCAGCTCGAATAGCACACACTGTATTGCATGTTGCTTGCCCTGGCTTTGTCTAGACTTGCCGCATCGCTCTGCAACACTGGCTACGGCCTACACAGTACCTCGTGACAGTCCGGGCGCCCTATCTCCGCCGTCCTCGTCTCCCTCTACCTCTCCGTCCACCGCGTCCCCGCTTCGTCGCGCCACCTCGCTTGATCTCAGCTTCCTCTTCATCCTCTTGCTCCGGCTCGGCCTCTGCCTCCTCACTCTCTTCTCCCTCACCAGCGCCACTTTCGTCTTCATCCGCCTCCGCCTCATCATCCACATCCTCCATCACCTCATCCTCCGGCTGTTCGGCCGCACTTGGGGCTTTACTCGTCCTCCTACTCCCCCTCCTCCCCTCGGCCTCCACCTCGTTCTGCAATCTCGACAGTCTTCCGCCAGCGCCGCCGCCTCGCCCACGTCCTCTCCCCCTCCCCGAGCCTCCACCGGAGACACTGACGGGCGAACTCCGCGGCTCGTCCGTGTCGGCAATGGTGCTTTCTCTCCTGGCGGTCCCCGACCCTGTGGCGATAGCGGGGCTTTGCGGTCGCGAGCTCCCCACGGCGCTAGCTCCCTCGGGCGCAAACCGTTTCTGCCACATCAGTTCCTCAAAGTCGTCGCGCGGCAGCTCGAACTCGCGCCAATAGTCGTCCGCCTCGCCGCTGCTCTTGGCGGTGCTGGCCCCCGTGTCGAGGATGATGCTGTCTTCCCGCTCGTCTAGGCGGTCCAGGTCGTACAGCGTGTTGAGTTTGCGCCATATTCCCGCTGTGGAGGTGTGGGTGTCTTCTGGGGCGATGAGGCCCGTTGTGAGAAGATGGTCGCGGATCGCGATCATGCGGAAATGCTTGTGCATGCCGACTGGTTTCCAGCGCGTAATCGCTTGGAGGAGGGCTGATTCTTGGGGGACGGTCCAGAGGTGTGTGTCGTCCATGGTCGAGGTCGTCGATGCCATGGTTTCTTTGAGTGATTTAGTTCAAGTGGGCGGTGGGTGGGAGTGGCCGGGGCCGTACCAATGTAGCTCCAGGTCGGAGTTCGGACCTGAAGAGCTACAGTACCGACGGGTGACAGGGGCATGTGTAACTCACTGAACTTATTGTTGGTTCATTAACACCAGCGCAGCATAATTCATCTTTTGTGGGCCCCTGAAATATGCGGCTTATGTAAGCGAGTGGCCCAATCAGAATGCAGCACGATCCTACACAGTATGTGGCGAGGATTATGTACCTGTACCTGTACTTATACCTGTACCTGTACTTATACCTGTACCTGTACTTGAGCCTGATGCTCGGTGCTCGGTGCTCCGGCTATCTATATCTTCAAATGGTGATGATACTCCCGTCGCCTCGATTCCAGCTACCCCTCCACACAGCGTGTTCACAACTTCACCTCTCGGGGCATTCCAACCTCTCCGCTCTTCCAGCCCTTCTCTCTCCATCGCTTGCCCCAGATGCCGTTTCTGCCAGGACTCAGAATGCCATTCGGGTCCAAGGCGTCCTTGATGGTCTCATTGAAGCGTCCCAGAGCACCATTTCCCCATTTATACGTGCCGGCGACCTGATCCATATACAACAAGTGCGTGCGGTATTCGCCATAGCCCTTCCTGGCCCCTTCATCAATCAGTTCCCGCATCAGGCACGCGGCGCGGCGCTTGCTGTCGGGGTCTTCGCGGTCAAACACAATCTCGGCAATGAAGTGCATCTCGCGGCCAGCGACGCAAATCGTGCTGAACGAGTCGAATCCCCATTTGGCGTACAGCTTTTCGGCGATGTCCATCATCACGCGAGCATGTTTACCGGTCGTGGGCAGGATGGGGCTGCAGGCGATATGTCCTCCGTTCGGCAGCCAGTTCAGCCAATCCAGCTCTTTCAGCACCGGCTCCCCTATATTGACCTTGGCGCGGTCGTGGATGTAATGGTCGGGCGGTAAATCAGAGGGCAAGTAGAACTTAGAACCCTTGATCTGAGCGAATGTCGACTTGATGAGATCAAGCTGCGACTCGATCGTTTTGGCGTCTCCGTATTGACAGCCGTAGAAGATCCAGCTCACGTCGCCGAGTGGCATCTTGGCGGCTTCACGGGCAATCACCGAGCGAGGCAATCGTCCTCCCCGGTCACTGCCTTCGGGCCAGAAATGACTTCTGGGCTTGCCTGTGACTGCCAGTTCCTGGACCACATGCCGCAGTTGGGGCACGTTTCCGAACACGCGGCTAGCGGCCAACGGTCGGATCAGGTCGACAATCTGCTCAAAGTCATCTTCGCGAGGGAAGGTCACCAGATAAGATTGGTTGCCTGTCGCGGGCATGAGCCAGAAGCCCATCTTCGTCACAATCCCGTAGTTGGACTGGCTGAAGATCCCGTCGACGGCGGGGCCGTACGCGTTCTGAAACGACTGCCACGTCAAATTGTCCGTGTCGTTCTCCCCAGGCAGGGCGCCCATACCGGTACGGAGCAGCGTTCCGTCCGGAAGGACGACTTCCATGCCGCAATGCATGCCAAAGTGGTCGCCGTACGGTGTGTAGCCTACGCCCCGATCGAGTGCGTTACCCATGACGCTTCCGCCACCGAGGTCGGGACAGTCGATCCACAGATTCAGCCCACTCTTCTTCACCGCTTCATAAAGCGCGAAATACGACACCCCGGGCTCAAGCAGGCAGGAGCAGTTCTGGCCATCGATCTTGAGGATTTTGTTCATCCGACGTCCCAGATCGACCACGACGGAGCCCGACACGCGAGGTGCCGCGCCCCCGTAGCCCAGATTTCTCCCCATGGATATGGGATGCAGCGGGATTAGTGTTTGGTTAGCCCACCGCACGATAGCCTGTACTTCCTCCGTCGTCGACGGGTAGACCACCGCGCTGGCGACCAAAGCGTCCTGGTTGGCGACATGATTGCTGTCGTGGGTGTTGCTGGGCGAAGGATCAGCAACTACACAGCAACATAAAGCTAGACCACGGAAGCTAAAGCGGACTCACGGATGTTCCATATACCAGCCATCGACCAGCGCTCCGTCATTGACCTGCACATATTGATCGCCGACTACGGACCGTAACTGTGCGATGGCTTGGTCGAACTTCTCCTGCGTCGTGTCCGGGGGCAGCTGTACTCGACGGGGCGCACTTGAGGCGGCATCTCCCTTTGTTCGCCTCGAGAAGAGGAGCCCTTTCGCTCTCTTCGCCTGGTCGACCAGTCGTGTGGGGACGCCACTGTGTTTTTCTAGCAGAGTAGGTGTCTTTGGCAGGTTATTGGATGCCATTTCGGAATCAGACTGTAGTGACTACAGACCACAACCGGGAGGACAAGAGTGACTTGGGAGACTGTTAATGCCTCTGTGATATACAGCATGCATCCGGAAAAGATCCATCTACCCAGTACCTAGATAGCGGTCCCTTTCTAGCCCCACATGGCAAGGCCAGACCCCCCTCCAACGAGGCGAGCTACCCCATGTGCCCCAGTGTGGGACTCCCAGCCCTTGCAGACAATATTCACGCATGAGCCTCGGTGGCATTGTGATGAAACGACACGAGAGTTGAAAGGAGGACACCAGAACTTGATCCAATCACAGCGATGCTTCTCTTATGATATTCCTTCTTGTCACAGGTCACAGCTCTGCCATCCCGTTACCAGCGTCTCCTGTCGCAGACTTCAGGTGCTTCTCCTGCGGACTACATCGTAGTTTAAAAGGCAAGCAGCCTGCAACTACTTGATCTCGTTGCGTTCTACTCCCTACCATATCGATGGCATTCAGTCAAAGTAGTTGGCTTCCAAGTCCGCCAGCAGGCCCGGCTGGCCACTGCCCACCGGATTCCAACCCAGCTCCCTCTGCGTCTTCTCACTCGACGTAGGATTATCAGCTGCGAGCGCGAGTGCGATGAAGCCAAGGTCCGCTGTTGCTTCCTCCACCGTCTTGCTGTCCACGGGAATCTGCAGCCGCCTGCCCACTACTCCCATGATGTCTTTCACTGGAACGCCCTCCTCGGAAACAGCATGATAAATCGCGCCGGGCGCGCCCTTCTCCAGCGCAAACCGGAAAGCCACAGCCGCGTCGAGTCGATGGACCGCGGGCCACACGTTCGCCCCGTCGCCAATGATGACCGCGTGGCCGATCTTCCGCGCCGCCTCCGCGATCATGGGAATGAATTGGTAGTCTCCCTTCCCGTGCACCGTGGGCGGCAGACGCACCGTGGAGCCTCGAATCGCCGTCTCGGTTGACAGCTTGGTCACCAGATCCGCGGACTCCTGCCTGATGGAGAAGGGCGTGCTGCGGTCAGGCTCGTCGTCCTCGTGCGCCAACTTGCCCTGGTACGCGAGCAGCGTGCCCGACGCGATGACGAGAGGTTTTCCCGTGCCGGCGATGGCGGACGCCATGGCTCGAATGGCCGCCTGGTCCAGTAGAGCAGAGGCTCGATAGTTGGTGAAGTCGTGGTGGAAGGCCAGGTGAATGATTCCGTCCGCGGCCTTTGCGCCGGAACTCAGACTCTCCAGATCATCGAGGCTGCCCCGGTGGACTTGGACGCCGAGTCGAGTGAGAGTTTCGGCGCTGGCGTCACTGCGTGCGAGGCCGAGCACCTGGTGGCCGTGGGTGAGGAGTTCTTCGACGGTGGCGCGGCCGATAAACCCCGTAGCCCCTGTTACGAAGACCAGCATTCTGAATTACGCGGAGGTGATTGAGCTTATAAAACTGAAGACGCTGTCTCCCTTAGTGAACGAAATAGCAGAACCTAACTGGGAGTATCCCGATTTATATCCGTTTTCCGTGACCCTACTTACGGATGAGTATCTCGGATTTAGAGCCCTCTAAACGCCCTGCGAGAATTCATCTGTCGCGGCCCAGGGCTTTATACTCCGCAAATGGCACGCGCATGAGTCTGATCAACCCGTACTGGCCCTGTGTACGAGGTAGACAGATAATGTAGTCGAATCAGGCGTCCCCTCTCGTGGGATATCCCTGTACACGCTAACCGCCGTTCGTATCTGGCCTGCATAGTACTGCGCAACTACACTCTCCGTGCAACGGTCGATGTGCTTTTCCCACCGACTGTCCGGCTGTCGCTCCGTCCGGCGGGGATAAAGTTATTGAAAGCGGACGAATGCTCGACACCACCGCACCGGGCGAGCAGGCGGTTGGCGAAGGGCCGGGTGGAGGGCCCTAGGCGGTGCAAGCGAGAGTCGCTGACTAATGGAATTAACTGTCCTTCAAGTCGAGTCTGCGCCAAGACTCGATCTCGAGGTTTCTGCCTACTGCTTCACTCAGACTCGTGCCTCAAACTATGTACACGATTCACAGCGTGCTTCAAGGGCAGACTATGCTGGCAGTCGCCAAATCTCAGGAGTGACATGGCCTTTGCTCCACATTCCCTCGTCCGTGTCCGAGATACGCGACGACTCATGTCTTGGATGGAAAAACTCAGCCATGGATCTCGACGACAGCCCGGATGAAAGTGACGATCGAGGTCACCTTTCTCGGGACGGAGATCTACTGCGCGAGGAAGATGACGAAGATAACGCCTTGAATGAAGACGGACACGCACATGCACGTTCACATGCGTTAGAGGCTAGGCCCACAGCAAGACCAGATATTGCACGCTCAGTCTCGTTCCCCCAGCGAAAATGGAATCGACTTCGTAAACATTATCGCGACCACTATCTCGTGCTCTTCAAGGACACCTTCGAGGCAGGCGAGGACGATTACTTCCACGGCGACCTGCCCCCCACCCAGCTGGGTGCGACTTTGTGGCATCCGGATGAAAAAATAAAACTTTACCGCGCTCTTTGTCGAAAAGGTCGACATGACTTGCCGGCCCTGGCAGGTTTGGTGGGCTCCAAGTCGGTGGTCGAGATCAAAGCCTACCTGGACAATCTACGCGAGCTAGAGGCTGATCGACAACGCTTCGAAGCACAGCCCAAGAATGTCGCGCACGCCGAAATCCCGGCTGCCATTGAAGTTGGCCCAGACTGCGAAACTATCCTGAATCGGGCTGCGGATGCGCTATTGGCATTCCAAGAGCAGTACGATGCTGCGGCAGCCAAAGAATCTAACGGGATGTGGTTGATCGACCACGAACTAGCTGCGGAACTCGACCAGCGAGCGGACGACACCGAGATGCAAGGCGACGGGCCTGACCTGGCTTCCGACGACGAGGCGTCGCAGATCCCTCAACGAGTCTGTTCGTTCTTCCATCTGTCAGCATACCTGGAGCTCAGCGAGCGGTTGTTCATGAACAGAGGCTCCGACAGCCCCGACTCGTGGCAGGACATAGCAGAAGAGGGCGAGCGTCCGAGTATGACGCTTGATTGCGTGACGCTCTTGTACGATATTGTTGTCAATTTCCTGCGCCGCCTAGTACAGTCGTGCATTTTTCTTGCGCAATCGAGACTCCGTGCTTCCACGACCAAGGAGTATCGACCCAGTGGGAGCGTCAAGTTCGAAGACGTCGCCGCCGCTTTGGACGTGCTTGGCGTCAGGAGAAACGCACGCTCATATTGGGTCGGGCTGGCACGGAGGAACGGCTTGAGGATTGTGGATGATGCGCATAGGAGAGGCGTGGATGGGAAGGCTGCAATTCCCTATAGCGCTGTAGAAGAATCCTTGTCACAGTCAGGCAGAAGCAGATCAGTTTCGGCAGCACGAGGGGCGTCCAGCGAAGAGAATGAAGCCACCTCCGAGTCATCTTCACCTATGGAGAGTGAAGATAGTTTGAGTGACCACTCGAATGACGAAGAAGATGATGTGCAGGGCTCGGAGGGCGAGGTTGCGCATCAGCAGGAAGGGGATGAAGACTTCACACATGGCACAGAGACAGAAGACGACGCTCCTGGTTTTGAGGGACATTCCAAGGTCGCCATTTCACAGCGCAAGCGATTCAGGCTACTTGAAGAGCAGCAAGATGATTATCTGGAGAGGATGGACAAAGCAGCGCGGCGCCTAGAGGAGTCACGACTGTTGTCTTTTCTGGGTGCTGAAGAGCACGAGAAGGTCAAAGAAGAGGATGTGGTTGATTTGGGTGTCCGTCCTCCACAATTGCGTAAATCGGTGGAGGACTGTATGGGATGGTCGTCTATCAACTTTGAAGCCGAATGGGAGACGCTGGCAAAGAGGAGGAGACTTGATTCACCGGCGGAATGATTTCTGTCTCACTTCCGCCTCTTTACCTCTTCACCGAGGATTGTGCCAACACTACGTCACTGAATGGTGATTCGTGCGGAAAATTAACGGGAGCTAGTGATTAGCGGCCGATCTTAGCCCTTCTCGTGGTCAAACAAGGAAGTCGCAACCTCGGCCAGTAAACAAGACGAAGCTCTGCCATCAGACAATTGAAAACATTTGAATTACATGTTTATTCATGGAAACCTGCTGCTCTACGGAAGATCATCCCGGGTCGTGAAATCCTCATACCCTTTGTTGCCACCAGAGGGACGCGCTCTTCACACATTCTCACGACCACCACGCGTCTATAGTTCGGACGCTACGAACGCGAGATTGACACGGTGCTGATGCCCACGGAGACTCGACTCCCCAGCCAGCATACTTCGTGCTTACTCCTTGTCACCGAGCAGCCTCCGCGCGCACTTTGCCCGATGCTGGATTTCATCTCGTCAATATCCTAACTGAGCTCGACATCCTGAGCATCACACCGTAGACACAACCATGGGTCTCCGAGAGGTGACCGTTGAGGATGAGCGAGCTCTGCAAGAGATTGCAGATACCCTAGCAGGGTCGCACAAGGTCCTTGTTGTCACGGGTGCAGGCATCAGCACCAGCTGTGGAATTCCCGTGGGTTACGTGACTCGCCTGTTGAAGAGGTATTGACTGTGCAAAGGACTTTCGATCCAAGGATGGGCTCTACAACATGATTCCGAGCCAAAACATGCTTCCAACGCCGCCGTCATCACAGCCTTCCACGCCCACCCACAGTCGAGTTGCCGACCTAGGTCTGGACGGAGAACCACTCTCCTCGCAATCGCGAAGCCGGAGAGCGTCTTCAAGTCCTTCGTCCAGGCTACGCGGACAAGACTTGTTTGACTCGCGTGTGTTCCAGAATGCCGAGTCTACAACGGTGTTCTACCAGTTTATAGCATCCATGCGACACAAGATACGCGACGAGGTGCGGTCGACGAGTTCAGTCCACAAATTCATCAGAGTCCTCCGCGATGGTGGTCGGTTGATGAGGTGCTATACCCAGAACATAGATGGCTTGGAAGCAAGAGAAGGCCTTGTGACGGACCTGAGGCGTGGAAAAGGAAACAAGCGGCGGTTCATGAAGAAGCACTATGAAGCACCACGCCCTGCGCAGACTGTCTCCACGGATTTTGATGGAGGATGTGAGGTTGTGCAGCTCCACGGTGACCTGGACAAACTGCGCTGCACGATGTGCTCCACTCAGTACGAATGGAGGGACGAGGAGACCGACATCTACCTGGAAGGCGCTGCACCGAGCTGCCCCAAATGCAAAGAGAAGAGCGAAGACCGACAGGCCACGGGAAAGCGAGGTCTGGCAGTAGGTTCTCTCCGGCCGAACATCGTACTCTACGGAGAAGATCATCCCTCCAACACGCTGCTCACTCCGCTGATTCCTTTCGATGCGGGTTGTCGACCGGAGGTACTGGTCATAATGGGGACTTCTCTGAAAGTGTTCGGCCTGCAGAAGATTGTGCGCGAGTTTGCAAAGGCCGTGCATTCGCACAAGAACGACAAAGGACGCGTGATATTTGTCAATCGCACTCGACCCGCAGAGAGTGTCTGGGAGGGGATTATTGATGATTTCGTGGCTATGGATTGCGATGACTGGGTGGACGACTTGAAAAAGCGCCGGCATGATCTCTGGCTCCGCCAAGGAGAAATTGACATGACCGTCACGAAATCAGCACAGCCTAAGCGGAAGCGGAAGTCGATCGAGGACGAGAGTTCGAAGGAGAACAAACCATGCAAGAAAGCAAAGATCGTTGTCGAAGTGCCTTGCCACCATGCCGCAGACGGAGGAAGCCCTTCAGACATACTGTCAAGGAGGTTAGTGACTCCAAAGAAGATCAAACTACCTCGGGATTACCCAGGACGCGCAATACTCTCACCCTTAGCCCAAGCGAGGAGACCACCGGTTTCCCCCTTTACAAGCCCTATCAGAGGCGACGAAGAGTCGGCCCTTCCGAGTCCAAGGAAGCGAGGAACGCCTATGCGACCGCCAATCTCACCGTTTTCCAGTCCCGTACGGGCAGACCCTGATAAAGAGCCATCGATCTTGAAGTGGGGCACACCTAAGAGACCAACATTTTCCCCTTTCACACCAGGCCTCTGGACTGGCAGCAAGCTTAAGATGGAGGTCTGCCGGGATGAGAATGAGTTCTGTCCTCCCAGTCCTTGCATCGTCCATCCTGAGGTAGAGCCAGAACTGGATGAAGACACCGTAGCCATTATCGAAACTCAGCGGCCAGGTAAGGTGGACGAGTCCCAAGCGCTGCCGTTCATGGCACAGGTCTGGCAGCGAGTGCGAGATAGCTGCGTCTTCTCTTACGGGCAAGAGCCCAACTCGAGCCAGCAATCGATTGAAGATGATGTCGGCGAGGTCGACACCCCGACTCGAGGACCACGAGGCCGAAGAATCGATGTTTTGGCGGAGTGATGCAGCTGCACCTTTGCATGTACAATACTTGAAGGATGCATTGCACGGCACGTCGAAGGCAACTGAGATCAGACGAAGCTGTAACGAACTGGTACGAGACCGACGAATGTACATTGCCGAGGCATTAGAGAGTCTGGGGGAATTGAACGACGTTGAGACTCTTCATAGGGCGAGTCACTAAGAGTTGGCGAAAGCCGCTGCAATCACGAATAATGTACCCAGTACAGTACGTTCCTTGCCACGGACAACTGTACTGTACCCCGTAGGTAACTTCTGCTGAGTAGCGCTTCGGATACTGTGGTGCGTGCTTGGTCATAATGCTTAGCTCGTCTTCTGAGGCCTTCTAACTATTTCTTGCCCACCCTCTCTGCTTTATCGTCCGAGTCCTTCCGGCCGAGGCATCCAATTGTCTTTTCTTTCCATCGTTCCGCCCAGCTCGTCGTGCTCGTGATTTCCGCTTACCGGTCTGACCAATTTTGTCGCGCACATGACAAATGAACCGCGGCAAGGAGCAGCGGATAAGGCGGGGGATATTTTTCAGGACAGCGGTCCACGCCACGCCTAGACCTTGACGGTCATATATGATTCCCGCGAGTTCCCATGTCCCGCTTCGCGCTTCTTTTCGTCTTGACTCCCTCCCCTAGTAGAACGATGTCAATTTGAGAGGACAAGAAGCCGCGAATCCAAAAGGCGAAAAAATCCGAGGTGCTTTCTATTTCTAACTATCTACAGGAAGTCGGCCTGCCAATCCGACGGGTTTGCGAAATTTTTGGTGAGAAAGTGAATCTTGAAGCAGGCGTACACTGAGAATTTACGTCTTGTGGGAGCGGGAGAAACAGCTCGGCGCCCACAAAATAACATTTTGGAGCTGAAGACGTCGAGTGCGAACTAGACTGGCGGTCTCAGTCTACCAACCTGTGTGAATCAAGGAAACCAAGAAGAATTTTCTCTGCCGCACAAGCCTGGTTTCCTTTTTGACACCACAGGAAAAAAACAACTATACCTGCACCTCCACAGTATCTCATCCGGCACGACTACAGTACGCTACAATGCAGCCTCCAAGCACGCTCGCCAAGGGGTTCGACTCGATTGAGTCGACGATCCAGGCGTTCCGCAACGGCGAATTCATCGTCGTGCTCGACTCGCAAGACCGCGAGAACGAAGGCGACCTCATCATCGCGGCGCAGGACGTGACGACGGAGAAAATGGCCTTCATGGTCCGCTATACCAGCGGCCTGATCTGTGCGCCGATCACCGCCCAGCTCGCGGCCGAGCTGGACCTGCCGCAGATGGTGGTGGACAACGAGGATCCCAACCGCACGGCGTACACGATCTCGATTGACTCGAACGACGAGAGTGTCACGACGGGCATCTCGGCGCATGATCGCGCCTTGACCTGTCGCACGCTCGCCAGCCCGAAAGCCACGGCCGCAAGTTTCAGGCGCCCTGGCCACGTCTTCCCGTTGAGGGCCAGGGATGGAGGTGTCCTCGAACGGACCGGTCATACCGAGGCGGCGGTGGAGTTTTGTCGTCTCGCCGGGAAGGCGAAGGCGGGGGTGATTTGTGAGATGGTCGACGATGGAGAGCCAGTCCCCGGGCAGACGATCATGAGGGAGCCGGGCATGATGAGACGAGATGCTTGTCTGGAATTTGGACGCAAGTGGGGGTTGAAGGTCTGCACGATTGAGGATCTGGTCGAATATGTTCGGAGTGAGAAGGAGAAGGAGAAGGAGAAAGCGGGCAATGGACAAGCGCATGGCAATGGCGTGGTGACAAATGGGGTCAATGGAGTCAACGCAGCCAACGCAGTCAATGGATGGCGTTAAGAGGGGCTGAGAACATACTGCGCATATTGTGACGGTGCTGTGTGCGAGAGTGTAGATGCGGATACGAAGTATGGGGGTCGACTACCCATCACCAGCGAAGTCAAGGTACTGTAGTGGGCTTCCCAACTTTGGTCGAATCAATATACATGGAAGACTGCTCTGTTGTTGAGCCCTCTCCGTACACGAGGCGCAAGGCACGACTCTCCATATGTCGTTCCATTCCACTGAAGCGTCACACTCCTGAGCCGGCTGGCGGGACAGGTGCCAGCCGATTATATAGGGAACGTCACAGGCATTTCCTGTCTACTGTCACAGTTAGTCACAGCCTCGTCGCAGTCCGTTGACCACTTGGAAGACCCTCCGAGAGACAGTCGCCTACTTACGCGGTGACAAGTATATTGCCAAGCGACTATTCAATCAGCCCGACGGCCCGAACGAAACCGCGGCATTCCGGATCCCGCTGCATTCACTGCGCTCCCAGCACGTCGATTTGAGTCGGAGAGAGGGCGACGTCTGTACCGAATATACCGTGCACGGTGGCCACATCTTTGCGGGCAAGACGTTATTCATGACCGGCAGGCAATATCCAGTACTGTGTAGATAATGAGGCCAGAAGTAATTACTCCCTCCACAGTACTGTGTACATGCGCAAGGCCAGGAATTGAATGTACCTATGCAGTCGTCTCTTACAACATGCCATGTGGTTCCTCGCCGCTTCACTCAGCCAATACAACTATATCATTGTTTTCATGTGAATGCTTATAAACAGGTTAGTAAATTCCCGGCCGTGTGCGAAACAGAGGACGGCCGCCTGCAACTTGCATTAGATTCAGGGTGTGCTTCATTACTAGGTAGACGACTTCATGGGTACACCATCGTACAGGCACAAGTCCAGAAATGGAATATGCTTGGGTTCTGTGGTTCTGCAGGGTCACGACAATCCACGAGGGCCTCGTTCTCGGCTACGACGTACAGTATCAGATTGAAGTCTCCGACAAGTGGACAAGGCACTTTTCCGACCCCAGCTCACCTCAGCGCTAAGTTCACATTAAGACGACGCCGACGATCGTAATCCACCCAGATGTTTTTCAGATTGGCGACTTCGGATCAATGTCTGCTATTTCTTACATACTTGATGAGTCTTCCTTCTGGCAGAGGACACTGCATCTCTCAGAGAGTAACAAAGTCCGGAATGTTCTGGGATGACTTCCAGCCATATCGCGCCGCTCGAGTAGAAGGAAGATGAAATGAAGACGATAGACCAGCCTCAAACCGCCCCATTCACTTTCCTGTACCTAATCTCGCAAGTCTTGCTCTACCGGGCATGATCTCTCGACGATGAGATGAGCAGGCCGAACGGAGGACGGTTTGAGGACTGTGTACTACGCAAGCTCGAATTGACGAAGAGTTCGGCATACTGTACTCCGTACTGTGCCAGGCCTCTTGGATTCTTCCCACGTCAACGACGCTGGAATCCTGTTCTCTCGCCTGACCTTGGCGAACGCTCGGCCTTCCGGGTCAACTCTACTTGTAACCACCTGTGTACTGTGGAAGCCAGGGCACCCAGGGCGCAGTTTCGCAGTTCACCTTGCGGACAGCCCCATCTTCGCAAGGTACTGTAGGGCAAGGCCACCTAAATTTACGGAATTCTTGCGGTAGTTGACAGTACGCCCAGACAATGGCGACCGCTCAGCCCCCAGCTACAGCCTCACGCTAAGCCCGCGGCGTGCAGGGCGACAACATCCACGCGCACTCTGCAAGTCTGCTTATGATCCTCAGGTGACCCCCGGTGACACTTTTCCTCGTGTCTCTCTCTAATCACTCTGGGACTTACTCCATACTCTTGCCCCCGTTTTACTCCGCGCGGCTGTGTTTTGTACAACGAGCCATCCATTTCTGAGACGGGCGGAATTTATTGTCTGGTCTCGCGGCGGAGTCTGGGAGAGGAAGAGGAAGAGGACGCCTCGTTGCGTAACTAACGCCTTTGTTCCTACGGAGTACTACAGTATCTACGTCCGGGGTTCCTGTCCCGAGCTCAGGAGGTCCTCTCTCCCTCTTTCGACTTCTCGTACATACTCTGGTCCTTCTCTTTCCACCTCACTCGCTTGGTTGCTCCTGTACATACGAACTTACGCTCATACACCGCACTATTTGTGGTTGTTGATTACGCGGTACGCACTACATTCGTTCGGTTGGGCAAAAGTCACTGGTCACTATCCATTAGTCGACGCCGCAACTGTTGGTCGGTTACGGTATCCTTGGATCTGCATTCTTTACTGCATACACACACACATCCGCATACTCCGTACGGTATAGTGGCATCCATTGCACAAGTCGACTCTGGCTTCTCTCGTCGTCGGCTGTCCAGCTTGGTTGAACAGAGCAGTCAAGGTTTCACGCCCTTGCTCATCAGTGGGACGCCGGAAGCAGAACAGAACCGTCGTTCACCCCGGTACTCCGTACTGCCCGACACACCCTCTTTGATGGCACCAGCTTCGCTCGCGCTCCTCCCCCGCCAGTTCGGCAACGGCAACGGCGACGGCAATGGCCGTTTCGGCAACCGCGATGACGGCGGGGTATCGAGGTGGGCGATCATCGGGATCGTGGTCGCGGTACTAGTCGTCGCGGGCATCGTCGGGCTCGTCCTCTTCCGTCGCATGCGCCAGCGACGCAGCGCCGTCTCCTCCCCCTCCGCCATCAACCTGGCCTCCACCTCCACGGCAGCTCACAAGCCCACGTCGACAGGTCCATCGGGCAGTGGCAACGGCAACGGCAACGGCCCGCCCAAGTACGGCGCCAGCACGACCGGATACGGCGTCACGGCTGACCAGAGTCAGTCGCTCCTGGGTAACGCGGAGCCCCCCGCCATCGTCATGTGGGGTCCACCACAGAGTGACAATGCCGGGTCGACGCAGGACGGGTTCGGGTACGATAACAACCTCCAACTCGCGGGCACGGGGATCCAACGGCCTGCGAGCGTGGCTTCGTTCTCTGCGCCGCCGCCCCGGTATGAGGAGGCGACAACCGCGTCTGCCGGCGCTGCGGCGGCGTCGAGACCACAAGGACAGGGCGAGGCGGCAAGTTATTTCAACGCTGCTGTCCCGATGGGCGACGACACGGGTCGGAGTCCGTCGAGAGGGCGAGCCCTCAGCCTCGACACGAGGAGTCTGAATGGCGAGGGGAGGCGGAGTATCAGCCGGTTTAGGGAGGAGGGCATGGTCGATGTGAATGTGAGCGTGAATGCTGAGAAGAGTTAATCCAGAATGGACTTTTAACACCGAGCCGAGCTTCGACTTGGCTTTCTGCATGTCTTGACGTGGGATGGCGAGTTTTTGGATGGTAATGCAACGGTGACGGTAATTTATGATCATCCGATGAATGATGTCGAGTACGATCCAATCCATGTGGGACGTTGAACATAAGACAACCGAACCGTTTATACCATTTTCCTGTCGTTGATTAGTCTGACTGTCTGTGTACTGTATGTATGTATGCCTGCCTGCCTGCCTGCGCCGATGCTGTATTGGGGTATCATTTTGGGTACATTTTTCCGTCCCTGCCACGCCGTGCCATGCCAAATCGTGTCAAACATTACGAAAATGACACTGGCGGTCCAGTTTGGTGATGATTGATTTGTAAAAGTCGTTGAATGGCTGGATGCCGCAGTCGACCGTCTCCCACGCCTCGCTGCCGCCTCCCACGCCTCGCTGCCGCCTCCCACGCCTCGCTGCCGCCTCCCACGCCTCGCTGCCGCCCCCCACGCCTCGCTGCCGCCCCCCACGCCTCGCTACCGCCTCTCCGTCTTGATTTCCTTCTTCACCTCGGTCTTCCCCGAATAGTCCCTGAGCAAGCCCTGCATGTGCGTGTTTGTGATCTTGGTGCCCCTCCTCACCTTCTTCTTCTCCTTTGGTTTCTTCACCCCGGTGTCCACGACAGCCGGCTCGCCCGTCGACTTGTGGTTCATCTTGCGGAGTTCCTTGATCGTGTCCTCCACGCTCGGCAGGGCGATCTGATTCCACAGGTCCTTGAAGTCCTGGTCCAGCGGCGCCTGGAGCGTAGGATCGTCCAGCCAGACCATTCTGGCGTGGTTGTCCTTGCGGTTACGCGTCACGAGCAGTCGGTGCTCCGCCTCGAGTCTGTCGATCGTCTCCTCGGCGTCCTGCCACCCGTCCTTCAACTTCGAAACCTGGATCCCCATGGCGGTGTCTTGGTTTTGGAGGAACTTCAGCAGCGAGTCCGCGTCCGTGATGTTGTGCTCGGGCTTGAAGATGAAGGCGTCCTTCTCCTTGTCGTGGTTGACTTTGGGGTTGATGCTCAGTTGGGCGATGAACTGTTGGACCGTGGCGTCGTCGCGTTTCTGCTGCGGGAGCGTGTAGTTTATGAGGTCTTCTCGTGGGATACTCTGTGGGAATTTCTCCCTTAGGCGGTTGACCGCATATACGACGTCGGTTTGGAGGTAGACCCGCGTGGGCTCGGGAGGTTGTGCGTAGAGCGACGACATTGTGCAGGTGTTTAGACAGGAGGAGCTTGAGGTTGGGAAAGGACCTCGAACGGCGAGGTGAACGGGTTCTAACTCAATGGGCCTGCCACGTCCGGTTGCGGCGACGTTGTTACCTGTGGGAACAAGGACGAATACAGCGCCACGGCCGTGGGTTGGAGGTAGAGACCGACGAAAACACAAAACGAGGGCACAAAAGAGTAGAGTGGAGGTCTCTCACTTCAGGAGGTGAAACGGGAGTAAGGTCGAGGTGAAGAGCGTGATATCATTTGACCTGTAGTATCTCGGACAGACGTTTTAGGTGTCAGAGGCATGGACCGCAGTGCTGCAGTGCCCAGTAAAAGCGAGGAATGTGGGTTCCAGGCACCAACTGGCCAGTTAAGATTGCTGGTGATAGGCTTCCGATGGCTTACATAACTAGCTCCAGAAGTTACTGAATGCTCGCTGCCGCAAGTCTTCACTCTGCCCGCGCACGCCGCGCTGCCCGCATCTGTCTGTTTAGAGATTCCTTCTCGAACATCTCCAGATTCGATTACACGTCTCCTCCATCACCTCTACCACCGCAACTCCCTCCTTCTTCCTTTCCTGAGCGTCTCTTTTGGCAGGCGTCTTTTGCGCCATGGTGAGCGTCGTTGGTTCTTTGTTCAATTCACCCTAAGTTCGGCGCGCTTGCGGTGGGCGCATTCCTTTGAACTTGACTCTCTCTCGTCGCCATTCAAACAGACCGTGCCGGTACTACGATCATTCGCGCTATGGCTGCCGAAGTCGACGTTCGAGCCGTGTCGGCCTTTTCATCACTCCCTGAGTCCTCGGTCAATTCGCTTCTGACCAATCCAACAGCCGAGCTGGTGACTTCTCTGCTCAAGGCTATCGAGGCAAAGGTCAAAGAGTTTGAACAGAACAAGTCTCAAAAGGTCAAGCTCGAGGTCGAGTTGGAGACAGTTGTGAGGACGAGTGAATCCAAGGCAAAGGTGCTGCAAAATTCCCGAGACAAGGCCCTTGCGGAGTCCAGTAAACTACGCGTGGAATTGCAGACTTCCGGTAACAAAATCATGCGTTCTTCTGTCTGCAACGGGTGCTAACGTTGTGATTGCAGAGAACGTCCGCTCGAGGCTGGAATCTGAGCTTGAACAGTATCGCGCTGCAACCACGAACGAGAGCTCAGAGATCAACACGCTTAAGTCGCGTATTTCTTCCCTTGAAGCCTCGAACCGAGACACCCTCGCACTTCTCGAGTCGAAGAACACGGCCTACGAAAGCTTGTCCCAGGATCTGTCCGCGCAGCACCAGAAGGCAGCCGAGCTTCGAAAGCAGGTCACAGCGCTGGAACAATCAGTTCAGTCCGCAAACGCATCCCTCACAAGTGCAAAGTTCAAGGAGCAATCTCTATTGCAGGAGGTGGAACTGCTGAAGAAAAACAATGAGTGGCTGGAGAATGAACGAAGAATCAAGGCCGATGAGCATACCAACTTCCGTAAGGAGAAGAATGCTCGCATTTCAGAGCTTTCAAGATTGAATGAACAGTACATCTCTGAACTCGAGGCCCTGCGACGCTCCGAGTCGGCGCTGAAGCAACGTCTGGAGGAGCAGATTACCAAGTTTGAAGAGACGCTGGAGGAGGTGCAGAAAATGCGCGAAGACAAGATTTCTGCCGAGGATTCCTTCAGAGTCGAGCTCGAGAGTGTCAACCGCTTGGCTGAACTACAGGCTGCATCCGCCGAGACCGCCAAACAGCGCGTCCAAGAACTGTCCGCGGCTCTGGAGGAGGCTCGTGAAGAGGCCGCAGATGAGATTGGTGCTATCCGAGCTGAAATTGAGACCGAGCACAATGATCGGGTGGCTGCTGAAGAGCGAGTCGCCGAGCTGGAAAGGTCCCTCGAACGACTGCAGGGCGAACTTGAGGATGCTCGCGCACGACCGAGCACGCCTCACCGTGCAACCAATGGCTCCGGCATCACGACACCTCTCCGACCCGGGACCCCAAGTGGTATCTTCTCGCCCGCAAGTGTATCACGCGGAAAGTCACAGATGACCATGACCCAGCTTTTCTCCGAGTACAAGAAGCTTGAAAGTGAATTAGCAGGCGAAAAGCGTGCCAGAGAGCAACTGCAGGAGAGCCTCGATGCTATGGTTGACGAGCTCGAAAACAGCAAGCCGGAGATCGAGGAGCTGCGCGAGGATCATGCCCGCCTACAGAGTGAAGTCGTGGAGATGTCGAGGATTGTTGACAAAGCAAATAGTGATCGAGACTCGGCAGTAAAAGAATTGAAGCATGTACAAGGTCAGCTGAAGAGCGCGTCGAGAGAGGTCGAGGTTCTCGCACAACAGCTGCGCGACAAAGGCTCAGAGATTCGCTATCTGCTGGTGGAGCAGTATGTCCGTGAGCAAGGCGAGGCTCTGACTCGGGAAGATTTTGAGGAACTGGAAAGACAGACCCAAGCCGCCTTATCCGATGATATGGCCAATTTGTCGGAAAACCAACAGTTGATCAATCAGCGTTTGGTTGTTTTCAAGAACATCTCCGAGTTGCAGCAGCAGAACGAGGACCAACTGAAGACTATCCGCAACCTGATTAGCGAACTCGAAAGCAACGAGGCGAAGCAACATGAGCAACAGAACCATGCGCTCAACCAGGAACTGGAGCAAGCCCGCGCGCAAATTGCCTCTTATCAAGACGAGTTGAAATCAATGGTTGCTCAAACCAAGACGTTCATCAAGGAGAGAGACATGTTCCGCAACATGCTCACCAGGCGTGGCGGCCATCTACCGGGTCAAGTCCAACCGAACGATTTCTCACGATCACTACCTGTTCCCAGTGGCGAGTCTCCGGCAGGATCGGTGCCCGGCGGCGACGCCGATTATGCCAAACTTCTTCGAGACCTCCAACAACATTTCGACTCTTACCGACAAGAAGCCTCAACAGATCACAGTGCTTTGAAAAATCAAGTCGCGGAGTTGGGCAGGAAAAATGCTCAGTTACAGACTGAGATCAGTCGGACCGTTGGACAGTTGACAGCAGCAAATCAACGTTATGAGATGCTGCAGGCCAACTACAACTCTCTCAAGACTGAGAATGGCGAGATTCAGAAGAGGTCGTGGACTGCGATGGAGAACGCCACAAAGCAAGAACTAAAGACTCAACAAGTTGCGGAGGAGCTGGTCGAAGCTCGAAATCTGCTGGACAGTCTGCGTCGAGATTCCGCGAATCTCAAGGCCGAGAAAGATCTCTGGAAAACTGTTGAGCGAAGGTTGATTGAGGATAACGAATCTTTGCGGAACGAGCGAAGTCGCCTCGACCAGCTCAATGCAAGTCTGCAGACCATGGTCAACGAGCGTGAGCAGACCGACGCTGAGACGAGACGGCGACTGCAGTCGCAAGCAGAGTCATTAGAGTCCGAACTTCAGTCCACCAAGCGGAAGCTCAACGACGAAATCGAAGAGAGCAAAAAGTCAGCATTACGGCGCGAATACGAACACGAACAGTCTCAGAAACGTATCGATGACCTCGTCACGACGCTAGGCACAACGAAAGAAGAACTCGCGTCCGCAAAGACAGCCCGGGATCACCTACAAGCTAGAGTTGATGAGCTGACTGTTGAACTTCGTTCTGCCGAGGAACGCTTGGAAGTCTTGACCAAGCCTGCAGAGCCTGCAAATGGGACCGATGCTGGGGAGGAGACGACTCTGAGCAAAGAACAAGAGTTGGCTGTGGAAGTCTCCGAGCTCAAGCGAGATCTTGAGCTGAAGACGTCTGAGCTTGAAAGAGCGAACGAACAAGTCGAAGTTTACAAGAACATCAGTCAGTCCAGCGAGGAACGTCTTCAAGAACTGAGCGAGACGAACGACCAATATCGAGAAGAGACAGAGGCCCTGGTTGCCGAAAAGGACGCCAAGATTAAGGATCTTGAACAGCGGTTGGAAGACATCTCTGCTGAGCTCAGCACCACCAACCAGGAACTTTCACGGCTCCGGGATGAACAAGCAGACTTTGGTCGGAAGCTGGATGAGCAGAAGTCGGGTTTCGAGTCTGAAATCGAACGGCTCAAAGAGGAGGCTGAAAAGAGTGCCGAGCAAGCCCAATTCAACCTTGAGGCCTCGAAAGTCCAAGCACAGATAGCGACAGAAGCACAACAGAACTACGAGAACGAACTCCTCAAGCACGCAGAGGCCGCCAAGGCTTTGCATACTGTCAGAGATGAAGCTAATCAACTGAAGCTCGAAGTCGTTGACTTGCGAACGCAGACCGAGACTGCCAAAGGAGATCTGGAGCGGAAGCAGGCCAGTTGGGACGAAATGAAAGAACGGTACGAGACGGAGCTCTCGGACCTGAAGAAGCGCCGCGAAGAGCTGGCCCATCAGAACAACCTTCTTCATGGTCAGTTGGAGGGTGTCACTCAACAGATCACAGCTCTGCAACGTGATCGTACTGCGCTGGCGGAGACCAGCAATGAGGAATCCAACACTCAGCCTTCCGCGGAGCTTGATAAACTCCAAGAAGTGATCACGTATCTCCGTCGGGAGAAGGATATTGTCGACGTCCAGTATCAGCTCTCTGTTCAAGAAGGCAAGCGCCTCCGTCAACAACTGGATTTCGCTCAGTCCCAGCTTGACGAAACTCGCCTCAAGCTCGACCAGCAGCGCCGGGCTGAAGCCGATGCGGAGCGCAATGCGCTCAGTCACAACAAGTTGATGGACACTCTCAATGAGCTGAATCTGTTCCGAGAAAGCAGCGTGACTTTGCGAGCAGAAGCAAAGCAAGCTTCTCAAGCTTTGGCGGAGAAGACTAAGCGTGTCGAGCAGCTTGAGGACGAGATCCAGTCTTCTCGGGCGCGCATTGCAGAGTTGGAGAACCTGCTTGAGTTGAGAGAAGGGGAACTCAAGCTCAGCCAAGAGGACGGAGATCACTGGCAGCAGCGTACCCAGAATATCCTCTCCAAATACGACCGAGTCGATCCTGCAGAACTCGAGGCTCTCAAGGAGAAGATCATTACCCTCGAGCGCGAACGCGATGAAGCCCGCACCGAGCTTGCAACGGCTGTTACAGAGCGCGACGAGGCTCGGACCGCACTTCAAGCCCAGATCGACGGTGCGCAGGCAGCAATTGATACAGCTAGAGGTGATCTAAAGACGAGACTGGAGACTCAGTTCAAGGGCGTCATTAAAGAGAAGAACACTGCTCTCCGCGAAAGAAAGTCTGAGCTTGATGTCGTTGTCGCCGAAAGAGACGCTATGCAAATCGAGATCGATTCTCTGAAAGAGCAATTAGCTGCCGCTCAAGCTCAGGCGACTTCAGCAGCTACCACTCAGGTCAACGGTCATCCTCCTGCCGAACCCGATGCTCCGACCACGAACGACACCACGGATACCAATACTGCCGAGCTAGAAGCCAAGCTGAAAGAACTTGAAGAGTCATTGGCAGAGAAGGACAAGGAGCTTAACGAGCTGAAGTCGACGCAGGAAGAGAAGTTCAAGTCAAGGGTTGCAGCTAATGAGGCTGTTCTCAACAAACGGCTGGCCGAGTTCAAACAACAGGCTCAGCAAGCGAAGGTTGCCGCTCTCGAAGAACTGAAGGCGAAGCTCGATGCTGAGCATCAACAAGAGATCGAAGCTCTCCGCGTTAACTCTGTACCTGTCGCGACGGAGTTGCAGAAGCCAAGCGAAGATGCGACGCCGGCTACGGCCCCTGTCACCCACGGGGAGATCCCTGACGATGTCTTGTTGTCTCTATCTGACGAAAAGGCGAGGATGCTCGCCAACCAGCACCAAACTATACGGCGTATTCTCGGCAATACCATCAAGAACAGGATCGAGAAGGAGAAAGAAAGCATGAGGGAGAGTATCAAGAAGGAGCTCAGCGAGTCACAGGACTCCCAACCGGGTGGATCTGTTCCTGCCACTGATAACCCGCTTGAGGAGCAGCTTAACGCTCAGAAAGAGAACATTATCAAGCAGAAGGAGGCGGAGTTCGCAACCGAAAAGCAGGCTCTCCTCAAACAGTATGAGGAGAATCTCAACCGCGAGCGACAATCACTTGCTAGCAAGCATCAAGAGGAGCTTCGAACGCAGAAACTCCATTTCGATGAGGAGTCAGCCAAAAGGATCGAAGAACAAGTCAAAAACGCTGAACAGTTGGCAGAAAAGCGGGGCGCTGTCAAGCTGAATATGTCTCAGAGCAGACTCGCCGTCGCATCTGCGAAACTCGATGTCGTCAAGAAAGCAGCAGAAGAGACTCCACAGAAGCCCGTCGGAGAAGTTTGGGAAGTGGCCAAAGACGCCAAACCGGCGGCAGCTTCTAAGCCAGCAGCTCCTGCACCGCCCGCTGCACCGACTCCAGCAAAAGTTACGACGGCACCTTCACCCACACCGCCCAAGCCAGAAGCTCCAAAGGCCGAGGAAAATGCGCAGCCTCAAACTGTGGCTCCAGAACAACCTGCCGCTGTCCCGTCAACCCCACAACAACCAAAGCCGAATCCGTTCCAGCCCTCTGCAACCCTTGCTACGCCTTCACAACCTGCCCAACCGGCACAGTCTACGGTTCCTGAAGCTAGCCGACAACCTCAGCAACCCGGCGCGGCATTGATGAACCAACTCCAGTCGGGCCTTCCTCGTGGCGGATCCGTGCGTGGCCGTGCAAGCGGTATCCCCAGAGGTCGTGGTGGAGCTCCTCGTGGCGGCAGAGGCGGTGGAGGCCCTAACGTACATACCGCAGTTCCTCAACAAGCAGGTAGAGGTGGAGGAGGTGCACAGAGTCCTAGTAGTCGAGGTGCTTTGAATCCTCAGGCTGCTCAATTCACCCCTGGTGGCGGAAACAAGAGAGCTCGGGAGGATGGCGAGGTCGCAGAAGGCAGTGGTCAGGGGAAGAGAATACGAGGCGAGGGAGCCGCTGCACAGCAGCAGTAAAACGGAGGTCACAGATGTGTTTCTTCTCGGTGTCGTCGCAACGCAAGTCCGCCCTCGATAGCGTACGATTTTTCTTATGTCTCTCTGGGTGAAAACGGGAAAAAAGGTTCATTGGACGCGGGTCCATGTGCATGTGCATGGGCATGGCGCTGGAGGAACGTGGTAAAAGGGGTTTGGATTGCTTTTTAGCATGATTGATGTCGGAAAGGCGGTAGAGTAGTGAGTGGGTGGGCTCGAGCTGGGGAAAAGGTATCGCAAAGGCATGTGGGAAAGGAAATGCGACGGTAGATAAACCTGAGTGTAGTACCGTGCTTTGTAAAACCAGAATTCAGCGAGCTCTGTTGAGAGGATGCGTGGAATCAATTGGTCTCTGTCTTGCCCCGTGCGTGCTGTTTGCTTCTAAACAGGCAGAGATTTACACATACATGATACGGGTACCTTAGTCTGGTGGCGTGTCCATGTACGAGCTGGATAAGTTCGATTGCAGAATACCATACTACCTATGTGTGTGTACGCTTGTACATCTATGTGATATGCTGTCGACTTGCCAAAATCGGGTCGAATTCCTATTCTGCGTGGCGGTCGTCGTCTTCGCGCAACTCGGGTGCCGACAAGTACGAGACCTCGTCGCCAGTGGAGAGATCTCGACGATCTAGAGCTTGCTATGGTACTGGAATCGTTGTCCCCGAACGAGGTACTAGTGGGACTCGGTTGTGCGGAGGTCTAGAGGCGCTTAAAGCGAATAGATAAAAGTATTGCCACTCTCTGGTATTCCGCCCGGAACTCTCCCCTCGTGCACAGCATGCTCGACAAGCCACGAGAAGAATGTGTGACTGTTGATGGGATACGACATGAATAGTGCTGCGTCGTAGAGGAGGTCTCCTCCCTGTCCGCCCTTCATGGTTCCACCCTGTACAACCACGCGATGCCATGCCATGCCAATACTTTCATTTTAGTAGGCTTTTACAAGGACAGCCTTGATGAATTATTTGGTAGAGCCTCGTGAATCGTTCGTTATATATGTGGTATATAGTTTGACCAGGGAACCATGGCGTAAACTCCGGCTAGTACTCACCGGAGGCCGATGAAGGACTCAATCACCAAGAAGAACCGCGCGAAAACGTGAGCAGCAACGGCAGCATGGAAGTCCAGAGCAAGCAGGATGACTCCAACAACCCAGGGGGAAAACATGATGGGCGACTGCAACCGCATCGACACAAATTTCATAAGACACTTCAAGGACAACTCTGCGAGGGGAGGTGCTATAATTGCAGTTGCGGCCAAGAATATGGCGGAACAGCGCCATAGCCACTGTTCCGTTTCAGTGGGGAAGTGTGCGTTCCATGCCGTCAGGTGGACTGCCCCATAGACGGTGAGTGTGAGAAGTTGGATAGATGTCCCCGCCCGGCCCCAGTCAAGGGAAGGCACATTCGACATCCGGTTACGCAACTGCACTGTTGCAATCCCAGTGCCAGATACTTTTGGCGAGATCGGGATGTCGTTGCAACGCTAACAGCGCACGGCCCAGAGTCGCCTGGTTGAGGGAATGGGCCTCATCCACGGGGACTTTATAGTACTTGAATCGATGCTGGCCCTCTGTCTTTGCATTGTAGCGCATGACCACTGCGACCTCGCTCGACGCAGGACGGTCAAACTGCCATTCGAGGTCTTTGACTGATGGATAATGGTCTGGCTTCCATGTTTTTGAACTTATACCGTGCTCGAGGTTCGACGGCCGGGCTCTACCTCGATGTGTCTTCAAGGGTTTGCTGAAACGTGCTGAAGGGAGTGAGTCCACATCGACGTCACCCCATACTTCACAGGTGGGAGTCGTGGAAAGTCTGAAGGTCGTATTGTGGTCCGGGAGAAAGAAACGGATTGACCATGACCGGAATCGTGTGGAGACTTCGAGCAAGCTCATCAAGTCATGATCATCTTCCGACAGAGCGGCTATGGTGCTCTCACCAATGTCAAGAGGTTTCTGAAATAGGAAATCAGAATCAGATAATCGGCGTTTCTAGAGAGCGTTGGTGTACGTAATATTGGCGAGGACCGAGTCCAGAAGACGCTGTCTTCCAACCTGAGAACAATTTAATGAGAGGTTGTGCCATACTGATCTGGAGCCATAAAATATAGACCGCAAGAGAACAAACAACGCGCACGAAAGTGTGTATCTCGAGGGTAGATAGAGGTAGACCATGAACTTTGCGAGCAACGCATTCTATAATGAGCCACAAGATCTGGAGGCGGATCAGTGTCTTTGCGAGGGCGTCAGACTTGCCGTGGTCCTTGATGGTTGAGTCTTCAATTTGCAGAAACCTGCCATTTTGCGCCAGAAGCTTGATCGCCGAGGGTGACAAAGGTACGTGCGGTGTCGATCCCGCAAATTCTGGCGCAGGCATGCGAAGCCCACCCTTACAGACGAAGAAGCCGTATTTCAAGGTGAATTTGCGGGGAGCTTTGTCTTTCAATTTGCCTGCCGACTGTTGTCGGGTCAATTCTTCGTTGAGAAACCGAACCAAGCCCCGTGCTCTCGACAGTTGTTCCCAGGCCGTGAAGAGAACGATCTCTGGGACGAGCAATCCCATTACTGTCTATCCGACCTTTTGCCAGAATCGTCGTAAAGGGCCTTCACCCGGTACCGGAATGTTGAGGCACACGGCTGTCCATACACAGAGGAGGATAGTGGCGGTGCAGGTCCACAGAATATCCGATGTGCCTCTGGTCTGTTGCGGATGGCATCCAGCCAGTAACGAAGACATCATCGAGTTCTTGGGTGTTGTTCAGAGAGATGCCCAACGTGCCATTCGTTGTGGTCATGTTTGCCACTGAAAGCGAGACTGCTTCTTCAGCCTCGCGGACAATTACACCGTTCAAGTTCGGCCACAGCAAACCAGAGCGAAAGTCGAAACGACGGGCGGACAACTTCTGGTTAACTCAGGGCACCAACTCTTAAGCACAGGATGTTCTGGCAGAGCTTCAAATCATGGGACGCGGAATTGAAAAAGAGGTGGAAAAGATGGACGAGATGGTCTACCAAGTGTCCAAAGAACCCCCTCATCAAGAAGCCAAGCAGGGGCTGTAGATGGTGGCGTCGAACGAGATTCTGCCCTTCGCGAGGCGGTGCCGTTCTGCACCGAAGATCCGGAAGACAGGCCGCGTCAGGCGTTGGGAGATGATTTCGCCTACCGCGTGAGCAGTACATAGTACAAGTACTTGTGGTGCAAAGATGAGTGGGAGAACATATTTTCTCACTTCCGGTTGACTCGTATGTATGAAGTGAAGGATCGGGGAAAGGTTGAGCTAAGTGTCTCTCCCGCATTGCTGCTCCCCTCCGTACCAACAAGCGATTCAAGCCAGGCTCACTCAGAGACTTACTATATAGAGTGAGTCCCGAGTACTCCGTAGATACAGTCCGAAGTAGCTTTCGCCCGGCTCAGCCTCCACCAGCCCATGCAAGCGAGTTGCATCGAGCCTTAGCCGCTCGGCCACGACGCCGCCTTGAAGCGTGGACTCGGCGACGCTGCTTTTGAAGAAAGTCGCGCTTCCGAGCCCGGCACGGCACAACCTTTTTCCAGCCAGCGCAGCCTCGTGATGTTCCGTCACTCCCCACTGAGTTCCCTGTCCTCGCTCCCTCCACCGTGCCAATCCATCTGCGAACTACAGACTGAAGAGTCATCTATCCTCGACATACCCTCTGCCGTTGTCCTCGCCCGGCTTGTGATACACGTCGTCAAGCAAACCCAAGCTCGGCCATCACTCCACCATCCATCGACACACGAGTACAATGGACAAACCTCCCTCCTCTGCCGCCAACAAGCCGCCCGTCAAACCAGCCTACGTCTCCTCCTCGGGACATGTCCTAGAATCGTATGTCCTATGTTGCTTGTCATGCACCTTCCTCCTCGTTCCCTCTCCCTCCTCCCAGCAGCGGCTCAACCTCTTCACGGCTCCTGACTTTTGCGCCATTCTAGGCCCCCCTTCTCCGCCCGCCTTTCCCGCTTTTCGTCCGACGTCTATAACTTCCTGGGTTTGTACTTCGTGTCTCTCTTCTCGCTCGACCCATATACCGCCGCGCAGAATAGCCAGTTCAACACACGCGGCAGGCCGAATGCGCATCAGGCGCGGCCGACGTGGGGTGGTGGCTTGGGTCGATTGGGTGGTGGCACACCGGGTGGTGGAGCCGGCGGAGGGTCTAGAGGTGGCGGTGGCAGCAACGGCAGTGGTAGGAGGATGGGCGGTATCGACGACGTGAGGGCGCCGGAGTGCGGAAGTTGTGGGTGAGAGGTGTTGGTTTCAATTGGCAGCGCGGGGCGTAGAGTGCCGAATGCAAAACATTAGATACGTAGGATGTCACGAAGAAGCTATGGGTGCATTGATGGGAGTTGCACTGGGAGTTTTAATCGGGTACAGACCACAGTTGAGCGCTCCCGACTGATACCCTGTCAGGTGGACTGTTTGTTCCCTAGTCTGCAGACCCAGCGTGGCGTTACGGTCAAGGAATAGTGGTTGCTCTTCAAGGGCGATGATGTGGGGGAGCAGATATCATCAACATAGCGGTTGAGCATTGCGATCAAATGACCATTGGTTGACAATGGCCATCTCACCCGTAGGCAGATCCTTGATATATGACCAACGTGGATCATATGTCTCTGGAGAAATTACTCCAAGACTGTCGTGCCTTCAATATTGGATATCACAAATTCCCGCTTTCTAACCCCTTCCCATCAATTTCCCTCGCCAGATCCGCATTCGCAGTCTCCCCACGTCCGGCCCTTCTCTTCTTCAACACATTCTCGATAAATGCCTCTCCGGCCTTATAGCTGCTCCTTACCAACGGGCCACTCGCCACGTATAGGAACCCCATCTCTAGCGCCCGTACTCGCCACTGCTCGAATACATCCGGCGTGACATATTCATGGACCGGCATGTGCCTCTTGGTGGGACGCATGTACTGTCCGAAGGTGACCACGTCGACGTCGACAGCACGGAGTTCTCGCAAAGCATCGAAGATTTGCTCCTCGGTTTCGCCGAGCCCGAGCATGATTGATGTCTTTGTGATGAGACCAGGCTTTGCGGCTTTGGCGGCCTGCAGCACACTGAGCGACTGCCGGAATGTAGCGCGCCGGTCGCGGACCTGCGGAGTCAACGCCTCGACCGTCTCGATGTTGTGCGCATACACGTCCAATCCGGACGTGGCGACCAGTTTGACCATTTCCAGATCTCCCGCGTAGTCGCCCGTTAGACACTCGACCAGAATCGCAGGCGCCTTGGACTTGATCTTCCGCACCGTCTCCGCGAAGTGATGCGCCCCGCCGTCGGCCAGATCGTCCCGATCAACACTGGTTAAGACCACGTACCCTAGTCCCCATCGTGACAGCGCTTCCGCGGTATGTTCCGGCTCATGCGGATCCAACGGCGGTGGCGCCTTGGATGTTTTAACGCTGCAAAATCGGCACCCTCTCGTACACGTATCGCCCATCAACATGATCGTTGCGGTCGCCGCAGACTTGCTGCTCCCGCCCCAGCAATCTGAAATATTCGGACAGCGCGCCTCTTCGCACACCGTGTGTAAGTTCAGGCCGCGCAGGTCGTTCTTGATCTTCTTATATGACGACGTGTCCGGGATGGGTGTCTTGAGCCACTCTGGCAGGCGGGTTATTCTTTTCTGTTTGCCCTTTGGTCCCACGAGTGCGGTCTTCAGTGCATACGCTTCGGATGGTTGTAGGGGTGGTTCTTTGCCAGAGACAAAGTCTGAAAATGAAGGGCCAGCGTTCAGCTTGTCGGCGAAGGTGGTGGGTTGGACCCGCGGTTTGGGCGTCGGAATGTCATCGGTGGTGGTGGCAAATGATCGCGATGTCGACGGTGTAGCCTGAGGGAGGAATACTTTGAATGGTGAAGACCATTGCTGACCATTTAGGCAACGACAGCGCGGGACCGTAGCGGCCATGATGTAGATGGTTGAATGCAAGCAAGTCGTCACAAGTCCGGACGGGATGGAGGGACGTTGAGATCAGAAATCAATCACATCCGATTGACTCGGGAGGAAGCAGCTGGTGATCGGCGGGCTCGCCGCTTTTAACCGAGTTACAGCATTAGGCCTTGTTCGCGGGATATAGGCTCGTGGAAAAGGAAACTCCGTCATTGCCGGCTCTTTTACCCGACACCTAAACACCATGCTAGAAAAGCACATGCTCGACGTCGCGCCCGTTCCTTGCTGCTCTACCCAGCGTCACCTCCGACACCTTCCTTCTATTGCTCTGTCCTGCTCTGTCGCAGCTCGGGGGAGTGTTGCTGCACCACCCGGGATGGCCAGCGGCATTGTCCCATAACGTATTCACAACTCTAGGCCGTTGCTCCTCCACTGGCTGTCTGCTCAAGGCTTGACGATTGGTTGTTCGCCCGTCATCCACATGGCGCTCGCTCTGATCAAAGTCTTCAAGACTTCCAACTCGGCTTCGTTTCTCGGAGCATACACGATTAGGAAAGAGTCTCCAATGCCCCACATAGCTTTGATGCCACCAAACCACCAGGGTTGAGTCCTTGCACAGCGATGTCGTTCAGCCCACCCTTTTTCGATGATGATCTTGGCATCGGCGGGTGAGAAGTATAGGTGTAACGAGCTCTCGCCGTGAACGTGCCCTATTTCCCCCTTGAATATCGGCGCAACCTCTGGCAGGTTGTCGGGCTTAGACATGAGGCTTGGGTGGACAAATAGCGCAAGGTTGTGTTTCTCGGCATGTGAGAGCCGTTCTTGCAGTAGATGAGGATTGGCTTTGACAAAGGATGAGAAGATATCAAGTACACGCTACAACGTGTTAGTCTGAAGTGGTCCCCAGCGAGCGAAATTTCTGCATTTCAACGGATGAGTGTAGGGAGCTGAAACTTACCAGATTCATTTCCGGCTCTGGTAGCTGATCGAATTGTCTCTGAGGAGCAATGCCTCTGATAATTGGCCGTGGACCTTGACGTATCGGCAGTGCCATGATCTCTTTGCGAGCGCCGTCATCGGGATAATCACCGGTCCAGGTTTGATCTTGCTGAGCAAGGGTGAAAGGTCTGGTCATGATATGCACCTTGAACCAGCCGACGGCGTTGTATTGTGCTGAAAGGCATCAGCCACAGTCGCGAGTCAGGATTCTCACGCAAACTGCTGCCACGAAAATAGAGCAGCGAGTCCGAGGGGGAATGACTTACGACCACCTCGTCCTAAGGATAGGAAGAAACGGTAATCTTGAATGCACCAATAGATGCCGCTAAAAACAGCGAGAACGAGAGCAATGTACAAGATGACTGAGGCCAAGCCATGGGAACTTGAATGTGACAGACTTCGGGGTTCGCTGACGTTGGGGAGGTTCGGAATGTCGTAGATATCCATCTTCGACGGCAGCAGGAGGGACGACAGACTTGCGAGTAGCGGAGAAAAATGATTGCGGTACTTGACTTATAGGTTCAGGAGAGGTGAAGTGAGAAGTAGCGGGCGGTGTGATAATGGTCAACATGAGAACCAGTTGAACGCCGAAGGGATGAAATTCCCTAGCTGGGCCCAAGTGAATGCTCAAATTGAGGGAAGTCGCACAGCGAAATCTCGACTTCGACTTATCGGAAGACTTACCGCCAGCTCAGTAAGGCGCTGCTGGACGTAGCCTGCACAAAAAGGAGCAGCCTGTATGTTGAGCAGGAGCGAGAGACGAATGACGAAGCCCCAGTATCTGATGTCGCAGGAGAGCACCTGAGGGACGTCTCTCATTTGTCTCTCGGAAGCAGAAAAATGATGCCCAGTGACGCAGGGCAGCCCCCGTATGCGTGAGGTCACTCGGACCACATTAGCACCAGTAGCACCAGTAGTGTGGATTTCTCGTGTTGGGCCGACTGGGGGTTGTCGCGGCTCGCGTCTGTCAGCTCGCCTGTACTCCGCACAAATTGGAAGGCTCATGCACTCTGGGCAATAGCCTATAAGTCAAGGACAATAGCCGATGGCGGGCAAATTGTTTGGACGGGAATTGGAAGCTTTCTTTACGAGCAGGCATGGGACTGCCCGTGTTTACAAGTTGGATGGAGACGTGGGGGAGACGAGTCAGACAGCGTGGGAGCGTGGGTTGTCACCCTCGAAAGAGGAGCATCCGGACATACCGGACGCAAGCCAGGAACGCGCCCACGCAGCTAACGGTCACGCGGGACTAATCAGATTCACCGAGGACCTGCGGTATGACATCAAACGGCATTTTCCCCGTCCGAAGAGTCGAGATTCAAGAGGAAGGCCTAGATTCAGAGGTATGCTTTTGCCCGAGAAAGAAGCTCCGTCTGGAGAGGTTGACAGAAACGCCGAAGACGAGGGATAATCTCGATACACATTGAAAGCATTGACAACTTGAGGTGAAGGTTGCCATAGTGGTACAATATGATGGACATTGGCATGTAGAAATAGGAGTGAGTGCACAAAGACCTGTTGGATACATGGAATCTCAACTGCAACAAATATACGGACCGCCGAAGTGCGAGCGAGAAGCTGGTTCGAAAAGGTGTATAAAACGAGTCAGGAATGACAATGTTACAATAGTACTGTATATCGTCCCATATCCGGGGTACACCCATCCAGATCTCCCTCGTTTGGGTGACTGCTTGGTGCTAACACCATCTGTGGCATGTTTGAATGTGAAAAAGGCGAAGTAGCGGAGGCACAGGAGGCAACGGGAGAGAAATTAGGGTTTGCTCGATATCAGTGAGAAATGGACACTGTGGCAGTGCTGTCGTAACATGATGAGGCTGAAAGATCAGGTCGAGTGCTACCTCGTACAGTGTGAAGACCAAAGGGACAGACTCGTAGAGAACAGCAAGACAAAGTGCTCACACCTCAACTCAGCTCTCAAGGCCGAGTCACTTCCGCCTTCGGCGAAAATATTCTTCCGTTCCGATGCTGCCTTGTCCTCTGCTGTGTACGCAACATCTCACGCGCCACCCTGCAGGCGATTTATTATTGCCTGCTGAAGAACCTCTTCATGGAATGCGCTCTTATCAATCAAATGGGTGGCAGAAACGTTTCCGTCGTACTGGAGCTTAATCAGACCACATATTCCTGAGAAAGTCCCAAAGGTCTCACCAAAGGCCCGGTAAGAGGAGGGAAAATTTGGCGCGTTCGCTCCACCGAACACCTGCGTCATCCAGGCTGGTTCTATTAGTGGTTTTCGTGGTTCTTCGCTCGGTCGCCCGCATCAGCCAGTCCAGGTGAGCCTAACAGAACTCGCATCGCACCAGACTGCGGCTTTTGAACTCTGCGATCCCTTGCGCCTGCCTCCTGCAGAAAGGAGTACAACCACGGCCAATCCAACCTTTTCCTCTGCCTGTCATCCGGTGTCTCAAAGAAATCTACAACCCTACTCGTAATCCGCCCGCCCCTTTCGCCTCCTCGACAGCTTTCCATCCCCTGCTGAGCAGATCCACAATATTACATACCCGTTCCCCCTCCGTGACGACGTCGAGATCTGCCCTGCCTTTCTCATACAGAAACCACCATTTTTCACCGCCGCGTTCCAACACACTGCGAGTTAGCCATCCATCGGAGTTCACACTCGATCATCGCCGTTGCTGAGCGATACCTTTCACCGTGGCTTCCTCAAGTCTTCAGACTTGGTCTTCCGATATCCAGCAAAACCTCTACAGCCTAGCACAGCCGATCCTCCAACATTTGCCTGCTGATTTCCACGACGGCCTCCACCTCCTCCTGACCGAGTATTCTGCCGCTTCCTACACCACTCTAGCCGCTCTCCTCCTTTCGCTTATCTACCTTTGTGCTCGCTTTCTCATGAGCAGCTACGGCAGCTACATCGCCCACGGCGGCAGCCGCAATGGGGGCTCGCCGTACACCAGCAACATCGTCGATCCCTATGCTCGAAACCTTTCCAGTCATTTCGAGTACATCGATGCCGATCAGGGCATGCTGCAAGACTCCCATCGCCATTCCACATACCGACAAAATGGCACGCAACCTGCTGAAGAATCTGATGCCCCCGACGTCATCCTCGTGCGCTACATGGCGTCAATAATTCCTGTGGAATTCCCGGCATATTCTATTAGCGAAGAGACTGCGTATGTTGGCCAGCTGCGGGAGGCGGTCGCTCGATATCTCACGACCGATCCGCGCAGGGTCAGGCTTGTCTACAAGAAACGCGATCTCAAACATGATTCGTGGCCGCTGAGAAGATACAACATGAAGCAGAACAGCGAGGTGGCAGCCATCAAGACCGACGTTTCTCTGGATTACAGTGACAGAGATAGCCATTCGTCCAGCGGCGAAGAAATTCCGGAAACAAACCCTCGGCGGCGGCCCCGGGCACCCTCTTCCGTTCGGCACCGTAGCGACGAAAACCTGCCTCGATCGCAACAGGCTCCCCCTGCATCCTCAAGCTTTCTCCATCCGAACGGCCATCTTTCCACTGGAACGGCTTCAGAGCGACAATCTCGTGGCAACCTGAGGCCCGAGTCTGACGATCGACCCCCCATTCGACGGGAGCCGTCCCGGTCAAGAGGCACTTCACCTCATCCTGCGCCATCCCAAACAGCGCCATCTCGTCCGCCGACGTCGTCTACCCCTGTTCCCACCTCAGTGCCCAGAGCGGACCCCAATACACCGATGGGAAAGCTGCAAGGTCTGTCAGACACGTTCCACGAGCAATGGCTGCCACTCTGTCGCAGGTTTATCAACAATCCTCCTTCATCTTCCCAGGAGCGAGAGAAAGAGCACCGGAGGTTGAGCGAGAGCGTCATGACGCACGTTATATTGAAGGCGGATGCTATCGACGTGGATTCATCAGACGCCCGCGGTTTCAGGAAAGCCCTTCTCAACGAGGTTAACGACACGATGAAGAAGATAGACGCGCTGGCCAGGGGATAATGGGGTGATTCATGCTTGTTTCCATGTTGCATTGCAAGGTGTTGATCGAGCGTGGCCAGCAGGTGGGAGATTTCATTGCGCGAGTGTTCAGACCAATTAGACACCACATTCGCATACTAGGGCGTGGTCAGAGCATGCGGGATTGGATTTGATGTGAGCGCGAGGACGACGATACATGGACGATAGAAACGGGGCTTGAGAGATTGGCGAAGTGTCCGGCACGACTGGTCGTGAAGAGCTTGTACGTAATGCCTGGAAGCTTGCAAGCACTGATCTCCGAACAGAAAGAAGAGGTTGCTTCTCGATCATGATATTGCCCTCTCCGCGGCCTGAGCCAATCTTCACTCGCCTCACGTGCATATGCACGATGGAGAACAGTGATTTCCAGGTGTTTTCGAAAGCCGCTGGCGGTTGAGAAGGTGTTTGCTCAATTTCGTTTGGCCTGTGCATCTCCATCTGTATGTGTTGACTTGAGTAGCCACGAATCAGCTATCGTCCTGTACTAGGTAGTGATGTTCAGCAGAACTTCCCAATCGGCGAGGTTGATGAATTTAAGCTTCGCTCAATCTCCGCTTGACAAGCTGTCAGTTTTCGGAAGGCAGATTTAGAGCTCGACATTATTGCTCCGCTTCCGGTGATGGAGGGCGTAGAGCACGCAACGCAATCCATGGCATCAACCATCTTCGGAACGAATGTTCCCCGGTGCACTTCAGGCTTCCATCGTCTTATATGTTCCGGCATGCCTATCGTTTCCGTCACGGACAGCACTGATGACGGACGTCGTTGCAACAATTGCCAAATTTCTCTGTCGGGATAAATCGCACGGAGCGCCTCACGGCAGGTAACGATGCCACGCATATAGGTACTTTGCAAACAAGAGTGCTAATCCGAGAGCGTTCCTCCAAATCATGCAGACAGTTGGTGATCTGGATCTCTTCGACCGGAAATTGGTCCCGAGACGTCAGCGTGCAGTCCACGCCTGAAAATGTATGATGCCATGAAATATCCAATTCCAACGCACTTGAATCCAGCGTGCAGACAATCCAATGGTGTGCGGTGCTGTCACCACTGGTGTCCACAGATGTGCTGACAGCCTTGCACTGACACGTCGTTCAACTGGGCCAACTGACAACATGCATATCATGATTGCCGCGTTTCCACCGTTCAAGCTTCAAGACATCTGCAGGAACCCGCATGTTGATGATGATCTACATCTTCGGCCTACGAGGCAAATCAACCGGCACAGCGCCGCTCTGGAAGATCATGCTGTGATCCAAGAATGAGATATAAGTACAGGATCTCTCCTTGCTATGAGGGACAATACCTCCAGATCGAACCGACATTCTTGCTTGCTCCCACAACATCGACAACATCGACAATATCGACACGGCTCTGAGCCCTCTTACAACCGTATCATCGACCACCTCGACACCAATCAAGATGCACAGCACCATTCTTGCAAGCCTTGCCCTCCTGACCGCCGTTTTCGCTCGCCCACAAGGTGACTGGTCGTCTTCGTCAGCGGATGTACCTGCACAGGGAGACGACAACGGTAGCTATGATCAACACTATGGTCACGGCATGAACGACAAGTGCCTGACCAAAGGCGATGTGCAGACTCTTATCGATGGCTACACGTACCTGCTGGAATACCCAGGCGGTCCAGAATTCAACAAGACTGCCGATTCCATCCTTTCGGACAAGTTCGTTGTCTGGTCTGATTCGATCAACACCTTGGGTAGTCGACCTGTAAGTCCACGATGAATTCTTTCCCTGCTAGTCCAACGGCTGACTGATGCTTTCAGCTCGGAACCCCGGCCTTTCCCTCGCTGCAGGCCTTCATCGCCAGTCAATCCGTGACACCGCCTCTGCCGGACGTCGAAACGCTGTCAACCTTCCACAACTGTGACCAGATCTCCTGGCGCTGGAATGCCACCGGCATCCAGAACCCGCAAGTGAAGGTCAGCAATCCCATGCCGGTGCTCGGACTCATCACCTTCAGCGTCGACGTCGAGCAGAAGAAGATCGACACAGTCTACTCCGAGTTCAACACTGCGGCGTTTCTACACGACCTCGGCAACCCAGAGTGCCAGCAGCACTAAATGCTCGACTGGGCGTTGGCCTTGATGCGTTTACGATTCAACATTCTCAGTCTTATGGTGGAAAGGAGATTTTCTTTTGTATATACTTCTCATGACACAGCTGGTCCTGTGCGAGTTTTAATTCTACTACAAGACTTCTTGAGCTCAAAGCTCGACTTTAATGAAAGACATTTAATCCGATTCAATCCAAAACTGTTGCTTCCCCAGGGCGCTCTAAGAAGCGAGGGCGAACCTAGCTTGAAGTGCTAAGACGTCTTTACTTTGCTTGAATCTCAAAGCCGGCAAAACGCGGAAGTGAGTGTTGGGTGAGTGCTGGGTGAGTGTTGGGTAAATGACTTGGCGACAGTCCACCGTTTTGATCATTCTGTTAACGGTCGAGATCAGACCGCGCGTCGAACTGCTTGACATGTTGCACACGGCCACAGGATGGCACAAAGACATTAGGAGGGCATCCCAAAGACCAGCCGGATGAAGGCCTAGAACCTGATGAGGTTGTGAGGTTGGTGTCGTCAATGCAGCCCCGCCGATCGATGGCTCCGGCCTCCACAATCTCGTGTTTCTCTTTCCTTGCATTTCATTTCTCCGACACCTTCATGAGCTCGAAGTCGGCCGTTACACTGCGACTGACGAACCACTCTAGCAATTATTTGTTTGACTCCTTTCACAGTTTGGAATCCTGTCCTGATACGGATGGCCTACGCGAATCGCATACACACCATTGCGTACCAACTCGCCTGCGCGTCTCTAGCGCACTTGGCCGACGCACTGGTCGTCGAATGAACCCCCAGTCTTTAAGGAGTACCCCGTACTATGTGCTCCGTAATCCCCGGTTTGATCCTCATTGTCAGCCCCCGGAGCTCGTCGCCTGAGTGGTCTATCAGGGGCCAGTCGATTCCCCGCCTTCACCCTCCATGACCCTCCCGAGGCTCGCTACCGACTTCTGACCACATTGTTGGCCTCTCCCCCCACATTTTGACGGGCTTGTCAGGATCACCCACTGGCTTTTCCTTCAGGTCCCTCGCTCGGCAGAGTCCCTTGGACCTAAGCTGAACCTATTCGATCATCCAAGCATGTTTTCCTTTCGTTTTCTATCTTTTACGCCTTGGTCGCTCCACCCCGACTACCCAATTCTTCGACCAGCGGAAGGAGAGATAGATACAGGGCAACCCAAGATCGCGTCGCGCATATGGCGGCTCGATGCCTCTGACGCCGAGCACAGCCGCTGCCGCCGCCACGACGGCCGTCCGATAACTGTTGAGCCAACGCTCTGACCCATACGTCGAAAATGTGGAGACGATCATGTCCGGCTACAATCAAACGTTCTCACACGACCAGTCCCAGGCTCTCGATATCGCTGCCAGGGTATCGTCATGTCTGTCTCTATCGGGCTCGTCGTTCACGATAATCAGCTTCCTCAGCTACCCGCCGCTGCAAAAGCCGGTCAACCGACTTGCCTTTTCCATCGCCATCGCCAACATCTTCGGTTGCCTTGCATATAGTTGGGGCCAGTACCCTATCAGGGCTGGCAGGAGTTCTGCCTGGTGTCAAACGCAAGGTTTTTTTATTCAATGGTTTGTGATGACGGACCCGTTATTGGTACGATTACGCAGATGTTGCAAATGCAGGCGACCTCCACCTATACTGACTTGCTTCTTCAGGTTATGATCATGGCGTTTAATGTGCTTCTCACGGTTCGGACGAAGAGAAAAGCGACAGAGTTGAAAAAGATCGACCTCTATGCCGTGATACTGGCGTTTGTTTTGCCCTCAATTCCGGCCTTGGTTTTCTTGTGCTGGAGGCCCGATGGAAAGACCTTGTATGGGCCCGCGACGATGTGGTGTTGGATCGGCCGGGAGAAAGATATTCTCCGCCTATAGGCATTTTATGTCCCAATATGGTGCGTCGTCGAGGCATAGGCGGGCCTGCCTTGATGGGATCCGTGTTCTGACATGACTGCAATATAGGTGCTTCATCCTGATCGCCATCTTCCTCTTCTCGCTCAGTGGGAAGCAAATCCTCCTTGTCCGCAAGAAGGTCAAAGCCGCCAAAGCCAACTGTGTCTTGCATCGAGGAGACCCGCCTGCTCTCGGGCCAGATGGCTTTCCTCCGCCACGAGAGCGCCGATTTTCAAGCTTCACGCGAGCCTTTGGCACACCGACTAGGAAACAGAACTCGGGACCGACGACAACGGCGGCGTCTGCAACAACTACGACCATGAACACTGACCAATATGACGTATCCACATCCGCCGAACTCAAAGGCCTCGAACCACTTGCACCTATCCATTCGCATGATGCGCTCGACTTGGAGTCCCACGCCGGGCACGATTCACAGGACCACAAACAGGACATCGACTCATCGACATCAGAACGCTCGCCCTCCTTCTCTGCGCCGTGGTCGCCCGTCTCCCCCACCGTCACGCTCGACCGCTCGCCTTCCGACCAAGCGATGCTCCGGCCCGGCGAACAGATTCAATTCCCGCCATCTCGACGGTCATCCTCTCGATTCGACACGATCCATTGGAAATACGCCAAATTCGCCTTTCTTTGCACCATTGTGCTCTTCATCACTTGGGTATGTCTGTCTACATGACACACTTGACCTCATCGACTGCCTCTGCCTTGCCCTGCTTCACGGGCTGCTATATCTGCCTATTTCTTTTTCCAACACTAACTCACAACCCATGCACTGTGTAGGTCCCCATCTCCATCAACAGAGTGTACAACAACTTCATCGCGCCCGACGACCAGATCTACGGCCTCTACTTGACCTCGGCGGCCTGCATGCCGTTGCACGGCTTCGGCAATTTCGTCATCTACACCACGACCAGCTGGACCGAATGTAAAGAGTTTTTGACCTGTTCGGGACCCAGGCCGTCGAGGCGGTCTTCTGCCGTGCAAGCGCAGATGCAAACGCACGCGCACGACCGAAGGACGACGAATTATATTAAGGGGGTGAGGCGGTGGGTTGTTGAAAAAACGCGTGGGGCATAGATTTGCGCAAAGGCACACACGGGCCTGGAAACAGGGCAGGATGGGACGATATAGTGCGGAGAAGGATATGTAAGCTCGATAGGATACAGTAGGTATGTTTTTGAATGCATAGCCTGAGCCTGGCATTGCGTTGCATACAGTAGGTAGCAGACTTACGATACTTGAGGCTACTTACAGTCTACGTGTCCACGGCACGGCATGGCACAAGGTATTGAAGGTGCGAACAGGTCTTACACGACCACTTGACTCGATCGGATACAGTACGACATGACACGACGCCGCATGCATGCATGCGATGCCAATGCCCGTACTCCGTACAAGTTCCAGGTTCGTTCCCAGGCCTGAGCCCGACTTCCTCTGGGCTCCGTTGAGCCCTACACTTCGTCATTACCGTACACACTCTCTACGATCCAAGGCCCTAAGGAAGAATCGAAATAGCTTGTTGCATACAGTAGCTGTTAGCTAGCTAGCTAGCTAGGCTAGGCTAGGTAACCTGCTGAACCGAGCGAATATCGACGTAGAGATACTGTAGATCATGCTCTCATGAGACGACGGCAGCTACTACCTGGCCTCACCGCCTCGCCCGTGACGCCTTCATCGGCCTTTCCTTGTGTGTGTGCGCGCGCGCACACAATCATCTCCTCAAATCACGCAGTCTGTTCTCTATGGTGTTTCTTGGCGTGCAGCTCCTCGACGGGCGCCTCGACGATATAATTCATGGTTTTGCGCAGGTCGCCTATGAACAAGCACATGACGCAAGCCAGGGCCCCGAACGGTGCGGCGATGATGTACACGACGCGGATCGAGTCCGCCAGTGCTTGTTTCAAGGCCGTGACGCCGACGGCAATGATCGCTGGAGTCACGCCTGGAATATTGCTCAGGGCGTCAGGTTGGTTCCCCGCGAGGGCCTGCACAAAGGCTGGGATCGAAGCCGCTGGGAGACCGGCTCCCGCGGCAGCTCCGGCCACGCCGCTGGGGATGTTGGCGGCGATTCGGTCGTTCAGAGCTGCCGCGTAGATGGCCGTGAAGACGGTCGCGGCGACTGCTCGAGAAGAGGTCGTCACCGCCGTGGCCGTGGCGATCAAGCTGTGTGGCGTGGAGAGCTGCACACCGGTGATGATCAGAATCAAGGGGGCACCGAACCCGAGCCCGGCGAGGCCGCTCAAGACGCAGGTGGTCGTGGAGTCGTTGGGCTGTATACAGGCGAATCCGACGATGGCGCCCGTGAAGATGAGATAGCCGACGAACAGGGGTTCGCGGATCGTGCGGAACCGGGTGCTTGCGTAGCCCCAAACGATGGTAGAGGCGCCGCCGACGACCCAGTATGGCATCTCTCGGGACACGAGCAACAAAGGGTCGGTTTCAAAGAGGGAGGTTGTCCTTAAAACGAAAGGATGGTTAGAGACCGAATCGCATCCATTGGAGTGTTAGAAAGCGGAACTTACAGGACTGGATAAAACACGATATACGAGAAGAGCATGATGCCCTCGATGAAGATCAAGCCCACGCAAATGGCAAATGTTCGACCTTGTGCCTTGCCGCCGCGGAAGAGTTCATGGTTCATGATACCCATCTTGGTGCCCTTCCATTCATAGACACCGAAGACGACCAAGATGACGAGTCCGATGATAAGAGTAGCGAGGGTACGCGCGTTGGTCCAGGGGTAGAGATTTCCCCCCAGGTTGAGACCGGTCAGGAACAGTGACAGCCCTACGGTGAGCAGGGAGCAACCTGGAATGTCACAATGCCCGAGTTTCTGCCAGATGGAAAGGTGATCCAAACGGGTATGTCGTTTGGGCGGTCTGTAACCCACGAAGATACCGGCAGCCGTGGCACCCCAAAAGGCGACTTGGATCCACTGTTTGGACATTGCTCGTCAGCTCTTTGTCCGACATGAAAATCTGGTGTGTTTGTCAACATACGTAGAAGTCTCGCCATCCGTTCAGTGGATCACGTTTGGTTAGGGCACCAATTGCCATGGGGCCAATAATGGCACCCAGAGCCGCGGCCACGTTCATGAAAGCTTGCGCCACTGCAGTATTCGTGAGCCATATTGCCACACAAGTGAAGGTGTTGTGCTCAGTGCACTTACTCGGCCTCCATTTTCTGGGGAGAATTTCACTCGGCACGCAATAGGCGAGCGGTACAGCGGCAAATCCAAAGCCGATCAATGTTTGAGCCGCGATCAACCGGCCCATATCGTGGGAACCTGGAGCAATGGCGGCTCCAACCAAGGAAGTGAGGCACGAGCCGACGAGGATGCTTTTTCGCGCTTGGAAGGTATCGGAAGCCAGCGAGATGACTGGGCCGAGCACTGCCTGTACGAGTGACAGAGAGTTGGGGACCCAGGTTTGCGTTTGTGGGTTTTCGAGGCTGTCACCGATCCAGTCCAGCTATATCTCAGACGGCCCCGTTAGTTCACAATGTTGTCGCCAGATCCCATCTCGCGTTGGCGCACTTACCACAGCAGGAGGCCCCTGGAGAGCGACAACTTGGACCATGTTCAACAGAAACATGGAAAACAGGGCCACGTAGGTTCGCATGTGGAGTTCGGGCTCCTCGTCGACCTCGTCGTAATGAAGGTTACCGTCGCCTGCGTCGGCATCCTCAATCTGCTTTTCACTTGACACTTCTCTCTTCTCCTCGACCGATACGAGATCTGACCCATTGGGCTGCGCACCCTTCTCGACCGCTGCGTCTGATAGAGTGTTGGAAGCCATGTTGGCGGGTGTCGGCACAGGAGTCAATGAAGGCTGTAGCTCTCGCGTCGGTCACCCCACGGTTCCCGGGGGGCGGGAAGAGGACTTTGTATGCAAGAGCGAGAGCATCGCAACGACCGATAATACCGCGTCGCGAGGGAAGCCTAGCACCGTTACTTGTAGCCCCTGTGATGGCTGTGATAGGTTCAAGTTTCCCACTGTGTGCGGGGACGATGGTCAAGATGGTTTTGATAGACAGACGATGGTGGGACGCTGGCAAGGTTTTGCCATGGCTTCGTGGGACATCAAGGCAGCCACAGCATATGAGCTGCAAATGAGCTGCAAATGAGCTGCAAATGAGGGACACCTTTCGAGACACAAAACTGTCAGTCGGAAATTTATCAACAGTCCAGGTCTCAAAGTCTCAAAGCTGCAGCACTCGATGGCTGTAATGACCGGAATTTCTTGATTGTGGCGCCAGTCAAAGCTGAAGTCTGAGTGAAGGAAAGGTGAAGATCATCCTCGGCTCCGATGAGTCCAGGCCGAGTGCTCAGCATTCTGCAGCTGCTCTTTCATTCGTTCCCACAATCTGCAACTTAACCATTGAACGCGGGGATCCCCACAAGAGACTCCGGGGCGCCATGTTTGGCTTTGCAGTCAGTTATGTATCAGTGATCAGTGAGGCCTGCATGATTCAGCGGGGATATATCGGTGCCTGTCCGACTGGGCATAGCCGCGCGTTACGCAACGTTTACGGGTCTCCGAGGCTCCGATACATCTTGTCTCAGATTTGTAGTACAATATTATCCTACCAGTTGCGATCTACCAGAAGCACGGCCTATGACAGGGAACCTTATTCTCCTCGACAAGTGGTGGGCTGCACATCCGAGGTCAGTGTCCAGTCCACAAAGTAGGCGGAAGGTTGGAAAGCTATCATCGATAACATCCTTCTCATACAAGCTATGTACAACAGAACCTCAACGCTTTAAGCTCACTCACGGAATTTCCCATTCGTCGAACGCTGCCTGGGGCGACAAGGACGCTCATCCCTACAATGGCCAACATCCCACAAGTCCCCAGCCACGGCCTCGCCACTGGACTCCGGGCAACGCCAAGCACAGATCGAGAATCAGTCAGGCCTGGAACAATCGGACACAGAAAACGGTTGAAGGGTCGCTGGCTCAAAAAACAACCATGCCTTGGGCATTCTTACCCACACCCATGCCACTCAAGTCGAAATGTTGGACTTGTTTCGCCGATCCTGGTCCACCAGACACATCCACGACCGTGACTGCCGCCGTTGTCGTCCCATTTCCTGGTGACAGAGCATAGATGAAGTTCCGGGCCGCCGTCAGATCAACAAGCCCGGGGTCTCCGTTACTGGACAGGTCGAGAGTAGACACGATACTGGCATCCGTCAAGCTCATCTCAACAAGCCGATTGACACCGACATCGGCGACGAAAGCAGTGTCCGTCGCAGATGATATGGTCACCCAGCAAGTGGCGGCCTGGCCGACAACTTCTTGTCTCGCCACAGTTGAGGCCGTGTTTGTGAAAGGGTCGACGGCCACCACAGCTGCTCCGAACGATGCGTCCGTGACAATCACGTTCGATGTGCCAGGGATATCCTGTGAGCCGAACAACACGAGCATCCCTTCTGGCGAGCTGCGAGTCTCTTCCGTCGACAGCTTGGAAGTGCCGTGCCACTTTCGACCTTCCTCGACAGCAAACACTGAGAAAAAGCCCGGTTTCTCTACGCCAGGGTCTCCCTTGACGGTCGCAAAGAGACGAGATTCATCCTCAGAGAAAAACACTTGCGAGACCGTGTTCGGTGGCCCGCTTGGGGGATTCGTCTGGTTGAGATCAAAGGAACGCAACACGTCCATTGCCCCGAGCCCCTTGTGGGAGAAAGAGGAGCAGGAAACGCCATTTGCAGTTCCAGTGCTGCCAACGCAGACCAGCCCGTGCTTCGCCGAAGCGGCAACAGTGACGGGGAAGTCACCCGGGAGGCCGACAGGCTGACCGATCATGGTGAGCTCTGTTGGACGTCTAGGGTTGATGGACAACATTGACAATGTGTTGCTGCCGGCGTTGACGGCAAAGATGTACTGTCACGTAAGTCAGCGATAGGTACGTCTTCGTTCTCGCTCTCGAGTATCACCCACGTTTCCAGCGACCGTCAGGCTCGACTGTGAAAACAGAGCGTCAGGAGCGGCGGGCTCGCCACTGGCGGCGTTGATGGAGTTTCCTCCCTTATCTCCAGTAGGCGTGAGACTTCCCACAGACAGCATCCCGTCTGCGCCAATGGGTACCGCCGCAACAGCGTTGCTCGCGTCGTTGGTAAGGAGGTATATCGCCTGGGCAGCCTTGTGATGTTTGAATGAGGTCCCGTGGCGCTGCGTCGGGACGGCGTGACCGCAGGTAAGCAGCGCGGCGAAGCCCATGAGGGCTGTGATCGATTTGGGTTGCATCGCGTCTGTGCAGATGAGCGGGATCTCCTCTTGCGGCTTGAAAGGCCAAGATATGGTGCGACTCAGTTATCGTGGTCGTTTGTTGTAGGAAGTTGTGCTGCCTTCCACCTTTCCACGCGCGCAGCACCGCAGCTTTATACCGCTCATGATGGCTACTCGTCGCTGCGCCAATTTTACCTTCACCACGTCCATCTGTCGGGATGCTCCTTTCCAATCTCTTCGCAATATGGATCTGATGCAAGCCATCAACGGGAGTCCATGGCAATATGTAAGGGCCCAAGATATTTTGGCGGATTACCCAATATTTTATTACCCGTTTCGACGTTGGCGGCTTCCGACCAAGGATACCGGCAACAACAGGCTAAGCCTGAACAGGAAGATGCTGATTATGTATCAGAGGCCGAAACGGGCAGAGCCGCCAGGGCGAGACGTCGAATCCAGGGGCATCTGACGGGCCACGAGGGGGCCAGCGCAGGCGAGATGCGGGGCCTGGCGGTCTCCCTGGGTTGAGACGTGAGCGAAACGGCGCAAAGCCGCCTGACCTCGAACCTTTCGCCTGCGTTTTGCCAAGGTACAGTACAGTAGTGATGCGATACCTAAAGTTATGTACTCTGCCGTCCGCTTGAAATGAGACTGCTCTTGCATTTGACAGAACGAGAAACAATACGTTGCCTTTGATTATCAACCAGCAATGTCGGACATCTTCAGGCCGCTGTTTCGATCGGTGGAAGGTACCTGCATTCTCTCCCGGGTGCCTCGTGGCAAAGATGTGCTTGTGCTGACTGTCCTGCAGACAAGGTCGCGAATAGACGGGAGCAACTGCGCAAGGCACAGAAGTAAGTCCATTCGCTCAGCTGCCAGTATCCGTCGTTGGCTTCTTACCATTTCGGGACGCATCAGGACGTTTCGCGACCGACGCGACCAGTACCTCCAGACACTGGAGAAGACGGTCCAGCGTCAACAGAGCAACGAAGCGAGGCTACAGAATGAAGTCGAGCACCTGAAGCGTGAACTCGTGGCAACGAAACTCCGACTCGACGACCGTGAGGCCAAGCTATCTCAGTTCCGGGAATTGTCCGATCCAGGCAATCATACACGCAATGGTTGGCGCAACTTTGCCTACCCGTCCCGGGAGAATGGAGCGAATGCATATCCCACGCCTTCCAATGAGAGTGCGGCCAGCGATGCCGAGTCCTTTGCCAGCAGCAATACCACCCTAGTCTGGATCGAGACGAAGAACGATCAGCCAGTGCAGCTGCATGTGCAACTCCAGGGTGGAGATGGCGCAAATGCCGCGACGTCGAACACCAATTCTCTTTCGCCGGACCCTCTTATGCAAGCTGGCCTCCTGCCAGCATACGTCTCGCAACTCGACGTGGTTGTTGTGGCCATGGAATTCGTGCTCAAGTAAGTATACTTCCTGTCCAGCATGTCCTCCCTCCTCCACCACTCTGCTGACGCAACACGCTCTGTAGGCTCGAATCTCCTTGTCTTCCCCATCTTCGTGCAAACGCCGAGGACAATATTCCTGCCTCGACCGCCCTTGGCAGCGTACGAAGCTCACCTCATGGTCACGTCCACACCGCTTCAGCTGCTCTTCTGTGTTGCTCGCCATCCTCTTCACCACTAACTGCCTCCCACTCACCATCGACACCATCGCTGGCCACGTCGACATCCGCACCCTCATGGCCAATTCATAAAGCGACCCTCGAGCGTCTGCTCGATATCTCCGAAACCCTACCATTGGACCAGGCGTTGGAATTGACACCCATTCAGGCGTGGCGTTGCATCGCGCAGACACCAAACTTCAACATGCTGGAGGTCAATTTTCTGCATCACGTGTCGGACAAGTTGTTGGCACATGTGAGATGCTACGGGTAAGTGCAGTGATTTGTACGCTGGTGTTGACGACCAAGATGTGCTGGAACATTAATTGCATAGTGCTGACCTATGATATTTCTGCACTGTAGCTTCGGCGCTGTCGTCAGGCGAGACTTCCTGATGAAGTTGCTGGCAGAGGCGTTCTGGTGACGGTTTCGGTTCCCGGCCGCGTACTCATCGATATCCACCTAAGCTTGCCGTCGAGACTTGACTCTTGAGAACCGATGCTGAAGAATCGAGGTCGTTTGGCAGCGGTCCATTGGCTATGTGCGAGAGGATGTGCTATCGGCTGCGAACGTGCCGGATAAAAGGACACCGTTTCAAAACAATGTCCTGATTTCCAGAGATCAGAGGAGACGTAAGTCCTTACTGTTGGCCTAGGTGGATCGCATGCTAAACCGCTCCAGCCAACACAGCCGGTCTCGCCCTACCTTGTAGACATTGCGCGCGGCTGGGAAAAGTCGTCCAGTGCATGATTCCCGGGCCCTGGTGAACATGCGGTGACTCTGATGTGGAAACATATCGTACTTGACGAATCTCAACTGGCAAATGACCACCCCTGGCTTGTTCAAAGTGCGAAGAGAGAACTGGGAGCGACAATAGCCCCCAGCTTGCTGTTGATGATGTCCAGCAGCTAGCATTTCATCTCCCACTCCAGCGAGGCGTTGCGGACACGGCTCCCGTTCCTAATGAAGCTTCGGAGGAAAACTCGTGCTCGAGTGGAACGACGGCCAATTATATGGTGTTAGAACAGAAAAGGAGCCTTGGGAGCCTAGGGAGACCATTGGGTTGTCGTGGCAGGCCATCGCCAGGCCCTAAACGGCGGGCTGGTTCGCATTCAGGCCACAAAGAGCGAAGTGAATAAATGTTTTGGGTTCCCTTAGTCGGTAGAGCTTGTCTGCCATGCTTGGCTGTCTCGGAATCATTGGTTTGCGAGAGGAGTCGAGTGCGCTCTTAGCAGCTCGCCAGAACCAGACTCTTCTGCACCATCTCAACCTGCATTCGCTTGTTCGAACCGTTAACGCATTAGTGAGATATTCAAGTGCGTGGCATCCCGACAATGCGCCATCATTGGACAGCACAACTTCGATCCTGGGCAGAAAGGTATCATCGCAGATGCGGACTTCTGACCCTAATCGATGCGAACGAGGCCCATGGGGTTGAATTAATGGAGTTTAGTGTTTGACGGTAACTTAGTCATTGTAAGTAGGCCACGCGCAGACGAACTTACTCCAGCTAGGATGTAATATGATACCACATGGCAGACTGAGAGCACTTTGCAGAAAGACGACACTTTCGAACATGTCCGCAATCGGGGGAACCTCACAAAGTATGAGCGGAAAACAGGCATTGCGAGCGGAGAACAAAGGGACGGTTACTTTTGGAAGACGTGCGGCTCCCTGCTGTAACGACTTTCCAGCGGCTTTTCTGGTACACATAATCTGAGATTGGGTGTCGTGGACCAATCCAAGCTGGTGTCCGGCGATCTGGAGCCGCGGCTCGAGCAGTTTGTGTCGGACAAGGTCACGTGGGGGGAGCCTGTTGAAGGCCTCTTCCAGAACGACGGGAGCTTCATCAAGCCGGAATTCGTGCTCGCAAGTGACTATAGCTGAGTGAGGATTGAATTGAGAACGTGCCGAGGAGTTGGTGGGGTCTCTGTGGCGTCGATGATAGAGCTAGCAATTAGCAGCTGCGCACTGAGTAGGTATCTATAGACACCGAGAACAAATCGCTCGCGATATCTTGAAGTGTTCGAAGATATCAGGAAATCAATGGTGCCAATTCTCGGGAGGGTTGCACGGTTCGCGTCGCGAGCAGGTAGGTCAGTGAGGAGCAAGTGAGAACGAAGTGAGTTGTCTTTCAGGTGGTGGTGACAAGCTCGGCCAAGGAAGAATTATACTCCGGGCGCGGGCCTGAAACGAGTGGAGGCAGCGTACAAATAACTGCCTCTCCTCACGTCAATCGTCCATCGACCTTCTTTCACTCTTTAACTCGTACAAGCTTCTCCTCGTGTCAGCATTTTCCTGCTCCTACATGCAAGGATGAGCCGGCCCATCCAGCCCATCCACCACAAGAGACAGTCTTGTTGGCGGCGACCGACTGGGCTGATAGCTCTCCCCAGCTCTCAATGCTGACTAGCACCGGGACCGGATTTTGTCGCTACCAATCTCAGACTCGCTCGAATTTCCTACATCCACGTTAGCTTTCAGCACTCTGACCTTCGTTCTGCCACAGCACTGGAACCTGGAATCATGTGTGTTACGATGTGATACCCGGCGGCATGGACTGATCTCACCAGTAAGTGACACGAATAGTCCTCAAATCCGGAATGACTCTGTCAGCGCCCGATAAGGTAGACATCTGGTGTATCCGTGCAGAGCTGACGTTGACATGCCGCATGCTCCTGTTTGGGGAGTCCAAAGCTATGCATCGCTTCTGACCAACCACCCTGTAACTGCTATTTATGGTATCCACGCGATACGATTTCGATCTGAGCGGATTGGTTGATGGAGAAACCCCTAGCTCGCCTGGCGCCGCCACGAGTAGTCTGGTGTTTCGTACTATACGGGCAAGGCGAATAATATGAGCATTACGCATCTCACTCCTCTACTTGGCGCTTCTCGTCGCGATAATACCTCGAGCAGCCCGTTTGTAAGGGGCCGAAGGGTTCAAAATCTACAAAGTGGGAGCATTTCGTCTTCCCTGGCACCCTGCGCCCCCGCTCTGTCTTGATTCCCCCTCCGTCTACTGACCATAGGCTATTACGACCCCAACGCAATGGCGGCACAAGCCTTCGAGGACATTAGCTTGACTAGCTTGGCCGAGTCCATCTCCTCAAATGTGAAGATCATCACGGACATTCTCAACGACCAAAAGCTGCCACATCCGACTTTGTCACCCAGCGGCCCGCTGCACTACACTGGCGGACCAGACGACGCCCGGCTACAAGAAGCGCGAACAAAATTGCTGACTTCTGCTTGGACTCTTGAACAACTGGCGTCAGGACCGCAGAATTACATCTACTGGCAAGCTTATACTGTGCGTGGTGCCGCCGGCGAAGTTCTCAGGAGTTTCTGACGCGTGTAGACAAAGCATGATCTCACGGTCCTAAGCGTCTTCGCGAAATTCGGTGTCTTCGAAGCGGTGCCAACGACTGGCGATATCTCTTATTCCGACCTGGCAGCAAAGCTGCCGATGACCGAACGGCAAGTGCGGCGCCTCTTCCGGCACGCAATGACGAAGAACATCTTCTTCGAGCCCCGTCCGGATCATGTTGCTCACACTGCGCTCTCGATAGCACCGGTGAGAAAACGGAGTCTGACGCCCTGGATTAACCACAACCTTGGGGAAGTCCTGCCTGCAAGCTCGCGTCTGGGGGACGCTATTGAAATGTATGGCGACTCACAGGATACAACTGAGACTGCAATCAGCATTGCCTGGAATTTGGAGACAGGAAAGGGCCTGTTTGACTGGTTCAAGGGCGATGGGGAAGGTTCGGAGAAAGGTTGGCGCGCTCGTCAGTTCGCCCGAGCCATGGAATCCATGGCTGGTGGCGGTCACGAGACGGAGTACACGGCTGATGGCTTCGACTGGGAAAGTCTTGGTGAAGCTGCTGTCGTTGATGTTAGTCTCGCTATGCTTTCAGAACAGCCAAGTCTCGTCTGTCTGGCTGACTTTTCGTCTAGGTTGGTGGATCGAGCGGCCACATCTCCATCTTTCTAGCGGAGAAGTTCCCAGGTCTTCGACTCGTGGTGCAAGACCTCCCCGAAGTTGAAACTGCTTTTGAGGCTCTGGTGCCGTCCAATCTCAGGTCACGAGTCTCATATCAGGCGCATAACTTCATGAGGCCTCAACCGCAGCAGAGCGCCGACGTCTTCCTCCTTCGTCACGTGCTGCATGACTGGCCCGATGCCATAGCTGTCGATATCTTGCGAAACATCATCAATAGTCGAGAGGGACTTATCAAGGTTGGCGCGCGCCTCATTGTGGTAGACAACGTTATGCAGCCAAGGGGTGCCCTGCCCGTACCCATCGAGCGGCTGATCACCACGGCAGACATCCAGATGTGGACGGCACTCAATGCTCTGGAGAGAAGCAAAGAGGATTGGATCGATCTATTCAGGCAGGCGGATAAGAGGTTAGATCCTGTGGCTTTTGTGCAGCCAGCAGGAAGTTCCGAGACTGTCATCGAAGTAGTCTTCCGGCACGAATGACAGAGACATGCTGTGGTTAGTCGTCCAGAATACGAGTACGCAGCCCCGTGGCCTCAAGCACATGCTGGGACTACAAATGCTTGCGCGGAAGCGAAACCTCGGCTCGAGATTGCCGTTAGAGGCAGGCAACTTCACATGTAAGGATGACGGCAAGAAGCCTGGTCCATCTAATCCTGCCACCTGTGTCACACCTGATCCTGATCTCTACACCATTGTCTGACAGCACCAGGGGGCAAGTTCGCGCACAAGCCTCCTATCCTTGACGATGCTATCGCTAAACGTGAAATACGCTCTGGCCTAGGCGTTCTGGTGGTCGTGTTACATCAATCTAGACTGTGCAGAGATCCGCATGGCTTTGAGGTCTGCAGCGGCATGGACAACGATCGATACTGGACCTGTGTGTACTCCGTATGTGGGACATGATGGGATAGTGGCACTCCTGACCAAATACTCCGCAGAAGGGCAGCGACCCAGAAACTACTCCGGCGCATTCGGCTGAATGATGCATTCCGGCCAGAGCGAAAAGCGATTTACAGCCTCGGCTCAAATCTGGAAGCAGATGAATGCCTCGACTAAAGGCTCTATAGAGTTACTTCTACTTCCCGTTCCTTTTGCAGGGCTCAAAAGTCAAGATGAAAACGTTGTGGTTATGATCCCACCTAGATTAGTCCGATAAGTTTACGATTCTCAGTCGAATTATACTTTGTGCCCGTCTGTCCGCCCTTCCGTCTATCCGTCTCACAATGGCTTCAATCCAATCCAGGCCTAAAGTACTCTTGTTCGACATTGGCGGCGTCTGCGTAAGTCCTGTACCCTCTTTCCCATGAAAAACTGCGCTCGCGTCGATGCATGCAAGAGCAAGCAGAAACATCAGCATGAATATAGAGAGATATAACGTCAACACGAGACGGGCAAAAGCTGACCCCCACACAAGGTAGTATCCCCCTTCCAAGCAATCCTGGACTACGAGATCCAGCACGGCATCCCCCCGGGCTACATCAACTACAGCATCCGCGCCCTCACGCCCAATGGCGCCTGGCACAAGCTCGAGCGCGGCGAGATTCCCAACGACGCGACCTACTTCCGCCTGTTCAAAGCCGACCTGGAGCGACCGGACCTGTGGGCGAGATTCCACGCGGAAAAGCTGCACGTCTCGGACCCGCCGCCCGTGCCGGCCATCGACGCCGAGACGCTGTACTGGAACATGATGGGAAACTCGCGCAAACCGGATCCATGGATGTACCCGGCGCTGTTGAAGCTGAAGGCCCACGGCTGGGGACTGGCGGCCCTGTCGAACACGACCGTGTTTCCCGAGGGCCATCCGTTCAACGAACCCGGCCCGGAAGACGTCAAGGGTGTGTTCGAGCTGTTTGTGTCGAGCGCGCACGTCGGCATGCGGAAGCCGAACCGCGACATCTACGAATACACGTTGAAGTTGATCCGCGAGAGGTGGGGCCAGGATATCCGCGCCGAGGATGTCGTCTTCTTCGACGACATCGGGGAGAACCTGAAGACCGCCAAGTCGCTGGGCATTCGGACCGTGAGGGTCGTGCTGGGGAAGACCAAGGACGCCGTGAGGGAACTCGAGCGGTTGACTGGGCTGGAGCTGGTCGGGGAGCCGTGGGTGAGTAAGGCGAAGTTATGATTGGGGTCTGCAAGTTACACATGTACCTTGGCGACGTGGTGGGAATGACCCGTCAATTGCTCCGTTAGATTTATAGACCGTTATAGCATGAGACATGTCACCGACGCGAAGTGGATTTCCCAGTCAAGATCCGTTCCAAGCTCAGGCAGCATTGACTATATGCTGGAAGACTCTTCACACGTACGGTCAACAAAGGTTCTGGTGGAAAAGCGCAGAACACTTTCTCCATGCTAGGGAGTTGCTCTGGCCAATCTCTATATCAAACGTTTCCATAGATCGACTATACCAAGCATTCAAAATACCTACACTCTGCGAGGGCTACTCCCGACCGATGTGCATCTACCAGGTAACCCAGCAGACACAATAGAGAGTCAGTTGGCAAGTGAGCATCTCTGGCCCGTCTTAAGCCAACGAGAATGGTTACGGAGTGCTTCGACTGAACGAGGTTCTGTTCTGTGTAACTTTGCGGAATGACCAATTCGCTCAGCCACGGACAACATTGGCATACCCGTAGTCGGCACTGGGTAGAGTACGACCTCCCCGGGCGCGTGAAGACGCCATGCATGACAACGTTTGATACTTTTCGGTTAAGATCTCGGTCTGCTAAGGTTGATGTTGCTCTGTGACCAATGGCAGTAAGTGCCATCGATTGGAGGTATAGAAGCTGGGCAGGTAGCCTACTCATTTGTAAGTCCAACGAATGCTACTCGTACATTTCGAAAGCCGGGGCCTCATGCTCATAGGCCTTCGCGTGATACAATCAATACCCACTCTGCTCTCTCCGATTATCTCCTTCTCCCTCATCGCTGCCTCCCGCATCAGCCCTCGCCTCTTTGATCGCCTGGGAATCACCCCTCAGTTTCTCAAAGTAAGCTTTGATATCGTCCGCGCTGACGACCCGCCCTTCCTCCGCATATGGCTTGAGGAATTCCTTGACTTTGTCGCGGAGGTGGTTGTAGACCATGACTCCCTCGATTGCGCGGACACGGTCGATATTGCTGAGCGCTGCTTCTCCACGTTCGAGTAGGGAAGCTCGGGAAGAGCCGCCGTTCGTGCCATCGGGGTGATGTTGTGAGGATCCGTCCGAGGAGATAGAAGGCTCGTATGTTTCTTCGTCTTCGAGGAGTTGCGGGTGTGGGATGAGGTTCGGGTAACATGAGGGGCAGTGGCAGAGGTGATCGCGGAAGTCGGCCTTCAGGAAGAGACTAAATCTGCCGGCAGGCGGAGAGGAGGGGAGGAGGTCGTGTTTGTGTTGAGGTTTTGAATCGGGTTCACCGGGTTGTGCAGTAGCCGCAGGGAGATCTGCGACAGAGGCGCCGTTGGCGGAAGACGATGGTTGGGCAAGTCCTGACGAGACATTGGCATCGTGTGATGTCGTGGCATTGTCGTCCTTAAAGCGCTTTGTCGGACTCGAAGATCGAATATCGATGTCGTCGTCTGATGCTTTGCGCTTCAGGGAACTCGTGGCATTGAGATCTGTTGGAGCAGGCTCGGCCGTCGCTGGCTTTGTCTTTGCGAGGTATTCAGCGTACGTTTTGCAGCCGGCCAACATCGTGTCGCGATATTGCGCGTAAGTGCTACACCCCATGGCTTTCCATTGTTCAGCCCAGAGGGCCAAGGACCCTCCATGATTAGAGACAGAGTGCAGGAATCCCGCCGTACCCGCGTACTTCTTGATCCATGGATTCGACTCGACACATTTGTAGCATAGCAGGGCCTCGAAGTCGTCTTCGTGCGGAAACCCTGGGGGAACTGGGTGCGAGGCGTCGTCCTTCTTTTCACTCTCTCCATCATCAAGCTCTTTTTCCACAGTATCATTCCCCTCCTCCGGTTCTTGCTCCTTATACCAGTGCCTCGGCAGACCCATCAGGCACTCAGGGTGGTACCAATCTTCGCCACATCCGCCCGTTTCAATTGTTCCCAACCCCAAACACTGATACATCGTCCCCTTCTCCGTGCTGGCATCATACTCCTCTCCACAAGCGCAGAAGCGATTCTGGAAATTGTGATTGTAATGGTTCCCCTTATGCGGCTCTTGCGAATGTACACCACGGCTTCCAGTTGCAGGATCTGACCGCAAGGTGCAAGGTGACGTCGAAGGAAGCCTGTTGGTACCACAATCGCAGACAAAGTCACGCCGGGAGAAGAGTTCGACCAGTGTGTGTTCGCCGTGGCAGGAGATGGAGCAAGCATAACAGACTCCCGCCGGTGTGTACACCTGGGCTGCTGATGCGGGCGGAGGAGAGCACGTGAGGCAAGCGAAGACGTTCTGTCGGAGGGGTCCAAGGATATTGGTGCATTTGTCAAATTTCTGCTCAATGTTAGATGAGACGGTGGCTAAAGGAATTATGGGAAATGGCGAGGTTTACATATGGTAGGACTTCTCGCGCATCAGCCTCAAGTGCCAGTTGCTGGTCGATGAACTCCGATGCGGTTTGAGAGTCTTGCGGAGCGGACATCTTGACCTCTTCGTTCTCAGGAATGGCCTCCATTGTTGGTATCGATGTGTGCGAAACCTCCGACCCTGAGACAAATGTGAGAGATGGAAAGTTGACTGTGAATGTCGCTTGAGCATCCCAACATCTCGCCCGCGGCTGTACGACTTGAGATCGACTTTCTAGTCGCTCATTTCCTAATTTGGATTGGCGCGTTTTTTCGACGCGTTCCACTTTACGCGTTCTTTGACGCCCTCCCTTGCGCTCAACTCACTTTACTCTCATCAAAGCTGCGCACTCTACCCGACCAGCTGACATCGAAACAACATCATGAGGTACGTATGCGCAAGCGGGATACTGGGCTCTCCTCTCGTTGCTGACCACGAACGCTGACCAACATCTCAAAGTTCACCCCTTCGGCCTAGCATGTCCGCGGCAAACAGAGGCCCCAGCAACGCGGCCAGGCGCAAGAGGGCTCGAGATGAAGATGAGGACGACATCATGTCATCGTCGCCCGCTGGTAAGCCACTACCTATGAGATACAAGTCTATTGTCGCAAGGCGATGCAATACTGACTGCCCGGACCGTAGCGATACCTTCATCACCCCCTTTACTCCCCACGAATGAGAATGACGACGACCTTGACGACGACTTGGATCCAGAAGACGATCTTATCGGAGATATTGACGATGCGGACGAGATGGCGGAGGACGAGGACGGCATCGACTTGTTCGGTGATAATTTCATGAACGACGAACGTGAACGACGCGACCAAGAAACATATCAAGGCCGTATGATTGACGATGAAGGCGATTACGACGACCTTGACCTCGCTTCACGCCGGCAATTGGAGGCAAGACTGAATAAACGCGATCGCGAGCTGGCTCGCCGACGTCGTATGCCCGCTGCTTTTATGCCGGATGACGACGACGATGCCGGTATCGACTTGACCAGACAGCCTCGCCGACGACGACATCACTATGACGAGGACCAGGACGACATGGATATTGATGAGAACATCATGGAAGAAGAATTATCCTTAGAGACGCTGCAGGACGTCAAGGCCTCGAACATCACGGAATGGGTGACCCTGCCTTCTGTGATGAAGACGATCGCCCGCGAGTTCAAATCTTTCCTCACGGAATACATCGACGCCAACGGGACGTCCGTCTACGGCACCCGGATCCGCACCTTGGGCGAGGTCAACTCGGAGTCTCTCGAGGTCTCGTACGACCACCTGGCTTCGACGAAGGCCATCTTGGCTTATTTCCTGGCGAACGCACCCTCTGAAATGCTCAAGATTTTCGACAAGGCCGCCTTCGAGGTCGTCCGCCTGCACTACCCGAACTACGAGCTTATCCACCCCGAGATTCATGTGCGCATCTCCGACCTCCCAGTCCAGTACACACTGAGACAATTGCGCCAATCGCACCTCAACTGTCTGGTCCGCGTGTCCGGCGTCGTCACCCGGCGCACCGGCGTCTTCCCACAGCTTCAGATGGTCAAGTTCCGGTGCCAGAAGTGCGGCGTCACGCTTGGACCCTTCGCCCAAGAATCAACCTCCACCGAAGTGAAGCTGACCTTCTGCCAAGCCTGCCAGTCCCGAGGGCCTTTCACTCTGAGCACCGACAAGACCGTGTATCGGAACTACCAGAAATTGACGCTGCAGGAATCCCCCGGGACTGTGCCCGCGGGCCGCCTGCCACGCCACCGAGAAGTCATCCTCCTGGCAGATTTGATCGACAAGGCCAAGCCCGGCGAGGAAGTCGACGTCACGGCCATCTACCGCAACAACTACAGCGGGCAGCTCAACAACAAGAACGGATTCCCCGTTTTTGCGACAATGCTAGAAGCGAACCATGTGGTCAAAACGCATGACCAACTTGCCGGCTTCCGACTCACAGAAGAGGACGAACGACAAATCCGCGCCCTCTCCAAGGATCCCAACATTGTGGACAAGATCGTCGACTCGATCGCCCCATCCATTTACGGCCACAGGGATGTCAAGACTGCAGCGGCATTGTCCCTATTCGGCGGCGTCAGCAAAGAAGCCCAAGGGAAGCACAAAATCCGCGGCGACATCAATGTCCTCCTCCTCGGCGACCCGGGGACGGCCAAATCCCAGGTCCTGAAGTATATTGAGAAGACGGCGCACCGGGCCGTCTTCGCAACCGGCCAGGGCGCCTCGGCGGTAGGTCTGACGGCGTCGGTGCGCAAAGACCCCTTGACGCAAGAATGGGGACTCGAAGGCGGGGCTCTTGTCCTCGCAGACCGAGGAACCTGCTTGATTGACGAATTCGACAAGATGAATGATGCGGACCGCACGAGTATTCACGAGGCGATGGAACAGCAAACCATTTCCATTTCCAAGGCCGGCATTGTCACCACCCTGCAGGCGAGGTGTGCGATTGTGGCGGCCGCCAACCCCAAGGGAGGCCGCTACAACGGGACCATTCCATTCAGCCAGAACGTGGAACTCACCGAGCCGATTCTCTCGAGGTTCGACATCCTCTGCGTAGTAAGGGACACTGTCGATCCCGCTGAGGATGAACGGCTGGCGAATTTCGTGGTCAACAGCCACGGGCGCGCCCATCCAGCGAAGCTCGAAACGGACGAGGAAGGAAATACCGTGCCAATGCGAGACGATCCCGAGACGCATAAAGTGGCCACTGACGACGACCAGCCGGAGCAGGAGGGCGCCATCCCTCAGGAGTTACTGCGGAAATACATCCTGTATGCACGAGAGAAGTGCCGGCCCAAGCTATACCAGATCGATCAGGACAAAGTCGCCAGATTGTTCGCCGACATGAGGAGAGAATCCTTGGTCACAGGGGCGTATCCCATCACGGTGAGTCTTACATCCCCTTCCTCCTACAGTACTCGACATCTGGTATATCTATCTGAGGAGAAGCCCTTCTTCGTCATCAGTAGTATCCATGGTGAGCCATGCTGACAAAGGTTCCCCCAATAGGTCCGCCATCTCGAAGCAATAATGCGCATAGCCGAAGCGTTCTGCAAGATGCGGTTGTCGGATTTCTGCTCCTCGCAGGACATTGACCGCGCCATTGCCGTAACTGTGGACTCGTTTGTCGGGAGCCAGAAGTTGAGTTGTAAGAAGGCTCTCGCGAGGGCGTTTGCAAAGTAAGTCACTGGAACTGTTGCTGATTTCTCAATTTCTCGATTTCACTCCCCTAGATTTGGGTGCACAGGACGCGCTAACGTGAGGCGCAGATATACTCTGAGAAGGCCGGAGAAGCAGCGAAGCAGAGCCCTAGGGCGGGGTGCCGGAGCGAGTGCTGCAACTTAGTGCATTGAGGATACCTACGGGGTGCGATTGATGGAATGCATGATGCCGTTGTCCGTGCTGCGTCTCTGTTTGTAACCAGGCAGATGCTGAGGGCCGTGCAGTGCCCTGCTGTGTACTGTGTATATAGTGGGCAGATATAAAGCGATCAGCCAGGCAAGGTGATGAATTGTACGTGGAGAACGAAACCATGGAGGACCATCTCGTGAATGACGAGGGAGAGACGCCTACGGTATGCGGAACGGAGTAACTCGAACTCTTGTCTTGAATTGAACGATGCTTTTACTTCGTAATCCGTGCTCCATCCTTCGCTGACGGCGGCTTTCCTAAGTGTGTACTCCGTACTCCGTACTCTGTACTGGTACGAGCACCAGCAGATGTTCGCCGCCGCTCCGGCTGTCCGCGTCAAGAACTGTACTCGTAATCCAGCCTTTGTGCAGCCAGCCATTCTTTCTCGCTCCCATTGATGAACAAGGCAGAAGAGATTGACATATGCAGCTAACTAGTAGAGGGGTGCCCTGAGTAGGTACGGAGTACGGAGTACTCGTACTGTCAATCTTCATCTATCCGCACGAGTACCGACTACTCGTACCTATAGCAACTGACTAGTAGCTAATTAGGCCGTACTTGCACCCGCCCTTGGTGTAGCGGAGCATGGCGGTTCATCATTTATCCAGTGGACCGCCACTCATTTTACGTTATGGTACAGAGTACATGGCGTGTGTCACACTGCTGTTGACGGACCAATTGACTATGGAGTGCCTAGCACTCGTATTGCCTACTGCATACTGGACACTGCGTATCCTGAGCCGTTATAGTTATATGCAAAGGCTTGGCGCTTGGTGGGAGATTGCAGACTGAGAACCAAGAACTGGGGAACTGGGGAACTGAGGAAACATGGGGCGGGATGCTACTTCCTTGCAGAGCACTCACTTGCACAGTCCTGAGTTGACGATCATCAGGTTGTAGAGCCAAGGGTCATTGTAGGTCCCTTCCGATTTTGCACTATGCCACGATAGATAGGTAGGTAAATAGGCAGGTCTGGCAGTATTGTGTGCGGAGATGCTTGCTGGACACCGTCTCCCCGAGCCCTACTCCGTACACAGTAACCAATTCTACCCCTTTGAAGACCAAGGGCGTGCGTGCCGCATCCGTTTCTCATAAATGCATACACAGTAGAATAGCTTGGCGTACCGTAGCCTGGCCTAGCCAAGCAAAGCAAAGCAAAGCGCGGTCGCCCAAGCTACGGCGACCACAGTTCCTGGGACGCTTGGACATTTGTCTTTGCTTTGCCCAAGTGTGAGTTGAACCCGCTCGAGCAAGTACGTACTGTAATTAGGTACTGTGTATGCAGTGTCTGGTCTCCCGTCTGGGGTGTCCAGTCTCGGGTCTCTAGTCCGACCACGGGCAGACTGTGACCGTCAAGCAAGTGCTCGCAAGGAAGGGTCTACTGTCTTGGCTTGGCTGTCTCTGCTGCCTTGTCCTCTCCCTTCAGTTCAGCTACTGGGCAGTAGCCTTTGCCATGCGTTCGAAGTGAAGTGCATGATCGCCTGGGCCGTTCCACGTAGACTGCAGACTGGGGATCAAGTCCTGGATGGAACAGTATCTGCTTCGCTTTGCTCGGCTTGGCAGTGAGTGGATGGACGATGGTGTTGGCATGGCACCGTCGTCGCAGTCTTGGTACTGACACTGTCCTCGTTTGTGAAGAAACTGGCGTAGCAAGCCGACCGTGTCATACCTTTTTGTATCCTGGCATATCACTTTTCACGGAGTCAAGCAAGACGATGATTTCCGCGGTTCGCGGTCATCATGACCAGCAAAGTGCACCTCACATGCTGTACAGACTCGCAAAGATATACTGAACAATCTTACTCCGTACTCCGTATTGAATGTACTTGTCCTCCAGTACCAGGTGGTGTAATCCTCAAGGACTCAAGTACTTCGTACGAATGACGCGGTATTGTCAAGTAACCGGTCGCACAGGCTAATCGTTCAAGCGACCATGCGGTCAAGATGACGGCCCCATCCTAGCTAGCTGCAGCAGATCTGGCGTGCATGCAGATCTCGTCGGAGCGAACAGGGCACGATAGGCCTACTGAAATTGTCCAGGAAATCCCATGCGGAGAAGCATGCGACTGGGCTCCAAATGCCAGATGCCAGATGCCAGATGCCGAGGGAAGTGCCCAGAGTTTGGGGATACTGTACAGGGAGCCAGGGCACTTACTCGTGGGCTAGGGCAACACCTGCTCGTGACCTGCTGCTCAAAATTTAGCCGCACGAGTTCCTGGGTACGGCTCCTGAAGTGGCGATCCAGCGTGCCCTGCGTGCCCTGCCCTGCCCTGCCCAGTCAAGCCAACCCAAGCTAGCCCCCCGCGAGTGCTATCTGCGTGTGAGATGGCCCTGGGTGGGTTGGTGGGTGGCTGGTTCACTCACTCACTCACTACTCGTCCGATTGACGGAGCCCGTTCCGTGTGTGGATAGCTCCTCCTCATTCATATATGACACAATCCTGTGAGATGCGCACACTCTGTAAGACCGCGTTTCCGAGTCTCTTTTCTCGAAGTTGAAGCCTGAGATCCATTGCACATACATTGACGCTTCTTCAACTTCACGGTCACGCAACAGTGGTGTCACTCGCACTCGCAATCATGGCCGACGTTCACTCCGACAGCAGCATGGACGACTCTCTTGAGATGTTCAAGCGACGAAGCCGAATGACTCGGTGGCGACAATACCTCGCCGAAGACGCCAGCAAGGAATGGGCCGACCTGATCTTGATCGTCACGTGCTTCATATCCGGGTTGGTCGACAGCGCCGTGTTTAATGTGTGGAGTTGCTTCGTGAGCATGCAGACAGGTAAGTCATTGAGCGAGCGAGCGGGCGGGCGGGCGGGCGAGATGCCATTCCATCCCCGTCGACACAAGAAAGTACCACAGTACTCCGTATTGACGGTGACGATAGGAAACACCGTCTACGTCGGACTCGGCATGTCCGGACAGCCACTCAGTCAACCATACCGATGGGTCAAGTCCGGCACGGCCATCCTCAGCTTCTGCCTGGGCACGTACTTTTTCAGTCGGGTCTGCCGGTTCTTCGGCCCCCTGCGACGCGGCACACTGTTCGGCTCGTTCATCTTCCAGGCCCTGCTCTGTTTCATTGCCGGCATTCTCGTCGTCAGCGGCGTCGTCCACAAGGACGCGGGCAACCAGCTGCCGCGCAACTACATCGTCCTCCTGCCGCTGGGCTTGCTGTCGTTCCAGTCGGCCGGCCAGATCGTCATGAGCAGAATGCTGCTGTACAACGAATTGCCGACCATCGTGCTGACCAGCACCTACTGCGACTTGATGTTCGACCCGCTGCTGTTCACCGCGCCGCTCACGCAGAATCCCAAGCGGAACCGCCGATTCGTGTCGGCGGTGGCGCTCGTCCTGGGTGCGGGACTCGGCGGCGTCTTGACCAAAGGCGGAGACATCTCCGATCCGCTGTGGATCGCCGGCGGGATCAAGGTTGTGCTCGGCTTGGTCTGGGTGTTCTGGAGAGCAGAGGGCGGCACCATTCGGTTGCAATAGAGTAGAGTGTTGCAGGTTGAGGCCGAACGTTGGAGAAAACCATGAGTCGGATTTGTAAAGGGCAGGCCCGCATCGAGGTGACTGTGGCGACCAGGAGAGCCACCCCATTTTTGTATATATCATGTTCATGTCCTGGCATGTCATGTCATGTCATGTCTCGTGTGGTCAGAAACGATCAGCCGCGTCCCACCGCGACCACCGCGTCCACCACGTCCGTCGCAAGCAACCAAGAATCGTTCTGCGGCTCAATGGGCGTGGCGTCAGCCGTACTGGCGTGAGTGGCACATATGATCCGCCGGATTGGCGCAACATAACTCGTTCTCATTCGTCCACTTGGCCAGACCGCTTCGCGAATTCGTTCTTCCGCCGAGCTTTTCACATGTCTCACCCACGCTCACCTTTGCGTGCGTTCTACTATGTATCCGCAACTGCGTTTGTTTCAGCCTGGCGGTCAACGGTCTAGACATGCCGACAAATGGCCGGACGTTTTCACCTGTAAGACGCTGCCCGCGCGTGGCGTTGGCCGCTGCGCCGCTGCGCCGTGGGAGAAATCGGATCAGGCTGATGGTGCGGCGAAATCACGGGCGCCGGCTAAACGTTCAGAAGGGCATACTGCGAGCTATGGCAATCAGGAGAACACGGCCCAAAGTGTGGATCGGAGGCCAGATAGAAAGAAAAAAATATTTGGTATGTGCTGATAGATAAGACGGTATCCACAAGGCTTCATATAACAGAAGCTCGTCGCCCCGTTCTGCTCCGACAAGTGCTTCTCTTCTGCTGCTGCCAGGCTTGGGTGGCCAGCTCATCCTCCGGTGCTTGGTACGCCTCCCTCGTCCCATGCCCATCATACTGTCCAAATCGCGCTGGTCTCTTCCACACGAAGACGGTCATCAAATCATACACTCATGCATTTTCAAACGGGTCGACACCTAAGTCTGGGACCGGCGAAGACCGACTTCGAAGTCGCTCCAACAAACCATCAATAGGGGTATCACATCTTCTCACGGTGGCTGACCGTGGTATTCTCCTCACTGCTCTCATCGTTCTTGACAATCACCTCGACAATCTCCGAGGCGGCCCTGGAGGCTTGGACGGCCTGACCGACACTGGGGAACACTCGGACGTTGGTTGGCTTCGAGGTATCCATGGATGAATCGGCATCCAGCAGTGTCCAGCCAGCGCGCTCGAACCGTTCTCGGGCCATGCCGTTCAGTGCGACCAGCCGGATTTCCACACCTTTGCCGGCATATTGCTTTAGCTCAGCCAGGAAGTTCTTCAGACCGATGACAGCACTGGTGTCGAAGAAGTTGACTTTGGCAAAGTCGAGAATGACCACGTTGATGGGAGGTAGGTTGGAGGTCTCGATGTTGGCCTTCCTGCGCAGGCGAGCAATGCGTCGTTCTCCCTCGACCGACCAGTTGCGTTCGGCCTCCTCGCCGTTGCGCGAGTTGTACTCTGGAGAATGGTAGGTTTGGACGGTATCCAAGATGACTCGCTTGATGCGTTGCACGTTGGGGAAGAAGAAGGATTCCTCGAAGCGGAAGACGCGCGTGTCCGGGGGAATACTCGGAGGCATTCCTCGTGCAGCGTCCAATGAAGCCGCCAGCTCCGAGCGCGAGTCTGCCGAGACGGTGGAGATGCGGATGAAGACCTGACGGAGGAGGACGTAGGCGACGTTGAATCCGACGGCGCTGCCAATTCCGATTTCCGTGCTGACGAACAGTGAAACCCAGAAGGCGATCATCGAGGCGATGAAGTCGGCGAGCGAGGTCTTCCAGAAATGATAGTAGGTGCTCGGCTTGCCGATCAGAGGCCAAATGGCAGTGATGATGATGGCAGCAAGGGTGGCCTTGGGAACCCAGTATAGGGCACCGGTCCATTTGTAGAGAGCAAGGACAATCACGCCAGTCGTGACAACGCCGGAGAGCGGAGACTTGACCTGGCATTGCGAGTTGACGGCGGTTCGGGACATGGCTCCTCCGACACCCATGCAGGTGAAGAAACTGTTCCAGATGTTGGTCACGCCCAGGTAGCAGAGTTCCTGGCTGGGATCCGTGACATAGTTGTTCCTCAGGCCGAACGCACGGGCGATTGCAACATGCTCGATCGAAGCACCGAGGAAGGCCGCGATACTGCCGCCAGCAGCTTTGCCCAAGAGCGCTGCGTCCACTGGCTTGGGGGCATTGATGCGAGTAGGAGGGACTTCGCTGACGTCGAACAGGTAGTCATCTTCGGCACGTCCCTTGTTGACTCCATAGCTGATCCCGGTGAACAGGAGAAGAGCGATAAAAGCGCGAGTGATGGAGATGAACCAGATCACCTTGTTCTTGCTGCCCCAGCGTTCGCCAGCCTTTTGCAGTCCCACCAAGAGGATGACACTGGCAATGCCCATACCGGCTGCGCGACCGTTGCAGGTCCCGAAATTGGTGAGTACATCATGGATGATGTTGGCCGTCCCGTCTCCGACATTTTCTTCTCCGATGAGGTTGTCAACCTGACCGAGGCCGATGGTGATGGCTACAGCGGAAATAAAGCCCGTGAGGACGGGGTAGGAGATGAAATCCAAGAGGAAACCGAGCTTCAAAAAGCCCATGGCAGCCATGCAGATGCCCATCATGAGGGCGACGGCGGAGGAGATGGCTTCGGGGGAATAGCCCTCTCCCACCAGGTCGTCAACCACATCTGACGTGAGGAGCCCAATCAGTGAAGTTGGACCCGTCGACATATCTGCAGCAGTGTCAGTCCAGCGATCTGGGCTACCGCAGCCGGGGCCAGTATCGTACCTTTGGATGTGCCCATGAACGTATAGATGACGGCTGGTGACCACGACGACATCAACCCATACTGGACGGGGATTTTCGCGATTTTCGCGTAGGCAAGACTCTGGGGAATCAACATGAGCGACAGCGTCAGTCCCGCCACGAAATCGGTCAGGAGCCATCGGTAGTTGTAGCGAGGTAGCCATCCGATAATGGGGACCTTGTCCGTGACATAGTTTTTGGCTGCTGAGGGAGTGGCGCGGAGTCCACGGGCACCAACGCGTGCCACGCGGTTCCAGTTCACGTCGTTCTTGACATCGTCCTTGATCCTCTCGTAGAGCTTCATGATGGCTCAAGTCCTTGATGATCTGTGTGTGAGGGCAGGGTCAGACTCAGGCAAAGGCACGGCAGAAGATGGACTGAGAGAAATGAAGAGTCGAGTAAAGACTGAGAGGACCGTTGATAAGGATGTGGCAAGGGCTCAGGACATATAATCATGCATGTCAGGCTGCTGACAGACCAGCCCTGGTCGGCAGAGACCCCGGCAGGCCAAGGACGGTGCTTGTCTCGTATGTTCGTTAACGTGCATGGCGCCGGCTGACCAGGATAGCCGTTCAGTAAGTTTTGGTCTAGAAACGAGGGACAGACGATCACTGGAACGTGGAAAAGGCTGGCAGCGAGCTGCCGCATCAGGCACTGGAGGAACTCAGATTGCAGCGTGATAGGACAGGAAAGATGCAGGTTGGAGGAAGGCGAACGTGTGGAGGGAGGGACAAGCGTGAGCGCAGGCTGCGCGCAGGCTCTGGTGCGGGTGCTGGGCGCAGGCGCAGGCGAATGGCAGCAGGTGAGCTCCCCGGGGTGCGAGCGCAGGGACCGCGCACGCCCACTGACGCCCACTGACGCCCCTCGCGCCCGCACGCTGCACCCACAGCCGCCAAGATTCTGGGCGGTCGGCGGTGGAGCTTGGTTGTCAAGTCAAGGCGCGCTCCCCGCCAATGAGCCCCTGGGGAAGCCCGTGACGGCAGCTGTGCAATGCGGGGGTGGAGTTGCTAATTGGAAGATTCACCGGCGCCATCTTCCGTCGGTGACTGCGACGACTGCCCAGCTGATTACCACCCGGCCTGGGGTATCTTGCATGCATCCCGTATTCCTGCTGTGTACGCCTAAACGATTTCCCAGACCGGTACGCCGGTCATTTTCACGACGCAGAGCGCGAGCCAGCGAGTCAGATGCCACCCATGTCACTGCCATCCACGTCCCTTTGCGAGACAACCAAGGTTTCACTCAAGCCAAGAGAGATCTCCCGAAGCATGTCTCCATGAGAGGCTGCCCCAGAGTACCTGTCAACACGCAGAATCTGGGGTCCGGGGCAAGAGAAGCACTGCAATTTCTGGGCATCGGGGGGCACGAGACGCTTGCTTGCACCGTGGCTTGCTCGAAGGCTTGTTGCTCTCAATACCACAACGATACCAAGAGAGAAGTTACCGGCTGAACAATCAAGCCGGAATTGTAACGAGCCAGCGACAGGTCAATGGCGCATTACTTGGCAACATCAGCGGCCGCCATCCTCCTCGTCAATACGCCTAGCCGCGCTCGCCTCTCACCCGATTGAGATCCTGATCTAATTTGGACGTCAACACTCAGATCTCCCCTCAGAACCCATCTCCCGCAAGCAGAGACAACGCCGCCAGACCGCTGCTGTCGCACCAAAAGACCACACTCGCAGAGCAGTGGAACAGGTGGGGATTGTCTGGACCATGAATCGGCAGTCGGTACCCTGATCAGCGGCGTCGAAGGATGCCTGTGCAGGGCCAATCAGGAACCGTCAAAATCTCACACAATCGGAGCTGCTCAGTAGCATGTGGTCTGTGGCGATATGCATGAAGCCAGGCCAGGCCAGCCAAAAGACCCCTAGCCACCAGCAGGATTGGCGCCTCAGCGAGGTGGCAATACCTGTTTCTCCCACAGCATTGAGCCTTGGAAGAAGATGAAGACTCGCGTCGATTTGTTCCGATCTTTATATCTGATTTGAGGCTCCAGCTCGGGAACATTCGGGCTAAATGTTATAACAAACCGGCCCACGGAGTCCAGCCCGAAGCTCCAGAGTAGCTATTCTCCCCTAAATTCCACGCCTCAACACCGACAATTTGCCGTAGCATGTGAGCAATTGACCTTTATCATATCTTGATCAAGTCAAGGCTTGAAGGCAAGCTGCCGTGCGCTGAGAATGCACATCAGACCATCGCCCGTGCCATTGACGATCACAGCCGTCGCAGTGCTGGCAGCTTCCACGGCCAACATCCGTGGGTGAAGATCGTCGCTTGTTGCTGCCGACAAAAGCCGGGTACAAGATGCAAGCCTCCCGTGACTTCTCGTCCAACATCGAGCCGCGTATACAACAGCAAGCTGAATGAGGCTCTCGCCCTGCCGTCTGGACGGCCACAATCACTGCGCTCACAACCTTGCGAGGCTGCTACTTGCAGGCACACTGCGCCGTGGATGAATGTTTAACCATCGCGCGTCTCAAGCCAGCTGACTTGGTATCAAGGCAGGTCCCAGACACCAAAACAGTCCGGAAAGCCCGTCGCTCGGCTGGAGGACGCCGCTTAGTGTGGCCTAAGTTTGGTTGTGTGCTTCAGAACTCCGCAGTTCGTGGGCCCCCGTATGGGGACGCATGACCACGTACTGATAAGATAGGCCGATTGGCTCGTGGGCGCACAGGAAGACATTCTCTCGGGCTAGGGCCGCTCATCCCACTTAACCATCGCGATCTAACCGGCGGACCATTGCCACCTACCTCGTGGTGGCCTGGGCAATTCGATTAACCGCCACGCGGCTCTCGATGGCATCGACGAGGCCGTCAAGACAACCCTGAGCTGCAGCAAGCGCCAAGGACGCAGATGCCTGATGCAAGAAACGGCGCTGGTAGCCTCCTGATATCGGACGACGATGTGGCCTAGACCGATTGCAAGAGGGTACATCCCGTCAAACGGGGACCAGGGCCTGCTATCGCCTCAGCGCCAAGTTGGACAGCGAGTCTTGGTGGAGGGGTCCCTGCAGGTCTACTCAGACCCGCCTCGACTCGACACAATGCGACATTCAAGTGGCGATGCCGGCCAGCTCAGGCTGCCAGTGGCGCTGATCTCTTGGCGCATATCGACGGAACGGCAGGAGGAGTAGGAGGATTGACATTGGCCAGCCGCTAAAGCAGAGCCTGCTGGTGAGGTTACCAGAAGTGGCAATGCGATGAGTGCGGGAGGAGACCGGGCGAGGCACTGTGGCGAATGCGGGAGGGTACCAGCGAGACCCTGTGGTGACTGGGGCAGGTTTTCGAGAGGCACAACATCTGAGAATCGGCTAAATGAATGAGCCCGTGCTGCCGCAACGATAAGGCGAGTACTGTGTATAGCCTGGTACAGTACAAGGAAGCTGCAGGTGTGACCGCTCCACTACCTTTTCCCTCCGCTTTGGCACGGTTCGTCGCAGATGTGCTGGAGATCAAATATCTGCTGAGCCTGCGAGCATATGTGGCCTAGCGCTCGGTTTGCAACGGTGTGTAGGCGCACTGCTAGTCGTACAGTACCGGTGCAGGTAGCCACCCTGACAGCCGCAACCACAGGTCATTCCTTGAGCCCGAGAGGGAGATTTGGGATCACAGAGCCAGCAGGGCGAGAAACCCGCAAGACTCATCCCATCGACGCTGCTCAACGTCTTGAGCAACGTCATCAACAGGAGACAAGACGGGCACGTTCTATTTTCCCTCCGCAGCTGCCATCAGCATGGTGGTCTGACAGTGGTGCCTCTTCCCTTCCTTCCCAGCCCGGGGAAGAGAAGACGGCACTCCCAAGCTAGGCCATAGAGAGTTCGGGAGCTGAGCGCTTTGAGACTGACCTCAGTCAGAGTTGAAGGATGACCCGCGTTGTGCCCGCCACGATCATTGAAGCTCGTGATCTCCTCGGCACATTGAACCAAACTTGGACTTTGTCGAGTCTACCCACCCTACAGCTCGGTGCCGGTGGCATACTGATGGTGCCCGCGTCTGAGATCGGCTTCAATTTCGACTTCGGCTTCGACGTCCGATCTAGCCATCAAGAAGACAAGTCCTTCATCAAGGGCGACGATCATCAGTTTGACGACGTCCGCAGTAGTTAACGCGAGGCTCTGAAGGATATCGCACGACCATTTGCCTTTCTCACATTGCGCAGAGAGCGCACGCCGCGTCCATGTACCTCCATCATGCTCCTGCCGACATTACGCACTTGTGATGCTCAATAGACAAAGAGCGATCAAGCAAGACGCTGAAGTTAAGCTCAGCGCTAAGGTATCGACTAGCCTAATATGCAACTAGTCTTGTGATATGGGCTTAAGCTCAGTGCAAGCCCCGGACAGTCAGCCAATCAGAGCACGTCCTGGTATGGCCTTGCAGTTTAGTATCAGCTACGCCGTTACTACTGCTCCTGGTAAACGGAGGTGCATCGAGCTTCCTCGATAGAGGCACTACGTAGATCCATATACATCAATTGGACAGTTGGCAAAATAACGCCTGAACCTTTAGCCTGCGCACCCATCCGTCCAACGTATGTTCTTGAACCAGAAGACACTGGAGTCCCTGTAGTCCTGAATCTTGAGCCTTACTCCTACTGTCGGACCAGCCAGCGCTTTGTACGGGTTGATTAGCAAGCAGGTCACGCCAATTCGCCGGGTAGAACATGTTGGATAACGCGCAAGGGTTTCAGTGAGACGTGATGCTTTCTTTAGTGGTCCATCCGCTTTCCTGACGGACGGAAAATCGTTGGAAGAACGATGAGTTACTTTTGAAGGTCAAGAAATGATTTGCCGGGTGGATCGTTGAACACACAGGCAGCTGAAAGACGTGGTCAATCAATGATTTGCCGGGCGGATCGATGAACAGACGGGGCGGCTGAACGACATGGTCAATACTGCTGAGCAGAATATTCATCCGTGGAGAAAGAGCGCAACAGTACCGACTACGGGTAATAGTCTGGCACACTGGAACAGTGACAACCGACACCGCGACAATTCACCCCAACCCGCGCACCATTCTTGATACTCAGGCGCAGCCGTGATCTCGCACACGACCCGTTCGTTCCTCAGGCTGATTGAAAGCTGCCCATCTGTTCAGAATACCTGGATATTGCTCTCGTTTTTCGAGTCCGAATTCGCGCGTCCAAGGATAATACCATCGACCTCGACGCTCTCGGTCCTGTCTGACAATATAGCTGCCTAACAGTGGAATTTGGACCTGAAGGCCTTCATCCGTGCAACCCATCAATGAAACGGCTCTGCTCGCTCAATTGTCTCCACGCACTAAGGTCTGGCAGTTACGACTCTCGCGAGTTCGCCTTCGGACGACGGTACCAGAAAGACCAGCACGGCGATCGAGTCGTTGAAGGCAAGATCGACGACGAAAAGACGGCTCCGGCTCTGAAGGATGGTACCGAAATGTGTTTCTCGTGATGTCATCAGCAGAATATGCTGGCTCACTCACATGCGATGTCACGAGCCGGTACCAGGCAGCGACGACCTCGGTGCCATCGCAGAACAATATCTAGGAGGATAGATTCTTGGTCGGTGCAGAACCCAGACATGCGTGCTTAAAGGGATTGGAAAGGAACAGCCTCTCCAATCTCTAAAGGGTTCCAAGCATGTGATGATGTTGAGGCACACCTTTTCGTCTTCTGCGATGCTGGTTGAGCGCCACGCCAGGACATCGCTCAACACCCCTTTCATGTTTTGTCCCCGGTTCTCCGTATCTGACCTCGACTCCGAGATTCTCAAGTTTTACCCACCGGACGATTCAGGTGTTGTTGATCTTGACGTCAAACCAAAGCCCGCTGTCCAGGTCGATACCGCCGTTACGCAACCGAAAATGAGACTTTTCGAGCAAGAGCACATTCCTGTAGAGTCGAGAGACGTAGCATCCAGCCGCAGGTTGAGTATGCGGAGCCACGCCTGTCGCTCCGAACTTTGATCCAGATCAAAGTCGAGCAGGTACCTTGCCCAAAATCAAGACCATCTCCTCATTCGAGGACATCTTCCCCAGCAGCAAGACAATCTCTCGCTGGAGGGCCCGTGGCTCCCGTGGGACGCAGATGGTGCCAATCCGGAAAGGGACCTTCCATCCGGATACAGGCTGGTTACCCTGGCACTCTACCTCTCCCATACGGACACCTAGGGATCGATTTTCCCGTGGGTTTGTCCAGGCCATACCGATCAACCATGAGTAATGCACACGTACTTCTTGACCACGTCTGTGGAGGTGTGTTGTGCAACTCCACGGTCGGCCCCGACTCGAGCGTTCGCCGAAGTCAGGCGTCGTACGTTCTCCAGCAGCGACTTCCACTGGTCTCTCAGACGCTAGGGCAAGTAGAGGAAAATACCCGCGCTCCACGATTTGTTTCATCTGAACCCGGCTACCCGGTTAGCAGATAACTCTGGACATTGGCTGCTGGCAGCCAGGAATGTGCTCAGTTCGATATGCCTTCCAATCTATATCATATGCAGTGCACCTCCTGTCAGGGTCTAGCCAGGGAACAAGAGAGGCGGCAAGTTCTATCGGCATGAGCGGAATTCTTGCTCGACATTCCTGATGATCTCTCGTCCGTCCAGGTCTCTCCGAGCCTGCTAGCGAATCAAATCTCCGGAAGGGCCGCCCTATTGTCTGCGTCCAAGTCCCATCGGATTGAATGTGGTAACTATTAGCCTCTACAAGATTCCAGCAGACGTCCAAGGGCGGCGCAGTGTCAAAAAGTGCGACTGAACGTCTGACCACGATGCTGCCAGTAATGTTTGTAGACTACGGAACCCCCTATTCACGCCCAGCCTTGCCGAGCGTCCGGGGCGGCATCGCAAGGCTGACGACTACCTACTAACCAGCGCATCTGACACCATCACACATGCATGCCTCTAGGTTCTCTTCTGCTTTCGAGGCCACCACACAACCACACGCACTCAAGCGGGATGGTGTGTCGACAATTACTCCGCATCCATTCTCTCAAAAACAGGCATCACAGCCAAGGGACAATCCACCACGGTAACCACGCCTCCTTCGAGGACGTCCGGATTTCGAACTTGGCCGTCATCAAACCTCTTCCACTTTGCACCTTTCGGCAGATAGACCTTTCTCTTAGTGATGCCCTTATACATGACCGGTGCGACAAGATATTTGCCGCCAAACATGTACTGGTCCTCCACTTCCCAACACTCTTTATCCTGGGGAAATTCCAAGAATAGTGGCCGTATGACAGGTGTGCCTTTTTCATGCGCTTCGGTCATGAGGCCACGGATATATGGCCGAAGTTTCTCGCGCAGGAAAAGGTATTTCTTCATGATCTCGTAGCACTCTTCGCCATAGCACCAGATCTCATTAGGTGCACCAGAGAGACATGTCGCGCCTCCAGTCGTGCCGTGTTGAGGTTGCTTGGGCTCGCGGTCACCATGAAGGCGGAAGACAGGGCAAAAGCAGCCTGCACCATCATATTCAGCTGGGTGGACGACGACAACTCAGACCGCATCTTACCGTATTGGAACCATCTCGTGCAGAGCTCGCGAAAGTCGGCATGCTGGGGGTTGCCGCCGTGAAATCCGCCTGCCTGAGTCAGCATTGCTCTCTGAATTACGGCCGAGACAAAGACCTACCGATATCTGTCGTCCACCAAGGAATACCGGCAATTCCAACATTTAATCCAGCCGCGAATTGATCCCGAAAGCTCTCCCAACTGCTCGCAATGTCACCGCTCCACAGCAAAGTGCCAAACTTCTGGCTTCCAGCCCACGCACAGCGGATGAGGTTGCAGATCTCCTGTTGCTTCCCATCTTGCCTCATCCCTTCAAAGAAAGTCCTCGCGTACTCCACTGGATAAGCATTTCCGGAGCTCAACACACTCCCACTGTGATATCGGTAAATGTCAAAGTCATATACGTTGTACTCCGGTTCCGCTTCATCGAGCCAGAACATCTTAACTCCCTTGTCGTAGTAATTCTTTTTCGCCGTGCGCCATACAAACTCTCGAGTGGCGGGATTGGTAAAGTCAGCATGGACTGTCTCGCCCTGGAAATCCATAGATATGCGCAGTCCACGGTCCTGTCTGATCAACATGCCCTGCTCCAGCATGAAGTCGTAGTTTTCCGAGCGTTTGTCGACGGTGGGCCAGATCGAAACGAGGAGTTGGACATCCATTGATTGGAGTTCCTTGATCATGGCGTCTGTGACGGGAGACTCACGGCATTTCGTCAGAACTGCATTCTTCCACTTTGACAGTTGGATCCTTTGCAGAGTGGGCTGATTTGAAGGAAAACTCAAATGCAGGTTTCGATTTTGCGGGTTCAAACGGGAACTGGAGTTCGGGCGATGGCTCTGCCGAAGACTCCTTCCACGTCGATAGGAGCCTACGCATGGCTGACTCACCGGGATCTTTCCAATACGTCGGGTCAAACTTCCATTCGCCTTGCTTTGGCCCTAGTCAAATGTCGTCAGCCATCACACAATTGCAAACGAGGACGGAACGAGCGTACAATGGAAGAAGTCCACCACAATCACATCCAAGGGCAATCCCCGCTTCTTGTACTCTCGCGCAACATCCAGGAGCTCTTCTTGAGTCTGATATCTCAACTTGCACTGCCAAAAACCAAGACCGTACTCCGGCATCATTGGAACTTTGCCTGTGACATCGGCGTATGATTCAATGATCTGGGCTGGCGTGTCGCAAGCAACGATCCAATAGTCGAGGACCCTTGTCGAATACGCCTCGAAGCTCATCGTGTTCTTTCCTAGGACGGCTCGGCCAACGGCAGGATTGTTCCAGAGCATACCATATCCGAGATTCGACAGCATGAATGGAACGCTTGCTTGGGAGTTGCGCTGGGCCATCTCTAGGTCGGAGCCTTTGAGGTCGAGGAACGGCTGTTGGTACTGGCCCATGCCGTAGATCTTCTCTTTGCGGTCAATGGACTCAAGTCGATACGTCAAGTGGTAGTCGCCCCCAAGCAACGGCTTGAACTCTCGTGCTTCAACCATCAAGGCACTGCACTTTGGATCCTCGACATCGGCACGGTTGCGGTGATACTCTTCCAGAAGCCGCTCGCCCTTGGCATTCGTGATGATTATCTTTCCGGCCTTGGAGATTGTCGCCGTGATGTTGCCGTTCGTGATGGATGCGTGGTCGCCAGGAACCGAGATAGAGACATCTGTCCTTGGTGGCGTGATGGTCAGAGCCCAGTTCTCTGGCGGCAGAGTGTGGAACCTCGTGGCACGCACCCGGAGAGCATTTGGACCCCATGGTTCAACCTGTACATGTTCTGAGTCGTAGGTGTAATGAAGTCGATCGTCCTTGGAGAGTAACATGGCTCTTGAGTTCCAGGGCTGAAGCCGTAACGTCTGCAAAGCTTCCTTTGAACGTACAGTAGTGACAGCGTGGTCGACGTTGGGGGAGGTTCCAGGCTACGGTCGAAGAGGAAAAGAGAGATTGTGCCTCCGTTCCACGTGGGAAGGTTCTTGCAAGACATCCATGTTACCGATCAACCCCGGGCTTCTACTTTTGGCCATGCCGCCCGGCTGAATTGCGGAGATGGTCGCGATATCAGGCACATTATCGGATGTCCACCAGTCCGGGTATTGGTGGCTGGTACCTGTTATGCTCTAGTGTATATCTTAGTTCTCGTCGCTTCTCCACACATATGAGCATAATTCAGATCATGCTTACTGATAGGCTGAGCAGCATCGAGGCGCGGCCTGGGACACGTTGTTCTTGAGAGGATGGAGTCGTGCCACCGCGCAATCTCTTGGCCGTTCGATTCTGTTGGCTCCTTCCGGACACATGTTCATAAGCCGCATTCGCCAACCCGAACAAATGGCGGAACTTGCTGGTCAGATCCTGCGTGTCGTGTTGAATCGGGAGGAGAAAGTTGAAATTTCCCGCCGGAGTTTTGCCTCAAAGAGGAAGGTGTGACGCAGCCTGCAGCCTTGTTTGCGCTTACTCACGTGTCAGGCTGTACTTACTTCCCCTTCACGTCCAGTACTACCTCGTACACGCCGGAGAAGTCTACAAGACTCTAAGATAAGCCGGCATCGTGTGGCCTGATCGACCAGGTGCACATTGCTGACCAGAACGCTGAGTGCTCAACATAATCCAACACTGCATTCCTTACAGAGCTATCCAAGACCTGGTCTTTCGAACCGAAAATCCTGAACTACCTGTGGACCTTACGCCTTTCTCCTAACCGTCAGGTCATCCAAGACATCGCCTGTCGTCCCTTGACCTCTTTTAGTCTCTGCGACCTTGAAGGCCTGTCCTTCCCCGCCGACATCCAGGCCCTTCTCAGCTCGTTCATAAGCCTTGTCAGTCCGATCAGTCAAGATCTTCAGTTCATCTTCGCCTAATATTGATCTCTTCCTGCCTGTTGAGGTGGCTCCATCGTCTTCGTCTTCCAGGTGTGCGACATCGTACTTCTCAAACTCGTCATTCACTAACACTCCCTTGATGTCATCCACTTCCGCGCCCGACGAAAGAAGAGACCTGAACTTGCCCTTCTGGATGACCAACTTCTCGAGCTTGCGCTTTGAGTCGGCCTTGAAGAGCAATGTCTCCTCCACCGTCCCGCGTGTAGCTAGCCTATACACAATTACAGGCTTCGTCTGCCCAATACGATGTGCGCGGTCCATGGCTTGTAAATCTTGCTGCGGATTCCAGTCCGAGTCGAACAGAACAACAGTGTCGGCTGCAGTGAGGTTGATTCCCTGGCCACCAGCCCGAGTGGAGAGGAGAAACAAGTTATAGGACCTGTCCGTGTTGAAGCTTGTGATCTGAGCATAGCGATCTTCCTGCGCGACAGAGCCGTCGATCCGACATGCTTTCCAGCCACGCAGGTCAGCTGCATAGGTTTCCAGAATGTCGAGCGTGGTTTTGAATTGGCTGAAAATAAGGACTTTGTGACCAAGCTTGAAGAGTCGAGGCAGAAGTGTGTCAAGCAGGAGGATCTTGCCTGAGGCTCTGACGAGGCTTTCGTCGACTTGCGGGAAGTCGCCGGATTCCTCTTCGGCAAGCGTAGTCGGTTTCCAGGGCCAGTAGAAGTTGTGCGGGCTGTTGCATGCAAGCCGGAGTTGTAAAACAGGGTTTTGCAGCTTTTTGGCCGACATTTCCTTCTTCGCGAGTTTGAGGGTTCGAGCACGCTCGAGCTCTTCTGCTTCGTCGGACGAGATGTCTCGCGAGTCGAGGCCAGGCGATGCACGATCGAGGCTGAGCCCTTCTTCACCTTTTTCTATTCGACGCAGACGATCGTTGAACTCACTGTCGGTCACATCGCGATAGCTGGTGCGGGCCGCTTTCCGACCTCGCCGAATAGAACCATTTGACGCGACTGATGCAGGCGTCGAATCTCGACTGGGCTTGATGTTCTTCGCTGGCGTGGAGCGACCGCTACAGTTTGCCTTGCGCTTGAGGGAAGCGGTTCGGCTCTTTGCCTCGATCCGCTCGACTGCTTTGTCTTCGAGATATGACCTGCTGGAACCGGCAAGGATTTCTCGGTAGAGCTCCTTCTGTTCTGATGTCAATGGGGCGTACAGAATGTATTCTCGCTTCTTAGGGAGAGACGACTCAACGTCGGTTTTGACGCGTCGAAGCAAGAATGGCTTGAGGATGGCGTGCATGGTGGAAACCAGGTTGTTCTTGCGCTTCAGAGACTTGCCATCAGCCTCCTTCTTGTCCTCTAAGACACTCGAGAAGTCGAACCACTTTTCGAAACTGTCGAGGTCATTGAAAACTTCCGGTAACAAGAAATGCAGCAGTGACCAGAGTTCGGCGATGTTATTCTGAAGCGGCGTGCCGGTGATCAGCAGGCGATTTGCAGAGTTGTATGTCATCAGCTCCTTGACCAGCTTGCAGTTCATATTCTTCAGACGATGTCCTTCATCCACGACTATGTATCTCCACTGGTAATTGGCCAAGAACTTCTTGTCGTTCATGCAGATTTCATAGCTCGTGACGACGACCGGGAACTCCCACTTGCTCTGGTCCTGGAGTTTCATCCTCTTTCGCCTCATTGCATCACGGTCGTCCTTGCTGCCATGGTACAGAAGAGTGTTGATGGTGGGAGTCCAGTGCTTGAATTCTTCAACCCAGTTCCGCACGGTGCTCAACGGAGCCGCAATCAGGAAAGGACCGGAGATGTTGTTCTCCTTGAAGAACGCAATCATTGAGATGGCCTGCAGCGTCTTCCCGAGGCCCATTTCATCCGCCAGAATCCCGCTCAGGCCATTCATCCAGAGCGACTTCAACCACTCCAAGCCTTCGAGCTGATATCTCTTCATCTGGCCGCCCGTGACCAGAGAGGGTTGTTCAGTGGCAACAAGATCCTGAGCGCCGAGCCCTTCCCCCTCGTACTCATCTGCGGCTTCTGCCAGCGCCTCTTGAACTGTGGGCCCATCTTTGGCGGCCTTCACGGTCTGCGAGTCGAAATAGTCCACAATGCTCTTCTTGGCGGCATTGTTCTTCTTGGATGGCCGTCCGCGACTTCGAGTGGCCTTCTTCTCCTGCTCCTGCAAGTTTTCGCCGCTGTCAGCCTCTCCAGCAGCATGCGCCCTCGATGATCGTCTCGTTGCGTTTTTCGTCTCTGAAGGTTTAGCTGCATCGTTCCTTTGCTTCGCAGCCGCCCTTCTCGCCTGCTCTTGATTTTGCTCCTGCTGTTGCTTCATCTTGTCCGCCATGATCGCAACAAACACAGAGCTTGTCTTCAGAAGGTTGGTGAGCGCGCGAGACTTGTGGTCCATCGCTTCATCGTCCTCCCCATCCACTCCCATCTGATTCTCGCTCTTGACCATTGGGTCCTCGGTGGTGTCAGACTTCGGCTGCTTAGGACTCGCATCCATTGGTGATGATGCTGGTGTGCTTTTGGCATTCGACATGGCTGGTGTTGTCGGCTCTGAAGTGGACGAGCTTGTAGACATGTTCGTGGCAGGTAAGGCCTTGGTCAAAGCGCAAGAGACAGTAGGGCGCGCTCCAGCTGAGGCTTTAGGACGCCGGAGGAAGGATTGCTCAGCAAACGAAGCCGGATACGCGCATCAAACGCACCACCCTCGCTTTTACTTTGTTTGCTTCAGGGCCGATTCATGGGCAAGAGGATGCCACGGGCTTGCATTGGCCTAGCTACTGGAATGCCAGGCTCGCATCCTGCGGCTATCATTCAGCCACGGCCAGAATTGCCCCTTGCTTCGAAATTGTGGTGACGACACTATGAGAAGTGGCGAAACGCGTTGCCATCCACTTTACGCGGAGCGCGTCAATCGACGCTAAGATCTTTCCAAGAAGCTAGGTACGAGTACGAGTACGAGTACGACGACTCGGTCCGTTTGTACGGTCGCGCCGAACAAAGGCCACGCAGCCTTTGAGCACGACGACCTTGTGGCTGCTAAACCAGAGCACATTTGCATCTTTTCATATCCTCGCCCCTCGAAAAATCAATCCACATGATACCTCAGCATGCGGACACAGCGATTTAACCCTTGGATTCATGACGATGACCCATCTCCGAGAAGGGCGAAAGTCGCGTACATCCGAACACCGGGAACAAACTGCGTGCAGGCGCAGAGTCGGCCATCACGCACTTGTAACTGCTCAAGACACCAAAATGTTTCCATGATGCCAATCATCTAGCTGTTTGTCTGAAGATACAATGCGTTGTCATCCAGCGGCTTGTCTGGAGTACACGGTACATACAGTAGCTGTTTCGGTGGGACGGACGGCCACCTTCAACCTCGGCTTGCGGCGGTTGTCAGCATGGAACATGGAGCATGGACCGAGTCAATCCTCGTGTAGAACGGACCGAGTATGGAGTACTGTAATGCTCCCTACAAACAATTCATACATACCTTGATATCAGAATGACAAAGATACGATAGATGCTATTTTATATGTTCCCATCCTGAAAAGGTATCCTACCTGATCTTGAACAGCCTAAAACCCGTCTTGCTTCTAATACCCTCGACGTGACAAGCAGCACGATGTCCCAAATCCCCATCATAGTCGGCGTCGGCGACTTCGTCAATCGCTCAACATCCCTCGCCGACGGCCACGAACCACTAACACTGATTCTCAACGCCATAACCGTCGCCCTAAGCGACACCGATCTCCCGGACGACAAACGACAACAACTCCAATCCGCCATCGACAGCATCGACGTCGTGCGGACATGGACCTGGCCCTACGACGATCTCCCGGGGGACATCAGTCGGAGATTAGGCGTCGATGCACGACACCGGTTCTACAGCGACCACGGCGGGAACAAGCCGGCCAAACTATTCGACCAGGCCGCACGGAGGATCTCGAGAGGCGAAACCAAAGTCGCCATCATTACGGGCGGCGAGGCGTTGGCTTCACTGTCGGCGTTCGCGGCGGCCAAGAAGCTGCCGCCGCCAGGCTGGACCAAGACAAAGGAAACCGTCAACTCGGTCTTCACACCCACAGGCCGAGATCTGGGCAAAGACATTGGCGCCGTGCATTCGATCGGTGCCCCTATCCACGTGTACCCGCTGTTTGAGAACGGGTTCCGCGCGTACCGCAAGCAATCCATAGCCGCCAACCACGAGGAATCTGCCCAGCTGTATGCTGAATTTGCAAAGGTCGCGGAGAAGCAACCCTATGCCTGGAACTACGGCAAGCCAGCCGCGAGCAAGGAGGTGATCGGCACAGTCACCAAGAGGAACAGGATGATTTGTTTTCCTTGTACGTCCCGCCCCGTTGCCTGTGGTATGGCAGACCAAACGACAAGCGTTGTGGGGGTGACTCAGGATAAACGCTGACCTGGCACGACAGATCCGCTGCTGATGAACGCCTTCAACACGATCAACCTTGCCGGTGCTTGTGTGCTGACTTCGGTCGCGTACGCGGAGGAACTGGGCATTCCAAGGACGAAGTGGATATACGCCCTGGGCGGTGCTGGCACGCAGGACAGCGATCATTGTACGAGTTCCACCCACCTGCCCGCCTTCCCTGTCTCTTGGTATTTCGTATCGCCTTGATACGGTCTAACTGACCGATGCAGTCTGGGAGCGTCCGAACTACCATTCCAGCCCGTCCATCTCGCGCTCCATCGACGCCGGCCTGCACGTGTCCGGCCTCGCGAAGGAAGATATCGACCTATACGACTTCTACTCGTACGTTTCTTCCACCCCTCTGCACCCCCACACCACCGTGTGATCAAATCTTTCCCTTTCACTAACGCAACACGCGTCACTTGCAGCTGTTTCCCAATCGTCCCCAAGATCGCGGCCCATCATCTCAATCTCCCAATCACGGGCGGCCCAAAACCACTCACCATCCTCGGCGGGCTGACCAGCTTTGGCGGCGCCGGGAACAACTACTCCATGCACGTACGTGTCTTTATCTTACTTTCTCCTTTGGCGGTTTCCTTTTGTATTGTCTTTGTGTATACTCTTTTCTTCCGCTATTCTTACATCCTTGGTTCGTGATACTATAGGCCATCACCGAAATGACCCGCCGTCTCCGTGCCGGCCACGGTCGCCACGGCCTGATTCTCGCCAACGGCGGCGTGATGACGTACCAGCACGTGCTCTGCTTGTCGACCATGCGGCGGAAAGCCGGACAGCCGTATGCCCAGGCAGATCCCCTGCCCGAGTATGTGAGCGGGATATCTGTACCGAAGGTGGTGGCGCGTGTGGAGGTGGAAGGGAACGGCGAGACTGACGCTGTCGTCGAGACGTATACCGTCGAATTTCACCGCGATGGCACGCCTCTTCGGGCATATATTGTGGGCCGCCTGAAGAGCAACAATCATCGGTTTGTTGCCAACCACGGCGACGAGGAGACGTTGAAGCAGTTTTCCTCCTGGGAGGGGGAGAAGATCGGACGGCCAGGGCGTGTAAGAAATGACGGGACGAGAAACCTCTTCATTTTGAAGAGAGAGGGTCTGGGCAAGTTGTAGGAAGTTACGAGGCCGGTGAGGGGAGATTCTTCTCATTTTGCTTCTCAGCGCTTTGGGCTACCTAGCTAGGGCGGGGAGGTACATGAAGACTGCTTTGCAGCGTTTGAGGCGCTTCAGCCCTTCTCTGCCAGGTTGACCGTCCACCTCCACTGTCATTGTCATTGTTGACTTCGATCAAGCCAACCATATTCACTGTTGCCTGGTGTCATTGGGCTCCTACGTGTTGCCGTTGTCGCCTTTGATCATCAAACTCCATTGTCATAGTCATTGTCACCTTTGACCAGGCCCCGCTTCCAATGTCAATATCGCCATCGATCGATCTCCAATGTCACTGTCGCCTTCCTTGCTGATCTCAATACTTAATACATGTGTTTCTGTGGGTGTCTCATGGATGAGCCAACGACGGTGTTTCCGACACAGCACAACAGCGTTATTCAAGAACTATGATGTACCGGTCGGTTCCGTCGACTTTTTCCTGTGATCCAACAACCTTCTGCGTCTTACTTGGACTGATGTGTCAATCATCAGCCATTCAGCCGCGTTGGCCGCCAACATCAAATCTCTTCCTCACGCTTCTCGGCGTTCACCACGAGCTTTCTGGCCAATCTAGCCGACCTTCGCAGCTTGACTGCCTTCTCCTCGATGGACTCAGGCGTAGCAGAGAGCCCGATGGCAGAAGTGGGTGGTTGAGCAATCATGATAGTGCCCATGCTGAAGCCACTGCCATGGACAGATGCTGAGTCTCGGCCGGAAGAGAAAGAGGTAGGAGTTTTGCTGCGTGGACCGACGATGAGCTTGAGCTTCTGTGTCTTGTTCTTGGTCTTCTTGCTGGTCCCTGTCGCGATGCTGCTCTCCTCGCTGGTATCCTCGTGGTTAGTTTCACCCGTCCCACTGGCTTCAGGTGTAGGGATATTCTGAAGGAGATGCAGTTCTGCAACTGGGGTCAAAGGTGTCGACACGGCAATGTCTCCTCCCTTGGGAGTGTCCACGGTGCCAAAGGCTGGGACTTTGCCACGCAGGCGGTGCTTGACTGGTCGGAGAAGCGCTCGGAACTCTGGTAGATCTGCATTCTCGGAAATGGCAGAGAAAGTGGGAGATGGTAGCGGTCGGTGAGCTATTACGCCTTTCGGGAGATAGTTGTTGGCAAAGTCACCGCTAAGTTCGCCAGCTCCAATGTCCGAGAACATATTTGTCGCCTGGGTTGGAGTAATATCCCCTCTAGTAATGTTCTTCGGACCATTCCCAGATTCGTGGGCCTTATCTGTTTCGGTATGAAGACGATCCATACTGTCAATGCCAGCAGACACGAGCCCATGTGCATGTGTCGCGTGAGTATCAGCGACCTCCACGCGAGGAGCCTTGCGAGCACCCGGACGAATCTCCGACTGGGATGATTTTCGCTTTGGATGGTCGGGAGCGGCCTTGACCAGACGGTGAAGATTGTCAACATGGTTAGTCGGAGCACGAGCTGCAGGGATAGCGAAGACGCTGTCAGCTGCGCTGGCAGCAGCCGAGGTCGAGGGAAGTCCCATGACCAGACCGCGACTGAAGCCGGACATCGTGGTAGAGAACGGCAGGGCTCTAGAAGAAACAGTCTGAGGGGCATGGACGCTACCGTTCTGGGCTACATCGGACATCGCTGTACTCTTGAAGGGATCCGCAGAGATCGTGGGATTAGCTGCCTTTGGCGGCGCGTTTCGAAGCACTTGAGCCAAGCCATCTTTGTTGTCGATCTTGAGAACCAAGCGCAGAGAGGCCGGCGCAGGGGTTGAGGTCGATTGATTTTGCACGGTCTCATCTCCTCTCTTCTCATGACCGTTCTGTTGAGCGCGGCTACCTCTAGCACGCTGCAGCGCATTCTTTGGCTTCATGCTTGATGGCAGATCTTGATGAGAGTCTGTCTTGCCGGAGGGTTTTGCGATTGGCTGGCCCAGTGCAGAAGGCGTATCTTGGGAACTCAAGTGGGATCGTGGGTTTCGTCGAGAAGCAGGGTTTCTGGCTCCTGTAGGCACTGGTTGGACGATGTCTTGTGCGCTCTGCTGTCCAGTCTGAGGAGGAGTGCTTGACTCGCCAGGCGTAGAGACCTGGGCAAGGGGATGACGTTGTCGTCCTGCTCGCTCAGTTCTCTGATCGACCAATGCTCGAGCAGCTGAAGCGGCTGGATCAGAAGGGAGGGCCGGCCGACCATGCAAGGCTGGGTGGCGACGAGCATTTCTCGCTGCAACTGCTCTACCGCTCGGCATAATACCATGAAGGAGTCCAGGTCGTGGGCGGAACTGACGCATAGCCGCATTCTGCACTGCACCATACAATGGTCGCCAGGCGTTTGCCAATGGAGTCGTGCGCGTGCTTGGCACATAAGGGACAAATTGACGATATCCGCTGCCATGCGGATCTAGCACCCATTGTCCCATAAAGGCGAGTGAGAGGTTATGATCCATCAAGAACTTTCTGGCAAGGCGGACTTCACCATCGAAGGCCCAGTCGTACTTGCAGACGAAGGTGAAGTACTCGGCGTACTCTTGGAAGATGTCGGGGTCAATGATCTGGGAGTCCTGCATGTCCGGCCGGATGCCTGGGATGGGCATGCTGATGCTTGCGCAGAAAGCCCAGAGGTCTACGAGCGAAGCTGGATGGATAGCTCGCAAGCCAACAGCATGCTCGATCTGAGCAATTTGAGTCGCATTCATGCCCAAGGCTCGACTTATGTATCCGGGGTGCACAGGATATTCTTTCATAGCTTTGTAGATGTGGTACTGCATTGAAAGAGGCAATTCGTTCCATTTGACTTGCTGCACCACCTGCGATGAATGGATCAGTTAAAAGTCTCGATTGCCAAGGACAGTTGCCTTACGCGAGGGCCATTGCTTGTTGACATCGCGGTTGCTGCCGCATCTTGGTTCCCAATTGCCTGCGCCACACCGCTGCTGGATATGTGCTCGCTGGGGGTCGAAACATACTCGACAGTCTGGGCATCAATGCTGACAGTCTACCAAGCACCAGTTAGTCACGGTTTCCATTGATGAGGAAGTTTGTGTTACCTGAGTGGTAGTGGTTGAGGATGTCGCGACTGTCGCTTTGTCTTGGTTAGTTATTGCCCGCGCCATGGCATTGTCAGCTGATCCGTCGTTCTGAGTCACTTTCTTGTGAGTCTGGTCTTGCTGAGTCTCGTCTTGCTCGACTTTCACACCGATCTGGCTTGTCTGAACCTGAGAATCTTCCTGTCGATGAATGGCCGAAGTAACGCCGGCGAGGCTGCCTTCGTTAGGGATGGAGTTCTCTGTCACGTTGTCACCAGTAGTCGCCGCTTCAGATACATTTTTGTTTTCCACAGACATTGCCATTGATGTCAGTGGGAGAGAAGGAAAGGCGGCTGGAGGATTGTCAGGGTTGAAGGGGGTAGTGTTGGCTCTCATCAAACCAGGGTGTGCGGGTTTGGTGCCATTGCGGTTTTTTGGAGTCGCAGGCTCCTCGTCCTCAAGACGAGTAGGGATGGTGATGCTGGATCTCAGCTGCATGATTGCATATCGCCAGCTACGTGCGAAGGAGCGAAGAGGAGGAAGGTGTAAGTGAGCGAGAGAGGGAGAAGGAGAAAGAGAACGTGGGACGGAGACAGTAGTGAAGGCTCATGTCCATAGGTGAAAAATCGAAAGCGAAAGCCGCAATTTGTCGGACATTCGCTGTCTTGCCAGGCCCCACGTCTTTCTGTCAGTAACATCTAGTGCACAATCACTTTCGTCAATGTGCCATTCTGGACATGAAGTGCAATCGTGTCAGTTCATGCTCATCCAGATCTCGAACTTAGGAAAATGAGACCTACCCAAGGAGAAGTGGCCGACAGAGAAGTACCTCTGTGGGATGAGGGCAAAGCCCTTCCAGCAATCTACCTTCCATATGGCAACAACACACAGCAATCACCATTGATCCATTATCCATGTGCGCATTGGTCGCTTTCTTTCAAATCCTTCTCGTGCTTTCTTGGGACAGCTCAAGCGTCCCCAGAGAGCTTGCTTGGTGTTCCAACGACGCCTGTTGCTCCTGCGGCCGCTCCCAGGATATGTTTGGCTTCGAAATCGATGACAGGAGTGATTGCTGCGGTGAACGCCATCGGGCACAACTACCAAGACCGACTACCGCATGGAATTGGCTATTGCGCCTTTTCGAGAATCGTATCTCGGGGCGATCCAGTGTTGTTCAGTTGGCCAAAACTACCCACACGTCTTTCATCACATGGTGAGTATCTGCCGTCAATCGGCAACGTCCACAAATGGGGCCACTCCTTCTCTAATGTCTGTCTCCATCAGTTGTCCGACGCCATTCCCAATCTCGTCATCCGAAGTGTAGAATTCATCAATATTGCGCTTACTAGGCCGCCGAGGTCGGTTCGCCACGTTTCCGTCATCGTTGGAGGGCATAATGAAGGGCATCACCGCGGAGTCTGCGTCGGAGACCTGACGTTCGGCGGTGGTGATTGTCTGCAAGTCCAGAAGAATGTTCTTCATGTCGTCTGACAAGGTGATGCAGAAGCGCTGAGACTGGATCATGTGGATGGCGGCAATAGCCTCCACCCCATAAACAACCATCAAATACGCGGCGACCAACAGGGCCGAACGATCGTTTCCGGACTCGCAGAAGATAAGGACCTTGCCCCTTACGTCGTGAATGTCCCGTATCGGGATCCTAGCACATGTGGCCTCGAGGTGGTCGTTGATGGCCCTGATGACTGGCTTGACGAGTGATATGAACTCGGCAGGGTGATCGAAGTCAAAAGTCCAGCTTGCTATACCCGCGCTTGAGGCAAAGGTGGCAGGATCGAGAAACGATTTGCGGGTTCTCACGGATTTCCCGGAACGAGCAGCCACAAGAAGAGTGATGCCGGTATCGCAGATGAATGCCGGATCCCTGGCGACACTGCTGGGTCCTAGAAACAGGAAAGGCAGGATCGCTTGAGCATTCCTGCGCATTTCATATTGCCAGGTGAGCATTGAATGTGCCAAGTCAAACCTGTGGCTGCTGACTAGAGCCCTCAGGAACTCGTGATTGCCATATTGTCTGGAAGTCCGATTGTAGGGCAGACCGTGAACGCGGAAGGTAGGCTTGCCATTCCGGTAGTTGAGGTCAGGTGGAGGAACATTAACCCGAGGAGCTTCGAGTCGTCGCTTGTCGCTGTACCCTTGAGCAGCGACATAGTGACCCGAATGACCCTCAGCCCAAGATGCCATGGTGACGGTAGAGCAGGAGCAGCAGTCCGACGGCGGTGTTTATTCCTGGGTGGCGGATCTGGAGGACTCTGTTGGAAGAAAGACTCCCAGCAACACTGGAACTACCGACTCTGAACAATACAAATGAGGTTGATTTCTCATCCTGCTTTCATTAGACGGAAGCGTGCATGCTGGTATTCAGTGAGGTGCACGGAGTATTGTCTCATGAGAATAGATCTTGGAAAGTGCAGCCGGCGATGTGAAGGGGAAGGCAGTCGATTGGTTGATTGCCAATCACCTCTCTCTGTCCGGTCAGTTACAGCGAACGTTGACAGGTAGGCGGTAGAACGACGTGCATATACGGCACCAGAGGACTATTGCAGCAGCATGTGGACCAGAAGCATTGGTTCAAAGATAGTCATCTTGGGGTCAACCGGACGAGAACCCTCGTGAAGAACTGTGAGACTGCGACAGAAGGGCAGCTGACAATAAGAGTGAAAGTGAAGGTGAAAGTGAACAAGTCGCGAGGTCGTGTGTTGCTTGATGCCTACCGTTGTCATTTTCATTTTCATTTTCACTTTCACGCTAATTAGCTAGTACGCACAGGCTGCCTAACAGCTCCTCACTTAAGGTTGATGCACTATCAAGAAGGCCTCAATTCAACTTCATTGTTGTGACACAAGGGTGCATGCCCCGAATAATTGTTAATAGAATCATCTCTTTCGCCATTTTAATGCTTGGGCTATGACTGAGTGGTAATGTACAGGAAGCATATATGGCATGAATCATCAGGCCGACAGCACTATTTTTATGTCGTCGTCTCATCATCCAGTCATAGTGGCCGTAGAACCGAGATATCGGTCATGGACCACTATCCTTCTTCTCTGGGTCGCGCTCCCCAGCATCGTGCTTGGGTGGCTGTTGTAGCTGCTTCCGCTTCTGCTTCTCTTGCTGCGATTGCTCTCGTTTGAACTGCCGCTGGATCTGCCACACGGCCCGTTCCACTTCACCACTCAGCTCGGGAACGCCTGTCACCTCGGCCACCAGATTGTGGCATTCTGCCGGAAGTATGATCTGCTCCGGAGGCGCAGTGCCATCCAAGACTTGACTCGGCGTGACAAAGGTGAAATCTGGGGCATCAGGCGCGACTTGCTCGTACAGATCTTCGATCTCTGGCGGCGAGACCGGGCGGTACAGTCTGTTATCGAGGATAAAATCTAGGTGATCTGAACCTTTCAGAGCTGTTTACTGGTAAGCACGACGCTGTTGCTATTCGAGCCGACATTACCTCTCCAGTGTGACCAACACCGATAAGCAGCATAGAAGAACGGTATATTAGGTATTCTGGTCCATTGTCAGTGACCCGGGTTTGAAATGCCAGACGAGTGTAGGTCATACATGGGTACCAGCGCAAACGGTATGCAAATTGGCATAGCCACCATGCTCCCAATGAACCGGTTCCAATGCAATTGTTTCCTCTCGCGGGCTAGCCTGGCCAGCACCTTTGGGACGTCCTCTTTGTGCATGACATTGCTGGGGAAGATCACATCGAATTTCTTCCCTTCTGTAATCTGCTCGGCCTGCAGTTTGGGGTTCGAGGGCGGAAAGCTCTTCAGTCCCCATTCTTGGTACGGGATGCGCTGCAGGCCCTGGTTACCGTAGTAAACGAGTGTCTTCCTCCATCCCTTTTTAGCAGTCTCCCACTGCGCCCATGTTTCCGCTGCCTTTTTAGTTATCCGGTCGGCGATACTCGGTTTGCTTGTCGGCTTCTCGATTGCTTTTTGGCAATAGACAAGGGCTTGTCGCGTGGTGAGAGGAAGGAGGATGATTTTGCGCATAGCCGCAACGCTTCAGAGGGAGGGCGCAAGAAAAGAAGACCACAACCCTCTGCAAAATCAAGGAAGCCTCGAGGGCGTCATGATTGGGATGGAACAAGTACTTCAAGAAAAGAATGACCGGGAATAACGGTGAAATTGGAAGCTCGACGACGATAATTGACACGACAGTAGATGAGGGTGTGAAGAACAAGCAGCTTCTGCGTGTAGCTTCACAGCTCACCAATTTTCCCAAGTCATCATGAAGTGGTGCCTTAGTTCCTCGCGCGTTGCGTCGCAATAATGTGAGAGCTGTTCGCTCAACGTCATGGCTAGATCTCATGCGATGATTCGCCCCAAATGAGGATCCCTGTCGCGCCGTCTGCAGCAACCGCAAGGCCCCATCCGCCAAGCGACTTCGGTGCCCAGATGGTTGGCAGCGTGGCAGCCGCTGTTTACTGCTTAGATGCTTTGGACAATCATTACCACTTCCAACATCACCTTCCACAAGGTTACTGGGTACATAAACACCACCCAGCTACGAAAGATCTAATTGCAAGCGTCGCGAAACCGAACATATCGACCGTGAACGCTGTCGTATCCGGGGCGGCGCTCGACACTCGACATGCACCTCCGCTGATTGCTAGGGACTGTACCTCGTGCCGCCCCGTGGGTTGGACATGGCGGATGAAGCGGGCTTCCCATGGCAGGCTCCGTCGAGAGATCCCGAGAAAGAGGCGGTTGTCACCGCAGAGCAGCAGGTCAACAATGTGCGCCCAGATGGAATGAAAGGGCAGGAAGCGCCAGCTTCGCCTGTGAAGATCACCACCGCACAGCAGAACATCCAGCCTCGCAAGCACAACAACTCGTTGCACGGGAGACCTCATAGTGGGTCAGTCAAAGGCCCTCCGAGAGTAAACCATTCGATTCTCACTGCGCCGTCCGATCCCATCACCTCCAAGCCCACCTCCCCTCTCCCGGTTCGAACGATTCCGCGTAAGTCATACCCGTGCGACAGGAGACAATAAGGAAGATGGTTAATCTTTGCAATAGCCTGGGTGAGGGACGCTGAAGAAGGCGACCTCGATGACCCTCAATTCCTCGTTCCGGACGCTCCGCATTCGGCCCTTGTTGCGCAACATCATTACAGCCCCTCAACCTCCAGACGACCGCTGCTAGGCGACCAGCAGCACCATGCAGATGGACTCTGCACACCTTCGACCCGTGCAAAACCTACACAGACCTCCAGATGGATGTCCTTTGCCCAACCTAGTGCCTATGCGCAGGAGAACTTCGACAGCGAAAAGGTGGACCAGGAATGGCTGAATCAGAATATGACCGACTATTCGAAGGCGTGGTTGGCCGATCACGATGATGACGACGTGGAGGACAGCAGCAGCCGATACCGCGCTTTCCGTCGGAAGAGGAAAGTTTGGTACAAGCGTGCTCAGTTCACCGTCTTACGGAACCCTTTCATACCTCTGATCTTCCGTATGATCGTTC